CTGATTTATTATCTTTTGTATGAGGATTATTAACGTCGATCTATTAAAATGTATTGAATAGGTACAGTATATCTACTAGTCTATATGTTAAGCACAAAGAATAAAAGGATTATTATTTGTAGCTTATAACGAATGTTCAATATTATAAAAACAAGAAAAGACTTATTTGAATAAGATCAGACACAAAAACTAAAGATTTATTGATGAAGACAAGAGTTATTCTATTTATACTAAGTTCTGAATGTCAAAGTGGCAATTTATCTTGTACAACACTTATCACATCTGGTGAATCTCAGCATTTAGATAGCTGAGATGCACTTCAATTATCATAGCATGTCCATGTTGTTGCACAACACAGACATATCTACCTATCAAGAATACCTTAATCTTTATAGACGGTTGTTGTTTAGAATAACGAAATATAGACAGAGTAAATACAATTAGAACTGAATATATTTATTATGTTATTCCAAGATTGAATAGGGATCAAAACTAGTGTAGATACCAAAGGTATTTATAGTTATTTGACAGTGCCGCAGCAATAGGACCTTGATCTTGAATGCGGGATAATTGTATAAGCCTTGAACCAGTAACGAGGATGTGCTGCATCAGAACTCATGAACCACCAGTCAAGGATAAACAACAAAGATGATCCAGGATAGAATGTTCTTCCTAATGGCTTTGACGGAAGAACATTTGTCGGAATTGAAACCCACTTCCAGGGACGAAAGGCCATAGGCTACCACTCTCTAGGAACCAGGATATAGATTAGCCATTTGATGGCACCACTCATGTTCCTTCGTGCTGCTTGAATAAAGACCTCTCACTTCTACTATGCATCTCAGCTCATTCTCAGATCCTCTTATGTAATATACAACGCCTAATACATTTGCCTCTCAGAGATGATCTATATCCTAAACAGTTGTAGCCCTTCTGGCACAACATTAGCATTAGAACACCATTCTGGATGGGTGCGTAAGCAATCCATAAATCATACATATATATAGCAGTAAACATTCACTCTTCCCTTTCCTCTTCATCTGATTCTTATTGAAAATAAACCTACATCCATTCTCACGTACTTTTCAGATTTACAACAGAACCTTTATCCATTTGTGGAATTTGAGGCTTGATAGACTAAAATTCACGGAAAAAAAAGAATAAAAAAACAGTAATGTCAACTTGATAAAGGTATATTTTATTATCAAACTGACAGGTGTAAAGTAAACTGAAGTCTCTCTACTGGCCAGGTAGATGATCCTTCTTATATACTATAACAATGGATAAAAGTTCTATTAATTAGATTGACAAATAAGTCAACTCAGATCAACTAATGTCTAATCATGCTAAAAGACAACTCCAGCAAGCTAGTCATGATTTAGCTCTGTCTGGATGAATAATTAGACTCTCATCCGAAGTACCCTGATCTATCCTTTCTATAAGGATAATTAATATCGATCTAGTAGCATATATCTGATAGGTACAGTCTACTTAGTCTATATTAATAGTACATATCTGAGTGTATATCGCTAAGCATACATCTTTAGCATGTATCTGGATATATGATGGCATGTCTATAGCATATCATATGCATGTCTATAGCATGTCTCATATATAGTACAAGTCTGTAGTACATAAAGTATCTGTAGCTAGTATCACGGATATAAGCATGTGTCTTATAGCGTGGATCATGAAGTGCACATCTGAAGCAACAAGCTCATATTGCGTTAATCTTGGTGCCTATCCAGATATGGTAAACATCCGTAGTCAATGTCGGAATACAAGTATAAGTCTATAGTGCCATCCATGTCCGTGGTGCCATCTATAGCCTATATCTTATATAGTATGAATCTTATAGCACTAGCGTATCTGAAGTCCATATCTTCTCATAGTATAAATCGATATCGTACATCTAATCCAGCGTACATACAGTTTATATCTAAATCTGGTAACTGGATGAACTGTCGGAATGCAGATCATAGTGGATGTATTCCACAGATGTATTCCACACCATTGCTAAAGTGTATAAAAATCATGATGTAACTAGCCAGTTGAGATTCTTCAGTTTACATTACGCCTGTCAGTTTGATAAAAAAGTACGCTTTTATCTGGTTGAATTTATTGTTTATTCATATGATTTTTTCCGTCGTGGATTTCAAACATAATATGCCCTGAGTTCCACACCTCCCATGAAACTGTTGAATGTATGCTAGAGCAAATAATTGCATCTTTCGTTACTTTTGAATAAAGAAAAACTTAAATTGTATTCATTGTTTGATCACTCTTTTATTACAAACACAAAATTATATTAAATGACAGATCAAAAAAAAATCAATTAGTTGAAGACCTTTTCTCTTTAAACCCCCTAGCCAATCAAATCGCTTAAAAACTCCGCTAACCTAAAAAAAAAATTTGCGAGGGTTTCCCCCTGTTTTGATGTGAGGCAAAATTTTAAGCGCCGCTATAATAGCAATATAGCCGCTGCTATCATCAAATTTCCCTCAGGTGCTAGAGCATGCCTTACTTACACCACCTAGCTTTAAGTTCAGGCATTGAGACCCTCAATCATCACTAAAGTAAGTAGCGACAACCAAGTGGAGACAGCCTATCTACCTCCTAGCCTCGGATAGAGTCTTGTTGAGCTTCAGCGATAGGCACATCCACCACAACGTAAAAAAAGGTATGCTTCAAAGAAACATAATAAGAAGAAAAGAAAGAAGGAAAGAACATGCTACAGTACTCTAGGAGTATAGTAGTATGTAGGTAAAAAAAAAAAGGAACACTCACACAAAAAAGTGAGTCAAAAGAAAAGCATAACAACAAATAATACAACATCAAAGATGTTCAGAATAGCTCGCTGTTGTTGCAACAACAAAAATGCATACATTAGCAACGTGCATGGTAATAGTCGGATGTAAAGCAACACAAACAGGCACAATTGCAGGAGCAATAACAGTACTATAAGTGTGCAATACAACATAATGACTAATGTTGTTTCATGTGAAGCGACAGAGGCAACACAAACAACAATCCACGGCCATATAACAAAGTAGTATTATAACAGCAATACAGATATATAGCAGTACATCATGCTTGTTGTTCGTACATACAAAGCAACAACATTGCAAGCATCTGTTGAGCCGATCATATCACAGCCAACAAAAGAAAGAGAAAGAAAGAGAAAGAAAGAGAAAGAAAACGCAACAAAGCAAACATTATGAATGCATTATCACGAGAAAGGAAGCAATGATACAAACGTCCAGAGAAGATTTATGTCATTGCGACCAGAAGAAAAAAAATACTTACCACTTACCACAGCTACCAATAGACCTGAGAATACACAATTACCGGAGATACAACAGAGAACGAGCATACACCAAAGATAGTAGACCAGAAAAGACCAAACTAGCAGCAGCAACACCAGAAGTAATACCAGAAGCAGCATCAGAAGCAACAGCAGCAGCAGCAACAACAACAGCAACAACAGCATCATAGAGAAACCGAAGAACGAGCGACACCAGAGACCGGACAAAGATTAACAAAGCAGTCGCCAAGGATAGAGACCAAAGAGGCAGTTACCGTGCATAATAAACCAAAGAAGCAGACAACAGAGATGACAGAGAAGTAATGGCAGCAACACCCACGTCGAACAGGCAAAAAAAAAATTGAAACCTAATAATAAGCAAACTCAATTAGTGCTGTTTCTTCGTCTTCCAATGCTCGTTATCGAATCGTACCTACTATATTCCACTTCAAAGGTGCAGTATCAAGCACTTTTAACAGTACAAAACCGTGTTATCAGAAGCTAGAGTGTTATTATCAATCAAACGGTGTCCAAAACCACCATGGTTTGATACTAAAACGCGTTTTGCAAAATGGGTAAAAAACGGAGGCGTGGAAAAATGAGAGGGCGCCCTAATCGACGTCACGTTCAGTAGATTTGGCCTCAGTCTTCTGCCGTGGCAGCCACAACTGCTGCACTTTAATTTGACATTGTGCAGTGGGTGTTTTCGTGTTCAAATTTGACTTGATCTCACATCCTTTAGACGTTTTTCCTAAATTTGACTATGAAAATTGTCCTTGTTATATATTACTTTCTAATGGATTTATAAAGAGTCAATGAAGGCGCATCGAATGATGCTGGCTACATTCAGCTTTCAGACCGAAAATAATGAGCAGCTTGAGAAAATTCGAAAACCGGTTCTCTATGAATATGTCAAAATTTAGCATATGCAAGTCTTATAAAAAAAGAGTCTCTACTGTTGCGTCTCATCTTTACGATCAGTTTGATCTGATATGTACCATAGGAAAAGTCTTCATTTTTGGGGTGAAAAACGCGATCGTTTGATTTTCGTAAATTTTCCCTTGCTAATACTCATGAAAAAATGAGGATTTTGATGGACTTGCGATGATCCAAAAAAATTTGAGATAAAGCATCATTCAGTAAAGCGTAGCCAAGAAGAATCGTTTGGCGCTATTCCAAGCGCCCAAAACACTCTGTGGCATGAGGTATTCGTGCTTGAAAATGGTAGATTTGGACAAAAATCGATCTGAAAATAAGGCGTATTAATAGGTTATCTGATGACCGAAACCAATATGATAAAAAAGTACAGTGTTTGGACACTATTTCTTTATCAACTGTCAATTGAGCCTGGCGTCTCCATTATTAGTTAAATTTTGTTTCCCTTTGTTTGCTCTACGAAATGAGGCTGGTTTGTTTAAAACCGAAACGAGCGCTCAGGGATAACCCTGTTTTCTGTCTTTGCAAAGAGTCTGCATAACGAAATATTAGTCAACAAGGGCCCCTGTATTTCTATACCGTATAAGCATAAGATTGCTAGATGACCGCCTGATTGTAACCCATACAAACTTTCGTCGACGGAAAATCCTGGAAAAAATTCCAATGTGATCTTAGAGAATTGTCAACTCAAGAAGAACAAATTAGTGTTTAGGACTTTATTCATATTATGCAAGTTTTCAATAGGATCTATCAACAACAGCTACCATTCAGCCTTCAGAACAATATCCTGAACGCCCTTGATTTCTTCCAGCTCAAACCGGATGTCTTCAACTCGTCCTCTCGTGAATAATGCTGCATCCTTCAATCTTGTTTCTGCTGGCAATATCAACGCTAGTTTTACAGATTCAATTTCTGAAATGGCATCCAAGATGCGGCCAAGGTTTCCATTTTGCAAATTTTGTTTGGCACTTGCCAACCACAAGCTTCCTTGGATGGCTAAACTCTTGATATTCACGTATTTGTAGATCAGATACTCCAACAATTCAGGTCGACATGTTGCATCTATCGACATTGATTTGAGCTGATCTTGTTGTTTCACATAAGCAATGGCCCGAGCATCCACATTCTCTTTGGATACTGTGTGATGGTAAATATCGCCTTCCAAGTCGAAATCTAGGATTTTCAATGCATGCAAATACGGACAATGATTCAAGATGACTTCCAGCTCGTTCATTCCTTTTAAAAAGCCTTTCATATGAAGATAATTCAAGCTTTTGCATTGCTCTAATTGTTCAATAAACTTCCAAGCGTCATCATGTCGGCTATCGCCCAAGGTAATTGCCATTGATTCGATGGATTGTCTTAGAAGCCACAGTCTCCTGATTCTTGTGCTGGTGTTTGAACCAGCATATGCTGGCAATTCCTTTAGCTTGTTTCTATTGAAGTTTCTTGAGTTTATCATGTCATGAATGGTCTTGAAAAACACGTCTGGTTCTGTAAAACCAGAGATTCTTTCAATATTGGGTGTTAGGGCAACGCGTAAAAGCTTTTCAACAACGACAGGTAATTCCACGCCATTAAATACAAAGTGCATGTGTTTGGTATACTTTGCTTTAGAGGATTCCATTATCAGATGATTGTATACCTCGATAGCTTTTAGTTCCGTCTTGATGACAATTGTTCGACCAAGCATCTCTTTTGCTGCAGGCTCGTTCCATGATTCGCATACCAGTCCACATGTAGACAACTGCTTTATGGATTTGAAATTGTGGAAAATCAAACTCAAAAGCTCTTCATTCAATGATGTTATGTTATTCATGTTTGGAGTGTTATTGTGAGGCTGGTAGAATGAAACAAGGGTGATGCTTGAGAAAGTTTACACGAGCAAAATGATCATGCAAATGAGCTGGTGGCGTAGAGATACAGCTCAAAGTCACTGAGGCAAAACGCATAAACAGCGTATCTTCGCCACTAGACTATGCCATTATTGCGTTTGAAATGAATCCCCTGATGCTCTATTTTGGCGCTTATATAGAAAGTTGATTACAGATTATATATTCCTGTCTATGAACATGGCAATTTTATTCATCGTTATTTACACGCAAGAATTGTAAGTCAACATGTCCATCATTAACTCTTGTTTGTCTTCGATAGTGTTCAAGAAGAATTTGTAGTCTTCAATTCGATCATTGAAAAACAAGGCTATTTCTTTCATTTTGGTATTCGCTGGCATTATCGATGTGATCCTTCGAATTCGGCCGCTCATAGCAGCATACAGAGCACGCTCCAGATTGCCTTTGGGTGATGCTCCTCTGTGGTTGAAAGCTTTGAGAGCTTCATTGATTTCAATTATTGCAAATGGTGGATAACATGTGTAAAATTCGCCTTTTCTTGACACCAGGCTTTGACTTTTTCGTTTGATAATGCTCCCAATGTGTATTTGAGTCGAGTTATTTCAGCCTGATATACGTCAAAAGAGGGTACTGTTCTGAGGCATCATTCAAACTTTGTAAACCATCCACAGACCCACATATTGTCAATTCTACAAACTGCTCTAGTTTCGAAGCCCAGTGTGAGTCTCATTTGCCAAGAGTATAGCGTTTCCTTTAATCGATTTCCAGATTATGTATACTATCTTGAGTTTGGCACTCTCATCACTTTTAGTGTCATGAGGTAAGCTTTCCGATTTGTCATAAGATCGAAGCTCATTGTCCAATATAGAAACTGATTTGTTGAAAAGTCTGTCTGATTTAACTGAACCACCAACTTTTTTTGATAGAGGGAGTAACTGCCAAATCTAACAGTTCTTCTGCTATCAAGGGGACCTCCGCACCATCGAAAATCAAAAAGCTCTGTCGTGATGGTATTGGCCATAGTGGTGTCTAGAAGCAAATGTCTATGCAATCGAATGGTTTGTATTTTTGAGTTGACAATAATCTCTCTGCTGAACATGACGGCGGTCGCAGGGATTTTCCAGGCTTTTCTCACTTGGCAACATGTGGCTAACTACTGCATCAATTCAACGTTGCTAAAGATCATCATTAAGATTTCTTCGTTGAGGGTTGATCAGCAATTAAACTTGTTGTACTCATAGGCTAATTTTCCAACACAAACGACTAATACATTGAAACAAGCTTCATGCTCTTGTTTTGTAACGAAACCTGTTTCCATCTCAAAAAAAAATAAGCAAAGGGATATGTCTCTGGTAGAAAATGTTCGCCTGGCCACATTAGCATCAGTTTGGTAATCTCTGTGATATAAACGAATTCTCGGGTTACCCCAAGATGAAATGGGCCAAAAGTAATCAACTGGTGACACGTCTAATCAAAGCTGGCTATCGATCACCAAATCCTATGGTGTTCTCCTTGTCAGACGTTAGGAGAGGAGTATGAATGTGTCACGAAATCTGTCAAAATGGCCTGATTCTGACACACACACGCATACACATTTGATTTCGATAAGCAAAATGTTGCATTACAATATCAACTGTGGTTACTGTGTAATACTGTGCTCTCAAAATCAGCATTTCTATGATACAATAGAATTTACAGTCAAACTATTTCCAGAACAAAAAAGTGAAGCTAATACGAATCCGGGTTAAATGGCTTGCAGATGTACCGATAATGAAAAACAATAAGCCTTTATAGAATAGCTTCGTTAAACCCTAAAAGTACTATAATTAAATGTTGAAATGACATATGGCAACGGCCCAGAAAAAAAGAGAGCGAGATAACATCTTGATAGAAACGTTCCATAGCAATATAAATTATTCCTATATGAAACCTTATCAAGTGCCGGAAGATGAAACCTATGCAATTAACGAAGGGTGATGTGCTTTCAATTGTTGTAGATTTATATACGATATCAAACCAAATCCCTCCTTTTCATTTCCCTTTTTCTCTCGTCCATTAAATGAAATGTGCACAGAATTCATACAATTAATAGACTCTTCATTGCCCAAATATCCCCTCACAACATCGTCTTCCTCATCAATGCTACTCAGCAGTAGTGACCAGCAACATCTATTGCAGTATATATCATCACCTCCTCCTCCTGTGTGCCGTTGTTCACTGAAAAAGACACATACAGACAGCAGAAAATCAACTGACTCTGAAAAGACTTTGCTAGATGATCCTGATGACAAGGAGAAGACTAGTGAGTACATGCAAACATTGCCTGCTTTCAAAGATAAGAAATTAACCACGGATCACACAGATCCAACGATAATGACACCTGTCACTACTCCCAAACCCATATTCACCCACAAACTACCAGACAACTTTTTCACTTCTTGCTCACCACCAGCACCCATCTCTCCCATCAGCAACCTCGCCTCAAGAGTCAACTCTCCTATATCCTCCCCACACATTCACCCTACGGTCACCAAAGCATGTCCATCGGTAGAACCTATTGATAAATGTATTGAGCATCTCAGTATACAAGACAGCAACGAAAACAGCACAAGCCATCTACCTGACAGCAACGAGATACCCGTATATAAACACCAGTACAACATGAGCCGTAGACATCGTCGGCTGTCATTGGATGACTTTATCATCAAGCAAACGGTAGGCACTGGTTCATCTGCTCGTGTTCATCTAGCGAAAAGCAAAGTCAATGGAAAATATTACGCTATCAAAACCATCAGCAAGAAGGACCTTGTCAGCAAACGTCAAATAGAGCATGCCAACAATGAGCGTGATGTATTGGGGTCTGTGTCTCATCCCTTTTTAGTCAAGTTGTGGGGTAGTTTTCAAAGTGAAAGTCATGTCTTTCTTGTCATGGACTATATTCCTGGCGGTGAGTTGTTTCGTCAACTTCGCAAACGAAAGGTATGCGCTTGGTTTATGTCAACGTGAGATCTTGTAGTAGACTCATGTGTGTATGTGTGTAGGCATTCACAGAGGACGAAGCTCGATTCTATGCTGCAGAAGTGGTCTTGGCTATTGAGTATTTGCACAGTATCAACATTGCTTATCGTGATTTAAAGCCTGAAAACATCTTGATTGATCGTCAGGGCCATATCAAAATTACTGATTTTGGCTTTGCGAAAAGAGTGGTTGACCGCACATGGACCGTATGTGGTACGCCTGACTATTTGGCACCTGAAATCATTCGTTCTCAAGGCTATACAAAAGCTGTGGATTGGTGGAGTCTCGGTGTGCTCATCTATGAAATGATCGCAGGGTAATTATTCATGAGCATTTGTTACGTATCCACGCATGTGCCCTAATGCAAGCGCCACTCTTTTTTTTTTTTTAACAGAAACCCACCGTTCACTGCTAAAACCCCCATTGATCAATACCAAAAGATTCTAGAGTGTGATGTGACATTTCCCTGTAGCATGAGCTCTGAGGTGATTGATTTACTGCAGAATCTGCTGAAAACAAAAGCATCTGAGAGATTTGGCAACTTGAAGAATGGAGCAAATGATATCAAGCAACACCCGTGGTTCAAGGGCATAGACTTTGGGCAAGTGTTGGCTCGCCAGTTGACCCCACCTTTTGTTCCAGACATCAAGTTCGAAGGGGACACGGGCTGCTTTGCGTACTATGAGGAGATGCAGTTGCCATACCACATGATCCACACAAGCGAGCCTTACTGCTCTCATTTTCCATACTTTTAATAGCACACACACACACACACACACACACACAACTTCATTTGTAAATATTTCCACTAGCAATGTATATCCACTCTCTTGTATAGAATAAATTTATTTAATAATAATCAGAATCAGAATCGAATTCGTCGTCGTCGACAGAATCAAGTTGCTCAAAATTGACAGGATATCTCAAAATGCCGCCAATGCCACCAAATCCCTTACAAAACTGTGCCCCTTCTTGAGAGCGGTTGGTAACAAACTCCAAGTTGGCGCCAAAGTCCTTGTAGTGCTCTGTAAACCATTCCACCAAGGGCTTTACTTCCACCACAGACATCTCGTTCTTGTTGTTATCCGCACTCACATCTGCCAAGGGATCTTTGAGGAACGCTTTGGTCTTTTCCTGTTCCTTGCTGGGATGAATCACATGTTCATCATTGTTGGCATCTCTCACCACGTAACGAGGTGTCTCCAGCGTCTCCCACACAAGCAAGTTCTCCACAGCACCCAGCTCCAATGCCTTGAGTGTATCGCTTACACCAAAGCAGTACTTGCCTGTATCTTGCGAGATTTCATCAAAGTAGGATCCAATCAACTTTTTTTCATGCACAAATTTGAGATTGGCTAGTGAATCAGCAGCCAAATTGATGGCTTGATTGAAGCCATTTTCACCACCATACGAGACATCCACCACCTTGATCACCTTGGCCTGCAATCGAGGATCAAACAGTTCAGATTGGGAGAGCTCTGTCTTGAAATCAGCTGAACCCGCCAACACCAAACCAGAGACATTGACCTTGTCGTTGGTGATGAAAAAGTGGATGGCCAGTTCAGCTACTTTGCGCACGTAATTATGTCGCTTTTCTTCTCGCAGACGAGAGAAACGCAGGGCAGACTGACCACCACGGCCATGTTTCTTGGGTAGATCCACAGAGAACTTGTGAACGATGTCTCTTGTGTTGCCTGCCAAGGTACCAAATAGCGTGCTATGACCATCCATGACGATGAAGCCAAACTTGGAGTCAGTTTCGATCAGTTCGGACAGTGCTTCTGTGTGGAATTTGTTGTCGCAGAGATACAGCGACGTGTTGATGGGTTTGTGTGGCTCAAAATCAATGTTGACCTTCTTCTCCTTGCCTTCGTCTGTAACAATGGTGCCGCAGTAGAGTACAAGGCCGTTGGGAGGTACCTTGGTGTACAGTTTGAGGCGATGCAACGTGGATGTGATGGCAGAGAGCACAGAAAGTCTGTTGACTCGGGATTTGATATTGGAAGCTGTGCCCTGTTCGTTGGTCAGCATGCATGTCACTTGCGATATTTGAGAGCGAGGCGCTAACATATTCATGAATGTGGTATGAGTATATCTCAAGTATTGCCATTTGGTGCTGTATTTACTTACGAATAATGAGGGAGATCATTGAAGTGCCATTGCTATAAGAGCAGAATGTGAGCACCAGGCCCCAACCAATGCCAGCATCTGAAATGCACTTACCCTCTGGCAGCATCCAAATTCTGCACCAATGTCTTCATCTTCCAAATCTCAATATGTTGGTCGTCTTGACGTTGAGCATCTTCATTTGTGGTGAAAGCAGTAGTAGTCATGTTGCAGCTGTGTAATAGCAAGAGTAAAGATAAAACGACATGCACAATCCATGTCTTGGTTTATATATGCCATCATTTCTATACTAAAAAAAAAAAAATAGCACTACTTGAGGAGTAAGCTGATACAGACTATAAGTTGTCTTTTTTTGTTTTCCACATTATATTGCTGTATATGGTTTAGTGGTCATTGTCCTATCCATCCAGTCATTCTATCAAGTCTCTGCATACGTTATGAATCAACATCTAGATGCTGTACAGCCTCGTCTTGTTTAGATGAGATGGCCATGATGCATCTCATACCGCCTTACACACTGCCAGCTGAATATATCCATCCAACACATGCAAACTCTCAGGGCCTCCACCAATTGAATAGCGTTGATTCTGTTTGTTCCTTGAACTTCCAATAGCCATAAGCCACCATGATTTCAAACCAATTCAATTTCCACCCATATTAGACTTGCGAGAACGAGACGACGTGTAGAATTAGGGGTGTTGGCGGGTTGAGAGGCAAAATTTTGAGTGGTTTGCTTAAAAGAAACAGGTGGAGTTCGTATCATCCTCTTTTTCTCTCGTTTTTCATCTTTTTCTTACTGCTTATTCCATCATGTATCAAAGAGACCAAAACAACTCACTCTTCCTGGGTGGTGAACGTACCACCGGTCAAGATGTCCGTTCCAGCAACGGTAAGTGCTTGTGGGCGCTCCATTTGACGCGTCTTGTCACTGTGCGTCGTCATCTGACAGATCAAATCTTGTACATTTTAGTCCTTGCTGCTGCTTCCATTGCCAACATTGTCAAGAGTTCTTTGGGCCCTGTTGGTTTGGATAAGATGCTTGTCGATGAAATTGGTGTAAGTGTGGATACAGAAAGAGTCTTTAGATCATATTCAGGAACCAACACACACACACACACACACCTTTATAGGATGTTACTATCACCAACGATGGCGCTACTATCCTTCAATTACTCGAAGTAGAGCACCCCGCTGGTAAAGTGTTGGTCGAGCTGGCCCAACAACAAGATCGTGAGGTGGGTGATGGTACTACTTCTGTAGTCATCATTGCTGCCGAACTCTTGAAGCGTGCCAACGAACTCGTCAAGAACAAGATTCACCCCACCACCATCATCACCGGTTACCGTTTGGCTTCCAAGGAAGCTTGTCGTTTCATTGCCAATGAAATGTCCATCAAAGTCGACACACTCGGTAAAGAATGTCTCATCAACTCTGCAAAGACTTCCATGAGCTCCAAGATCATTGGATCGTAAGTAGTTGGGGGGGAGGGGAGGGCAAGAGGATGTATACACAGTGCAAACAATGCTGATATTCGCGCATTTTTAGTGACTCCAAGTTCTTTGCCAACCTCGCCGTCGAAGCTATTTTAGCTGTTAAATCCACCAACACTCGTGGTGAAACCAAGTACCCCGTCAAGGCTGTCAACATTCTCAAGGCACACGGTAAATCTGGTCTCGAATCTCAGTTTGTTCGTGGTTACGCCTTGAACTGCACTGTCGCCTCTCAAGCCATGAAGAAACAAATCAAGAACGCCAAAATTGCTTGCTTGGATATGAATTTACAAAAGGCCCGTATGCACCTTGGCGTCAATATCGTGGTTGATGATCCCGACAAGTTGGAAGACATTCGTAAGAGAGAAATTGAAATCACAACCGAACGTATTCAAAAGATCTTGGATACTGGTGCCAACGTCATTTTAACAACAAAGGGTATCGATGATTTGTGTCTCAAGCTTTTCGTTGAAGCTGGTGCTATGGCTGTTCGTCGTTGTAAGAAGGAGGATTTGAAGCGTATTGCCAAGGCAACTGGCGCTACTTTGGTGTCTTCCTTGGCCAACTTGGAAGGCGAAGAGACCTTTGAAGCTAGCTCTCTCGGTCAAGCTGAAGAAGTGATCCAAGAGCGTATTTCCGACGATGAATGTATATTGGTAAAGGGTACAAAGATTCAAAACTCTGCTTCCGTCATTCTGCGTGGTGCCAACGACTACATGTTGGATGAAATGGAGAGATCTCTTCATGATTCCCTCTGTGTTGTAAAGAGAACATTAGAAAGCAACAGTGTTGTTCCCGGCGGTGGTGCTGTTGAATCTGCCTTGAGTATATACCTTGAAAATTTCGCCACTAGCTTGGGATCTCGTGAACAACTTGCTATCGCTGAATTTGCTAATGCCTTGCTTGTGATCCCCAAAACACTCGCTGTCAATGCTGCCAAGGACTCTACTGAATTAGTCGCTAAGCTTCGTGCCTATCACAATACTGCCCTTAATGCCGATGCTGATGATCGCAAGCGTGCTCTCAAGTGGTATGGTCTCGAATTGATTGACGGTGCTGTGCGTGACAATGTAAAGGCTGGTATTTTGGAACCCACCATGTCCAAGATCAAATCGCTAAAGAGTGCCACTGAAGCTGCTATTGCCATCTTGAGAATTGATGATTTCATCAAGGTTGCACCTGAACAAAGAGGCAACCCTGAAGACGATGGTCATGGTCATTAAATTGTGTATAATAATAATAAAAAAGAGGTTTATTTACGAAAAGTATTGTACTTCTAGTCCAATGGTGCGAATGGGGCTGGTACTTTTAAGATCTGCTGTCAATCCCAAACTAAACAGTGTGTTTTTAAATCGTCCCTCCCACATCAATGCGAGTCCCTTGGCAAATCCCCATCTTGCTTTGATCAATCCCTCTAATGTCTCGGTGCGATCTGCTGTCAATGTCACCACACCGCCCTGATCTATTTGGGTCTCTATCGTCGGTTTCTTGTTTTTGGTACGGTATTCAAAGCCAAGTGCTAAATCACTTTCATAGGAATAGATGCTGAAATCAAAGCGAGAGCACATGACAAGCTGATCTGATACTTTGGCAACATAACTTGTGGACATGTGGCCGACGATAGGGTTCAAGGTATACGTGAAGCTGATGGGTGGTGCGTTGGATGAGGGTAGTGTACGATAACGAATGCCGGTGGATACTGTCCAATAGACATGTTAGTTCATTGCCTTGCCTGTCCATCACTGATACTGTTTGACTTACATCCGCCACTCTTGTCGAGCACACCGTAGTATAATTCAGTTCCTGCAGACCACTGCCCTGAAGACACAGGCTGACCAAAGTTATACAGTGCTCTCAATCCCAATAGCCCATCGTCTGATGTGTACGAGCACTCTGAGCACCACTTGCCTACATCGTACTGTAATTGCATTGCCACTTGTGGAGATACATATGCACGTGCATTGTTGACAGCTGTTACTGAATATTGAACATGCTCTGAAATACGACGCACATACATGGCTTCTAGACGAGCGCCTGGAAAGAACATTCTTCCATACAATAAATAATCTGGATCAGCTAAGCGTGGGCTAGCGTGTTAATCAACTGGCATCAATTTAGTCTGTGCACTTTACATATGCAAACCTTTGTAATCATCCCCTTTTGAGTTAAAAGTTGGCTTTGTCACAATTCGAAATCGATCAATCATATCCTGAAAATCCACAGTAGCACTGGTACCGATATCCAATGCTCTCGATGTATAGAGATAGCCAAGACTACCGTTCAATGTAGGCAAAGCGTTCAAGGTATACGATGGTTTGAATTGAGGTGTTGGTAATTTGGATATCACAAGCGAAAGGCCCTTGGGTGTGTGGAAATCGAGTATGGCTCGAGACCATGAGCACAGGTTGGAGTATTGATTCTCTTCATTCCAGCCTGAGGATCGATAGAACCGCTTGAGGCAGTATTCCATGAAATCGTTCATTTTGTGAAGAGTTGTATTTAATATAAGTTTGTGTCCAGTTTTTGTTGGTTTGGTAGAGAAGAAGAAAAAGAAAAAAAAAAAAAAAGGGTACGGAGATGTGTGTTGTCGCCCTATTAAATAAGATCGCCGTCTTTTATGAAGCAGGTGAAATTTTAAGGTTGTTGTCAACTAATACATCAAATAGATGTTTGGCATCAATTAGTAAAATAAGATCAAAGCGTCTTTGGTAAGCGTTAATGAGGCACATGAGGCGCTGTCTGTCTGTTATACATCTGTACATGAGCGAATCAGAAAACGTCTACTTTATGTAATGCTTCGTGTCAGTATTGAATGCTTCCCAAATCCTGCTAAACTATAATAATTCTTACAATTTGGCCTTGTATTATCGCTTAACACCCCTCTATGAACGATCTATAAGCGTGAATTTGGTTGTTCTGCAATGCTTCACGTTCGTTTTAATGGGAACAATCCATGCAAGGGCATACACCTTACTTGCATTACCTCTGACTACTCAATAAAATGCAAAACACAGCGAAATTCAAATACATTTGAGCATTGGTTTTTCGTGCTAGAGGCCGTTTTAGGCTGCCAGAATAGTGTCAAATCAGTGCTTTCATATAGCAGTTACTTTCTGACACCTTTGCTCAACTTTTTGAGGATCAAAAAAACATGGCCAAAATTCGACCAAAAAGCATGAGGTGACCCCTCATGGTTTTCATCGAAAATCAAGCGATCGCGTTTTTGACCCCCAAAATGAAGACATCTGCTATAACATGTATTAACTCAAAATGTTTCTCTCGACCCAAAGTAACCCCTGAAACTGCGTTTGTGAAATCTTTCTATTGAAAAGTTTGACATTCTGGCCAAAAACGTTATTTCATATTCTTCAGCATAGCTCAATAAGTTTGTTCAAAACACTTGATAAAATTAGCACTACCGAGTGCGCCTTGAAAAGTACTCTTAAGAAGCTTAAGAGAATATGGGTTGATAATCACAACTTGCATAGTCTATTCAGATAAAATAGATCGAGCAAGTCGATTTTCCTCAAAATCTGGCCAATATGAAGCAGAAATGGAGCGGAGTCGAAACCAATTCTGGCTGCTTGCTGGCAAAATCAATGCCATTCTAATTATGAAGGCAATCGATGTCTGTGAAGCTAATAATAAATATACTTTAGCTTAGCACGGTTGCTTTGCTCTGCTCTTGTTGTACTTCCAGTAGCCAGCATTTTGTTTTTAACACCTCATCTCATTTGAACTCACGAAATCATGGATCATATTCAAGACATCTTATAAGGGGTAATAAGAGTGAATTCTAAAATTCCAATAGACAACTATTATTTACCGCTAGATGTACATCAAAAATGTCATATAAAAGCTTATAGAAGCATGTCATGTCAGTCTTGATCTTTATAGACAAATTTGGCTTGATCCACTGGGTTTGAAACAATGTTCTCCTCAATTTTGTTGCTGTACTGAATTTGACATTGCTGCATGAATCTTTCTTCATAGAAGGATAAGGCTAGCGATTCAGTTCATTCATTGCGTTTGGGTTCTAGCCATGGGCCTCTGTACAAGGTATCACATAGATTTACTATATTTTTACAATAAAAAAAAAAGGTAGGATCCACATGACAACCCAGTTGATACATTCACCACTCCAAAGATGTTGACAAAGATCAACCACATCACGCCAAAATTAAGCATTTGGTAACAGGAGTACATGAACAGTTACACATATCAAGGAGTTGCAAAATTTTTTCCTTAACCTTTGATTTGACTGCGAAACGCGCCATATCTTCCAGTTCTACCCTCTTCATTTGACTCTCATATCTCATCTTCTCTCTCTCTCTCTCTCTTTTTTTTTTTCCCTTTTTCTCTTTAATTAACTACAACCATGTCTGACCGTCGCTCCAAGCTTTTAGCCTTAGCCAACAAACGTAAGAACACTGAAGATTCAGGTAGTGAGGATGAGAAACCTCAAAAGAAGGTCTTGAAAAAGAGGTAGGGATGACATGCTGACACACGTTATCACATGTATATACTGAATTGAGTTTTCGTTAGCAACGCTGCCAGCAAAAAGAAGCAACACAAGAGCAGGGATGTCAGTGATGACGAATCTGAGGAAGAGGAAGAAGAAGAAGAAGAAGAGGAGGAGGAGGAAGAGGACAATTCATCGGATGAAGAGGTTGTGAAGCCCAAAAAGAGCTCAAACAAAGGTGGTAGCAGTAGTAGTTCTAGCAAAAAGTCCAAGCAAAAGTCTAGAAAGCAAAAGGACAGTGATGATGATGCGTCTGATAATGAGGACAAGAGTGATATTTCCGGTATGATATGTTGCGTTTGCATATGACAGATGATGATACCTAACATGTTTGATCTCTCCAGAGGGTGAATTGGAAGTCCTGGATACAAGCTTAATCATTTCTGGTGGCAGAAGAACTCGCGGAAAGAAGATTGATTACAAGCAATTCGGTGCTGACCCTGAGGATGAAGAGTAAAAAATCATTTGAGTCTGGTTGTTATTTTTAAATTCCCATTTTTCTCTTCTTTACTCTTTCTCAACAAGTTTCTTTTCCCCCCCCCCCCCCCCACTTTCCTATTCTTAATTTTAATTAATATCTTCGTTTTCTAACAAGAGGCTTATCTTCTCCCATCACAATATAAATGTCAAACCCAAATGCCTATGTAGAGGCCTTTTTAGTAATTATTGGCTTGTCAATGTGTGTAGTTTATCTGAAAATCTAAGGCTTTTCTTCCTCTAGACGAAAAAGCCTAAAGAAGGTATCACCATTGCACAGACCAGGCTGAAAGATGCCATGGCGCTTGACATGGAATTAGCCGAGTACTTTAAAGAGAGATCTCAAATTGAAGAAACATATGCCAAAAGTTTGGCAAAAGCATCCAAACGATTGTATATAATGGATCCAGGTGTCTTGGGGTTTGTAGCTGTTGGTAGCATGGTCTGCAAAGGGGATGCTTAATACGTTGATACGATAGACACTTTGCACCTGTTTGGGAATTGCTACTGAAGGAGTTCAACCAGGTAGCCAACTATCACTCTGAAATGGCTCACAGAGTATCTCAAACCATTGAGAAGCCCTTACGAGCATCACCCTCTGAAGATTATCATCGATTGCAACAGGTAAATGTTGAACCCCCATGAATTACCTTGCTCGGGAAAAAATTTAATCGGATAAATATCACCATCATCATCAGCTGGAGCCTCTCATTCAGTCCCTTGAAAACAAAAACAAATTGTCCTCTGTCAAAGGATCTCTTTTCAAGAAATCACGAAACTTAACTTCCAGCGCAAAAAGTGGATCATGGCAACACGAAGGCATAGCGTATTTGGATTTACATCAAAAGCTGGACCAAGCACGACTCACCAGATTAAAGACGCTTGTGCAGGATTTCGAAAAGATCCAATCCGAGCAGTTGATGAAACGAGTCGAGATGGCCAGCATAACACTCTCTGCGGCTGAAGTGTTTGATGTCGAACATGATATCGATGATTTCTGCAGGGAGAGAGGAAAGGGTCTCCACACGTTGGAATACGGTGGTCAGAGCACTGCCGCCAATAGCAGTAGACAAAGATCTTCAACAATGAGCTCGCATGATTCTCATCGTTCCACAAACAAATGTAAGTTACTCAAATCAGGATGCACGAGGCAAAGTGCTCAACAGTGTCTGTACCAGTCAAATCTGTATTCATGAAGAAGAAAAAGATAGACGATGGCAGCCTCTCTTCGCAACAGCATGGTGGGTATGCAGATGTTCAAGAAGAAGAGGATACGCCCTCACCGCAGACATCATTTGCCGCGGACAGCACACCAGCACCTGTGCCTGAGCATAAGCATGCCCCGGCTCCAACTGAATCCACCTCAACGCCCACCACAAACAGCGTACGTATCCACTCTAACTGCTGATAAAACAGATTGATTGACTAGATTGTTCTTCCAGGCTCCATTAGTAGATGCAGAAGGATTTTCGATACCGCAGAGTAATAACAGTTTTCCTACCATTGCCTCCGATATTTCATCGCGCAATACATCAGAAGACCTAGACTCTGATTTCCAGAGCTTGAAACTGAACCAAAAGTTGCAAATCAATATCAAGGACGATGCAGTGCAAGAGGAATCAAGAGAGGCAAATGAATCCTTTAACAAGATGGCCAGCATGCTACGTGAGGTACGTTCGGAAAGCATACGTTTGGTGCGCGGCTATTGAGATTAACATTGTGGTGGTATTGTTAGCGAACACCAACTGTCACTCGAAGGGCCCGAGGCAGAAGAGAGTAAGACAAGCATGCACAAGTGTGTCCTACAAGAATCTAACTGTTTCCTATATAGCACTGTGAATCGATCTCAAACCGAGTCCAGCTTATTCTCCTCTGCATCCAATTACGGACTAGAGAACCCAAGAGCAAATTCAATGATTTCCACTTCATCCAACGATACAAGCAACTCCAATCCATTCATGACAGCTCCGTCACCTATTGTGTCCCACCACCCTTTCCATGCGGCCTACGGTGTCCCGCCACAAACGCAATCACCATCTGTGGCCAACACAGGAGTAACATTGAGTGATGCACCGGTGAATTGGCTTCAGCCTATACCTGAAGTCAACCATCAACAGCAGCCACAACCACAACCACAGTATCTATCTGTCTCCATCTTGGAAAAAACTACACTCACTAGTCCAGATACCTTGCTGATTTCAGGTCAAATCATGGTGTCCTATCATGGCTCTGCTTCAACCTCGCCCATCCTACTGCAGTTGCACCACATGGACAGCATGCAGCAGTTTTCACCTAACCCACAGTACATCACACAACAAGCGGATGGTGTCTATCTACTCAACACCAGCCAGTTCCAAAGCGAGAGTCCTGTGCCATGTTTCGCCTATGAGATCAACAGCAGTGCTCTGGCATTGCCAGTCCGACTCATGCCTTCCTGGAAATGTGTAGACGGTATATCCTACTTGATGATCAAGCACAACAAGAATGCGGTCCTGAATCCGAGTAAGCTGAGTGGCCATGTCTATGTAAACATGCCAGATCAGCAAGTGACCAATGTGCAAAGCACGCCACAAGGGACCTGGGATGTAGCCAAGCATCGTCTGACGTGGAACGTGAGTGATTTGTTGGAACAATATGGCGATACTTCTTCTTCTTCTTCTTCGCAGCAGCAGCAGCAACGATTGCTAGCCAAGTTCTATGTGGATGGACATGGCTCACCTCAACCAGTGCATTTGAATTATCAATGGCATGATACATTGGCATCAGGCTTATCCGTTACATGTGGTTCATTGGAGATCAAACATATGAATACAGCAGTTCAATCGCATCAGATTGTGTACATGTAGAGAACAGTAGTAATAATAAATATGCATTTTAATCCTACAAGCATTGGATGGAGCTTGTTGCCAGTGGAGCCAACTGACATTTGGGTGACTACTGTATGGCTACTACAAAGACTTTTCCAGCTCTCTCTCATTTTTTTCATTTGCTTTTTTTCTTTCCTTTTCAAACACTACAAAATACACAATGGATTACGAAGACGACGAGCCACAAGATTACAATGAGTAAGTTGAACGAAATGGTGCACCAAATTAACGGCAATATTGACGTTGTATCTAGCTATCAAGACCATTACGACGAAGAGGTATACATCACCACTGGCGAAAACATGAGAATGTACCCGTCGTACTAATCAGATAGCAACAGCCCATCGAGGAGCCCACTTATGATGAAAACACAGGCGAGTCTGTTGCTATTTTGGATGATGTGATGGCAGGCACCACGGCCACTGAAACGACAAACTCTGCAGAGCGTACAGAAAGAATCACCACACCTTATTTAACAAAATACGAAAGAGCCAGAATTTTGGGAACAAGAGCTTTGCAAATTAGGTAATTACTGCCAGGACCCACAATGTGTTGGCGCAATCAACTAATGCATATCCTTGATAGTTTGAGTGCACCAGTGATGATTGATATTGATGGCGAATCAGATGCTTTGAAGATTGCCAACAAAGAGTTACGAGAAAAGAAAATCCCATTGATTGTTCGTCGATTTATGCCAGATGGAACGTACGAGGATTGGAAAGTTAAGGATTTGATTGTTGATTAGTTTGAATGGAATAAAGAAATTGTATTATACGCGCCAAAGATGCTCCTGATAGCCTAAGGGTTGGTATTTGCGTGTGAGGAAAGAGAGAGGGTTGGATGAGCACTGGGCATAATGCAATTGACAAAGGCAGTTCCATTCATTGAAGGGTGTTTGTCTGTAGTACTCGCTTTTCTGTAAAGGAGCGTGCGTGGATTGCAGCCATTCGGAATCAAAAGAAATCAGAGTGGAGTGTGTCTAAGGCGACCATCAAGCATCTATTTACGCGACTAGCAAGACTGTTATCGGCACATTGCATCAATGTTGACAAAACAAGGGGCTTCCGAGGAGACTGCCAGCATTTAGGAAGTCTGATCTTGGATGTTTGAAAGTGTCTCTCAACAGCACAACCCAACAGTAACCATGGCAACATTTGCATGAGGGACACCGAATGATGCTAGAGCTTCTGACATTCCCTAGTGATCGGTTCAAGCATTCGAGCCTCAGGCATTTCTAAATCTATTGTGGTGTATACAGCATAAGCAATAAGATGAGGGCAATCTTCTTCTGCGAATGCATCACCACTACGTAAATCCTGATTTAATGATCGATGTGATGGAAAGGTAGTCCATTGTAGTGCTACAGTAACCCTTGGCCAATCAATTCTGCAAAAATCAGTGAAACAAAGGTCTGGAAACAATTTACAAAACCCGGAAACGGATACCACTTGCGCTAATGTACGGCCCTTTCTTACATTCGCCACATTATACACACCTCATATGAACGAAAACACACCATTGATAACAGCTGCAAGCAAGAGAAAAACGCCGTCTTCATGGTATGCCATCTTCCCCATGTTTTTAGTGGCATTTTCTGGAGGGTGAGTTGAATGATAACAGAGACAATGGGCCATGGACTCATGTGGCATTGGATTCTAGCGCTTTGATTGCTCCCCATGTGCAATTTTACACAGAGATTTTCTGTAGCATGTAATTAGATTTAACATGATGAACGATGAGGGAGCATACGATTGACGATCGTTAACTAGATATTACAAAACACACAACGATTTTGACAATAGTCTGATACCCTTCAAAGATTGTGCTATTCCACCTGTGCAAAAGATGGTGTCAAAGGCTCAAGCAGCCATCATGTTTCTCACATATGCATCCAGTACGTATATAGATCTGCCCCATACAAAATAACCATTGACATGCATGATGTGATAGCGTTGCTGGGCGCTGGATTCTATGGACGACTTTCTGACCGCAAAGGCCGTTCGCTTATCGTGCGGATATCAACAATAGGAAGTCTGCTATACGTCTCTTGCGATTTACTGACAGCTAAATACTATGATACCATTGGCATTGCTTTATTGTTTGTAGGGCCATTGATCAGAGGCATCATGGCTGGTGAAGGGGTCTTGATGGCTGCTGTTCAGGCGTACATCGCCGATTGCACATCGGCCGATTCAAGGTAAACACACCTTGCAATCAGAGTCGGCTGAAAGCTAACAGGGCATTTTTCATCATAGAACCGTCATATTTGCACGATTGATGGCGAGTTTGTTCATTGGCTCTGCTATTGGGCCCTTTGTCAGTAGCCAGATCCTCAAGCACACTGGCAACCTTGTCAATGTATTTTACGTTGCCTTCATAGTGGATATTATCAACGTGCTATACACTGTGTTGATACTGCCAGAATCCAACCAATGTATAAACCAACATGCATCACAGCAAGGAAATGATACCAACAAGCGAACAATGGGGCTATGCAGCCATATCAACATTTTCTCAGCACTCAACATTCTGTTGAAAGATCGCCCTATTCACTTGACACGATATGCTCTACCCTGCATCGCACTGGCCGATTTTCTACTCGCACTGGTCAAAAGGCCACCTACACTGCTCTATGCCATGCTCAAGTTTAAATGGACAGCTTACGAGGGCAGCTTATACTACACCTGCACATCTCTTATGAAGCTCATGATGATGATTGGGATTTTGCCCTTACTATCCAAACTGTTCAAAAAGAAATGCCCCAAGGCACAAATCCCAACAGCTGCAGATCAAGAAAAGATAGTGAATAGCTCAACCTTGTTCGACATTTGGATGGTGAGGATGGGCATTGGTATGGATGCTGTTTGTTTGGCGTTGGCAGGATTGGCTTCCAATGTGGTGCTGTTTACGACTGCAGGCATGTTGCAGAGTGTCTCCATGTTGGCACAGCCGTCTATTCGTGGTTTGTTAACAACCTGTGTCAAGCCGAATCAAGTGGGTGAGCTGTTGGGTGCCGTAGCCATCCTTGATTCCATTGCAAGTAAGTCTCGCTTCAGCTGTTGAGAACAATGCCTCTTGTTAACGCAAGCTTTCGAATAGTGATGATTGCTCATTTGGGCATAAATTTCATATACTACTCCTCTGTCTTGACCATGCCGAATCTTACGTTCTTTGTATGCTCCTTTATTGCCAGCTGCTCATGCTTAGCGGCTTTCATGGTGCGACAAAAGATGACTAGAATAGAGGATACCTTAGAAGATGGCAACCTGATTGAGACTGACAGAGACAACCCAGAGTCGTCATCAACTCTGGCTTGTCCGGCCACCCAGTATGTGGTCAAGACTCGCAGATGAATTAGCTGTACATAGAGACGCTTTCTTGATATGAATTTAGTTATGGAGTCTTCTCTTTCAGGAGTCCTGCAAAATAGCCGACTAAATAAATCTGCAATCTTGAGCATGAAATAAGATTTTATTCCGTTTCCTGTCGATGACTGGTTGAGCATAACGACAATCAGGGTATAGTAGAGTGATACAACAACAATAATAAAAATAACATATATACACAAGAGCCACGCATTTGCGCTCTTAAAACTCAAAATTCCAAATTCTAGTATTGAAGTCCTCAGAACAACTTGCAAACTAGGAAAAAGAGCATGTCAGCACACACACACACACACCATTATCATGTCAACACTGTATGATCTCACCTGGAACATGGATGTCTTGCTCCAAGATACGCCTGTCACTTTATCTGTGTGCCCTTCAAATTGCTGAGCCTTTGCATTTGGATGATCCACCTCCCAGGCAAATAACCCCTTGTTGAGTGAACCGGATAGTAAGAATCGATCATCTGGTGAGAGAGAAATTCGAGTATCGAAGCCACCGACTTTATAAATTGGATCCGAAAACTTGAGTGCTGGTTTTGATAGATCCGATAAATAATGCATGTAGATGTGATTGTCCATGCAACTGCTGAATAGACGCTGTCCTGAGCTGTCAAGTTTCATATCTGTGATTCCTCTTGTATTTCCACTCTCTGTTGCAAATGTGGCGGATGCAATCACAGATGCAGTGCGGCCATGTCGAATATCCCATACTTTAATGGATCCATCTGTACTTCCACTGGATATGATCTTATCCTCGTCCCTGTTGAGAAACATGGCGCAGGTGACGGATCGAATGCGCTGTGGTTTGGGTCCTGTTCGCTTTCCGCCTCGAGGTACTGATGTTTTGTGAGCATCGGGTACTACTTTGATGGGGTTGTATACGGGAATTCGAGTCAGGTCGTCTAACGTCAATGTTGTTTGTATCAGATCCATCGAATGCAAGTGATATTGAGACTTACTTGGGTCTGCAGCAGCTCTTTGATTGAACCTTGTATCCCACACCCGATACGAACCATCCTTGGAACCAGTGACAAGCAAATCTGTATACTCGTTGAGTTTTGTTGCCTGACGATAACTTCAAGACTTACGTTCATTGCTAGGATGCCAATTGACTGATTTTACGACATCGCCATGTCCAGAGAATTCGGCCAACGATGTCTGCACTTCCACATCCCACAGTCTAACGAGTCTATCTGTTGCTGCTGTCAAGAGCATGGTGTCATTATTGCTCCATTTAATATCGGTAATAGAATGCTTGTGGCAATAAAAGGACTGATGGTATTCGGCATTGTCTGCATTGTTGTCCTTGTCTGTTCGTAAAAGAGTTGTGCGGCCATCCTCATCTCCCACAGCCAGTATATGGCCTCCCTGAGCATGATGGCAAAAATCGAGATAGAATGGCGTACATAATTCACTATCAGGAAAGACGAATTGATATACCATGTTGTTTGGGCTTTTAAATCTAGGCAATATAGATCGTGCAGGCACTATGTCCTTGTCAGATTTTGCGTCGAGTCAATGATGGTATCGCTTTTACCTATCAGATTTCTTCCAAAGGTACGTGGATGATGTATCGAGCGCAATTTGAGAGCTTTATAAGTGCTGATAGCTGTCTTTTCATTGTTGATAGTTTCTTTAGTTTCTACTTTTCTTCTCTTCGCACCTGGAGGAAAGGCGGACAGCATGTTGATGTTTGAAATAAAATAAAATAAAATAGAGGATCGCGTGTCAAAACTTGAATTCTCTCGTCAAATGTTACGCGACTTGCTTGATTGGATAGCAGCATTGGCCATCATTCGCCTGAATGGACAGTAATTAGGAAGGCGATGCTTTATGAAATTTACTGCTTTGATCCAACTGAAATGATGGTCTTGATTTTCGGATCAATACATTCACTGTTTCATCCATGCTACCAGTATCATCATAACATAATAAATGTTCAGTCCCTAGATGCTTTCAAAGCCTCAAAAAGGAGAGAAGCTGATCTAACAAGTATTTCAATAAACAGGCGTTATTAACTATAGAATGCAAGGAATATAGCAAGGCTAGCAAGAAGTCTATGTAATTTGCCACCTACTTTCCATATGCTTCAAAGCATTTATTACTATATTGCCTTCATGATGGAAAGGGCATTGAGCTTGCCAGCCAGCCCTACCAGCCAAAATTGATTCAAACCCAGATTTATAGTCTGTTCTCGATTGGACAAATTTTGATGTTTTTCGACTCGATTGAACCATTTTGCCGTATTCGACTATATAAAATATGATGATCATCCTCTGCTTCTTTAAGCTTTCCTGGAGCGCTTGTCAAGGCGCATTCAATGGTACCAAGTAACGTGAATGTTTTGAATAAACTTATTAAGTAATTTGAGGAAATATGAAAGAAGGTTTTTGGCCAAAATGTCGAGATTTTCCATATCAAGGTTCCACAAAGATGCTTTCAGGAGTTGCTTTGGATCGAAAGAAGCATTTTGAATTAATATATACCGTAGTAAAAGTCTTCGTTATCAAGGTAAAAAACGCGATCGTTTGATTTTTGATGAAAACCATGAGGGGTACCTCATGCTGTTTGATCGATTTTTGTCCATGTTTTTTTGATTTCCAAAAAGTTGAGCAAAGGTGTCAGCAAGTAAAAGCTAGATGAAAGCAATTATTTGGTGCTCTTCTGGCGGTTTAAAACGGCTTCTGACACGAAAAATTAGCACTCCAATGCCTCTGTGTACTGCATAATTCCAAGCAATAAGAGGCAATACAAGCATGCCGCATGCCCGTATATAAAGTGCTTCCGTTGATACAAACATAGGGCATCGTAGAAGAGACAAATTTAAAGAAACAAGGTGGTTTCTTTGCTTCCATCGACTGGGCGATATCAAGCGAACCTTGTGAATGAAATCAAGTCATTCCGAGCGTATCGGGTGTCAAACGAACAATGTGCACTTCTGAACAATGTTCAACTCATTCTATTGGTGCTTGCTCTCGGATGATCAGCCAATCTGATTAACGAAAATGTATGTATTGCTGTCAAATGTCGAATGTTTATGTCCACATGAGTATAGATCTTCGGGATCTGGTCTCTTTCTATATACTCTTTGGTTGCTGAGCATATCTGGATATATAGATGACTATGGAAAACTAGAATTGCGTCACGTTTTCCTTTATCCGGTGAATCAGAATATAGCTTAGTACTGTCTCGCCCTCTCCTGCCTCTTAAACTGAAACCCTTATTATGCAATTCTTTTTCTTTTTTTTTAGTAGGGTTTCTTTTTTTTTTCTTCAACCTATTCACAGGCGAAAAAATCTTTTTCTTTTTTTCTTCTTTATTCTATATCAACATTTTACAAAATGACAGTTATCGATACGTCTTTTGTATCAAAGTAAGTAGATCATCACATGCCTTAATGGTCTTTCCTGACATTTGGTTTCATTAGTGATACAAACATGTACGTTCGGCCTAAGCCTATCGTTCATGATCAAAAAGTGACAATTCATCATTGGTAAAAATGCACAACAAACAAACAAATAAGTTGCAGATCATCTTACGCATATTGTATACAGGCAATTGAGAGATCTACTACTGACAGATGACGAGCATCATAAGAACCAGCTAATCATTCCAACCGGGCAAGATATTTATAGAGTAAGCAAGCAGTACTTCACTTGTGTCAAAGGGTTACACTAACATGCTATTTCTGACTGTCAGTACAACTATAAAACTGGACAAAAAAGCTATCTATTAAAGGACATTGGGTATCCTCCAACTTGCATGGCATCAGGGTGAGTTTTTGTAATTTGAGGGTTGATCTGATTTTGACATGAGCAATAGTTATGGCTATTGGGCGGCGGGCGGACAACGAGGAGATTTGACACTGAAGGACACAAACAGTGATTATCAAGTGTAAGTTTGTGTGTTTTGCATTGATGAGACAGTGTGGCTAAATGTTGAAAACAGGAGCATCACCACCTCGCCTGGCTGCACAATCAATAATGGATTATGTTTCTCTCATTTGAACGGAGAGACCAGATTACTTGTATCCAACAATGATGCATCCATTCGAGTCTTTTCAGTACCAGATCTCGAATTAATCGACACTCTTGAATTCAGAACTGCCGTCAATTATACCTCTGTCAGTCCAGATGGTAGAAAAATGATCACAGTGGGTGATGATAACCGAGTTCAGCTGTTCAATGTGACGAATTCTGGACATTACGAGCTGGCTACTACCATGGCCGTTTCTCGAGATGCCAACTTCTCTGTTGCTTGGAACCATACATCCGAGAAGTTTGCTGTATCAAGTCAGGATGGTTCTGTCCATGTTTGGGATATCAGAAGTCGTAATCCGTTAGCAAGGTTTGCAGGCTTACACCCTTCCATCACAAAAGGCGCTGCAAGATGTGTCAAATTCACACAAACTGGTGCTGTTGATTTGTTGGCATTCACAGAGCATGTCTCTCATATTCATATTGTTGACGCTCGTACTTTTGACAGTCAGCAAACGTTACGGGTTGGCTCTGCAGGCCATGACACACCCATTACCGGGTTAACATTTTCAAATGACAGCCAAAAGATGTTTGTTGGTAAGTTCATCGCATTCTGAAAGCATTGATTGATATTTATAATCCTTTTATTAGGCCTCGAAAATGCTATATTAGATTTTAATATAGACACCGGATCTCGTAGAAGATTTGCACGAGGAGCTCTTCTCTAACCAACATTTCTTTTTATTATACGCAAAAAAAAAAACCTCATTTGTACATACTCTGTAAAATTTTGTTCCTTAAATTTTGGCCCGTTTCCATTATTAACAGTACATATACTTTTTTTTTCAAAAAATAGCAATAAACTCTTCCAATTTTGATGTGTTCATGCAAGAAAGCTTAATTTAAGCCATGCGACGATTTATGTAGAGATGCTGGCGCATGACTGATTAAGGGTCAATTGTCGGATCAAGCTCATTGGTCTCATTCCAGCGATTTGTTGATTCAAACATCAGTCTTTAGAAGAACCAGCAGCTTTTTCGAAACAAATGTTTGTTACCTGGTTAATTACATTTGGCACCATCACATACGGCTGGAAGATGAGGCACCTGAGCCGATTGGTTAAAACTTTTTATTGTGTTGGATCAACAATAAAGCTTTCCCTTTTTGTTGCTTCCCGATGGAAGTACTGTGTTCTTCGATCAATTCAAGCAACACTCAATGTAAAAATTGAAGCCAGAAGATATTGCCTTCTATGTGCCCTTCCGTTACTTAAAAGGCAATTAAAGCTGCACGCTCGACTAGTAGTTTCCAGATCGAACTAATTTCTCTAGCAAAACGATTCATCCGACGAGTCAGATAGCTGTCGATTACTACGCAAATGATGGATAGTATCTGTGAGAACCCGTGCTAGGATGTATTTGCTCTATTCCTGCACTGCAAAGGGCTTCCTGAATCTTGCTCATTTAAAATTGAGTAGCTAGATTTCATGTAATGTATTAAACAGTCTGCTCAGGTTCAACCAAAAGAAGGAGTCTGCTCTCTTCTTTAAACTTCTTGGCGATTACTGTAACAAGCATAGCCTCGCTCATATAAATTGATTTGGATTAAGCTATACCACGTTTCTAAATATAAAGTGATCGATGAGCTAGACCATCTGGATTTTGTTTGTAACAAACACTTGCTGCGGGCTGCGCGCTTGCGTTTTCCAAGTATATGTAGCATGTTTTGACTCTTGGCGTTCGTACTAAGCTTCAAACTCGATTTAAACATCTTATTTAGGGTAATGAAACTTCAATTAGCGTCAAGAACGCTCGAAAACATTCTTTTTGTTGTAAACTTTAAAACTCGTAAAATTGAATGTTCAAAAAAGAGATTTGTGAGCAACTTTGAGGTTTCCTAGGCCAATTGCCCGTTTTGGCTTAATACACACATATATTTTTGTTTCTCCGATCTGAAACCAAATGTCCCTTGCTCTTACGGATCCAAGAATTCGGGTCATCGTTGCAATCCAACTGTGTCCGAACACGATGACAAATAAATCCCTGGGGCACATACCAAAGCAGGAACGAGAAGACATATCCCTTTCAGCGTTTCATTCTAAAGTGGAAATACTACATATCATTAAACTCGGGGCAAGAGGAGGAGATGGCCCCTTTCTGTGGCAGCGTCAGATGTATACATTTGCAATGCCACCAACTCGTCATAGCGGTTTGCTCTGGAGATATGACTACATGTTTGCGTCCAGCTCAAGGTATTTAGTGTTTGTGCAACTCGATGGCATCCAAATTAGACATGGTTTAAAAAACAAATCTCGGAAAAAAATCATGCTATTATCAGTGTATTCAAAATGAATGTCGAGAAAGAGAGAACAAATAGTGAAATTCCCGATCTTTTTGCAAAATTGCAACCATTTCAGTGTAACTATGTCAATTAAATAAGCATGGAGCAGCACTCTTGTGCCAAGCAGCAGCAAAGGAGACCTGAGATACTGCCATCAAGGTGGTTACTTGATCGCATCAACATGATTTATAGCGGAGGTTTACTTACCATGTCATACAGGTGCCCAAGCAGCCTCTAGATGCTTGCGGTTGCTGTACGGGTGGTTGCTGGCTGTAATACATTGGTTGTTGTGATTGGTAGTATCCTAATATTTTATCAGATTTAAGGAGGACAAGATTTAATACAAGGCTATAAATGTTGTTTTGATCGAATCAAGTAAAAAAGCGATTACACGATCTGATGTGATTTACCTTGATTTTGTGGAGGAGGGTAATAAGGCTGTTGATGTTGCTGATTGTAGTAGGCATTTTGAGGAGGAGGGGGAGCAGGCCCTTGATTCTGGTAGTAGCTACCTTGCTGCTGATTTTTGTAATCCATGTCAAATATAGTTAAATGCTTTGGTTTCGGGGTAAACAAAAAGGCAGCAATATTGACAGATCCTTCTAGTTATATAATGATTGGATTATTCCAATCCAAACGATCTCTCGCTCGCCAGCATTGATGAATGCCCAGGACATCCACCTCCATAAGCTATGCGGAGTTAACCATATATACAAGATATTGCCCTTATTTTGGAAAGTGATTCCAATTTAAACATCATTGAATCACTTGTAAATCTACGATTTTCTTAATGTATTCGTCTCAGTTTTAAACGAATGCACAACTGGCTCCTCGCTCGCACACAAAATTACTTATGGTGCTCTATATAAATCTGAACTTTTTTTTTTTTTTTTCTCTTTCATCTTTCTTTTCTCTACATCTTATTTTTTAATATACACAATCTAAATGACACAAAACACGCCACCACTACCGTCGTCAATGTCAAACGATAGCGATGACCTATTCAACAATCTTATCAATTACGATGAAGAGCATGATGAATTTTTCCCTACAAACACACAAACGCAGCAACCACCGGCTGTTACGTTTTTGGAACCCCATACCGATCTATCGGCAAAGTTTTCTTTTAACAATCACCAAAACGAGTTATTTAGTATGAACAACGAAAACTTAAAGAAAATGATGTCAGATCATGGTAAATCACAACCTGATACAAAGTAAATCTCAGTTGAGGATAAGACGTAAAGAGACATGATTAGAATGCCTAGCCTAAGAGTTTATTGATCTTTGTTATAGTACTTATAAACTAGATATCGTGGAGCAACCTCAGCAATGCCGCATGTCAGGCTACGGCGAAAAAGACAGACGGCCTATTGACCCTGCACCCATTGTCCGATTAGTTGTTGTAGATAATGCAAACAATTCAACGCAACAAGAGTAAGCATTCACAAGAGAAAACCTCCATTTCAGTATTTTAGTCTAAACTATGCTATCATAGTCATATAGAATGCCCATTTTACATTATGCACGCATCGCTCTGGTCGGTAGATATGACGAAGCGATATGATATTATCGAAGGAACAGCCCCACATCCACTGCGATTTCTGATCGGATCATTGGTGAGCTCGCCCTCACTACTGAAAGATCTGAACAATGATAGAGCGTATTATTTCTCATTTCCTGATCTAAGCATACGTATGACGGGTCAATATCGACTACAGTTTAGCTTAATACATTTGGCAAGGTATGTTTTAGAGGAGAATACAAATAAAGCGCATCATGCTTACGAGACTCGTAGGAACAAGATTATTCAAGAAGTCTTCTCGGATCCATTTACAGTCTATTCGGCAAAGTCGTATCCTGGAATGAAAGGTAATACAATCACTGTTATATTAAAAACACCTGCTAACTATATTTACACAATTGTTAAATAGAATCCAGTCTACTGTCTAGACATTTAGCAAAACAAGGTTTGAAATTGACTGTACGCACTCAAGTTAGACCTAAAAAGGACGACAAATAAAGAATATTGGTTGATGCCGGAATTTGGAATAGAGTGTGCGTGTGGGGGGGGGGGGTGGGCGAGAGGATACATTGGCGGATGAAACTACATAGTTGGGGGTGGGCGGCGAGAGGAGAGAGAGGGGGGGGGGGGTACTGGGCAAGTCAGTGAGAGACAATAACGAAATGTTGCAGTTTGAGATTTGAGATTCCTTCTTTATCATCTGTACTAGATTTGTTTGGTAAGATATACCTACATTTGTTTATACATGCGCAGACGAAATACACAAAAGCATATGGATAGATGGATTCGCTAATGAATGGATGGATGAGTGGATGGATGGACATGTGGGAGCGGGGATGTGATGCTATAAGGGGGGGAATGTTCGTCCAAGTATGCGATTCAATTGGAGATACACAGCGCACCTCACTGGAATGGCCCACAAATGTAGTAGAGCAGCTTGCAGTTGCACCACTCAAGCTACATGGCTTCAGTTGATTCAGCAATTGTTCGTGTAGATTTGTCAACTTTACTACATTTAGTCATTCAAAGTGACCTGTATTTTTCGATTGAATTGATTACTAATTGGAGGTGTCGTAGCAATGGAGAGGAGGGCATAAATAGGATCCAATGTGCTGTATTTCGTCAATCTTCTTTCCTCCAATCCACTCTTTTAACACATAACTTACAGAAATGGGTCGTCGTCCTGCTCGCTGTTACAGATACTGTAAAAACAAGCCTTATCCCAAGTCCAGATACTGTCGTGGTGTCCCCGATGCCAAGCTCAGAATCTACGATTTAGGTCGCAAGAAGGCATCTGTCGATGATTTCCCTCTTTGCGTCCACTTGGTCTCCAACGAATACGAACAATTGTCTGCTGAAGCTCTCGAAGCTGGTCGTATTTGTGCCAACAAGTACATGTCCAAGACCTCTGGTAAGGACTCCTTCCACATGCGTATCCGTGTCCACCCTTACCATGTCACCCGTATCAACAAAATGTTGTCTTGTGCTGGTGCCGATAGATTGCAAACTGGTATGCGTGGTGCTTTCGGTAAGCCTAACGGTCTTGTCGCTCGTGTCAACATTGGTCAAATCATCTTCTCTGTCCGTACCAAGGATTCCAACAAGGCTGTTGTCATTGAAGCTTTGAGACGTTGTAAGTACAAGTTCCCTGGTCAACAAAAGATCATCATCTCCAAGAAGTGGGGCTTCACTCCTCTTGCCCGTGCTGAATACGTTGAAGCTCGTGCTGCCGGTAAGCTCAGACCTGATGGTTGTTATGTCAAGTTTGTTCCTCAAAGAGGTCCTCTTGCCAACTACTTCAAGGAGGCTAGCAAGGTCTAAATCCGCTTGCTTTTTGGGTAATTTAAAATTATAAAGAATATTCAATATAGCTGTATATTTTTGTTGTACATGTCTCTGTCCGTATATCGCTTGTTTTTCGTTGCTTGTTCTAGTTTTTAATAATGCATTTTGAACCTTCAACCATTACTAATTCATTGTGATTGCTTTTCTCTGAATAAAAAGAAATTAATGCAAATGCATTTCGTAGTACGTTCAACACTAGCCGATCTATTCTGCTATGTTCGATGTCGGCGTCGTCCTGCAGGCTCTCGCCGAAGACATTTCAAATCAGAGATAATAGTATAAAACAATGACTATACTACTAGGGATGAAACCTGATTTAAAAAACAGAACTTTGGAAGTACAAACCAATATTTTTTATGCAGCATTTACGTTATATTATTATAAGACTTCTGGTTCACTACATCCTCCGTCCGAGTCGCATTTTCTGGCGGCAGAACTGTGATACCATTCGCGGATGCTGCTCTTGAGATGGCGACACAGAGCTGGCCATGCTTAAACACAGGACTTTTATGAGATCTACAGCGACTTTTTTGAGATATTGTCATTGCAAAACAAATTTATAAGGAAAAACTCCCAAGAAAAAGAAATTATCCGGTCTAAGCAATTGTAATTTCAACTCCATGATCCCCATTTGATCAGCATCGCAACCATCATTGTTATCATCATTGTCATTATCAGAAAAGCATTTGGGCTAGCCAGCAGCAGCGCCACCCGCCAAAATCGATTCAAACTCAGTATGTTTTTTCTGTCCAAGATTGGACAAACTTTGTCTTTTTCGACTTCTTTAATCTGTTTTGCGATATCCGACTATATACACTATGGCTATCACCTTACGCTTCCTAATACATCCTTGAAGTACTTTTCAAGGCGTTTCCAATGGTGCTAATTGCAATGGATGTTTTGAATGAAATTGCTGAGAAATTTCAGAAAATATGAAATAAAGGTTTTGGTCAAAATGTCAAAATTTTGCGTAGTAAGACTTTATAAAAGTGGCTTCAGAGGTTGCTTTGGGTTGACAGAAACATTTTGATTTGATATATACCGTAGTAAAAGTCTTTGTTTTGGAGATGAAAAACGCGATCGTTTAATTTTCGATGAAAACCATGAGGTACCCCTCATGCTTTTTGGTCGATTTTTGGACCTATGTGAAACAACACTGTCGTTGTTTTAACCGGTAAATTTGTATAATTTTTTTAGAGCCTCCCTTTGGAGTAGGAAAAAAAAATCTCTCATATTCTGTAGCCCACTATTTGCGATTTCTGGCCAAAATGCTCCCTCTACATGCGCTTCCTTGATTCGATCATTGCGGTAAAAACGGCCGAAAAGCCCATCAAAAGAACGTCTGTCTACGTGGTATCAACACTTGATAACGTAGCAAGCCTGATAATCAAAATGAAAGCCTTTACTTGCTGTACATATTACGTTTGTTGGCTCCTCATACTAAAAATACGTAATAACGTCTTTTGGTGGGAACACGCTGCTGCGTGTAGGATAATTCATGTCCAGCTTAAGCATTTGGCTGTGGAGAGGTTTATTATTAGATTGCTATCATTAGGTCTAGAATAACGTCTCAGTTCCTGGGGCTTAGTATACCTTTTACTCCCATTCTTTATAATTCAAAAATATGGCACGAAAAAGGCGCGTATGAAGAACCAACGATTTACTCAATTTTCAAACAACATTTTGATAAGTATTGTATGATTCTTTTAGCGTTGTATGCTGTAAGGCTAATGCTCTACCATCTGGATTATATGTTGGCCTTGTTTGATAATCATAGCGAGGTAGTATTGATTTTCAAAGGTTTAGTTTGGGGATGTAAATTTTATAATATGATCGACTATATCAAATGGAAGATTAGATTCGAGAGTTTTCGCATTATTCAGGCAGAATACTCAGGGTAGTGCAATATATAATTAGCTATGATTAAGTCATGTCATTATCGCAGCTCTTCATCATTTGACCATTATGAGTTGTCAAGTGAGGGGCGATGTCGTCCCACTGATATAAATCAGTGTCTAGGATATTTGAAATGCAAGCATTGATGAGATCTTCCAGTGGATGTGGTTTCATTAGTGATGGCCTGTACCAATTTTTTTCCATATATGATATGAATAAGCAGAATATATGTTTTGATATCGCTTAATTGGATCCAACCTGTGGAATTAATCCAATGTCATCAGTCGTCAGTCGTTATTCTGCAATCGGGGGAACCATAAACCTTAGATTTAATGTGACGAACAATTGTAAACATTCGTATTAGAACGCAGTAAAGATCATTTAATAGAGCCAATGAAACGCAATTCAAACTTCTTTCTTCCTAATTTTTTTAACTAAAATATCATTGCCTGAATACTTGCCCACTGCTCAAGAGATCACTAGCTCGTTAAAAGAGCTCTTCCGCAATGTCAACAAATTGGTTGACGATTTCGTGAACAGTGATGACAACAGCCGCAGGCTTTCAGAAGACAAGGTTCGCCGATTCGTCTGTGGCAACTTGTTCATTGACAAGCTGGACGAATTCCATGGCAAGATAGAGATGTTGAAAGGCTCTCCAGCCACTGAATGGTCGGTATTTATGACAGAGATGGCTGCCAAGAACAAGCTTAGGCCTAAGGAGGAGAGATTGTCCTTTGGCGAGCTGTCCGCACTGACTTCAGCCGAGTACCGCGTGCTTGGAGAGAATGAAAGAAGGCGGTTGGAGTCAGTTGCAGCCGCCATAAACAATGCTGAAATTCCTTCTTTGCTTGCTAGAAGCGAGCAATTTGAAGATGATATGAAGAAAATGAACAACAATCTGAAGTATTTGATGACCAACTACAACACCCATGCTTTTTTGATAACGTACACTGATACTTTGCATGAGGAATTGTATCCTCCAGGCTTGTATAGTAATTCAGGTAAGTACTCTTGTACGTCTCGCTGGTACAATGTCGAGTCTAAAAAAATTGATTGCACATTGATTCATAGCTATGACAACGAAATGCGTCAATACTGTCAATGCTAAACTCTCAACATTTTCAATCGTAAGCTGTTTGAGAAGAATGGTGTTGGGCAACTCTGTAGTGCGTTTTACTGAAGGTAAATGATTTGGAAAATGCAATTGGCACAGCAAAACTCATCATTTCTGATAACCGATTTTTAAAGCACAAAGGGCTGCTCCCGCTCCTCATAGACAGACAAGAAAACGCAAGCAATTGCATTATCCTGTCTTGCCTGCCGCAGTGCCTGCAGCTATCGATTTGCCGGCTTTTGGTAACCAGGATGACAGCCATGCTGAGGCCGATGAGGCTGAGGTGACTCTTCTTGTTGAATCTGATGTGGATGTTGATGCTGTCAATGTCGCTTTTGTTGACGTTGCTGGTAATGACATTGATACTGATACTGACACGAACGATGAGAACGAGGATGATCAAAATGCTGAGGCTGATTCCGAAGGCGTTTTCAGCAGTTATGATGAGAGTGACAATGGAGACGACAATGATCGTAGTTATTGTAGTGGTGACGATGATGAAGATGAAGAGGACATCAACAGCGCCTCCAGAGTGCCAGATTGCGCTCCCAACTCTAAGCAATTGCCGATCCCAGCAAAGCTACGCGGCCCATCTGCTCACTCTGCTGCTATCACCTCCCATGCCGCTGTTATCACCTCTCCTGCCACTGGTCATGAGCCAGTAAGAAAGCGAACCAAGACGGACATGAAGAAAAGTTTGCAGATTGCAGTCTCTGCAGCCTTCAGTAAGTGTGATAGTATATAATCTTTAAATAAATAGGATTGCTAATCTTATTGAGGATAGATGAAGTTAGCAGAAGACAATACAAATGTGTTCCTTGGCTGTCTTTGTTCAATGACGCGAAGATGCGTAGTTTGGGCGTGAAGATGGTTGGATGGCCCACTGGCATTGTTCCTCCTGTTCGTGACGGGAAGACGTCCTTCGATGTCTATGACGGCGATAATTCGATGGATACATTGCTTCAGGGCTTTAAGGACAGAACCATCTATTTTGAAAAGCTGTGAGCTGATGATGATGACAGTGATGAAGATAAGAGCAACGCTCAAGGGGACGAAAATGATAATTGAAATAATATTCTTCCAAAAGTTCAGTAAATATTTGTTTTTATTTTAATATCACATACACCAAGTAGCATTGTGTTGGATCTTTGACCTTTACCTTCCTTTTTTCAATCAAGAATTGCACAGATGATAAAGAAACTCGAGCTACAAAAACAAATATCGCGGGCAACGTAGAGCAATGACAAGATATGACTCAAGCATTCATATTGGCACGATAGAGACACGAGCAAATTCGCAGTTCCCTACGAGACAACATGCCGTAAGTATGGCACTCGGTTCCATAGGTATAGAGTATAAAGTGCTATAAGTATGGAGCAGGGTACCATAGGTATGGAGTATAAAGTGCTATAAGTATAGAGCAGGGTACCATAGGTATGGAGTATAAAGTGCCGTAAGTATGGAGCAGGGTGCCATAGGTATGAAGTATATAGTGCCATAAGTATAGAGCAAGGTACCATAGGCATGGAGTATCTTTTGCCATGGGCCTATGGATTTGAATGCCATACTCTTGTTATATACTGCAATCTATAATGGTTACCATGGAACATCATATTTTACTTCGATTGCAATTGTTCAAACCACTTATCAAAGACCTTAATGCTTAGTTATATCCATTTCATGTAGTGATTGTAGGTCATAGCATCTCCCACGTCTAGAGGGACCCCAACTGTTGACGACTGTTAAACGTTTGAATCTCTCTTAACGAAACAACTTCAGTTAATACAGCTCACTTTTCACCTCATAAATAGCATACCACCCACAACACGCAACAGATCAGCTGCTCTCCAACTAGATATTACATCAGATACTACCACTGCAGCATCCCCAAAACGCAAGACAACTGATTACCGGACAGGCAGTAAGCCCAAAGCCGCTAATGCTACAGCCCTAACAGTAGCTCCTAAAGCAATTGATGTTCGCCCTACTGCCGAGGAAATTGAGCAGAAGAAGCAGCAAATAATTGAGGAAGAAATTCAAGAAGAAAAGAAAAGAAAGCAGCAAGACAGGAAAAACGACAACAAAAGAAGAAACAAATTGCGTGATGAGGCCTATTAGATAGTCAATGATTTTAAAGGTGATCAAGAGAACATCTGGCAAGCTTTGTTGGCAGCAATTAATGATTTCAAATTGAAGCGCACCAAGAGTAAGCAGCCGCCCATTTCCGAGATGCAGATCTTTCGAATGTGCTTTGCATTTTACACACTTCGCTTTCGCCACCAAACGGAGCTAAACATGAACAACTACAACAAGCGCTATCTTGGAATGGACTTCTGCGCTAAGGTTGGAGACTGGTTGCTCATTTTTAAAAAGGTTGATGCCGCTCTGATTGAGCAAAACCCTCTTGAGGAGACCATGTTATTGTATATGGCAATGAGAGGACAAAATCATCGTTCTTGGAGACCTTGTTTTCTTTACTTCACTGCTTTCATGTTCTCTTTTTTTAATGAATTTGAAATCAAGAAAAGGATCAAAGTTCTGTTTTCGACATTGGAAGGTACGGCCAGCCAGGAGCAAGTTGCTGAAGCGCGCTCGCGTTATAATCTTGAGGAATAAAAGCTTCTTCGAAGATTAGTACACGTTGGCTTTGTAAATTTCGTTTGTTAATGAAATACCAAGTAATGGTTCAGATGTTACTTGATCTTTGATCATGATCGCATACTCTACGTCTGCTCTACGGTGATACATCTGATTGTCAGGGAAAGTGAAATATGATGGTATCAGGGCCTGACAACTATATCTTGCCAACAGCCATTTTAGAAACCAAAGCCAGATGGGTTTCTTATAAACTACATGTTTGGGATGTTCAGCAGGTTCAAAGACAATCTGGTGCTGTCAGAATAACAGAATTAATGTCTAAATTGAGAGCAGACGTTATCGACATTTCTTCATATCTAGAAGTGATAATACATAGTATTCTGAATCATTGTACAGCTGCCAACAAACAAAAATTGTGAAAGTACACTAACAACGCATAAAGGAGTATCAATGGCAGCTAGCCACTACCATGTGTTGATAATAGTACAATATGACATGAGATATATCAAAAGACGACAAATGTAAGAAAGAAAAAAAATCAAACAGTAGATTCACTTGAGTTGAATCGATGTATATCGTTAACGAATTATATGGCATATGTTTAGGGAAGTGCTAATGAAAGATTTGACATTTCAGACGTTAGTTATGCAGTGGTTTATGGATTGTCTGTACGAGCTACAACTTCAAAGACTCAAAACTGTTAAAAATTTATTCCACTTCAAGCCATATATGTTCCTTTGATTACTGCAATCCTTGAATGTCAAAACACTACGTTAATGATCACAGACTATGTCTTCTCGTATCATGTTGTCATTTGCTGACATTCTTGTTAATAACCTACAACCAAAAATGCTGTATACGGTACTCTCTAGTCATGTACTATCACAAACAATTGAAACTGATTTTTTTTCTATCTTTATGCTTTGCCGCTCGATGTTACCAAGTATTACATGGTAATTAGTCCTTGGTATCATCTCAAACCAACATTCCCAAGCATGCCATCACTTTGACGGTAAATTTAGGCATCAAATTGTACTTTAATAAATTATAACTAATTATACATATATTTTGTATTATTTATACTTTCGTCTAATAGTATATAGCAATTATATACAGCTTTTGGAATATTTATAAAGTAAAAGAAAAGTCTAATGGATTGGAAAAAAGGAAAATGCTCTACCTACCCAATGACGCATCCCCGATCTCCCGTAAGACTTCCTGTAGGTCTTCTTCATCATCGCCACCTTCCGCGAAATCATCATCTTCGCTATCTTCTTCAGCGACAGCATCACCTTCATTGAGCAACTCAAACTGCTGATATTCAATGACCACCAGATCGTTGGTTGAGCCATCTGGGGTTGGTGTAAGACTGATGGTAGGTTGGACCTGGTTTCTGACCTGCTGCAAGGTCTTCTTGGCTACGTAGAGCCGGCGACAAGTTTGAAGGAATTGCCTTCTCAGCAAATGGCTCTCTTGGCTTCTCAAAGCCCTCTCCATCTCATCATACTCCTTCGTAAGGTTGGAGACAAACCTATTTGATTCCTCCTATTGTTTGGATTTGGTGAGCACACGATTCAAGTGGTGGCTTCATCTGATGGCCTTACAATTAACAGTGTTGCCTCCTCGACGTGTCTGTTCAGAAGATGCCAGTTTGCCAGGGCATCCGACAGTCCCAAGATGTTCTCACCTTGAGCTGAAGTTCTCAGCTTTTCAACTTCCCTGCCAACGGTCATCGTCATCTTGTCTTCAGCACCATCTAATGCGAATATTGTTGAGTACAAAATCCTAACCACTCAATTGCTTATATTACCAAAATACTTTAACACTAAAGTGTTGATGCGACTAATGACTTTTTCGGTTAGCCGGTGCAATGCTTCAAGAGAGATTACAATACGGGCTGCCTTGGCAGTTCCTACATAGATTGTTCATTAGACCCTTGCCAGCCATTCCGAAACTTGGATAAGACTTACCAGAGGAGCCTGCAGGTTGATGCAGCTTTTTCTCTCTCATGACAATGGCAAAGAGGAGGTGAGTAAGGTAATTGTTTAGAGCATCATATCTGCAGTCTTTGACTTGGACATGATACTCGCCAAACAGAGGATCCTTGAAATTTTTGGGCCTGTTGACAGGCAAGAACTCAAATTGGCGCTCCATGAGTTGGATCTTGACAAGCAAGGTCTTTCTCAAGTGCTCAACATGATACCCAGTAAATTTGCTGCAAGCACAACAAGGTTAGATCTGTAATTCTTTACTGATTAAAAGCCTACCTCTTTGTCTCCTTGTTGATGAGCGTCATATGCTGAGCAACCAAAATCAGATAGTGTACCTTTGCGTTACGCAAAGCTTCCACTCTCTCAGCACTGTTTTGAATCTGTTCCAGGCCAGAAAAATCAGGAAAAATACAGAGATTATCTGCATGTTTGAGCCACTCCTGCTCCAAATTCTTGTACTCTGCTATCGACATGTTGAGAAGACGCATTTTTGTAAGCACCTTCTTGTACTTTCTGTTGATGTAAGAGGCTAGAATGACAGCTATGTCAGTCTCCGTCCGTCAACATATGCGAGGTCCTTACCCAAAGAATCTATCTTGTCACTTCTATACTTGTCCAAGACCTGTGTCAAAAGAGCATGTCGGTTGGCCTTGCTCATATTGCGAGACATGCTCACAAAATGATTGCAGTGGGACCACACTCTTTCAACAGATTCGCCATCTATAAATTGGATGAATTAATAACGGTCTTACAGTTCACAGAGAAATTCATAGTCGCTTACCTGTGAGAGCCATACCCTTCACATATCTTGGAAAGTATTTGACTTGGCAGTTGAGGCTGTGAGCCAAAGCATGGAAAATGGCTACGCCATAGATGAGGTCATGTCTATTTATGAGAGGGACAGACTCCTAAATCAAATAAGGCATTTAAGATTATGAGTAGTGAACAAGCTGAATGCTTACCTCTATTCTTTTTTGGCACATGCAAACGATGTCATACAAGACAGCCAGCTTTTCTTGGTCTCCCAAGTTATCAACCACATGACTGATTGCAGCCAAAGCGTACTTGCGTCTACAAATTATGATATTAGCTTTTCTTAGATCGCGTCTTTCCTTGTTGATTTACCCTTCGCCACCAAAGATGTCAAAGATACGCTCGACAATACCATGTCTGGCACAGTTCAAAGAGAACACACCACACTCATCAAATCGGTTGCCATTTTGTCGTCTATGGTCAACACCGGCCTTGAAGTCACTGTCAAGATCTCAAAGTAAGCACTGATTTGACATAATTGTTATTAAAAAGTGCCTCATATATTAATCTTTCAGGTACCTCTTCGTCAGTGACCTCAGTGTGATCATTGAACCGCTCAACTTCCTCAGGAGGTGCCACCAAGGCAATCTCTGCTCTTGACGGAGCAAAGATGCCCTGCTCCCAGTTGTTCTTGCTAGAGTTGCGATCTTTGCGTCTTCTCCACGAAAAATTACCATCCACGGACACAAACTTGCGTTCAGCACCCTATCCTTTTTGTTTAGAGAGATGCTCCAGGCTTTTCTAAGTTGCATACGATAATCATGCAACTTACATGGCAAGCATAGCAACCTACTTGCAAATCCAACGAATTCTCTTCACGCAGACGATCCATTGCATGCTTATGAACATTTCTGTAAATCGCTTGAAGCATGTTATATACAGAGGCATCCATCGGAATGAACTACAATCAAAGAATACATGTAAGCGGACATCATACTACCAAGGGGTAGACTTACGTCCTTGCTGAATCCACCTCGTTGCAAACACCAAGAATTGTAGATTTTAGTGAATCCATGGTTGGAAACATAGCCATCTAGCTTGGCAATGTTACCATACTCAAAAACTGAGAAATGGATTGCCGATTTTGGTTGTTGAGTGGAAGTTGGGAGCATTTGACAGAGCACAAGGGTTTCCAAAAGAGATTGATGATCACAGTATGACACTGAGAACTTCGAAGGTCCTAAAACAGCAATTTAATCAATAAAAAATGAAAAGCTTAATTTTGTACGATCAATTACCACCAAACATGAATCCAGTCAAGTCAGAGGTGCGTCTGATTGAGCAGTTGCAACTAGCAGGCTTCTCCACTTCCAAGGGCTTCTCGAGTCTAAAGTCGGGCTCGCCACACCTCTTGAAAGACTCGATGAATGCAGTGAGCAATGCTTCACTGCCTTCCGCCCAGAACTGCTTTCTTTGCTTCTTCGGGTTGAAGTTACGATTGTGAACTCGTTCTACACGTTCAACTGGAGCCGGATGATCCTGAGTGTCGTCGTCCACCCACATACCAAACTCATCAGCATCTTCATCCATTTGTTGTCGTGCCTCTTCAAGTCGTGCGTACATTTCATCTGCAGATCCACTGCCATTGCTTCTACTTCTACTTCTCTTGGCAACGTTCTCTGCTTCTTGCTCTGCAAGTCTGCGCTTCATGGCGTCACGTTCTTTTTTATACAACCTTCTGTCATGTGTAGTTGCAGTTCCGTTCTGGATTCGCTTCATTCTGTCCAGCTTTTTAAGTTCTTGCTTCTTCAATTGCTTAAGAAGCTTTGCGTCTTCGATGCTACTCATAGTGATATTTGTTTATAGAGAAAGAGAAAAAAGGTTTTCGAGAACAAGCACCTCATCAGACAAATATTGAGAACAATTAATTTGAATGGCGTCAAATATCGATTATAGTTAGATTACTTTCCTCATTTTCGGATATTTTTAGAAACGGATGGCTGTTAAACTGGTTCTGCCTATGGTAATGTATGTAGCAGCTTTGGTTTGGTAATCATCTCAAGTAAACAAACGCGAGAGCCTCTATGTAAATACCACTGCTGATACCAACGAGGACCACCATATGTAGCAGCTTAGAAATACACGCAAAATTGATTAAATAAAGAAAATAAGTGTAGGCATCAGCAAGCCAGAAGTTTGGCCAAAATGAAACGACGTAGGCGAAAGTGAAGTATAAAGTAGGCGAAAAAAAAACTCAAAATGCAAGCAGAAAAAATCAAAATGTCAGGGGAGATTAGAGGGGATTGTGCCCAAAGATTTACAACCAAACTTTTTTTATTTTATTTTTTATTTAAGCTGACCCTCGTTGATTCAACCACTAAACTGAGTGTAGAAAACTTCAAGTTCTGTCGTTAAAACATCGAAGAGTATGGTAATATGCGGTGCAAAAATCGACCAAAAAGCATGAGATACCCCTCATGGTTTTCATCGAAAATTAAACGATTGCGTTTTTCATCTCCAAAACAAAGACTTTTACTATGGTATATATCAAATCAAAATGTTTCTCTCAATCTAACGTAACCTCTGAAACCACTTTTATGAAATCTTTATATGCAAAATCTCGATATTTTGGCCAATCCCCTTATTTCAGACTTTTTGGAATTGCTCATTAAGTTCAGTCAAAACATCTATTTTACTAGGCATCATTGAAAGCGCCTTGAAAAGTACTCCAGGAGTGTATTAGGGAGCGTTTTTTTTGTAGGGGAGTCGAGCTCCAGGTTTTATTTAAAGTCCTTTAAATGTCATGCTGAGGGATAGAAAAGACTGTTGGTGGACCCAATGTCTGCAAAGAAGGGGAATAAGATATTTTTTGAACTAAGTTGGGAAAGAAATCTACTACTAATAAGGTGCGACTCCTAGAGCCAGTACAGTCTTGCGGAAATCGTCAAAATATAGATCATGGATAAGAGTACAAAAACACCAAACGAGGACATCAGTACTACGTCAAAAAAATCAAACAACTTGCGTTCACCAGGATTTGAACCGGGATCCTCCCGTTGGCATACGGGAGTTCTACCACTTCGCCCTACCACCAGGGACTTGTATTAGGGAGCGTAGGGTGATCATCACAGTTTATATAGTCGAATATCGCAAAACAGATGAAAGAAGTCGAAAAAAGGACGAAATCCGTCCAATCTTGAACAGAAAACAATAAACTGGGTTTGAATCAATTTTAGTGGATGGCGCTGCTGCTGGCTGGCCTAAATGCCTTTCTGATAATGACAATGATAATGGCAAGGATGATGGCGATATTGATTAAATGTGGACCATGGAATTGAAAGGACAATTACTTAGCTAGAATAACTTCCTTTCTTGTATTTACACATGGCCAGCTTTATATCGCCATATTAAGAGCAGCATCAGCGAATGGATACCTTCTCCTCTTGACTCTGATATATCCTTTCTTTTACCATTAATTGATTGCTTAAAATCTACTTGATATGCCAGACTTTTATTATCTTAGATTTGAAATGTCTTCAGCAAGAGCCTGCAGGGAGACGCCGTCGTTGAGCGTAGCGAGATTGATCGGCTAGTTTACACTATACGTAAATTTCAATATGTGAACGACAAGATCTCGCACTTGATGTATGGAATATCAAATAGGGCGCGCAATTTTGCATTTGGCATTGATATAACCCGTTTATGCTCAAACGGAAAAGCAGAGCCTAATCAAATCAGTGACAATCACAATACTTTTAACAGCAAGTAATTCAGGTTCAAAAGAGATATATTTTTTTATTTGTAAAAGAGAAGTGTATGTGGTAGTAAAGTTTCTAACGTATAACATGAAAAGAGACAGAGAGAGAGAGAAAGAGAGTATATACAACAAAAGGAATGGATAGATTCTTGTGAAAGAGAGATAAACATTTATTTACCAAACTTCAGTATTACGAACCTCAACTTCCTTTCCATTTAATTCAGCCTTGGTGGTGACAGAACCAAGTTCATAAACAGTTTCATTGGCGGATTCCAACAAACGAGTGATCTCAGGAACGGCTTCACGATCAGCGACAATTACCATACCGATACCACAGTTGAAGGTGCGAGACATTTCATGAGCAGAAAGACCACCAGCTTCTTTGAGCCACTTGAAAATGGGAGGTAAGTCATAAGACTTGGCATCAACAATGACAGCAAGGTCTTCAGGCATGACACGAGGGATATTCTCAAGGAAACCACCACCGGTAATGTGAGCCATGGCCTTGATCAAATCCTTCTTGACAACGGGTAATAATTGCTTGACATAGATACGAGTGGGTACCAAGAGACCTTGACCAAGTGTCTTGGTGTTATCCCAAGGACAAGGAGAGTGGTAAGCCAAACCAGGTTGTGATTCAACAATCTTACGGACCAACGAGAAACCATTGGAGTGCACACCAGATGAAGCCAAACCCAAAACGACATCACCAGCCTTGATTTCGTTCATGCGAGGCAAGATCTTTTCACGCTCAACAGCACCCACAGTGAAACCAGCGCCATCGTAATCACCCAAGGCATAAAGACCGGGCATCTCAGCAGTTTCACCACCAACCAAAGCACAGCCAGATTGAAGACAACCTTCCACTACACCAGCAACGAAATCCTTACCGACATCGACTTCAAGCTTACCACAAGCAAAGTAATCAAGGAAGAACAAGGGCTCAGCACCTTGCACAATCAAGTCGTTGACATTCATGGCAACCAAATCAATACCAACAGTATCATGGATGTTGCAGTCTTGAGCAATCTTGAGCTTGGTACCAATACCGTCAGTAGCAGAAACCAAGATGGGATCAACGAAACCAGCAGCTTTCAAATCAAAAATACCACCGAAACCACCAATATCGGAATCAGCGCCCACACGCTTGGTGGATTTGACGAGAGGCTTGATCTTTTGAACCAACAAGTTACCGGCATCAATAGAGACACCAGCATCAGCATAAGAGAGACCAGCTTTCTTGGCATCTTGATCAGCGTACTTGAAAGCTCTGTGAGCAATGTCATTACGATAGTACATGTCTTCAAATTGGATGGATTTGACACCGGCGTAAGCCTTATCAACTGCTTCACGGAGAGTGTTGGCCACAGCAGAGACGGCGAGCACACGGCCACCATCAGTAACAAGTTGATTGTCCTTGACAGCAGTACCAGCATGGAAAACAGTAACATCACAGGGAGTCTCGGGAATAGTGATAGCCTTACCCTTGGCATAGCTACCAGGATAGCCACCAGAGGCAACGATGACAGTAGCAGCAAAAGCCTTCTTTGTAGTGATGGAAACAGCGTCAAGACGGCCTTCAACACAAGCCAACAAGATCTCTGCCAAATCAGTGTCATCGCTCAAAAGAGGCAAGACAACCTCAGTTTCAGGATCACCGAAACGCACATTGTATTCAAGAACCTTGGGACCAGATGCAGTCAACATGATACCAGTGAAGAGCATGCCGACAAATGGGAAGCCATCTCTACGCATACCGTCAATGGTAGGTTGCAAGATAGTACGCTTGACTTCTTCAATCAAAGCAGCAGTACCGATAGGAGTGGGAGCATAACAGCCCATGCCACCTGTATTGGGTCCCAAATCACCATCCAAGGCACGCTTGTGATCTTGAGCAGGAGGCAAGGGGATGACAGTGTAGCCATCAGCAAAGGCCAAGAAGGACAATTCCTCGCCTTCAAGACACTCCTCAATGACAACTTCACTACCAGCCTCACCAAACTCCTTGTTTACCATGATGGTCTTGAGTCCCTCCAATGCTTCCTGCTTGTTTTCAGGCATCAAGACACCCTTACCAGCAGCCAATCCAGAGGCCTTTAAAACTACCTTGTGATCAACAGATTCAACATACGCTTTGGCCTTTTCATAATCAGTGAAATTCTAAGAGGAGCGTATAAAAACGTCAATATTCTCCATCTCCCATCTCATCTATGCTATAACCGACCTCGTATGCAGCGGTGGGAATATTGTGCTTCTTCATGAAATCCTTGGAAAAGGCTTTGGAGCCCTCCATTTGTGCAGCCTTGGGAGAAGGACCGAAACAAGGAATGCCAACTGAAAGACGAGAGGAAGATCAATCAACGGTCGGAAAGTGTATAAATGCAGACTATAATGCATACCTTTTTTGAAAACAGCTTGAATGCCTTCGACAATGGGTTGCTCAGGACCGGGAACGACGAGGTTGATCTACAAGTGCGTTGAATATGTGCTGCTGGTGTTAATCAAGTTGAGGTTTTACCTTGTTTTGAACAGCAAACTCGGCCAATTTGTCGAAATCAGAAACACCAATTTGAACATTGGTCACCTTGTTTCCGTTAGCAGTGCCTCCATTGCCTTTTGATATGTGCCGTTAGTTCTACTCTATGCGATCTGCAACGCCTCAACATTGAACCACTTACCAGGAGCGACATAGATGTGTTCAACTTTGTCAGATTGAGCAAGTCTCCAAGCAATAGCATGCTCGCGACCGCCAGCACCGACGAGGAGAATAGAGAGCTTTTCTACAAAATGCCAAACATGTCAGTAAAGTGATGATTGCCACCATGTTTGCTCTTGTTACCAGAAGCCATGTTTTTAGTTTTGTTGTCGTGGATTTGAACGAGGAAAAGTTAAAGAAGAAAAAAAAAAAAAAGAGAGAAAAAAGATGCATGTTGTCTTTGATTTTAAAGTATATCTTGGTTTGACATACATTTATGGTGGGTTGTGGGGGGGTCTGAGTCATCTATCCATCTTTTTAAGCCACCCACTGTCAGACAATGGCTCTTTCTGTGATGTGTGTGCACAGGAAAAAAGATTTTCTTGTTCTCCAGGCTTTGTGACACTGGGACAGATAAGAGATCAAGACATGTCAAACACATGGCCATGTTGTATTCGGCTGGACGATGCGTTGATCTCTCTCCTTGTTCAAGCATGAAAGGTAGATGAAACTGGGTTGCAAATCTATCCTTGATGTGGGTCATTTTACCTTTTGTTAACCGTCGAAGCTGCTGCTTTGTGGGGGTTGGCAGATGGCCGGATGTCTAAAATCTGTCGTCTAATCAGCACCATCTTATTTATGACACTTTTCTTGTGAACAGTCCACAAGATGGATGGATCTCCTTTGTGGTGTGTGTGTCATAAATTAATGATGGACTACATTTATATGAGGTTTCGCTGCATCTTTTGGCCCTTTTGCTTGGATTAGACACAGAAAAAAGGGAGTCTATAAAGTTTGCTCTTACAAATCGCATCTACATGTACCGTGCTCATGCTATGAAAGCATTGGCTTATTCATCATTGCTAAGAGACATTTCAAACCCTTTGTTGCTATGGCTTATTAGTGGTAGAAATCATATTCTCTCATTATTTGAGCTCAAAGCATTGGTCTTGATCATACACGTGCCTTCATCTATAGATATAGCTTGGTGTTTGGGAAGAAAGCATACATTCACAATCATTTCCATAGCATAATCGCTTTCAAACGCCGTTGCCAATGGTTTATGCGTTTGCAAAAACGAAACCTGCATTGAAATAAGAGATGCTAGCAGTGTGGATTGCTGCAGTCATGTTCTTTAGTGAAAGCTGTGAATGCTGCTTTGATGCTGGTATCACGACAAGATTTCTCATTTCAACGAAAAACGTCCCTCATCAACATTTGACATGACCACTCTACTATTTGAGCAGCGATGAAAGGCTTGTTGCTTCCCCATATTCGTTTTATACCCCCTTTTTCTCTTTCTTTTACCTCACATCTCTATATCTTTCACTCGCTCTCCTATGACTACAGAAGGCGGAGACAACAACAATTCAATTGTTATTCTATCAGACGATGATGAAGATGCTGTAGCGCTTAATAAAAATGGCAAGAGACCTCGTCCTCCTCATCATGCCAACCAAAGTAATCCACATACACGAAACCAACGTCTTACGTACGACGATGACGAGGAGGGATACTACGACGATGAAGACGAGGGCATGGACACAGAGGACGAAGAGTATGCTCTTTATGAACAGCAAGAAATCAAAAGAAACGCGAGCTACTTGAACCGATCTCTTCCCGAAGATCATGAACCTGTCATTGTAAGTGAACGCGATCAAATCAACGCTTTGCAAGAGATCAATGACATCTTTCAACAACTCAAAGGCAAAGTGCTTTCCGCCAATGCGTCTGTCAAGGAAGTAGAACCCAGCTATTCGTGTGGAGGCCTTTTGAACGAAGAAGCGCCCAATATTGCCATGAACGTGAGTGGCGTTTCAGGACCTATTGCTTTCCCTATGGATGAAAAGGATGCAACAAGGATCTTGCAGGTGCATGCTGCCAGTGTGGTTTCCAACGATAAAGGAGAACCTATACGCTTGAATTTGGATGTGGCTCAAATCGAGATCAACAAGACTTTTGAAGAGTATTTGAGCCAGAACTTGTTGCTGGATGTGGTCGAGTATCTTGGCGTGGACTCTGTTGTGGCTAAAAACACGACCTTGGTTGCGAATCAGTTTCACATTGTCGCCAATGGTGGTACCTTAACTTTGTCCGATTCCTTGTAAGCTTGTACTCGTACATCTTCTAAAGAACCCGTCTTGTATTAATTTGTTTGATTGGCGCTCTTCCTCTCCCTCCCTCTGCTCACTTAGAAATGAAGCTGCTTATGGTACAGTTGTCTTGGTGCTACCTACTGATTTCTGTGGCGGTGAAGTCTCTATCTCTTACAGTGATGATCAGGTCAGCTATCAGCCCGAGGAAGCAGCTTTTGAATGCTGTTACTACATGGCTTGGTACAACAATGTCAAGACCCAGTTCGAGCCTGTATTGGAAGGTCATCAGCTTGCCATTTCCTTTTCATTGATCCATAATGATACCGTCGACAAAGCGACATCGGACTACCTACAAAAGCGAAGACTACAAATAGCCAACGGGGAACTAACTCCAGCAGAGATGGAACAAAACAAGCCTTACATCGGTCGTGCTGTCACCTGGTTCAAAGAAAATAGTGCAGAGAGGCCTTTCCCCATCTTTTTCATGTTGGATTACAAGTATGGAGCACCTTCTCTTTGCGTGGATGATCTTAAACGACCCGATAAGACGCTCGCCAAGGTATTGAAACAGGCCGCTGATGAAGCAGATTTCTTGATGTATCTGGGCACGGTGGAACGAGAAGTCGAAGGCACAGTGTACGAAGAGGGCCGGCCTCATGATGTGACCAACAAAAAGGAAGGCGATGACTGTCCCATGGACGAAGAAGGCATCTATCTCACTCAGAGAGCCATTTATGATGAGTATGTCTTGAAAAAGCTGTTCAATGAATCCGGAAAAAACATCTTGGAAACCTCTGTTGGTTTGGATTCAAGCGATCATCCAGCCATCATTCAAGGCCCCAGATGGTACTCTCGCTGCAAGCCCATGAATGTGGCATACAGTGGCACTGTGGAGGTAGAAGATGTTACTGTAAAGTACTTTTATGCAGAATGCCAGGTAAACTGATGAGATGATACATCGCTCCAAGTGATAGCTGATCTCTCTCTCTCTCTCTCTCTCTCTCTCTCTCTATTAGGCACTTGTGTTTTTGCCCAAGTCAAGGCTATCTTCACTTGTCAAGATGTCCAATAAGGAACCTACTGAAAAAGACGACACACACACGACTGTTACAACCACCACCACCACTACGACAACTGCTACTACGGCCATTGCTTTTACAGAAAGCAACAAATAGTTATTGCTTGTTAAACGAGAGATCCACAGCAAAGACTCAAGTATATTTACTCTCGTATGTGGTTTTTTTTTTTTTACAAGTAAAAAGTGTATAGTATAACCCTCATTTGAACCTATGTATACAACATCAATAAACAATCAGTATCACTGTAAATCCATCGCTGAAATCAGCCTCCTTTTTGTGTAAACAAGATGCGTTTTCATATAAAAGCATCAGCAGAGAACAGTCTGTGGATCTTGTTGTTTCCACCACTCATGAAAGACAACATCATCATTGACATTGAAGACAACTCTGTTATTGAAGCAGCAGAGAATCAAGGCGCCACCATTATTGAAAAGTACCTCTTCTTCATTGGATTTGCTGTTCCTGTCGCCTGGTTCATTGGCAGTAGCTCTTGCGGTAAAGACAACAAGGAGCTGTGTTATTCAGCCTTTGTATGGAAAAAGAGATGTCGTATCGCAGCGACGCTTAGTTTGACATTGCTGATTGTCATTGCGGCTGTGGTGATGGTAGTGAATCCACAGCTATTTGGCCTCAAGACAGAGTTCACAGGCGCACAAACATCCTCTGCTACAAACAATGCGATTCGGCCTGGTGTTCCCATCATTGGCACAAACGATTGGGGTGATACTGTTGCGGGCATCACAGTGGACAGCACTTGACGGTAAATAAGTTTCTCCACGTTCTGTTCGTTTCGGAATAATCCATCACCGAGCCAAGGTTGCTTTAATAAATGGCAGGTCATTTCAAGTGACCTTTTCTTTCTCTTTCTCTTTTGCTTGATTTGTGATTATGGAGAATATATACAACCATCACCAGCCATTGCAGCCACCGTCTCAGTCCACAGAAGCTAGTAATGTACACCAAAATACAGGCACATCCAATCCAAAAAGAACCAGAATCACAAGAGCTTGTAAGTAGAGTATAAACCCAACACCCTGACATGGCATCCTGATTATCATTGCGATACACTTTGCAGGTGATACGTGTAGAAGAAAAAAGATAAAGTGCGTAATTTTCACTAAAGAGACTATATGCTGTATGATATTGACCCTTGGCCAGATGTGATGTTGACTCGAGGCATCCTTGTACTACTTGCAGACAGTATGATTGGGAATGCACTTTTCACGATGTAAACGATTCAGTGGATTTAAAAGGGCACACGCAATGGGTTTCTAATGGGTATTTGTATAGACAGCAAAAAAGAGAGGTCCACCCAAAGGCTACATTGAGAGCTTGGAAACCAGACTAGAAAAGATGGAGAAGCTGTTGAGAAAAATTGGCAGCGACGATGAAGTGATCAAAGATGTTGCCTCCTCCACAGCAACAACCAAGAAACGAAAGAAGCGTGCAGCATCCAACACATTTCCAGATAATATCATCACTTCAAACGCATCACCCACTTTATCAGATCCAGCATCAGCCTCTGCTCATGCAGCGGCTACACCCACATCGTCTGTTTCCTCGCCCAACAGAGTGCGAGATCCAAAGAGAGGAAAAGTAGTGCGATACCACGGCAGTTCATCCGGCTATTATCTTGTTGGAAACATACTTGACAGCAGCCAGCAAGAGGATGTGCCATCTGAGGACAACATGGACAGCAGTGACAAAGTACGCAAAGTCTATGTCGTGCCTTCGTTCAACGGCGGGGAGGATGTTCGATTGAGACGAGTGAATGTCGATGACGATGACTTGATGGTGGTGCGAGATACTACAGCGGATGAGGAAGCCTGCCAACAAGCAGACGATGGGCAAGAAACAATTGACGATATTATACCTCGATCTGTCTTGACAAGCCTTGTACACACGTAATGTCCCTGTTTTAAGCAAGAAATGCTTGGACAACTGACTTTTATGATAGGTATTTTCGAGATGCACATACCACATTGCCTGTTTTAGAAAAAGAAGAGTACATGGACGCCTTTGAAGGACGCACCACACCACCACCAGTACCTTTACTGACCTACGCCATTTGCACCTACGCCTGTTTTCTATTGAAAACCAATGATCCCATCTTTAAAGACGCTGGCGTAGAACGAGACCATGTGTTTCAAACCTTGCTGGACAGAGCGACATTTTTGGTGAGAAAGGAGTACCTGAAGCCTCGCATTGTCACCATCCAAGCACTAGTTCTTCTCTGTGCTCATCCAACGTATTCAACAAGCTCTTACAGAAACTGGATTTTGGCTGGTATGGCTGTGCGCATGGCCCAAGATCTGGGCTTGCATCGCACATTGACGACTGTAGAAGTGTCGGACGATTTTAAGGAAAAGAGAAAGCGGTTGTGGTATTCATGCTATATCACGGATCGATGGTGCTGTGCTGTGATGGGCCGACCTCTCGCCATTGCAGATTCAGACTGTGATGTGGATTTGCCCTTAATCTACGGACCCGATGGACGCGAGGATCTCATCATGTTTGTTAATTTTGTAAAGCTGTCTGGTATCTTGGGCGAGGTGTTGCGTCGGATTTATTCGCCCAAAGCCAAACTGAATGGATACAAGACCAAGGCCATGGAGCAAACAGTGTGGAGTCTACAAAAGATGCTGGAAGAGTGGTTTCATAATGTGCCTGATGGCTACAAGATCACCGAAAACGATCTGTCTGATATCCGATACAACAAGAACTTGTATGCACCTGATTCAAAAAAGATCATGGAGGGAGGTCCATTGACAGCGTGTTATCATGCAGTGGTGCTGCTCTTGCACCGACCTTTTATCGTGCTGGACAAGGATGAAGTGGACACGCCTTCTCTGTCAAGAGCTACCTTGTTGTGTAAACGAGCTGCTAAATTAGCAATTGATGTAGCAAGAGCGATACCTTACATGGCCATTGCCAAGTTTGGATGGAATTTTGCAGGTAACAATAACACAATGCGCTTGTATAATGGAGGTCAAAACTAACGCTGCGCCCAACAGCCTACTCTGTCTTTCAAGCAGCACTGATCCATCTGTACAATTGCACAAGCTCTGATCCAGAAGTTGCAAAGGAAGCCAAGCAGTATGTTACCATCTGCACTGATGAATGTTTAGCACCTCTGAGCAGAGATATCCCGGCTGGACCACCTTTGATTCCTTTTCTGCAAACGCTATCCAGCCTATTAAAACCTGAAGGGGCTGAAGCGCATAAAGGAGCTACTTCTAGCGAGGCGGCTCCTCCCAATCAGCAACAACAACAGCAACATCATTTATATCCTGTACAACACTCACAACCATCACAACCCCCTGAGCAATCGCATCTACCATACCCACAATCCGCTTACACTCAACCACATCCTGTATCTTCCATGGACAGTGCTCCTCCACCGCCTGCAATGATGGACCCCAACGACACAAGCAATGGTGCTACTACAGGCAGCTTCATAGAAGAGTTGAACAATGATGGAAGCCAATCGTGGCTCTTGAATGGCAGTAATGGAAGCGCACCTGCTTTATCCCAAGCCGCATGGCAGCAACTGTTCTCTACTGCAGGTACACCGTTCACTGAAAACTCCATCAGAGGCGTGGACGTTCAAGGTATGGATCTACTTGATGATTAGATTGTATGTATACTAAATGCACCATGAAATAGGTTGGGATAACTTTTTTATGGAGAACCAATCCAATAATATGTTTATGCCTTAGAGTTGCTGCTAACAAATAAATGTGATTACATGCAGTACGCCTATGTGTATTGCATCTCGCTTTAGAGGAGAAGCTTTTTGACTTAATATCGATCATCTTTTGGATGTCGAGTCGGATACTATTCAGTACAGCGGCGGGAGCGAAGGAAGTTTGATCAAAGATAAGTCGATAGTGAGCCTTCCAAATGTTAGACATCGCAATGATGACTACATGATGGGAGGAAGCATGAGGCCGTTGACTATATTGAATATTGTAAAATTCGAGAGTAATAAGGAAGGAATGGCGGATATCATCAATGGTTACCATGGGCCAGAGGAACTCAGAGGTAATGCCCTGCCAAACCGCCACCTTGGGTGGGCATTCAAAAAGGAAGTGGTCAGTGGAATCGTCAGCTAAGGAACAGACAACGCACAAGAGAGACAAGTAAACAGTGGGGAACCTCAAATCCAATAGGGACTGATGGGATTGCCTTCATGATGAAAAGAGCATTGAGTCTGCCTACCAGCCCCACCAGCCAAAATTAATTCAAACCCAGACTTTGGTTTACTCTGGATTGGCCAGATCTTGTTAATTTTCGACTTGATTGAACTATTTTGCCTTGTTCGACTATATAAGATATGATGATCATCTTCTGCTTCTTTAAGCTTTCTTGGAGTGCTTTCAAGGCGCATCCAATGGTACCAAGTAATATAGATGTTTTGAATAAACTTATTGAATAATTTATGAAAATATGAAAAGAGGTTTCTGGCCAAAAAGTCGAGATTTTACATATCAAAGTTCCACAAAGATGATTTCAGAGGTTACGTTAGATCGATAGCATCATTTTGATCCAAGATATACCATAGTAAAAGTACTCATTATCAAGGTGGAAAACGCGATCATTTGATTTTTGATGAAAACCATGAGGGGTACCTCATGCTTTTTGGTCGATTTTTGACCATGTTTTTTTGATCCCCAAAAAGTTGAGCAATAGTGTCAGAAAGTAACTGTCAGATGAGAGCAACTGTTTGGTGCTATTCTGCCAATCTAAAACGACCTTGAACGCAAGAAAACGCAGCTCAAATGCACTGAGATTTTGCTGTATCAGGGAAACTACTAAGGACTGAAGAGGGGAAATACCAGTATGCTGCTTGCCCGTATGTGAAATAGCTACGAGTATATGGATGAAGAGCATCACATAAGAATCAGATCCACAGATAATACGAAGAGTTTTCATGTGTAAGTAGAGGGTCAAAATAAAAGTAGCAGTATTTTGATAAGATATGCAAGGGCAATCGGTAGCGCGAGCTGCGGCTGCGCAGGTTGGTTTCCACCGAAGCGAAGCGTAGGTCAGGAAACCACCCAAACAGTCGAAAGGATCTCAAGTAACAGTAAGGGTAAAAGAGTCAATACAACAAGTATAATTTATTGCGTGGCCGTTGATAGAGACACTTTCTTTATTATTATTAGTGTGCTGTTCATGTAGAGACGTCTACCAATTCATGCTTTGACTTTGCCAAGGCAACTAAACTATCAAATTCACCAGATTTACGACACATTTTGTAAAAGGAGGATTCGGGATTGGTGATCAGAGTCAAGGGGCTATCAAATTCAAGAATTTGTCCTTGATCCAGCACCAAGATACGATCATATTCAATGACAGTATGCAAACGATGGGCAATACACAAGATGGTAGAGTCAGCGAATTCTGTAGCAATGGTTTTTTGAATGGCCCTGTCCGTTTTGAAATCAACGCTGGCTGTCGCTTCGTCCATCAGCACAATGCGACTACGCTTGAGAAGAGCACGGGCCAAGCAAAGTAATTGTCTTTGACCTTGAGAAAAGTTCTTGCCGCCTTCAGTGACATTGGTAGTCAAGTCCTTGAACACATTAGCATTGACCTCATCCAGAGTAGAGCCAGCTGCAATTGTCTCTGCACTGTTATCGCCTTCTTCAGTAGGCAACAAATGCACACGACGCAAAGCAGTAAAGATGTCTTGATCAGTGAATTGATCAAAGGGGTCCATGTTGGATCTTAGACAGCCAGAGAACAAAGTGGGGTCTTGGGGAATGATGGTCAGGCTGGAACGCAAATCCTCAGTACCCAAATCCTTGATATCAATGTTGTCAATGACAATGGAGCCCTGAGAAGCCTCAATAAATCTAAAAAACGAGAGTGCAAGTGTAGATTTACCACTGCCTGTTCTACCCACAACGCCAATTTTTTCTTGAGACTTAATAGAGAAGGAGATGCCCTTGAGAACAGGGTCCAGATCAGCAGCGTATTTGATTTCAAGATCCTTGACGTCAATTCTACCTCTGGTAGGCCACTCATGAGGAGGCCTTACTTCAGTGATGGCAGGTGCTTCTTGATCCATTTCCATAAACTCGACAACACGCTCAACAGCGTTAAAGCTCATTTCCAAGCTTGTATAATGACGGATGCCGTAGAACATTTGATCCGTAAACAAGATGGCAAAACTGAGACAGAAGCCAGCCAGAGGAGCGTCAATTGTGTCGATGCTCAACAAGATGATGACACCGGTGAACATGTTGATGAGAGCGCCCGAGAAGGCGAACCTGATAGAGACCCAGCGATTGACCACCCATTGATAGTAAAAGGAACGCGTGTTGGTATCAATATAAGTCAGCATGTCTTGCAAAAATTGACGCGTCGCACCAAAAGCACGGATAGTAGCCACGCCAATAATGGTTTCTGTAAAGTGACTAAACAAGGGAGACCGAGAGACAGACTCCATACGCTTCAATTCAAGAGAAGCAGAGACAAACATTGTGCCCAAGTACACATTGACCAAAGCGACAGCAAGCATAGGCATCAAAAAGGGGGGCAACACGCAGGACACAGTGATAATGCTGGAGAAAATGATGACCCACTGGATGGCAAAGTTGAGGAAACGATTGGGGATATTGGAGTCAATGGTTTCGAAATCCTTGGAGAAGCGATTTAAGATTCTACCAACAGGCGTTGTATCAAAGAAGCGAAGAGGGGCTCTCAACATGCGATGTAGCAGCTGAGCGTAGAGTGCTTTGTTGGCATCGAGAACGCCCCAGTAGAGAACAGCAAAACGAGCGGTGCCAACGATGACACCGACGAGATTAATCAGACAATAAAAGCCCAAGTAGTAATTCAGTCTGTCGTCCTGCTCCTCTGGCATAGCCTGTCGCTGCATTACCAAGGCACTGTGCTGGGTCTCATAAGATTGAGACCATTGCTTTAGCCACCAACTTCCGGCGACATCTAGCCCACGAGCACCAATGATCAAAGCAATCATGACAGACCAGAAGAAGGGACCGCCCACCATGCGCACGTACATTTTATAGAGCCTCGTCTTAACCCTACCTGTGGCGCGCGTTTCTTCTTCTACAAGTACACGAGGCTTCTTTTGGTTCTTGTTTGCAGAAGCAACATCAGGTAAAGCTTCTTTGATGGCCATTTCTTCCTCGGTATCTCCTTCCTGTGCTGCTTTCTCCTCCGCACTCTCAAAGATAGAAGCCAGCTGGCCGCTTTGGCGCAGCTGGTCAGGAGTCCCCACAAGGCTAGCACGACCCCCTTCGATGTGAGCAATGTAGCCACTGCCCTTGACGCAGAGATTGACATGATGCGTAATCAAGACACGCGTGCGTCCCTTCATCAATGGACCCAATAGGCACTTTTCATATAGATGTTTAGCTGTATGAGCATCCACAGCACTCAGTACATCATCCATCAAAACATTTTGAGCACGAGAATACACAGCTCTTGCAAGCGAGACACGCGCCTTTTGACCGCCAGACAAAGTGATGCCCTTTTCACCAATTTCAGTGCGATCTCCATCTTCAAAAATCTCGAGATCCTTGTCCAAAGCACAAGCAGTAAGCGTTTCACGGTATCTAGACTCCACATAGGGCAAGCCAAACAAGATGTTATCACGAATGGAGGCATTTTGTAACCAAGCAGTCTGAGAGACATAGGCGAGAGCATAAGGCAGCAACCAATCCTTGGGATCCATGTCCTTGGAGGCGACAAGACCATCAAAGACGGTATCCACTACTGCTTGACGAGGGCAATGTGCAGTACCCTTAAGGACAATCGCTTCACCCAGGAGACCCAACATCAATAAAGTCTTGCCAGAACCAGTAGCGCCAGTGATCAAGCTAAGTTGATTGGGAGGAAACTCTATGTTCAGATCTTTCAGGAGAAAGCTAGTGCTGCTTGCGCCAGTTTCCAGATCAGTGTAGTCCTGCTTACTCCAACCAAGCGTGGCATTCTTGAAGCCGATGATTGTGTCGTTTTGAGTCAAAGGAGGTTCAATTTCTTCTTCATTCAAGTAAGCCTCGATACGTCTGACACTAATCAATGCTTGGAAGAGGTCCACAAAGATTTCTGGCAATGCGTTGATGGCAAATCTCAGTTCATTGAACACAGCGATGGCAGTGAATGCAATAGGCGCAGTGAGCTCCTTTTCTTCCAGTTTACAGAATGAATAGAAACTAACCAGAGTTACCAAGCTAGGAGACCTAAGATAGCCATGGTCAGTATCTACCATCACCGTGTATACAAATAGCATTATTACCCTTGCCACAAGAAACTAAACAGCACGCCTGACAGATAAGTAACACCCAAATGATGCAGCTCTACACGTCTTGCGTCCATCACACGCTGTTCCCACTTTTTTTCCCAAGCAAAAAACTTGATTTGACGTATCCCTTGCAACACTTCATTCATCAGAGACACACGCCTATCACGAGCCTCCATCAATCTATCTTGTGTCTTGGTATACATCTTTGCGTTGTAATGATTCAAAGGAAGAACCACCACCATGATCAACAAGCCCAAGAAGCAAGATTTGCCTAGCAGTTGGTACAAAAAGTAGATGCCAATTGTGAGCTCAGTGGAGATTTCAATGAAAGCAAACCACCATTGACTGAATTCAGAAATACGAGCAGTGTCTGTGCTCATCAAATTAACAATGGCACCTGTAGATGAGCCTTCTTCTTCTTCTTGGTCTTTGACCTGCGGAGATGCAGCAGCAAGATCGCGACGACGCAATGTCTTGCGGTAGATTTCAATACTCAGCATGGCTTTGACTCGGCTTTCCATAGAGGATGTCGCTAAATGATAGACAGTGTTAGCCTGAATGCGATGCAACAAAAGGGCTCGCTTGATTACCCAAGTACCACAACTGCCCTATTAAGAGACCTGACACCATGACAGTAGCGCCTAAACAAGCAACAATCACAAACCCTTTTCTGACAGAATCGTCCTCTTTCTGGCCATTCATATCTTGTATCAGTATCAAAAGACGATTCACAAAGTAGGCAGGCGCAAAGTAGCTGAGCGAGAGAAAGACAGCCAGCACAGCCTGGATGGCACCTTCTTTGCGATTCATCAGATAGATCCGTCTTAATAGACTGTTGCCTCTGGTTTTGCCAAACAGATGATACAAGTTGCGACCACGTAATAGCGGTGGCAGTATTGGTAAATCCTCGTCTGTCAATTTCTTGTTCTTGTAGGCCAAGTGGACCAAAGGCGTGACCCATGAGAAGTAGAGGAAAGAGTAGATTGAAACCACATTGATAGCTGCTACTTTTCTGCCATTTTCATCCAAGAAAGGTACGCCACGAGGTGTTGTGGCTGTTATAAAGACGAGATCAGACCCCAAAATTAATGCTAAAAGTCGAGGCACCATGTGGATCCAGTTATCAGAAGGATGGATTACATAGGCGCCGTAGACATCATACACAGCGATGCACCAGATCATGGTGTAAAAGATGCATAGATGCACATTGAGGATCCAACCCCATTCGCTAGGAAATCGATAGCGACGGGCCACTAGCACCAGCACAGATGCATACAACCAAGCAACGAATTGAGCACAAGCAGATGCAGTCATCCACCAGTCTGATGTCTGCTGTTGTTGGATCACGGTGTGATAGAAATCCAATGCAGAGAGCGAGGTCAAAGTCAACGTATCAAACGACAATCGAACAAAACGAGCGTCGTCATCTGCCACAGGTACGCTGGTATCTCTCTGCTTATCAAACATAGGCGGATCACGCTCCATTTGCTGGGATTTATGCAAATAGGTTCGTTGTAATGATAATACAAAAGCACTACCACACGTAACAAGCGCTAATGCACCAGATAACCAAGCATCTACTGGGATACTATCTGTCATGGTAAGGAAAATCACAGGAAAAGAACAAAAGGTGTGATTCTGATTTGGTCAGATACCAATAAAGAGAGTGCTTGCTGCGGCGCGCTTCTCATGTGCAACCCAGCGAAGAGTAATGTGGTAGATCGAACCCATTGACTTTATTTCTATACATGTTTATGTGTTACAAAAGATCTGAAAAAGCTAACTATACGAATAATATTGAAAAAGAAGTAATCTACAATGCGGCAATGGTAGTTGTTGTGTTGGTTTCACACCACATATCATCTTCCTCACTTTCTGGATCATCCATCCACTTGGTATGAGGCTGTTGTTGTTCTTGTTGTAGCTGGATATCTTTGCGGGGAGGAGGAATAGGGGCTGTTGCTGTAGTAACGTCCACCAAATCTCTTTGCAAGGGAATGATGCGTGGTAATTCATTGTTTTGGTGAATAGAGGTAGTGTATTCAGACATGTTGGGAGCTTCATCTCTTGCCATGGTCTTGGATCGAGCACGTCGAGGAGGTGGAGTCATGCTGTTATTCACTTGCAAGCTTTCTTCTGGTTGTTGTTGTTGTTGCTGTGATGGGGTACTAACAGACGCAACAGGAGCAGCGGGGGTAAGAACACTAGCACTGGGAGCAACAGGGACAGGTGGTAAAGGCTCAGATGGTGGAGGTGTGGGAGGTGGCATAGGCCAATTTGCACTGTTTTCTTTAGACACACTAAAACGCGCAGTGGTAGCAGCAGCGTTGGAAGTAGGAGAGGCGTTACTAAGACGGCGACTCACATCATCCATCATGTCTTGCTGAGCACCGTTGTCACCACCAAGAGACTCGGCTGTATTGATCAAGGAAACAGGTCTTGTTTGTTGATTGGATTGGACAGAAGAGTAGGAGAAATGCTTGATTTCAGCCACCTTTTCTTCTTCTTCAGAGGAATCAAAACTGATGGTGCTGCTGATAGAGGAAGAGATACTGTCAGCAGGGCTTTGAGGCACGCTACTTTCATGGGTCATCAGATGGTGGTAATGATTGATCTCTTGGAGGGTATTGCTTTCTTCTTGATCATGTTCTTCTTCGTCACTGGTATAATGGATTTGTTCTTGCTCTTCATCGTCATCTTCGTCAGAGGTGTCATCGTACATGTAATCACGAATTTGAGACACGTGAAGTTGGCTGTCTTGTTGCTGTTGTTGATAGTGTTGAGGAGAAGCAGGGTGATAATAGTTGCTGGTTTCAGCAGCGGGAGCCACGGATGTGGTGATCATGCTTCGTGTGGCTTGTGGCTGTGATGCTGGCTGCTGCTGTTGTTGTTGAGGGAGCACTTCTCTGCTGTTGTTGCGGCTGCTCATAAATTCCATGAGAAGAGCATCTTTTTCAAGGATGCTTTGGGTGAGCTCCATCATTTGGGTATCCATCGACATCTTTTGCGTCGTAAGTTGGTTCTTCAAATCAGCAATGACCTTGTCTTTGGCTTCAAGTGCTTGGTTCAAGGCACTCACTTGACCAGAGAGTGCTTCCATTTCTTGCATTTCCTTGGCATCACTGTCCACCACGACAGATCTTTCTTGAGGAGCAGCAGCAGCAGCAGCAGCAGCAGTAGTAGCAGCACTGAGCTGTTCCTGCATCACCTTGAGCTCAGATTCATGCTCATCTTGTTGTTTCCTCATCATGGCCTTGATCTCATAGTTGATCTTGCTCTTGTATCTGGCATATTCCTTTTGGATTTCAGTAGACACAGCCATCATGAGCTTCATTTGGCCCTGACTCATCTCCAGCTCAGCACGCAGAGCGGCGATGGTGCCTTCCAGCAGTTGCTTCTCTTTTTTGAATGCTGCTAATTCTTGGCGAAGACCAGCCATCTCCGCTTGAGTCTCCTCTAAATGAGAGGATTCATTTGTTAATTGAGTCAGCATGTCCAAATTGATTTGGTATTCTTCCAACAGCTGGTCTTGCTTGACGATAAGTTGAGCCAGTTGACGCACACGGACAATCTCCTTTTCCTTCTCCTCGACTGCATCGGCAATACCTTGACGAGAAATCTCTCCTTGTTGCTCCAGCTGGCGTTTGTAGAATTCAACGTCTTCCATGGCTTTGTTCAAACGAGCATTGTTTTGAGCGTACTGCGTTTTCAACGTCTCACATTGGAACCAAAGAGCAGCGGCTTCATCCATACTGTTGTTGACAGTAGTGGTAGTGGTAGAGGCGGTTTTGGTAGATGTACGGTCTGTTTCAATAGATCTGCGTAAAGGAGGCGATGAAAACCCATTTGCAGTAAAAGAAGAGGCAGTAGAAGATCTGTTGCTATCTTCCATGTCATTCAGATCCAAGCTAGACATGGATGCCTTGGAAAAGTAACCCAGGGATGGTGGTTGTTGCTTTGAGAGTCGTTGCTGCTGCTGTGGCTGATGTTGGTCAAGGGCCTGTTGAATCTCATCGCTCATTGATTTGCTGCTACTGCTAGAGAAGGATCTGACCTTGTCAAACAAAGGTGATCTGGGCGAAGTAGGTTGGGTGGTGGTTGATACAGAGTTGTTGCTAAAGCTTTGTCTAGTTCCTGTGACAGGTATATAATCAGCGTTAGGACGAGGAGATGTATTCACTTTGTTTGAGCGACGAGGGGAGAGGGAAGGGTCTGAAGAGCTACTAGTAGCAGACGGTGATGATGACGACGATGGTGATGATGATGTTAATGGATGCAATGGAGGTGATGTGATATGGTAGTTTCGGGAAGGGGTTATTTTGTGTTGGATAGTATTAGTACCTCCTGAATTATCTTCCTGGACAAATTTGTTCGACCAAACCGAGGAAACAGCCCCAATCTTTTTTAAACTGGCTAATTCTTTGTCAACCACCTTTTTCACAACTGGTGGTGCGGTGGCATTGGTGGTGGTAGATGCCTGTAATGCGGCATTGTTGTTGAACATGGATGTGCGCTGCTTCAACCATGATGGTGACGATGATCTTGTGGAGGCATCATTCAATGTGTCAGTCATTCTTTCTAGTGTTGTTGTATATGAAAAGAAAAAGAAAGAAAGAGAGAAGGCGAAAAAGAATGAAATGATGGATTTTATATATAGAAATCAATATACAGGTTAATAAGCGGAGAAAGTGGGTCGTTTGATGATACAAAAATACGCTGAGCGGAGAGTGCATCGGTAGCAAAAGGAAACATGGCACATGTATTTCCAGGAACACACACTTTATTATTACATGATACGGTGGGTAAGAGAGTGAGAGAAACTCAAGAAGTCGTCCTTCTTTGCTATCTTGTACATGATGAACACTAAACTATAACCCTAAATGGCCTCTTCCCCCCTTCCAAACATGTCTTGTTGTCGCCCTATATTTATACACAGATTTCATCACCTAATTGCAACATGTAAATGACTAAATTTAGCAATTATATTAGGCATAATTTCACATTGTGTTTGGCTTGATGAGAGACAGAAAGAGTGATTTGGTTTGTTCAACAGAATTAGTTACCAGCCGAGCTTAAAGAGAGATGAAATCTTGAGTAGTACACACGATGCTCTTAATTATAACAAAAGAAAAAAGTCATATACCGAGAACACGAGCAAGACAATTACAAGACATCTTGCTCTATATTTACTCGCTTTTTTTTTATATTCCAGGACATGTAAGGTCTGATGCTACACACCCATTGAATATATATTGCGTAGGACGAATGTTCCTATACTAATAAATGGCCATGCTTGTTTCGGTTGCAATTCCAGTAACTGAATGTTTCATTTCAGTATCCATCGTCAGCATAGTATAGAGCCATAGAGACTTGTAAACCTTTGTTGTACATCAAGGTTGATTGCAGAGAAATAAGCAAGTTGAGCAACATCCATTACTCGAATCATATTTTCACCAAGATCTTAACTAGTTTTACATCTTGTCTGAAATTAATGAGCCGAGTTTGGTAAGAAAAATTTATAATTACCACGTTCTTTTTTATTGTATTCTAGTCTGATCAGTGTGCTTTCCCCTTTATCATGACCTGAAACTGTCATTAGACGATGATTCTTTGCCTGCAAAGCATGTCAATTTGGAAAGCGATTATTTCGGAATGGATTCCGGTAGAATAGAATAGATGCAAAGCCATGTCAGTTAGATACAGCAGCATATCAAGGTGTAGGCAAACATTGTAGCCATGATGCTCAGCAGCGTATTATATACACACTTCCATCCCAATCATACGTTGTGGTGGATATATGAATTTTAACTAATAAAGAAAGAGTCTGGAATCTCGATGAGGCAAATTGCAATTATCATTTCATGTCGATACGGGTAGATAGCTGCTGCCATTCCGAATCCAACAGAATGTATCATATTACCAAGGGTATTTGTATCTATGCAAGCCCTTTTATAGTTATCTTCAGCAGGTTCAGTTCATACAATTGGTTTTAGTTTACGAGCAAGATGGCTAATTCATGTTACACCACAGCCATCTTTTCCCTGAATGTTCCTTGCTTTTTTCGTTTGTTTCTCGATCGTTTATCCTTTAGCTGATGTTTTCTTTTGGGAATCAGTTCCATTCAACGTGCTATTCATAGATTTACATTTGCACATTGACAGAATGACGGTAAAATTGTACCTAATTACATTGTAATTTGTCAGAGGTAATATCTTGCCACTTTTCTGAATGGTGGCTGACATCAAAGGTTAATATCTGGTTTCCATGTACCTCGGTAACCAGATGCTGATGTTTTACCCGGATACAAACGATATCTCTAGAACCTCGCTTGTGATCCTTTGATGTCAAGAGTCATACGAGGTAAAGGCATTTGATCCATAGGGTTGCATTTCAATGCACCTTTAGAAAATGAGCGAGTTCGCAACCATCCTAGAAAAATCATAGCCAGAGTTCGGATTTTATGCCGTCTTGATTTGTATCTGGTTTCGTTTTATTAGGAATGTTATCAGTGCTTGCAATATGCACATTTTCAATGGCCAGGTTCGCTTTCCTATGTGGTTGTCGCCATCCCAGACACTCTATAAATAGGTAAAGCACAAATAAAAGCTGATAAATGGCATTTTGCTTGGAGATTTCTGCCTATTGCTGTTTTAATACTGGGAATGATTGGATCAACCGCTAAAAAACACCCTTGTTTTTGTGAATATCGATTATAAGAAGGCTGCGATGGTAGCAGTCTGCGTCATTGAGCCTAATATGACAGTGCATTTTCTTGCCATGCTACTACAACTCTTTGCTTTGGCTAACTCTTTACAAAAACCTCTTTATAAAGCGACATAAACTATGGTTCAATGGAACTGCTCTCAGATGCAAATAGTGGGTAAAATCGGTCTGGTAGTTTTTACCCCTGAAACATTTTTTGATCCGACGCATCAGAGGCTTTAAAAGGTCAAAAGCCGTTTTTGACCTGCCAAGCATTTGATAGGAATCACAGCTTCTGTAAGCACTCAGATATACATATGTACATTGCAGATGCTATCAGGTGCTCCCATAAAGCGATGCTTCATAGTTACAAAAAAAGTCCATCATAGACCTAGATTGCAGTTATTATACAAAATTCAAATCTTCGCTATATAAACTGTAACACATTCAAAAAAAAAGTAGACAAGCCAATCACATCCTTTCAAAATTTTAAAGAATTGTGTGCCATACAAGGTGGATAAAACCATCGGCAAAGCCGGCAATGGGGAGGGGGGTTTGGGGGAAGAACATAACGCGTCTAATTCAACAGTTGATAGCATTGATCTATAGGGGTGTTTTATTGTAGCGAAGCAAAAACGCAAAGCCATAGTAATCAGGCGTCTAATCCAATACTTGGTAACATTGATCTATATGAGGGCTTGATCGCAGCGAAGCGAAGGTTCAAAACCATAGTATTCAGTAGCAAATCCGGTTACTCATTTCCATTATTATCAAGCTTACCAGCAACATAATGTATCAAAATTTGCATGAATTGGTCTTACCAAGACCAAGATGCCTCCTGTTCGAATTAGAAGTTGCACCAGCTGCAGAACTGCCCTTCCAGAAGACTTCAGCTACTAAAGATGTGATTCATGCCGTGTAAATAAAAGTCATAAAGCAAAAATACAGCCAAATTGAATAGTTTTCAAGCCTTTCATATCTTGGCATGTAGACCTTTCTGAGCCACCGGAATAACGCTAAACAGTTGCACTTGAGTAGTAGTAACTTCCTGGCACCTTTGCTCAATTTTTTGAAGACCTAAAAAACATGGCCAAAAATCGACCAAAAAGCATGAGGTACCCCTCATGGTTTTCATCGAAAATTAAACGATCGCGTTTTTCATCTCCAAAACGAAGACTTTTACTATGGTATACGAGCCTTTCAGCACTTCGGGTGGTTTCCTGACCTACGCTTCGCTTCGGTGGAAACCAACCTACGTTCAAACGGCTCGCGCTGCCGCGGGCCTTTGGCTAATATCCCAAAATTAATATAGCTAAAATGTTAGAAGAGGAACCCTGATTGTTGATTGATATATAATCACTAATCATATGAGTGTTTATGCTTCGGATGGTTCTCACCGAAGCGTAGCGAAGGTAGAGAACCAACCTGCGCAGCGGCAGCTCGTGCTACTGATTTCTCTTGCGTATTTTATCAAAATACTGCTACTTTCATTTTGACCCTCCACTTACACATAGCAACCCTTCATATTATCTGTGGATCTGATTCTTATGTGATGTTCTACATCCATATACACGTAGCTACTTCATATACGGGCAAGCAGCATACTGGTATTCCCACTTTTTAGTCCTTAGTGTCCCTAATACAGCAAAATATGAGTGCATTTGAGCTGAATTTTCTTGCGTTCAAGGCCGTTTTAGATCGTCAGAATAGCCCCAAATGGTTGCTTTCATCTGGCAGTTACTTTCTGACACTTTTGCTCGACTTTTTGGGGACCAAAAAAACATGGTCAAAAATCGACCAAAAAGCATGAGGTATCCCTCATGGTTTTCATCGAAAATCAAACGATCGCATTTTTCATCTTGATAATGGAGACTTTTACTATGGTATATCTTGAATCAAAATGTTTCTATCAATCCAAAGCAACCTCTGAAATTATCTTTGTGGGACTTTGATATGTAAAATTTCGACATTTTGGCCATAAACCTCTTTTCATATGTTTACAAATCATTTAATAAGTGAATTCAAAACATCTATTTTACTTAGTACCATTGGAAGCGCCTTGAAAAGTACTCCAGGAAAGCTTAAGGAAGCATGGGGTGATTATCATACTTCACTTAGTCGAATCTGCAAAAATAGCTCGATCGAGTCCAAAATTATCAAAATATGTCCAATCTGGAACAGACTATGATTCTGGGTTTGAATTAATTTTGGCTGGTAGGGCCAGCTGGAAAACTCATGCCCTTTTCATAAGGCAATACAGTAGTAAATGCCCTTGAAGCGTATAGAAAGTAGGTGGAAGGTCATAGCACTATCGTTTATAATGATATTTTATTGCCTTCTATATCGTTCATAATGATATTTTATTGCATTCTATATTTAATAACGTTAGTCTGGACATTGACAATGCATGGGTTGCATAAAATGTCTGCAGTAAGTAATGAAATCTCTGAGGCTCTGAGACGTCGCTCAAATAAAACATTGACAGCATTGAGCAGAGGAAAGAGGGTAGAAACAACAGTGGTTTTTGTTGATTGATTGTAAAATCATTATTCTCATATGAGCCAGGACAGATAGATGCCTTGAAACTCAGGTTCCATATTAGGATTGTAAAGTGCAAAAGTACTGAACATTTATTATGTTATGATATGAGCCAGGTCTGATAGATGCCTTGAAACTCAGGTTCCATATTAGGATTGTAAAGTGCAAAAGGACTGAACATTTATTATGTTATGATGATATGAGCCAGGACAGATAGATGCCTTGAAACTCAGGTTCCATATTAGGATTGTAAAGTGCAAAAGTACTGAACATTTATTATGTTATGATATGAGCCAGGACAGATAGATGCCTTGAAACTCAGGTTCCATATTAGGATTGTAAAGTGCAAAAGTACTGAACATTTATTATGTTATGATATGAGCCAGGTCTGATAGATGCCTTGAAACTCAGGTTCCATATTAGGATTGTAAAGTGCAAAAGGACTGAACATTTATTATGTTATGATGATATGAGCCAGGACAGATAGATGCCTTGAAACTCAGGTTCCATATTAGGATTGTAAAGTGCAAAAGTACTGAACATTTATTATGTTATGATATGAGCCAGGACAGATAGATGCCTTGAAACTCAGGTTCCATATTAGGATTGTAAAGTGCAAAAGTACTGAACATTTATTATGTTATGATATGAGCCAGGTCTGATAGATGCCTTGAAACTCAGGTTCCATATTAGGATTGTAAAGTGCAAAAGGACTGAACATTTATTATGTTATGATGATATGAGCCAGGACAGATAGATGCCTTGAAACTCAGGTTCCATATTAGGATTGTAAAGTGCAAAAGTACTGAACATTTATTATGTTATGATATGAGCCAGGACAGATAGATGCCTTGAAACTCAGGTTCCATATTAGGATTGTAAAGTGCAAAAGTACTGAACATTTATTATGTTATGATATGAGCCAGGTCTGATAGATGCCTTGAAACTCAGGTTCCATATTAGGATTGTAAAGTGCAAAAGGACTGAACATTTATTATGTTATGATGATATGAGCCAGGACAGATAGATGCCTTGAAACTCAGGTTCCATATTAGGATTGTAAAGTGCAAAAGTACTGAACATTTATTATGTTATGATATCAAATCAAAATGTTTCTCTCAATCTAACGTAACCTCTGAAACCACTTTTATGAAATCTTTATATGCAAAATTTCGATATTTTGGCCAAACCCCTTATTTCAGACTTTTTGGAATTGCTCATTAAGTTCAGTCAAAACATCTATTTTACTTGGCATCATTGAAAGCGCCTTGAAAAGTACTCCAGGAGTGTATTAGGGAGCGTAGGGTGATCATCACAGTTTATATAGTCGAATATCGCAAAACAGATGAAAGAAGTCGAAAAAAGGACGAAATCCGTCCAATCTTGAACAGAAAACAATAAACTGGGTTTGAATCAATTTTAGTGGATGGCGCTGCTGCTGGCTGGCCTAAATGCCTTTCTGATAATGACAATGATAATGGCAAGGATGATGGCGATATTGATTAAATGTGGACCATGGAATTGAAAGGACAATTACTTAGCTAGAATAACTTCCTTTCTTGTATTTACACATGGCCAGCTTTATATCGCCATATTAAGAGCAGCATCAGCGAATGGATACCTTCTCCTCTTGACTCTGATATATCCTTTCTTTTACCATTAATTGATTGCTTAAAATCTACTTGATATGCCAGACTTTTATTATCTTTGATGTGAAATGTCTTCAGCAAGAGCTCGCAGGGAGACGCCGTCATTGAGCGTAGCGAAGTTGATCGGCCAGTGTATGTATACTTGAATCTGGTCGACAATGAAGCATCACTAGTTATGATGTTTCAACTTCCAGCAATTGATTCAAGCAACGCAACTTGGAAACCCAAATACAGTTCCTTAAAATCAATATAAAAGTGCTCACGTCAAGTTTTGAAGCATATACAACACAGACTCCCTGTATTGGAGAAGCTGACGATCGCTTGTGGGTCCGCCTCCTCCAAATAGTGAAACACTGAGAGATCGTGTTACTTGAATTGATAATTTCAACTATAATACCTCATCGAGTGCCTTTTCTGTGGGTAGCCTCCCACTGGTATTTGGCGTCATTGAAGCACTCGTTTTTTTTTGGGGCCAATCGTCCACAACTCAATACAATCGATAAATACCAGGGATGTGTTACTGAAGGAAAGGCAGCCTCTCTATAATACATAATACTTTACACAAATGGGCTTCATGTGGCCGAAACATATATGCTTGGATGACAGAGGACGGTTGTCTGATTGATTGAGCCAAGACGCTCGCTAGCCATGAGGAGCCGTCAAACTTGTTAATGAATTTCATCGCGCAGATTAGATCAAGCTCATTATTTCCAAAATTGTAGAATCATCACAGTGTTCACAGAAAGGAAGAATGGGCCGCATGCAATTCTGGGCCAGTGTCTTGGTGTCCAAGCTTTTTTGTATCCTAGTTCCCAATGTGAATTTACGAAAAAAATATGCTCCATCGAATCTGTTGAAGGTCATAACGAAATTTATTTGACAATTTGTATGTATGTGTGTATATATGTATAGATGTTACTCTGCTACGGTCGTTCCGTCCTGCAGAGACATGTTGGCAGTATTTGAGGCCAAAAACTTTTCATTTTCTAAACGCTCACGCTCCTTTTCAGTTTCTGCACGATCGAATGCAGAGAAATCAATAGCATCTTCCTCGTCATCATAATCTTGTGCAAGGGCAGGGTTGAAATCAAACAGATCTCTACCTGACATACCTTGGGATCGACCGGCCTTGACACGGTTCTCTTTAGCCTTGCGAGCAACAGATTCCTCAGCTTCCTTTTTATCGAGACGAGTCTTCTTCCATTGTGTGAAGGATTCCAAAGTAACAGGTGTTTGGTTGGGACCAAGTTTATGACGCTAATAACGCATGTCAATCTCCTCTGTTTTCCGACAGATCCTTGTACACTGAACTTACCTCACTCTCCAAAAATTCCTCAAGAGAAATCTCTTCCTTTTCATCAGCCTTGCTGTTCTTTGACTTGAGAACGAAACCAGGAGGAAGGGCGTGTCTGTATTTACAGGATGTACCGCCATTAGGACATTCCCAGAACCAACCATACTTGCTGGACTCGATGGCTTCCAAAAAGTATTTACAGACGATATCAGTGGGAGGTTGCTTTTGAGATTTACTTTGAACAACTTCTTCCAATTTCTTTTGATCCCAAGTATCCATGGTGTCTGTACGTGAACGCGTGAGTATCAACTCACCTAGCCAGCCAGATACCTCAAAGCACACTTACCATCAGCTCTGTGATCAGTATACAAATCCTTCTTTTCCACCTTACGACCCACATTCAGATCGTGAGAGAATTTACACTTGGCGCCTCTTTCACAGTTGCCTTGCTTAAAGTATATACAGAGCACTGTCTTGGGATCAGTACCAAATGGCACCTTTTGAGGTGTCTGAACAGGATTGAAAAGAGCAGCAAACTCCTCTCTCTTCTTTTGTTCAGCAGCCTTCTTTTCAGCAAGGGCCTCTGCCTTGGACTATACAGCATAATCAATACCTGCCATCATGCCATGGTACAAAATCAATGACTTACTGGGCCGCCAGCTCTTTGCTCAGCATTGTGCTTGGCTTGCGTATTGACTTGCTGGATGTAACGTTGAACCTTGGCAGATTTGTTCTTGTTTTTCATACCAAAGGTTTTATCCTCGGCAGCCTTTTCCTTCTTTTGCTTATCCTTCTTGGTTTGTTGCTTCTTGGGAGGCATTTTCGAAATGATTCTATGAGAGAAAGGGAGACTAAAAATATTTTTTTCACCCTAAAAAGTCTTGGATGCAAATAACACACAGCCGGGGACTGGCTTTGAGGCTTGAAATGATACAGCATTTGGAAGACTATATTAGAATCAAACATATAGACATTGGAGGGGGGGTATAAAGAATAGAGTTTATTGCATAATATGAGGGGCCAATGTGAGGCTGTAATGCGCCATAATGATGCGAATTAGGGGGGAGAAACAGAGGAGGGGTGGGGTATCGAAATGTTGCCATGACAACTGATTTACCGGGGAGCATTCTTTTTCTGCTGCTGCTGCTGCTGCTGCTGCTGCTGCTTTTTGAGTTGCTGTTCTGCGGCAGCACGAGCAATGATGCTTTCAATCTCTGATCTACGCTCAGCAACCTTGATGCGGTTCTGCTCAATGTTAAAGTAGTGTCTCAAGAGTAAGGCACTGACGACCGTCAATGTACCCAAAACAAACATCACCACAAACATGTAAATATTGGAGTAATAAACAACATCATCGACATCATCCAATGCATTAATCAAGGCTACACGGACAAGGAATTCACTGACCAAACCGAGGCCCCAAATGCCTGTCAATGCTCGAAGGAAATGACGAAACGTAGCATAATAATCCCAAAACCAATCCCAATGTTCACGCACCGTATTAGCATTCATCAAGACATTGCTGGATATGGCAATCTGTCTAGCTACATAAAACATGAAAGGACGAAGCACATGATACCGCCAGCGAAGAGGAAACAATGTCAAGATCAACATGGTGCCCATAGCGAGTGTCATGGCTGATTCTCGCAACAGGTACAATTTGGGATCAGATTGCACAAATGCCAATATAGCAGATACCACAAACCCCATCAACATTAGCACGCCCATCATGTCCACCTTGCGCTCCTTATAGCCCTTGACAACAACAGCGATGGCAGTAGGTACACCCGCAAGCAATAAAGCCAGTAATGGAGAAACAAAGCTACGCAATACATAGTACAGCACAATAGGCAGCACCAATTCAAACAGCATATGGACAGCCATACCAACAAAGGCATGTAAAAGAGATCGACGGTTGGGAATCGAAGACTTGAAGAAAGTGGGCACTCGGTGAACGCCACGCACCTTGGGACCATCGTTCAGCAACGGCGTGGATGCAGTAGGTGTTGGATGAGTACTACTGCTTGTACTTGAATGTCGACTCATGATGTGATGTGGAGAGAAAGAGAGAAAGGGAAATAAGATATGTGTGGGGAAGAGGAGGGCTTTTATATACCCATCAGAATAAGGGGCAACAAAAAGCTTTACTACTGTGGATCCCATAGATATCATGATGGTTCTATACGGCCACGCATGCGACGTCACTGGGTGGGTCTCTCTCCCTCTCCGTCTCTCTCTCTCTCTCTCTTTGAATGTGGGCATTAAATAAGCTTGCTGGCGCGGAACAAATGCCACACTCTTTTCTTTCCTGTCTTTTATACATATTTCAACATGTCTGGCATCAAGCGCAAAGCCGAGCTACAAGTTCCCATTACAGATGAAAACGATCTTCTCAAGATCACACCGCTTGGATCTGGCAACGAAGTAGGCAGATCGTCCATCTTGTTGGAATACAAGGGAAAGACCATCTTGGTAGGTTATAAAATTTTTTCTTTTTCTTTATTACAGTTTAATTATCACACTGTGGATGATGGCAAGTGGAGCACAGAGAAAGCTAGTAGAGACATAGATAGGATGTGTTGTATTTTTCGAAATAAAATTGATTTTATTGTTTACAATGTGATAATTATCTGTATTTACCAGTGTTGATTTTGATCATGGCTTATTGATTTATTTCTTGATAATTGTGTAGCTTGATGCTGGTATCCACCCTGCTTACAATGGTCTGGCTTCTCTGCCGTTCTTTGATGAAATGGATCCTGCAAGCATTGATGTGCTCTTGGTGACTCAGTAAGTGCTGCTAAAGAATGACATGAATTAAAGAGTTTGACACATCCGTTGTCAGTTTCCACGTCGATCATGCTGCGTCGGTGCCATACCTCATGGAAAGAGTAAGTGCTACTGGCGTGTACGAGTGTATTATCATTGACGTGTGTTGTGTGTAGACTACATTCAAGGGCCGTGTATTCATGACACATCCTACAAAGGCCATCTACAAGTGGCTGTTGAGTGATTATCTGCGTGTTAGGTATAGATTTAGCTTGTTGGACTCGGGAGTCAGGCTCTAATATATTTGTACACAGTAACATTGGCGACGAGGATCAATTGTACAGTGAGGAGGATTTGCTCAACTCATTTCACCGCATTGAAGCAGTTGATTATCACCAGCAGGTAGAGGTGGAAGGCATCAAATTCACCAGTTTCAATGCTGGACACGTCCTTGGCGCAGCCATGTTTCTGATCGAGATTGCTGGTGTCAAGGTTTTGTATACTGGCGACTATTCAAGAGAAGAAGATAGACATTTGATGGCTGCTGAGAAGCCAGAAGGAGCAGTCGATGTCTTGATTACAGAGAGTACGTATGGTGTGCAGAGTCATGAGCCTAGAATTGCAAAGGAATCTCGCTTTACTTGTAAGTGTGTGCTACTCGTTTGATTGACTACTTGCTAAGATCTGCTCCTCTAGCTCTCATCCACAATATTGTTGGACGTGGAGGACGCTGTTTGATGCCCGTGTTTGCTCTGGGTCGTGCACAGGAACTACTGCTGATTCTCGATGAGTATTGGGAGGCACATCCAGAGTTAGACAGCATCCCCATTTACTATGCGTCCAGTTTGGCCAAGAGATGTATGGCCGTCTATCAGACGTATATTAACATGATGAACGCTCGTATCCGCAAACAATTCGCCATCTCCAATCCATTTGTGTTTAAACATATCAGCAATCTCAAGAATGTGGAACAGTTTGAGGATTCAGGACCCTGTGTGATGATGGCAAGCCCTGGTATGCTTCAGGTACGTACGCGAGAGTCGACACAGTAAAATAAGGGTTGCACTGAGCTCCCATGTTGTTGTTTTTTTTAGAATGGTTTATCAAGAGAGTTGTTTGAACGATGGGCTCCAGACAAGAAGAATGGTCTAGTGATTACAGGTTACTGTGTAGAGAATACATTAGCGAGAGTAAGTAGATGCAACTATCTATCCTGTTGATAATCAACTCAACATGTGATAAATAGCAAGCCATGAACGAACCCTCAGACTTTCAGGCCATGGATGGCCGCAAGGTGCCGTTGAAGATGTCGGTAGACTACATCTCCTTCTCTGCCCATGTCGATTTCACTCAAAACAGCAAGTTTATTGACGATGTTAAAGCACCTCATGTGGTAAGCATGGACAGACTTCAATCCCAACACACACGCTAATCTTATGAATGGATCAGATCTTAGTCCACGGTGAGGCCAATGCCATGTACCGTTTGAAATCTGCTCTCCAGAGCAAATACTCTGAAAGGGAGGAAAATGTCACCATCTACACACCCAAGAACTGTGATACTGTCAAATTACATTTCCGTGGTGAAAAGATGGCCAAGACCATTGGTAGACTGGCTGCCAAGTATCCTACAGAGAATCAGCCTTTGAACGGCGTGCTTGTGGTAAAGGATTTCCAGCTGAATATCATGAGTCCTGAAGATCTGAACGAATTGGGAGGTTTGATCACAACAGTGGTAACACAGCGTCAAGTTGTGCCATTCAATGCGGGCATTGGCCTTTTGAAATGGCATCTGGAGATGATGTTTGGCACTATTACAGAGTCTGAGTTAGGGGAAGGTGATGGTGCTGGTAATCAACAGGGAACCGTGCTTCGCGTGTTTGATACCATTGATATCAAAAAGTTGACTTCAAGCCCGAATCAAGTGACACTGGAGTGGATTGGCAATGCTATGAATGACATGGTGGCTGATTCCGTGCTTGCTGTTTTATTGTCTATTGATAGTTCTCCTGCTAGTGTCAAAGGTAAGAAAGTCTATTACCAAATTGTATACGCCTAAGATGGACTCACTCGACTGTGTTTCTAGCGAGCTCTCAACCATGCTCTCATAGCCACGGCTCGCCTAAATCTGAAGAAACCGAAGCATTAGAGAAGGCGGAGCAGTTGGACAAGGAGTTTTTAGATATTGCTTCTTTCTTGGAGGCACAATTTGGAGAGGTTGAGATGAATGAAAAGGAAAAGAAGATCACAGTCAATATGGACGGCATTGCAGCAACTGTAGATACACTTGAATTCGTAAGTTCCTAGTACAGCAACCTCACTATGTGAAATTAATGCATGCGCACTGATTTAGGCGGTCGATTCTGAAAATGAAGCTTTTAAAAAACGAGTATCTGATATAGTGGATCGAGTCAAGATGGCCATGAAGCCCATTTCAAATCTCCACGAATGCTTTGCATAATCATCATTTCCTACAAACATGTTAATAAAGCAGAATTTGCAAACAATGAAACCAAGTGCCATTGGCTTTTTAATATCATTTTATTGTGTACTGTGTTTGTTGCTACTGGTGTGGGAGTGGGCTAAAGAGTTTGCCTGATAAAGAGAAATATACAGCCCCTTCTTTTCTTCATCCTTTTCGATTGATGCTGATCCTGATGTGGGGTAGTATAAGCATTTGTATAGATTTTATCATCGTCAGCACGGCAATGTGTAGGTGTCAGGGTGAGGCGAATTGTATCCTGCTTCTTTTCATATTCGCAGTGCTCGCAGTAGTATTGAAACAGAGGTATATTAACGTTCTCCAATGCAATATGAGGACACGGAAAGCCGCAATTGATAATATCCGTCATGTTATTCCTGGTCATGACATGTTGCATGTACTTTTTGACATGATGTGAGCCATAAAAGAGAGCAGATGTCGTCTTGTTGTGAGATGCTTCATGTTGGCGGTGACTAGGTTGGCATACTTGGCCTGTGATCTTTCTTTCGCAACACAAACAAATAGGCCTGCCGCCAACAGCACCCTGAGATAAGGGTAGCTTTGGTGACACAAGTGAAGAGAAGAGTTCATACAGCATGGTGGTATCATGAGATACTTTGAACTGGCTGTCTTTTTTCTCAAGCGGTTTATTGCTTTGTGGTAACGGACATGTGGAATTGCTACCGAACGATGGATTGATGACATTCACTTTGGCCGGTAAATGCAGTGACATTCTCTTCAAGACATTGGGTGATGTGATGACAGACATGGCGTATGTAGCTGATAAAAGAAAAGAAAGAGAAGGGAGGAGAGCAGTAAAAGGCTACATTTATACATGTCAAAAAGCGAGCAAGGAGATATTTCCACTTTCATTATGTTCCATTGCATCCAGTCTGTATATAATATGTATTGTCCGTTTTTTATTGTGTTGATTGCAAAAAGCAATGCCATGTGTCGTTATTTACAAGATGATGAAATAGATGCTTGTTCTTTGGTGTATATGCATAAATGAATGGGGGATTGTTAGCCAAAATGCTTCTTGAATCGTCCTGCTTTAATCACATCATGACAAGTACTGGCTAATAAATCATAGAGTTTGTTTCTGTCAGGGGGGGGGGTAGAATCAGTTAGCATACACTGTGACACATGCACAAAGAAGAGACATACTTGAATTCGGGCACCTTGCTCTCATCTGCACTCTTATCAAACCAAAACTCGATTCTATCACCACGAAATCGCTTCGACACAGTAACCCCAACCACACCGTCCTCTGCAAAGTTACCGCCCACAAAAGCACAGAGAATCCATTCAAACAATTCACCCAAAAGCTGGTTGTCATATACTATGACGAAGAAGCGACCTCCATCCTTATTCACAGGATCCTCCCACATGGGTTGAATACCATGGATAAAGCAAAAGATGTTCTGGTTTGCTGTCAGCTGCGAAGGTTTCTTGTTGCACTTTTCCTTGAATGTACGCCAACGAGCTGCAAACTCCCATACTGATCCGCATTCAAACACGGGCTTCACGGTAGAAATGTACTCTGGTTGCTTGGATTGAGTAGTGACACGGCTGCCAGCGGTATCACTGAAATAAAACACACAGGGCTTGATGAGCGGTAGGCTGCCATCATTCAACATGCCTCGCTGTTGCAAGTAGGATTTGGTGTATTGGAATCGTGTTGGGTTCTCCTTGACTTTGATAGGGTCAGCCCAGATGGGTAATTGCTGCTCTTCCTCTCGCTCTTCTACCTGGTCTTCTTCCTTGATATTTGTGCCTTGAATTTGCTGCATTTCTTTAGAGGGGTTGTGCATGGTTTCACAGGCATGACCAGGGTCACGATCCAATAGCCCTTTTCCTGTCTCAACTGTAGGTGCTGCTGCTGCTGCTGCTGCTGCTGCTTCTAGTTGTATTGAATTGCTGTGCGCTAATACTACTGGATGACTTGTCTGTGCGTCACTTGATGCCTCTTGTGCTTTCTGCTGCTGCTGCTGTTGATATTGTTGATGCAACTTACTATGGCTCTCCAAAATAAACGAGGAAATGCTGGATAAGCTACTAGTGGTGCTCTCAGAGCTAAATCTTCGGATCAATTCCGTAGACGCAGCATCGGATTGAAATGACAAGCGTCTCATGTCGTAATTCATTTGAGTTTGATTACTACTGCTACTACTACTAGTACTGCTACTGCATGGCACAGATGGACACTCCATCATGGGCTTTGTTGACATTGATGCTTTGTTGGTATTAGGGTGTGAGTATCTTCTGGTTGTCAAAGTGCTAGCATTGATGGCATTATCCGAATTTTGTGTACCGCTACCATTGCTAGCATGTCTCTTCATTCTGTATGATGTTGTACGCGTCCAGTAACCGTCCAATGTAGAGATGAACAACACATTATCCAGGCCAACATTCAAGGGTGTCTTTGATGTGGTTTCTAGCAATGCCTTGCGCATCTTGAGCGGCTTTTTTGTGTTGTTTGCTGCTGCTGCTGACAGAAAAAGATTTGGGTAGTGATGGCTTTTAGGTGATAGAGCAGGAATATAAATCAAAAGCTTATTCTGATCCCGATGTTGATGGAAGATGCTCTGTTCACTGGCAAACTGCTCTGTTGAGCACATGTCAAAGTGGTTTTTGTGGTCGATTCTTGCTGAAGTACGATGGTAAGCAGTCATTCTTTTCTGATTTGCTTGTCAACGTTTTGAAAGAGAAGAAAGATGGGGAAAAGAGATAGGGTTTGGATACAAAGGGGGGGATTTAAAATGAAAAAGGGGGTACTACAACGAAAGAGAGAGAGAGAGAAAGAGCCCATTTTTATATAAAGAGAAAGACAGAGAGAAAGAATAAAATCAGCTGAGCACAGAGTTGTATACACAAAGAACCTTGTTATGGATTAGAATCGTTTTTATTTATTTATTTATCGTTCGTACAATGTAGGTGATGAGGTAGATTTCAGTAAATAAGCAGCAAAGAGTAAGAGTGAGTGAGAGAGGAGGGGGGTTATATGTAAAATGTATATGGGTGTATATTACAATGGGATGCTCTAATCCTTTAAATTCCATTTCTGCTGATAGCGACGTAATCTCGAATGTACATTTCTATTATTACTGACGGCATAAAATCTTGGCTTGCTCTGGCTGTGTCGTTTCGAGCTATCGATCATCTCTAACTTCTTCAACCTTAATGCTCTAGCGTTCTCCTCTGCATCCAGTTTGGCATGCTCTATCTTCATGTTGGACTCGACAGATGTGAGATAATCCAGCACATCTCCACTTGCAGGCATATGGTACATTGGCAAACTGGAACTGAGCATTGGCTCCATAATGCCTTCCTCTTGCTGTTGTTGTTCAGCTTGACCAGCCAAGAAATCGTTTGACATGAAATCGTCAATAAATTCCTCGTTTTCTATAATTTTGAATGAAACGCCCCGTTCGAGTTGTTGCTCATCTTCTACATCGACTTGCACTGATTGTGTTTGCGATGTCTGTTGATCTATTAATTCAGCACCGGGTGCAGCTGGTTCCACAAAAGGTTGTAAATTCATCATGTAACTAGCTAATACATCATCGACTAAAATATGAGAAAGAGGGTTAATGCCAAATCATCGTTGTCATGGCAACGCCATAATGAAACTCACGTTTTTCTTGATCCTGTTCTTCAATCGATTTGCTGTTGAAGAAAGGCTTCTCATCGTCATCAGATAAGCCCAACAGAGGTCTATGGAGCGAAAAGAATGAATGGTGTGCAAATTCAGTTTCTGGAATATTGATGACAGGCATAAATGGAATCTTGGTGCTCTTGGCTTTGTCTGCTGCTAATTGAAAGGGTTGTTGCTGTTGTTGCTGCTGTTGTTCCCCATTATTATTTGTTGATGGCTTCGCAGCAGCCTTGTCTTTTTCGACTGCATTTTCCAATTTGGTAGCTGAAGAAGAGGAAGAAGAGCTCAGGCGAACAAAAATCGATCTCGTTACTTGAGTGCTTCTTTTGCTAATAGTGAGAAAATGAGGTTTGTAGGTAAACATTTGTAATAGAGTAATAATAAATAAGAGAAAAAGAGTAATTTTCACACAGGCATGGTCGTTCACCTCCCCACCTCTATAATTTTAGTTCTGCTGGGTGTGATTCACACAAAGCTACTCGTAACCAATAGAAAACACAACATTTAGTGTTCATAATGACCAATTCTTGTTCCTCTTACCACACTACATAATCATTTTCCAACAATATGAACATATCGCAGCTGGATATACCACAGTTTGTTGTTATTCATGACAAGATACACAATACATATAAACATCCAGTCATTCACTATGTGTTTGAAGACGAAGATTTCCCTCTTGATATACCAAAAGACAATGTTATCTTGGTGGAGCTCGACTCGACTGCTTCTCAACTTAAATCTGTAGATAGCTATAGTGCTAATTTCCAAGTAACCGACTGTGTATTAGAACAGAGTCAAATGAGTGATCAGTTTGACGAAGATGCGAGCTTGTTGAATTTGACGATTGAAGGAATATCAGCTCGAAAACTGTAAGGCCACCCAACATTACCATCATGGCACTCTACTAATGCCGTTTCGCAGTAAGGAAGATATTGAAGGTATTCAGCCGATTAAGAATCTCGATAACTTAAGAGAACAGCTTCATAGCTACAAAACCAGGTAGGGATGGAATGCCATCTTATCATGATTAAACTCGACATTGAATCAATTATGTTTAGAAATGAAATCATCAAGAAAGTCTTTTCATCACCGCAAACAGATCCACCTCTTTCAGAAAACTAACTCTCATAGTAAATACAATCCACATCATCACATCCAGTATTACAACATTTATGCATTTCATCATGAAATAAATCATAACCTTGATTTCATTGGTGCCATACCTTTGAAGATTTGCCCTTTGTTCCTATAGTAAATGGACTGCTTTGTGGCTGTCATAATCTCTTCATTCTAATTGAAAAAAATGTTTTCAGTTTGAAAGGGATCGATTGCTTTATCTGTTCTCCCAAGAAACTATACAACAATGGCTAGAAGTTTAAGATCACACACAAAGAAGAGAACCAGAGGTATTGTATTTTGAGGGCATGTGGCTTCTATATCCTGGAGCAGATCAATCTAATCAGTCGACATGTAGCTCTCAAGAGAGAACAAATTTTCAAGCCTGTTGAAGATGCTCGTCTTGCTCGTTTAGCACAAGCTCAAGCTGATGCTGCCAAGAAGCCCAGTGTTGGTGATTTTATGGAAGAGGAAAAGGAAGTCGCTGCTTCTTCCACTGCTGATGCTGATGCCATGACTGAAGAGGAGCCCAAGAAGAAGATTTCTACCAGTGGACCTCGCAGTAATAGACATGCCAGAAAACTGAAAGAGAAGAAGAAGAAGGGAAAGAAGTCTGCTATCAAGTTTTAAATCATTCCCCATCCCTCCTTTTTTCAACTCTTTATGTTTCTGTCTCTTTTTTTTTTTATATTAATCGTTACCACTATATTTTTTGTTCGTCTTTTACTATCTCATTCAAAGCATGTACATACACTTTTTACTCAAAATGGCAATAAAATTTACATGGATGTTAATGCTATGACAGCCATTCTTATTTCTATTTCTTCAAACGACAAGCCAGCCAAACTATAGCTTTTATGACAAAACACATCTGCGTCGTTTGTGAGATGGAGGCATATGTTCATTAAGCAAATGATGGAAAAAGCTGGCTTTTCAGTTCGGGAATGTAATCGTACAACTAGAAAACATTCAGCACGTTGTTCCATGAATCAGCCTTCCTTTTTGTTAAGCGACTTCCTTCATCATTTGAAGTAGTTGATATGAGGCGGCAAAACAATCTGACTCGATACAAATATTGGATGGCATTACTGATATAACATATGTTGCCAGGCTTTCTTAAACCCTTTGGTTTTGTTGAGATTCTGGCAAAAAGGCTAGATACCTACAACTATCATCTTGATCAATATGCAAGCTACCTTCTCTGTGGCTCAGTAGGATGGTAAAACGGATCGAGTTTCGTTGATTATACTTGTCTTGGTTAGCTTTCTTCTCCCTTTCTATCTCTCAATGTTTGTTTATCAATCCTGCATTTCGAGCCGTAAGTCGCAATCAAATCCTGGCAACTCGCTTTAATATGTAATCCAAAACAGGCGTAAGCTTTTGCTACATCGTCTAGAACATTTGCTTTCGTATTGATTGTAACCAGCGCATCTTGAACTGCCTTGCAAGGTTTGTTGAAGGCAACCACTTGAATAGCATCAATATATCCCTACTTTGAGTTGGCAAAAGTTATTGGATCGCCCGTCAGTCCTTGAAATACAGTACTAAATCACTTGGCATCCAACACAAACACCCAGTGCCACAGCGGCCTACTCGGCGCTCGGTTTTATCTTGCATATTCTTCACTCTGCATTGCCATTTACTGCCAGTAGGGCCTGTATAGTCTCCTCTACAACCGCTGCAGATAATATAGCTTCTCTCTTGAAACCTGTAAAGAAGCTCATGGGAAGCTCTCAATGCTCTCTTTGCAAGAGCATGTATATAAAGACATGGTTTGAAGTTGTAGATCTGATGGCCAAGGTATCTGGGAAAGTTCTCCCTATAATTTCATTAGATTCTAAACTGTGTTGTGCCATCAAGATTCCACAAACTTGATAGTTAGGAAAAGCAGATAATCCAATCCATCTCTAAAGATAATCAAGAAAGATGACCGGAAAAGCAGGCGACATGAGTGTGTATCGAAAACCGTAATTACATTTGCAACGTCAGTATGTCATTCCTTTGTCGCCGGCAAGGTGAAAGTAATGGCAGTCTGCAGGATAATGTTGAATTTCTGCGATAATGGTTCTGACCCAAGAATGACAAACAATGCAGAAAAAGTAGCGAGCACTCCGGTCTCTTCGTGTGTTGGGAGAACCCAACATCATATCTTGAAATCGATGCTGATAGCATGTTTCGCCAATGCTCTCTAGATGTTGAACAATTGTCAACAAAGATGTCCCACAAACCTAGTCTATTCAGTCCAGACGTTGACAGTGATGTATAGTGTATATACGCTATGGCGATAAAGATTTGTCTGGGATGTGAGAAGATTACTCAAAAGTTGTGATTATTTGTTATAGGCGCAATTGGATTCTTGTAAAATCAATTCGGAAGTACATAGTAGATTCAACCACCAAATACTTGAGAAGGTGTCTGTATGAAGCTGTATAGTTTCTGGATAAACACCAATGTTGGAAAGAACATGAGATATTTTTACAGTACGGTGGATAGAGAGTTTGTTATAGTTAAGTGTTGGTTCTCTGCATATCGCCTGCTCCCATAATCAAAACTGGATGTATATACAAGCATTGATCTGTGGTGCATATAGAGTATTTATATTAAACCCTTTAAAATTTTTTGCTAGATGGTGCCTCCTCTTCTCTTTAACTCAAGACATAAAATGACTGTTACTTTGCTTAACCAAGCACCAGATGTTGGCTCTTTGAAGCCTCGTCATATTCAAAAGGATACTGCCTTGTTGATTTCGCCTCCATTAGCAGGTCATCAGGGCCCTATCTTTGGTGAGCTCTATATCTGTGAAGAGTAAGCTATCCGAACCGATATACTAAGAACACGCTTTCTATTAACACTGCCAAACTAGCCAATTCTACTTTTATTCAGAATCTGCACAATCTGGTATTGCCGTAGAGTATCCAGATATCATCGTTCATGCCATCTCCAGACAAGATGGTCAACCCAACATTTACTGTCAACTTGACTCTGGCTTATTTTTCCCTAACCAGCAATTACCAGAAGATGAGCAAGAAAGAGAAGAAACAGTGACAGAGTTTCGCTTGATTCCTAGAGATGGTGGTGCTTGTAAGTTGACTATTGAGGTTTGATTCAGCAGCAATGTCTAATGGTTTGTTTACAGTGGAGGGTATCTATATGGCAATGAATGAGTGTGCTTCTCTTCATCCTGACGAAGAATTCATGGCTGAACAAGATGCCTACGACGACGATAATGAGTTTTATGCTGATCCTAGCGACGAAGCAGAATTGAACGAGATGCAACAAGCCGCACTTAGACATTTGGAATCTGTATTCGAGCCTCCTACCATGAATGGACATAAAGAAGAAGACAACCTGTTTGAGGATGCCGAGGAGGCAGAGGGAGAACATCAACACAATCACTAGCAAAATTTGTAAATAATAAAAGGAATGAAACGTAACCTAGATGCACTAAATACAGTGGGCTATATTAGGGATCACATACAATGAATGGATCTACGTGTGTTTAATCTGTTCTAAGAATCGAGGATTACTTTATTTGAACGGCATGTCCTTGATAAAAATATTAATAATGATGAGGTGATGCAATATAAGGATTTTTCTTTACTTTTGTTCTTCGATGGCTTTTCAAAAGCAATTACAAACGTGAATGAATGTTTATATATGCATGATGGGCCAAAAGGTATCTCAGCGTCAATGAATAGATCACTTTCACTGTCGCATCTCACAAAATAGCTCATGTTTGGTAATGTCAAAGGCTCAATGGAAAACGAAAAGTACGGTACACTCCTGGATTATCCCCATGGTTGATACTACAGTACTTTGCGAAAATAGGCTATCTGTATATTCAACTGGCTCCTTGTTGTATTCATAATACATGTACTTAAATCGCAATAATATCGTAATAGTTTGAATTTAACAATGAATTTTGCGTATATGGAGCCTATGTATAAAAGCTGAATCAAAATACGAATGATTATCAGGATGGCTATCACATAAGCTAAGGTTTGGTAAGCTTTTCTTTACATACTACACTGTATTCACCATGATTTCTACCAGGAATACATATCACGGCAACGTTTTAACTGAAAAGACTGTTTCTCTGGATTTTACCAAATGAAACCTACTAGTAGTAGTGTACCGGTAGTAGTGTAACTTGCTGATCAAGTTCTGCAATGATTCTAGTAGAAGCAGTTCCGGTATAGATGCCATCTAGAATGCAGATCTATTGTAGTAAAAAAAAAGGGTTGAAAAAAGCAATTAAAATCCTGCTTTATTCGAAATTAGGATAATTTGTCTGTATTTTTTGGTTTATATTTCTTCTTAACTGGCAGCAGTTTAGTAGTTACCAGTGATTTCATTATTTTGAATATTATTGTCTGGTTATTTAGTTGTTGATCTGATGGATCAAGAACAGTATTTCAATATATGGTTTGTGAATCATGATGCGTAAATAAAAACTCATTATCGTGAAGCATGTATCATGTTGAAGTTCATTTATGATACAAAACATTATTACAATAATACCCGTGAAATTTACTTTAATATCTGCTATCTCTTATTTTAAAGTGTTTTACCCTTGCTATGATCATATTATTTTATATGCTCTGTTAATAGTAGAATGGCTTGATTGTGAAGATGGCACTTATCTTGCGCATTTTTAAGATGGAAATCTAGTCTAGTTCACTTCATCTGTATCTAATTGACTCAAACCTAATTAGTCCTGCACAAATCAAGCAGGGCTAGAGAAATCTATCTTAACATTCTCAACACCACTCACCAAAATGTTTAGTGTTTATCGATAAATTGAAAGTAGCAACTTATAAAGGTGATTGAACAAATGCTTTTGTTATAACAATAATGTAAAAGCACTGGGTTAAAATAGTATTTAAATAGCCTTCTCATATCGTGGTAAATTCAAGATACCACTCATATATGGTAAGGCCGTGGAGCAAATGCAAAATCAAGTAATTTCACGATATCTTAGCCTTTTTTAAATGAAGACTAAAATTGTATTCATTTGGTTAACCTTTTATTACAAATACAAAATCATGATAAATGACAGATCAATATGGGATCAACTAGCTAGAATCCTTCGGTCTCTGAACCTCTGATCCAATCAAATTGCTAGAAAACTCCGCTGACCTAAAAAAAATTTGCGAGGGTTTCCCCCTGTTTTGATGTGAGGCAAAATTTTAAGCACCGCTAGATATAGCAATATAGCCGTTACTATCATCAAATTTTCCCCAGGTGCTAGAGCATGCCTTACACCACCTAGCTTTAGATTCTGGCGTTGAGACTCTCAATCATTACTAAAGTAAGTAGTGATAACCAAGTGGAGGCAGCCTATCTACCTCCTAGCCTCGGATAATGTCTTGTTGAGCTTCAGGGATAGGCACATCCACACAACGTAAAAAAAGGTATGCTTCAAAGAAACATAATAAAAGAAAAAAGGAAAAGAAAATAACATAATACTATAGGAGTATAGTAGTACGTAGGCAAAAAACTAGGACACTCACACAAAGTGGGTCAAAGAAAAGCATAACAAATACAACATTAGAGATGTCCAGAACAGCTCATTGTTGTTGCAACAGAAATGCACACATGAGCAACATGCATGGCAATAGTCAGATGTAAAGCAACACAAACACGCACAATTGCAAAAGCAACAGTGGGTATTATAAGTTTGCAAAGAACATAATGACTAATGTTGATTCATGTGAAGCCATAGGGGCAACATAACCAACAAAAGAAAAAAAAAGTCGCAACAATGCAAACATCATGAATGCATTATCGTGAGGAAGGAAGTAATAATACAAACGTTCAAAGAAGTTTTATATCATCGCGACCAGAAGAAAGAAGATACTTACCGCTTACCACTACCATAGATAGATCAGATATACACCAGAGATAGACCACAAATAGACCACAGATAAACTAGAAATACACCAGAGAATAGGTAACCATCATAGAGAGATAAGATAGACCAGAAATGAACCAGAGAAGAGGCAATCACCAGAAATAGACCAGAAAACAAGCATGCAACAAAGACAGCTGGCCAAGAATGACCAGACTTACAGCAGCAACACCATCGGTAACACCAGTAGCAACACCAGTAGCAACGCCAGTAACAATAACATCAGGAACACCAGTAGCAACAGCAGCAGCAACAGCAGCAGCAACAGCAGCAGCAACAGCAGCAGCAACACTAGCAGCAACAGCAGCAGCGTGGAAATACCGAAGAACGACTGACACCGGAGACCAGGCAAAGATTAACGAAGCAACCGCCAGAGATAGAGACCAAAGAAGCAGCTAACAGACATAATAAACCAAAGAAGCAAACAGCAAAAGTAGCAGAGAAGTAATGGCAGCGGCACTCACGACAAACAGACAAAAAGAACCATCAAAACCTAATAAAAAAATTCAATTAGTGTTAATTCTACGTCTTCCAGTGCTCGTTATCGAATGGTACCTACTATATTCCACTTCATAGAAGCAGTATCAAATACTTTTAACAGTACAAGGCCTTGTTATCAGAAGCTAAAGGGTTATTTTCAATCAAAAGGGTTCCAAAACCTATATGGTATGATACTAAATGCGTTTTGCAAAAAGGATAAAAAAAAGGATGTGGAAAAAGGAGAGGGCGCTCTAACCAACGTCACGGCCAGTAGATTTGGCCTCAGTCTTTTGCCGTGACAGCTGTAACTGCTGTACTTTAATTTTAAATTGTGCAGTGAGTATTTTCGTGTTCAAATTTGACTTGACCTTACATTTTTTAAACGTTTTTGTCAGCTTCGACTATAGAAATTGTCGTTGTCAGTCTTTACTTTCTAATACATCTAAGGAGAGTCAATTAAAGCGCATCGAATGATGTTGGTTGTATTGAGATCTCAAACTGAAAATAATGAGCAATCTTTAAAGATATGAATATAGGTTTTCCGCAAAAATGTCAAGATTTAGCATATGAAATACTCATAAAAGTAGTGTTCGATGTTGCGTCCCTTCTTTACAATCAATTTGATCTCATATTTATCATAAAAAAAGTTTTCATTTTTGGGGCGAAAACCGCGATCGTTTGATTTACAAGAATTTTTCCTTACTAGTACATATGAAAAAATGAGGATTTTCATGGATTTGAAGTGACCCAAAAGAAATTGACATAAAGCATTAGTAATTAAAGCGCAGCCAAGAGAAGCCATATGGTGCTATTCCAAGCGTCCACAAGGATCTGTAGCATGAGTTATTCGTGCTTCAAAATGGCTAAATTTGGACAGAATTTGGCCCAAAAATAAAGCGTAATAGGTTGCATTGCCAAAGAAGTAAATAAATTAAAGGCCTATCTGATGTTTCTGATGTTCTGCATTGTATGAAATTCAACACCTAAGCGATTGACGCTTTTATTCTACATCTGAGCCTTAGATCTTCATTTTGAAATGCGACGTAAATACAGTAATTTCATTCCTTGAGCGTTAATAATATTATGCAAATTGAATAACTGTTGAATTTGAAGATTTGTTAAGTCCAAAGCTTACGGAAAAAAGAATAAAAAGCAATGAAGTCAACTTGATAAAGGTATGTTTGTCATCAAACTGACAGGTGTAGAGTAAACTGAAGTATCTCTATTGGCCAGATAGATGATCCTTCTTATATACTATAACAATGGATAAAAGTTCTATTAATTAGATTGACAAATAAGTCAACTCTGATCAACTAATGTCTAATCATGCTAAAAGACAACTCCAGCAAGCTAAGCATAATGTAGCTTCGTCTGGACGAATATTCAGACTCTTGTCTCAAGTGCCCTAATCTATCCTTTGTATAAGGATTAATAATATCGATCTAATTGCATGTGTCCGATACTACTACGCTGAGATGGTATATAGATAGCAGGCCACTGGGGTCTTATCGATTGTCAGTATAGATTGTTGAGAGACCACATACGTCGGTATACTTTATGTAGTAGTGTTGGTGGATCTCTACATCTTGACATTGGGGAGGTTGAATCTATTGTAATTCCTAAGACACCCGTGCACACACAATTCACTGGATTTGTAAACATAGATGTGATGTGATACGATAAACAATATCTATGTTGCTACACTGTGAACATGGCTTGAGCAGAAAGTGAATGTAGCCTAAAATGCATGCTTGTATGCAACATTGTGGTTGTTTGGCAAAGGTTATAAGCCATAATGTGCACCTCACCACGAAAGGCGGGCAACTTTTCCACGTCCTGGGTTTATAATAAATGGTTTCGTAATGTACAATACAGAACATCTGGGTCATCAGACAGAAGTGTAGCTTACTTACTCTTCTGGTAACGCAACCCACTACGCCGCCGTTTTAGGTCGAATTCTGTGGAAATCCAGTCGTTGTCAAGCACGAACAACTCATGCCACAAAGCGTTTTAAGCGCTTGGAATAGCACCAAACGGCTCCTCTTGGTCACGCTCTACTTGCTGATGCTTTATCTCAAATTTTTTTTGGGTCATTGAAAATTCATGAAAATCACCGTTTTTTCATGAGTATTAGCAAGGGAAAGTTCTTGAAAATCAAACGATCGCGTTTTTCGCGTCAAAAGTGAAAACTTTTTTATGATAAATATGAGATCAAATTAATCGTAAAGATGAAATGCAACATTGGAAACTGTTTCTATGAGACTTTCATATGCTTAATTTTGACACATTTACAGAAAACCTGTTTTCATATTTTTGCAAATTGCTCATTATTTTTGGTTTGGAAGCTGAAAGTAATTAGCAACATTCGATGCGGCTTCTTTAGTCCTCTAGAGATGTATTAGAAAGTTGGATGTGACAACGACAGTTTTCATAGTCAAATTTAGCAAAAACGTTTAAAGGATGTGAGATCAAGTCAAGTTTGAACACGAAAATACCACTGCACAATTTCAAATTAAATTACCGCAATTACTGCTGCTACGATACAAGGCTGAGACTAAATCTACTGGTTATGACGTCGAATAGGGTACCCTCTCGTTTTTCCATGCACCCGTTTTTTTACCCATTTTGCAAAACGTGTTTTAGTATCAAACCATGGTGGTTTTGGACACCGTTTGATTGATAATAACACTCTAGCTTTCGATAACTCTGTCTTGTACTGTTGGAAGAACTTGATACTACTGCTTATTTGAAGTGGAATGTATTAGGTACCATTCGATAACGAACACTGGAAGGCGTAGAATTAACGCTAATTCAGTTTGTTTATTAGGCTTTAATAATTTCTTGCTTGTCCGTGTGAGTGCTGCTGCCATTACTTCTCTGTCATCTCTGCTGCCTGCTTCTTTGGTTTATCGTGTCTGGTGATTGCTTCTTTGGCCTTTGTCTGGCCTCTGCTGGTGGCATTCTTTCCTCGGTTTGTCTATGGTACTGGTGTTGCAGCTACTGCTGCTAATATGGTCTTTCCTGGTCTACTCTCTTTGGTGCATGCTCGTTCTCTGATCTATATTCGTTGATTGCGTATCCTCTGGTCTATCTGTGGTGGTAAGTGGTAACTTCTTTGGTCTTGGTCTGGTCTCTGCTAATGGCGCTCGTTCTTTAGTTTGTCTATGGCGCTGGTGTTGCTGCTGCTGCTGCTGCTGCTGCTGCTAATATGGTCTTTCCTGGTCTACTCTCTTTGGTGCTTGCTCGTTCTCTGGTCTAAGTTCGGTGATTGCGTATCCTCTAGTCTATCTAGGGCGGTGGTAAGTGGTAAGTATCTTCTTTCTTTTGGTCGCAATGATATATAACTTCTTTGAACGCTTGTATTATTATTGCTTCCTCTCTCATAATAATGCACTCATGATGTTTACTCTGTTGCGGTTTTCTTCTTCTTCTTTTGTTGGTTGTGTTGCTTTACATCCGACTATTGCCATGCATGTTGCTCATGTATGCATTTCTGTTGCAAAAACAATGAGCTGTTCTGGACATCTCTAATGTTGTATTTGTTATGCTTTTCTTTGACCCACTTTGTGTGAGTGTCCTAGTTTTTTGCCTACGTACTACTATACTCCTATAGTATTATGTTATTTTCTTTTCCTTTTTTCTTTTATTATGTTTCTTTGAAGCATACCTTTTTTTACGTTGTGTGGATGTGCCTATCCCTGAAGCTCAACAAGACATTATCCGAGGCTAGGAGGTAGATAGGCTGCCTCCACTTGGTTATCACTACTTACTTTAGTAATGATTGAGAGTCTCAACGCCAGAATCTAAAGCTAGGTGGTGTAAGTAAGGCATGCTCTAGCACCTGGGGAAAATTTGATGATAGTAACGGCTATATTGCTATATCTAGCGGTGCTTAAAATTTTGCCTCACATCAAAACAGGGGGAAACCCTCGCAAATTTTTTTTAGGTCAGCGGAGTTTTCTAGCAATTTGATTGGATCAGAGGTTCAGAGACCGAAGGATTCTAGCTAGTTGATCTCCTATTGAGCTGTCATCTCTAATGAGTTTATATTTGTAATAAAAACGTAGCAAAATAGATATAATCTAAAGCCTTCTTTATTTAACAGTATAATAAGGAGCAAGCGTTTAATCTAGCATTCATTGCGTAATAGTTCGACGTGAGGAATGTCCTTTAAATACATTTATGCAAAGAAAATTATATAATAAATACTACTTCAACACAGTGTTTGCGTTGCTGCTACAACAGTATTATTCTGGACAACCCATCATCAGACAATCTTTTTTTCTAATTGCTGAAGACTACAGTGCAGTATTGTATGCTTTAAGGAGTAGCAGTATACCTTTTTGCCAGCCATAAATGCATAATAGGGCGATAGATTTATTAAATTTCACATTCTCCTTGCAGAGAAATTGTTGGTTGTATGAGCCCAATGATAAATCTGTTAGACAGTTACAGTAGTATCATTTGCGGCTTTGATGTTGGAATACCACCTGCGATAGAAAGACGCCGCCCCTGTGAATTTTGAGGTTTAATAAGACTAAAATTCAAGGAAAAAAAAGAATAAAAAAAGAATAAGTCAACTTGATAAAGGTATGTTTGTCATCAAACTGACAGGTGTAGAGTAAACTGAAGTATCTCTATTGGCCAGATAGATGATCCTTCTTATATACTATAACGATGGATAAAAGTTCTATTAATTAGATTGACAAATAAGTCAACTCTGATCAACTAATGTCTAATCATGCTAAAAGACAACTCCAGCAAGCTAATCATGATTTAGCTCTGTCTGGATGAATAATTAGACTCTCATCCGAAGTACCCTGATCTATCCTTTCTATAAGGATAATTAATATCGATCTAGTAGCATGTATCCGATAGGTACAGTCTCCTTAGTCTATATTAATAGTACATATCTGAGTGTATATCACTAAGCATACATCTTTAGCATGTATCTGGATATATGGCATGTCTATAGCATATCGTATGCATGTCTATAGCATGTCTCATATATAGTACAAGTCTGTAGTACATAAAGTATCTGTAGCTAGTATCACGGATATAAGCATGTGTCTTATAGCGTGGATCATAAAGTGCACATCTGAAGCAAGAAGCTCATATTGCATTAATCTTGGTGCCTATCCAGATATGGTAAACATCCGTAGTCAATGTCGGAATACAAGTATAAGTCTATAGTGCCATCCATGTCCGTGGTGCCATCTATAGCCTATATCTTATATAGTATGAATCTTATAGTACTAGCGTATCTGAAGTCCATATCTTCTTATAGTATAAATCGATATCGTACATCTAATCCAGCGTACATACAGTTTATATCTAGATCTGGTAACTGGATGAATTGTTGGAATGCAGATTAGAGTGAATGTATTCTACACTTTCAGTTCCATCATCCCCATATACCGTGATCCACAAAACTGTCCCAATGTTTAGCAGTTTTTAATTTCAGACCTTCCCACCGGACGGGAAGTTATCCAATAATAATGAATTTAGTATTTTCTAAAAGCTAAAACTGTTTTCTTTATATCTTTTAATTTTTATAAGCACATAGCTGTAGAATCACAAGCTGTGATTGGCCAAAGTCATTAGATACATTGGGACAGTATTGTGAGATCTTTTGAAAGATCACGAATTCGGTGATAACTGAAACCCACAATTTGGAATAACCTCGAGAGCGTTGTATAAGAAGACCTCATATAGTGCAAGTAGTCTCCATTATCCATCTCGGAATTCTAAATATTAGGTAGATCGATTATCAAGCCATGAAAGCCATTGCTGTCTCCAAGGTTAATTCTGCATCCACAATGCTTCGAAGCGGTGCTTCCATTCGGGAAATTGCTGAAAAACTGTCTTTGGGTAAGTCTAATATTGGACGAATCTGAATGGAGCATTGTCCGGGTGTAAAAACCTCGAAAGGTGGTCGTCCCTAGGTGTTGTCTGAAGCCGACAGGCTCTATTGTGTTCGAAAGTTAACCAAGGAACGGGCTTCAAGCTCCGTCAAGGTCACAAAAATGTTGGAGAAGAATTTCCAGATGACGGTTCACCCGGAGACCGATCGTAGAGCACTCCGCACTGCGGGCTTGGGGGCTATCGAGAAGGAAAAGAAGCCTTTGCTTAGTGACGCTAATGTCAAGAAGAGGCTTGCGTGGTGTAAACAGCACAAGGACTGGGCTGTTGACGACTGGAAACGTGTTATTTGGACAGGCGAGACCAAAATTAACCGTTTCAACTCAGATGGGCGACAGTGGGCCTGGATTCGATCTGGTGAACAACTTCAAAACCACCATGTCAAGCTCACGGTAAAACACGGTGGTGGCAGTATCATGTTTGGAGTGTCATTACGTATGCTGGTGTTGGCTGGATGTGCAAAATAAACGGTAATATGGATAAGGCACTCTACAAGGAAATCCTTCAAGACGAATTGGAGCAGACTATTGCCTTTTCCGTTGAGAAATTGGGCTTCAGCCGTGAACAAGTGATATTTCAGCAAGACAATGATCCGAAACACACCTCAAATTTGGTCAAGGATTACCTTTAGGAAGAGGCATATCAGGTCATCACTACGGCCCAACTGATGTTCTCATGAGAACATCGATGTGCTCATATGAGAATCTATTTGATGTTCTCAAATAAACACATCGATGTTCCCGAAAGGTGAAAAATGCTCTCATATGGGAACAGCGGCGTTCCTAAAGATCTAGTATAAGTCGGCCGATGTTCTTATGAGAACATCCGAAATGTTCCCATGTGAGCACATCCATATTCTTATATGAGCACATCGATTTTCAGAAATTTGTAAAAAAAGAAAGCTCCTACCGGGGTCGAAACCACAACCTATTGGTTGTGGATCTGACGTTCTTCCCACTAAACTACTCGAGTATTTTATTGAAATATATTCTTTTACTTTAATAAGTAGTTATTAGGTAATTTTAAATTGCCGGTTTCTCGTGCAATTTATAATACGTTTAGTAATTTTATAAATCTTACAGATAATAAAAGTCTCTCTGTTGCCTACAATATTATAGTTTAGCTATTCAAACCATTTTATTCGTGCGGAAAACTACACATTCTCAAATGAGAACATCAGTTGGGTCGTAGTGAGGTCATGGAGTGGCCCCCACAATTTCCAGACTTGAATCCTATCGAAAACATGTGGGCTTTGTTGAGAAGGCGTCTCAATGGGTATGAAACCGCAACCAAGGGTATGAATGAATTGTATGAGCGAGTAACTGAGATTTGGTATGACCAAATGAAGCCGGAGGAGTGCCAAAAGGTTATAGAAAGTATGCCTCGACGTATTGCGGCCGTTATCAAAACAAACGGGAAATGGACAATGTATTAAAGTCCTATAAAATAATAAAACTTGATTTTTCCAAATATCTCACAATAATGTCCCATTGTACCTTATGACTTTGGCCAATCACAGCTTGTGATTCTACAGCTATGTGCTTATAGAAATTAATAAAAGAAATAAAGAAAACAGTTTTAGCTTTTAGAAAATACTAAATTCATTATTATTGGATAACTTCCCGTCCGGTGGTAAGGTCTGAAAGTAAAAATTGCTAAACATTGGGACAGTTTTGTGGGTCACGGACGTAATCAGCATCGCAATCACCATTGTCATCATCAACAGAAAAAAATTTAGGTCAGCCAGCAGCAAACCGCCGTCAAAATTGATTCAAACTCAGTTTTTTTCTGTTCAAGATTGGAAGGATTTCGTCTTTTGTCGACTTCTTTAATCTATTTTGTGATGCTCCGCTACATAAACTGTGATGATTACCTTACGCTTCCTAATACACTCTTGGAGTACTTTTCAAGGCGCTTTTAATGATGCAAAGTAGAATAGATGTTTTGAAAGAACTTAATGAGCAATTCCAGAAAATCTGAAATAAAGTTTTTGGTCAAAATAGCCATATTTTGCGTAAGTAAACGTCATAAAAGTGGTTTTAGAGGGTGCTTTGAATCGAGAGAAATATTTTGATTCAAAACATGACGTAGTAAAAGTCCTCATTTTCACGGTGGAAACTGCGATCGTTCAATTTTCGATGAAAACCATGCGGGATACCTCATGCTTTTTAGTGGATTTTTGGCCATGTTTTTTGGATCTTCAAAAAGTTGAGTAAATGTGTCAGGATGTTACTACTACCAAAGTACAATTGGTTAGTGTCATTTCGACGGCTCAGAAAAAGGTACATGTCAAGATATGAAGGCTTGAAAACTGTCCAATTTGGTTATTATGTATTGCTTTATTGAGTTCATTTACACGGCATGAATCATACCTGACACGATAAAATAATATAGCTTACTCCATGTTACGGAAGGTTAGTCTTGAGTCATGTCGGTTATTGAAAGTCTTGCTTCTATTGATAGGTTTGAGGAGGTGATCATGTTCAAGTTGATGGACGAGACTTGTTGACAGCTCGCAATTTGGATTCACCTCCTCATCCTACAATAGAAGCATGCACTTTCAGTACACCACAATCCAAGACTAGCCACAATTCAGAGTTCCTCTTATTTCAATTTGCCACCCTAAACATTCCATCCCTTTAAAATATATTTACAACCGCAAACAATACATATCAGTGCCAATCTAAACACATTCTATTCTTTTCAACTTTCTGAATATAATATTAACAGCCCATCCAAGACATTTGAAATATACAACTTATCTTTCCTTCTTATTTTGCCTTGTTGATATCAGTTACATTTGATTTGATCTATTGCCATATCCGTGTTACTGTGGTTGTAAGTGCAATAATGATGATTGTAGAGAGGATCAAGTGGATAACATTTATTAATGTGGCTTTAATTCATTTAATGTTAAATAGCATATTACATATATCCCAGTTGATGTATTCAACAAGGTGTTGAATAGCTAAAATCACACAGGCGAAATGTACAATAAAGTATCAGCTTTCTACTGTGTGGAAAATCAAGACAATCCTCTATTAGATGAAATGCATGGTTCTTTTTATATCTTTCTGAATGCCAGATCCTGAGATGTAAATTCAAGTGTGATGATCTAGTAGATTGTTGTAAATGATATGCGTAGACAATCTAGAGGTAGATGTAGTTGTAGTCCTCCGTTCTTGTCATTGCAGTGAGTGGTGTTGTTTCAGTAATAGTCATCCTACTAGTTGACTATTTGATGTGTCCTGTTGTGCGTGTAGACTATGGTTTGATGTGTGCTTTGCATTGTATGTAGAAACCGATGAGATGTTGATGTGCTGGATCAGGTGTAGTATGACGGATTATGGTGTGGAATGAATCACCAATCCAACTTATTTCTAGAAGAAAGATCCATTTTTGATCAAACCGATCAAACATCCGAACATTCTCTGTTTGCTGTTTCATAGCTTTAATAGCTGAAGTCTTCTGGAAGGGCAGTTCTGCAGCCTGTTCAACTTCTAATTCGAAAAGAAGGCATATTGATTTTGGTAAAGCTGATTTATACAAATTTTGATACGATATGTTGCTGGCAAGCTAATTTACAATGGGAATGAAAACCCGAATTTGCTGCTGAATACAATGGTTTTGAACCTTCGCTTCGCTGCGATCAAGCCCTCATATAGATGAACGTTACCAAGTATTGGATTAGACGCCCGATTACCATGGCTCTTCACCTTTGCTTTGATACGGTAAACCTTCTTTATCAATCAATCCTATCAAGTATTGAATTAGATGATGATATTACTTGTGTATCCGACGTTTATATCCTTCTTATTATTTAGAATAACAAAATATAGACAGAGTAAGTACAATTAGAACTGAATATATTTATTATGTTATTCCAAGATTGAATAGGGATCAAAGCTAGTGTAGATATCACAGGTATTTATAGTTATTTGACAGTGCCGCAGCAATAGGACCTTGATCTTGAATGCGGGATAATTGTATAAGCCTTGAACCAGTTAACGTGGATGTGCTGCATCAGAACTCATGAACCACCAGTCAAGGATAAACAACAAAGATGATCCAGGATAGAATGTTCTTCCTAATAGCTTTGACGGAAGAACATTTGTCGGAATTGAAACCCACTTCCAGGGACGAAAGGCCATAGGCTACCATTCTCTAGGAACCAGGATATAGATTAGCCATTTGATGGCACCACTCATGTTCCTTCGTGCTGCTTGAATAAAGACCTCTCACTTCTACTATGCATCTCAGCTCATTCTTAGATCCTCTTATGTAATATACAACGCCTAATACATTTGCCTCTCAGAGATGATCTATATCCTAAACAGATACTGTTTCTCAATCGCTTGATGACCGTGTGGAATATAGAAAATAATCCAATCAGATTGTAGATAATAATCTTCATAAACTGCTACTGTAATGGAATTAGGTTCTCGAAATTTTGTGGTACTATATTCGCTTTTACTATGCCATCGCGTTGTTGAACAGTTCGTAATATATGAATGTTATTTTGAATGTGTACTAGAGCTGATTCGTTTAAAAGTTACTGGCAGATAAATGTAAAATTATCAAAAAGTTTCCGCATAGAATGTTACAAAGTGTTTGTTATTTAATGGTGTTGTGAGTATAAGTAACAGATTTAGATAAATGTATATGTCTCAGCAGTATAAGTGAGAAAAAAAAATAACCTTTATTATTTTTGATATTCATATTAACTATAAAAGTTACTAACAAAGTCTGTGTGCACCTGTGTCGTGTGTATAGGTATAGTTTTAGAGTAGACTTAGATAAATGTATATAAAAGAATAGAATTGAGATATAAGATGATCTTTATTGTTTTGCAAACTAAGTTGATATTTATACTAAATTAAAAAAAGTTACACACAAAGTCTGTGTGTACCTGATACCTGACAATGACAAAAAAAAGGGGGGGTGCTTGCTTCTTTTATACTGACGCCGAAAGCTCACGTCTGGGCCACACTTCTTTATATAAAGACGCTGATGGTCTCACGTCTGACATTTAACTAACATTGAACCCTTATATAGGGTGAGAAAATCTTAGTATTGTCAAATTGTGGTTTTTTTTAAATATATCACATTTTCATGGGTAAGAATGTAATGAATTGAAAAGTTTGAAATTGATTTGATCGAATCGACTATTCCCAAAAACGGAAAATAATTTAGTTAAAATGTAATGGCAGAAGGTTCTTTAAATTATTCCGGTAATATAAGTATTGCTAGTTGCTGACTAGCAAATTCAGAGTGAAATCTTTTGGAGTTGTACTGTATAAACGTGCATCCAACTACTACCAAGGTAAGCTCTAGGCCATGGTATGGTATAGCACCACGGAGGTTTCATATATCGGATACTGGAAAATATGATCACAAAAGCGCCATCGTAGTTAATCAGAGATTAAAGGCTCTTCTTCCCAGAACATGGCGTATCTGATCAAGTGATTTCTTGTTTGCTATTTGGCTATGGATTGCGTGATATGTCGTTTCAAGGCAACACTTGTTGGTATCATTGGCCTTGAGGGGGCTATACCGTAGTCAAACGAAGGTGAATGGCCATGACAATCAAGCATTTAATCCAACTTTTGTTAGCATTAATTTATATAAGGTTTTATCATAGGGAGGCGAAGGTGCAATACCAAAATAGTATTCAAGCATCTAGCCCAATACTTGATAACAGTGATTTTAAAGGTGGTTTTACCGTAGCGAAGCCAAAATGTAAAGTTTTAGTGTTTAAATAGCATATTCGCTTTCTCATTTCCATTATCATTAGCAGGCCTACCGACAACATAATAACGCATTAAATTTACCTGAATTAGCCTTGTAATGAAATAGCCACCCAAACGCAACTTAATTGAAAACCAAAGTTCATCAAATAGCACTCATTCAAATTCATGCTATTTGGATCTATTTGTGGAATACATCCACTATGATCTGCATTCCGACAGTTCATCCAGTTACTAGATTTAGATATAAACTGTATGTACACTGGATTAGATGTACGATATCGATTTATACTATAAGAAGATATGGACTTCAGATACGCTAGTACTATAAGATTCATACTATATAAGATATAGGCTATAGATGGCACCACGGACATGGATGGCACTATAGACTTATACTTGTATTCCGACATTGACTACGGATGTTTACCATATCTGGATAGGCACCAAGATTAATGCAATATGAGCTTGTTGCTTCAGATGTGCACTTCATGATCCACGCTATAAGACACATGCTTATATCCGTGATACTAGCTACAGATACTGTATGTACTACAGACTTGTACTATATATGAGACATGCTATAGACATGCATACGATATGCTATAGACATGCCATATATCCAGATACATGCTAAAGATGTATGCTTAGTGATATACACTCAGATATGTACTATTAATATAGACTAAGGAGACTGTACCTATCGGATACATGCTACTAGATCGATATTAATTATCCTTATAGAAAGGATAGATCAGGGTACTTCGGATAAGAGTCTAATTATTCATCCAGACAGAGCTAAATCATGATTAGCTTGCTGGAGTTGTCTTTTAGCATGATTAGACATTAGTTGATCTGAGTTGACTTATTTGTTAATCTAATTAATAGAACTTTTATCCATTGTTATAGTATATAAGAAGGATCATCTACCTGGCCAGTAGAGAGACTTCAGTTTACTTTACACCTGTCAGTTTGATAATAAAATATACCTTTATCAAGTTGACATTACTGATTTTTTATTCTTTTTTTCCGTGAATTTTAGTCTGTAAAGCCTCAAATTCCACACTATTAATGAAAGCGCTCAAATGTACATCAAAAAACCATTTAAAAATACTAAAGTAAAGATGCATGCTTATATCGCACATCGTGTGAATGAATCACTCCTGATCACAGTATATTCAATCACACCCATGATGGCCGTAATAGGTGATGGTATCTTTATCCAAATAGAATCAAATCAATAACAAGCATATTCAAATATGACAACTATGCCCTGCTGCCATAGTTGCACAATATCCCAGATAAAGATTCCATACTTCAATAACAAACATCACACTTTAAACCATCAAGGTTACATTAAATCATGCTATGACGATAGCTCACCCAAGCCCATCAAGATTACTCAAATCAACCCTTATGGCCAGTGCTCTTGCATTGATTACCACTTTAAATCAAACATCAAAAACATTTGCCAGATATCGCAATAGCAGAACCTATTGCTCTCTATCATCACTAATCCTACAAGCCAGATGCAAATGTATAAATACTCTTCATTTTTTTACTCAATTCCAGGATCTTCAGTTCATTTTATACACAAAATAAAATACAGGTGATTTCTATTGTATTTTACCTTTGCTTTATTTTTTTGTGAAATCTATTTAAACCCGATTTCACTGCATTTTTTACAATATTCAAACTATATTTTATTAAACAAACCTAATCACAATGTCTGACAATACCAACAACTCTGGCTCTCCTTCTGTCCCCTCTGCTCAAGGTTCTCCTGCTCAACGTCAACCTGGTGACGATACCATTGAGCACACCAGGCAGCAAGTCCAGGCCATCCACTTGGATCAAGGTACGGATGTCGGACACCAACCTCAACCTTCAAACCATCAAGAGGATATTGCCATGATGGATGCTATGCCATTGCGATCCTCTCCTGTTCCTGCTTTGGCTAACCATGCTCCCAATGATGGTGGTGAATCCTCATCTCAAGTTACTTCTCATTTGTCTGCGTCGACATCATGTTCATCAGGTAATGCATCCTCCTCTGCTGCTGGTTCTAGCACGTTGAATTCCATCAAGAAATTGGTCTGGCGTCGGGATTCGTTTGTACGTCTGTTGCTGGACATGGTCGAGGGAACTGATATGAACAATGAGCACGGTCAAAAGCATATTGAAGATATGCGATCCAAGATTGAGGACCTGAATCGTCTGATCTCCACTGTCAAACACTCAGCCAAGCTATCCGAATCTAATGTCACCGCATCACTCACTGGTGACAATGAGGGCATCTCATTGTCCAAGCAAGACCTACCTAAATTCCAACTTCGTTCGCATGCCACCAAGTACTTTCCCAACGAAATCTCCTATGATTCGATTCATCATTTTCTGCGCTCCTTTGAGAAGGTAATTTCGTCTTCCGGAAAGGCAATCGAGGATGTCTGACGCCGGTATATCCCTCTCACGATACCTTACGACTTGGATCTTTAGTTAAATCAAGAATTACTGATTGCTGAAACATGGGTTGCCGCCAAGGAAAAGTTCACATCAAAATTCAGTAATGCTGCTCTGCGTCTAGATGCTCGCCGGGAGGTGCAAATGGCTACTATGAGACATGGTAAAACTATGGAGGAGCACTACAACCGTTTCGCTCGGGCTCTGATGGAGGCAGGCTACTCATCTGAAGATACCACTCTTGGCGATACATTCTTGCTCGGTTTTCCTAAAGAATGGCAGATACAAATCCACGCTGTTCTCTGTGTTCACTTTCCTGGATGCTCTAACTTCACCGCCAGCCAAATTGTTACCTGTGCCATGAACGTGCTCAACAGCGAAAAGTGTCCTGTATCGTTTGTTAACGCAAAGAAACATGGTGTTTCTCGTGCTTCGTCCTCCTCATCCGGTTCATCTGGATTCTCTTCCTCTGCTCCCCGTTACTACTGCTCAAACCATGAAGGCTCTCAGGCCAGACATCATGAGAAGGATTGTCGTCTGAACAAAGGTGGTTCTTCATCAAGACGTGTAGTTGAAAAGGCAAATGTACCCAAGAAGGCCAGCGGAAACACTTTCTGCAAGTGGTGTGGCAAAACTTGGTTCCACGGTCACTCTTGCCCTGAGTACCAAGCTATGAAGGGTTCGTTCAAGGTGTTGAGCGTGAGAAGAGAAAATAGCGGTCATCGACCCTATGCAACTGGCTCCAGTAGTCAGAAACAAAAGCGTCATTCCCGTAATGGCAAAGGCAAGCAAGAGGACTTCGGGTCCAGCGAAAGTGACCTCTTCCGCGAGGCTATGGAAAAGAATGTAAGTCATCCACATCAAACAAAAACACTTTCAATTTAATAACACCATTGCTTCTCAATAACATTAGAATCATCGGAAAGGTGGATCCTGGTTCAGATGTTAGCATCATTAACAAATCCGTTTTGAATAAAAAATTCTCTACCATCAAAAATATCAAAGCATTGGGTGGTTATTTAACCTTTTTGAGCATGAACAAAGATGGTAGTGCATCTAAAGCTGAACGCATTGGAAGCACCGAACCCATCAAAGTAACTTATATGAATGGAATCACATTTGAACACTCCTTTGAAATCATTGACTTCAATGATTCCATGGCTGAAGAGTTTGATGTACTCCTAGGAGTCGACATCTTGCCTCGCCTCAACATCTATCTTAGTGGAGTAGCTCATTGCTTTCCTGACACCGAAAACGAAATTGCTCAATTCAAGAATATAAACTATGACACTGAAAACGTCTATAATCCAGAAAATGCTGATTATGGTACTTCTCAGAAACGTCAAATCCTTCTACAACAGATCGAACAATCTCTGAATGCCAACAAGAACATCCCTGCTGACGCAGTATGTTCCATGCCTGAAAGTGTAGTGCATGTTCCTATATCCAATCCCAAGGATTGCTTCATTCGCCAGTATCCATTATCCATCAACTCGCATGCCGAGATTGACAAACAAATCAAAGAATGGCTTCAAAATAAGATTGTTGAACGCTGCAAACCCTCATCAGTGTTCCATTCACCTCTGATTACGGTGACAAAGAAGGATGAGAACGATCAACCCACCAAATTGAGAGTGTGTTGTGATCTTCTTCGCATCAATGCGTCCATTGATGACAATTACCATGAAAATTATGCGGTTCCCAAGATTCACGAAATCTTTGAACGAGTGTCCTCTAGCGCACGCATAATAAGTAAAATTGACTTACACCAAGCATACTATTCGTATGGTGTGCATGAAGCATCTCGCAATGCCCTTATATTCTCGCATAATGGCATTTTTTACAGATGGTGTAGGGCCCCTTTTGGCCTAAAATTTATGAGCTCTCTGTTCGTAAAATGCCTGTCAATTTTATTCACTGGTTTATCCGACGAACTGAAATTCGAAATGGAAAAGAACATGGATCCTTCCCAAGTTGATCCAACCAAAGTATGGGGTGGCATCGAACACTACATAGATGACTGTGTCCTGCATAGTATATGTGAGAAAAGCCACATCAAGCTTATCAATCTTGCCGTTAATCGCTTGACATCCGTCAACCTGCGCATCAATGTGAAAAAATGTTCATGGTTCCAGACATCAGTCTTTTTACTAGGCTTTGTGGTTGGACCTGGCATACAAAAGATTGATATGCGTCGTTTATCTGACATAGACGAATGGCCCATTCCCAAAACTGCAAAACAAGTTCGCTCGCTTATGGGTGTCGTTTCCCATCTGCGAAACTTTTGTCCCATGCTGTCCAAGGTTGCTGAGCCCATCGATAGTCTTCGAAATGACAGTGACGTAAAAAAGAATTGGACACAATTGCATACTGATCGGTTCAATACCATCAAGCAAATACTGCTCTCAAACCAAATACTGCATTTTCCAGTGTTGGACGACAAAATGTTCCTCCAATGCGATGCTAGTCTCTATGGCATCGCTGCCTGTCTTTATCAAAAGGATAAACTGGGTAGAATCAAGCACATTGCATTTGTTAGCAGATCTCTCAATTCAGCTGAGCGCAACTGGTCTACAAACCGTAGAGAGTGTGCCGCTGTTGTCTTTGGATTCATCAAATTTAGATCGCTACTGTGGGGTCATAATGATATCGAGGTCCTGACCGATCATTTGGCATTGACCTACATGTTCACATCTACTTCACTAAACAGTACGCTCCAGAGCTACTTGGAAATCTTGGGAGAATTTCACTTCACAATTTCACATGTGAAAGGCATTGAAAATGTTCTCTGTGATGCTCTTTCAAGGGTATATCCAATAATTGATGAAGACAAATGGCTGGAAGATGAAAATGATCGACAGATGAGAAAACTGCATAAGCTCATTCTGATCAAAAGGGACACCAACAAAAAGATTGAAGTAAACCGTCAACGCACAGTCTATTCTCAGGACCGCAATCTCAACGTACTTGCTGTGAAACTAAATAGCAAAGAATTCCAGAATTCTACAACGGATTACATTGCTCCTCCAGAAGCAGATCGGGCTCAAATCATCAAAGATGCACATAAAATAGGCCATTTTGGCATTGAGTCTGTGGTTCAACATATCCACACGTATTTGGGTTTACATTGGAACACCATCTACGCTGATTGCAAGGAAATACTGAAAGCATGTCCTGAATGTGCAAGGCATAACGTCACTCGTCGAGGTTTCAACCCTGCTAAAAGCATCGTCAGCTTTGATGCCTTTGATCACATTGCTATGGATATCTTAGGTCCTATGTCGATCACCGATAAGGGAAATGTTTATGTGCTGGTTGTGATTGATCTCTGTACTCGCTACATTATAGCTCGTCCAATTCCTAACAAAAATGGCGCTACAGTCGCTCAAGCCATACTATCCATCTATGGTGACTATGGTGTTGCTGTTAGCATCCAACAAGCTGACAACGGCAAGGAATTTAAATCCAATCTCATGGATCACTTCACAAAAACGCTTGGCATCAAGCAGCGACATTCTCTTCCTTACTACAAACAATCCAATGGTAGTGCTGAGAACGCTATCAAACAATTCGAGCATACGCTACGCAAAATGTGTGGTAATGACACGCATAACTGGGATGATCGCGTACCCATCGTCCAACTTGCACTCAACATGAAAGTCAAAGAGCGTACTGCCAGTACCCCATTCAGTCTCATGTTTGCTCGTCAAGTTAACGTCAATCCCAATCCAAATAAACTCAACCTCAATGGACGTCCTGCACTATCCATTCAAGAGCTCCAACAGCGTATCGAACACATGAATACCATCGTGTTTCCTGCTCTCCAAGAGCGTACACAACGGCTTGCTAAGGAATACAATAAGCGTATGGATAAACGTCGATACATCCTACCTGAACTAGTCTTTGACTCTCCTGTCATGGTCCGCCTTGAAGAAGGTCGTTCATCCAAACTCGCGCCTCTCTATGCTGGCCCATATATCGTTGTCAAGCGTACCCAAGCTGGCAATTACATTCTAAAACACGAAACCAATTCTCTCATGCACCGTGAATATACTCCTTCTGAACTCAAACCTGTCAACATTGATGAAACTACCATTGAAGACGAAATCTTTGAAGTTGAGAACATTCGCGATCATCGCTAACGCGATGATGATGAGATCGAATACCTAGTTAAATGGGCTGGTTGTTCTGAACGTGAAAATGAATACATTACAGCTGATCTGTTCTCCTCTCCCATTCCAATTAAAAAATACTGGGAAAAGATCAAGCTCAACAAGGAACTGCAACATCAAAGACACGCACCACTACCTACAAACAAACGCCCCTCAAAACAGGCTGGTAACAAGCGAAAAGCAGGCACTGATCACACAAGCCGCGAAAACACTCGCCGCAAACATTAGTAGCCTCCAGCTTTCCTTCCTCCACTGCCTTCGGCACTTGTTTCTCTGCTCTTGCTTATATCTATGTCTTCCTTCCTTCTACATGTTCCAATCAATCACTTTTGGTCGTCTAAATTCGTATCTCTGTCAACTTTTTTCCCCATAAAAAGTTTGGCTGGGGGCAATGTAATGAAATAGCCACCCAAACGCAACTTAATTGAAAACCAAAGTTCATCAAATAGCATTCATTCAAATTTATGCTCTTTGGATCTATTAATGAAAGCGCTCAAATGTACATCAAAAACCCATTAAAAAAACTAAAGTAAAGATGCATGCTTATATCGCACATCGTGTGAATGAATCACTCCTGATCACAGTGTATATGTATTCAATCACACCCATGATGGTCGTAATAGGTGATGGTATCTTTATCCAAATAGAATCAAATCAATAACAAGCATATTCAAATATGACAACTATGCCCTGCTGCCATAGTTGCACAATATCCCAGATAAAGGATTCCATACTTCAATAACAAACATCACACTTTAAACCATCAAGGTTACATTAAATCATGCTATGACGATAGCTCACCCAAGCCCATCAAGATTACTCAAATCAACCCTTATGGCCAGTGCTCTTGCATTGATTACCACTTTAAATCAAACATCAAAAACATTTGCCAGATATCGCAATAGCAGAACCTATTGCTCTCTATCATCACTAATCCTACAAGCTAGATGCAAATGTATAAATACTCTTCTTTTTTTTTACTCAATTCCAGGATCTTCAGTTCATTTTATACACAGATAAAATACAGTTGATTTCTATCGTATTTTACCTTTGCTTTATTTTTTTTGTGAAATCTATTCAAACCTGATTTCACTGCAGACCTCACCGAAATTGTGGAATACATCCACTATGATCTGCATTCCGACAGTTCATCCAGTTACCAGATCAAGATATAAATTGTATGTACACTGGATTAGATGTACGACGCCGATTTATACTATAAGAAGATATGGACTTCAGATACGCTAGTACTATAAGATTCATACTGTAGAAGACATAGGCTATGGATGGTACCATGGACAGGGATGGCGCTATAGACTTATACTTGTATTCCGACATTGACTACGGATGTCTACCATATCTGGATAGGCACCAAGATTAATGCAATATGAGCTTGTTACTTCGGATGTGCACTTTATGATACACGCTAAAAGACACATGCTTATATCCGTGATACTAGCTACAGATACTTTATGTACTACAGACTTGTACTATATATGAGACATGCTATAGACATGCATACGATATGCTATAGACATGCCATATATCCAGATACATGCTAAAGATGTATGCTTAGCGATATACACTCAGATATGTACTATTAATATAGACTAAGGAGACTGTACCTATCGGATACATGCTACTAGATCGATATTAATTATCCTTATAGAAAGGATAGATCAGGGTACTTCGGATGAGAGTCTAATTATTCATCCAGACAGAGCTAAATCATGATTAGCTTGCTGGAGTTGTCTTTTAGCATGATTAGACATTAGTTGATCTGAGTTGACTTATTTGTCAATCTAATTAATAGAACTTTTATCCATCGTTATAGTATATAAGAAGGATCATCTATCTGGCCAATAGAGATACTTCAGTTTACTCTACACCTGTCAGTTTGATGACAAACATACCTTTATCAAGTTGACTTCATTGCTTTTTATTCTTTTTTCCGTAAGCTTTGGACTTAACAAATCTTCAAATTCAACAGTTATTCAATTTGCATAATATTATTAACGCTCAAGGAATGAAATTACTGTATTTACGTCGCATTTCAAAATGAAGATCTAAGGCTCAGATGTAGAATAAAAGCGTCAATCGCTTAGGTGTTGAATTTCATACAATGCAGAACATCAGAAACATCAGATAGGCCTTTAATTTATTTACTTCTTTGGCAATGCAACCTATTACGCTTTATTTTTGGGCCAAATTCTGTCCAAATTTAGCCATTTTGAAGCACGAATAACTCATGCTACAGATCCTTGTGGACGCTTGGAATAGCACCATATGGCTTCTCTTGGCTGCGCTTTAATTACTAATGCTTTATGTCAATTTCTTTTGGGTCACTTCAAATCCATGAAAATCCTCATTTTTTCATATGTACTAGTAAAGAAAAATTCTTGTAAATCAAACGATCGCGGTTTTCGCCCCAAAAATGAAAACTTTTTTTATGATAAACGAGCCTTTCAGCACTTCGGGTGGTTTCCTGACCTACGCTTTGCTTCGGTGGAAACCAACCTACGTTCAAACGGCTCGCGCTGCCGCGGGCCTTTGGCTAATATCCCAAAATTAATATAGCTAAAATGTTAGAAGAAGAACCCTGATTGTTGATTGATATATAATCACTAATCATATGAGTGTTTATGCTTCAGATTGTTCTCTACCTTCGCTTCGTTTCGGTGAGAATCAACCTGCACAGCAACAACTCGAGCTACCGGTTGCCCTTGCGTATCTTAACATAATACTACTACGTTCAAGCTGACCCTCTACTTGCATATGAAAAACCTTCATATTATCTGTGGATCTGCTTCTTATATGATGCTCTACATCCATATACTCGTAGTTACTTCATATACGGGCAAGTAGCATGCTGGTATTTCCACTTTTTAATCCTTAGTATCCATAATACAGCAAAATTTGAATGCATTTGAGCTGCGTTTTCTCGCTTCCAAGGCCGTTTTAGATTGTCATAATAGGACCAAACACTTGCTCTCATCTGGCAGTTACTTTCTGACACCTTTGCTCAACTTTTTGGGGATCAAAAAAACATGAACAAAATTCGACCAAAAAGCATGAGGTACCCCTCATGATTTTCATCGAAAATCAAACGATCGCGTTTTTCACCTTGAAAATGGAGACTTTTACTATGGTATATCTTGAATCAAAACGTTTCTATCAATCCAAAGCAACCACTGAAATCATTTTTGTGGGACTTTGATATGTAAAATTTCAACATTTTGGCCAGAAACCTCTTTTCATATGTTTACAAACCATTCAATAAGTAAATTCAAAACATCTATATAACTTGGTACCATTGGAAGCGCCTTGAAAAGTACTCCAGGAAAGCTTAAGGAAGCATGGGGTGATTATCATACTTCACTTAGTCGAATCTGCAAAAATAGCTCGATCGAGTCCAGAATCATCAAAATTTGTCCAATCTGGAACAGACTATGATTCTGGGTTTGAATTAATTTTGGCTGGTAGGGCCAGCTGGAAAACTCATGCCCTTTTCATAAGGCAATACAGTAGTAAATGCCCTTGAAGCGTATAGAAAGTAGGTGGCAGGTCATAGCACTATCGTTTATAATGATATTTTATTGCCTTCTATATCGTTCATACTAATATTTTATTGCATTCTATATTTAATAACGTTAGTCTGGACATTGACAATGCATGGGTTGCATAAAATGTCTGCAGTAAGTAATGAAATCTCTGAGGCTCTGAGACGTCGCTCAAAGAAAACGTTGGTAGCATTGACAGCAGAGGAAAGAGGGTAGAAATAATAGTGGTTTTTATTGATTGATTGTAAAATCATTATTCTCATATGAGCCAGGTCTGATAGATGCCTTGAAACTCAGGTTCCATATTAGGATTGTAAAGTGCAAAAGGACTGAACATTTATTATGTTATGATATGAGCCAGGTCTGATAGATGCCTTGAAACTCAGGTTCCATATTAGGATTGTAAAGTGCAAAAGGACTGAACATTTATTATGTTATGATATGAGATCAAATTGATTGTAAAGAAGGGACGCAACATCGAAGACTACTTTTATGAGTATTTCATATGCTAAATCTTGACATTTTTGCGGAAAACCTATATTCATATCTTTAAAGATTGCTCATTATTTTCAGTTTGAGATCTCAATACAACCAACATCATTCGATGCGCTTTAATTGACTCTCCTTAGATGTATTAGAAAGTAAAGACTGACAACGACAATTTCTATAGTCGAAGTTGACAAAAACGTTTAAAAAATGTAAGGTCAAGTCAAATTTGAACACGAAAATACTCACTGCACAATTTAAAATTAAAGTACAGCAGTTACAGCTGTCACGGCAAAAGACTGAGGCCAAATCTACTGGCCGTGACGTTGGTTAGAGCGCCCTCTCCTTTTTCCACATCCTTTTTTTTATCCTTTTTGCAAAACGCATTTAGTATCATACCATATAGGTTTTGGAACCCTTTTGATTGAAAATAACCCTTTAGCTTCTGATAACAAGGCCTTGTACTGTTAAAAGTACTTGATACTGCTTCTATGAAGTGGAATATAGTAGGTACCATTCGATAACGAGCACTGGAAGACGTAGAATTAACACTAATTGAATTTTTTTATTAGGTTTTGATGGTTCTTTTTGTCTGTTTGTCGTGAGTGCCGCTGCCATTACTTCTCTGCTACTTTTGCTGTTTGCTTCTTTGGTTTATTATGTCTGTTAGCTGCTTCTTTGGTCTCTATCTCTGGCGGTTGCTTCGTTAATCTTTGCCTGGTCTCCGGTGTCAGTCGTTCTTCGGTATTTCCACGCTGCTGCTGTTGCTGCTGGTGTTGCTGCTGCTGTTGCTGCTGCTGTTGCTGCTGCTGTTGCTGCTGGTGTTGCTACTGGTGTTGCTACTGGTGTTCCTGATGTTATTGTTACTGGCGTTGCTACTGGTGTTGCTACTGGTGTTACCGATGGTGTTGCTGCTGTAAGTCTGGTCATTCTTGGCCAGCTGTCTTTGTTGCATGCTTGTTTTCTGGTCTATTTCTGGTGATTGCCTCTTCTCTGGTTTATTTCTGGTCTATCTTATCTCTCTATGATGGTTACCTATTCTCTGGTGTATTTCTAGTTTATCTGTGGTCTATTTGTGGTCTATCTCTGGTGTATATCTGATCTATCTATGGTAGTGGTAAGCGGTAAGTATCTTCTTTCTTCTGGTCGCGATGATATAAAACTTCTTTGAACGTTTGTATTATTACTTCCTTCCTCACGATAATGCATTCATGATGTTTGCATTGTTGCGACTTTTTTTTTCTTTTGTTGGTTGTGTTGCCCCTATGGCTTCACATGAATCAACATTAGTCATTATGTTCTTTGCAAACTTATAATACCCACTGTTGCTTTTGCAATTGTGCGTGTTTGTGTTGCTTTACATCTGACTATTGCCATGCATGTTGCTCATGTGTGCATTTCTGTTGCAACAACAATGAGCTGTTCTGAACATCTCTAATGTTGTATTTGTTATGCTTTTCTTTGACCCACTTTGTGTGAGTGCCTCTTTTTTTGCCTACGTACTACTATACTCCCATAATAGTATGTTCTTTTCTTCTTTTGTTATGTTTATGTTTCTTTGAAGCATACCTTTTTTACGTTGTGGTGGATGTGCCTATCACTGAAGCTCAACAAGACATTATCCGAGGCTAGGAGGTAGATAGGTTGCCTCCACTTGGTTATCACTACTTACTTTAGTGATGATTGAGAGTCTCAACGCCAGAATCTAAAGCTAGGTGGTGTAAGTAAGGCATGCTCTAGCACCTGGGGGAAATTTGATGATAGTAACGGCTATATTGCTATATCTAGCGGTGCTTAAAATTTTGCCTCACATCAAAACAGGGGGAAACCCTCGCAAAAAATTTTTTAGGCCAGCGGAGTTTTCAAGCGATTTGATTGGCTCAGGTTGAAGTACCGAAGGATTCTAGCTAATTGATCCCATATTGGTCTGTCATTTATCACGATTTTGTATTTGTAATAAAAGGGTATCCAAATGAATACAATTGGAGTTTTTCATAGGGACAAATATTCGAAAACGCTGTTTTGAAGACCATTTGGTGATGTATTGCCTCGTTATTGTATTGTGTTAATGAGTCAAAGCAGTGCTGCACATTTCAGCAAAAAAGGGATTGCTTGCATTGCTAAACAAGTAAATTATAAATCTGCTTGATAATTCAAACATAATATTGTATAGTACGGAACTCAAGCCCTAAACGATGGACGCCTCTTTTATTGTAATTTTGAGGCATAAATCTTTCTTTTTGAAATGTGCTAATAATATAGTAATTCCAAAACTTGAGCGTTAATACTACTTGTGCAAAGTTGAATATAACAGCATTTTCGGACTAATCGAGACGCCTATCTAGTCAGCATGACACTTTTGTTGTTGACGTTTTTTTGATTTGAAGTGGAAGTCAATGAGAGAGTTCTCGCCATGAGGGCTTCTTGGAGTAAGCTTGATGAGTTTTGGGTGAGCTATCGTCCCAGTATAATTAATCTAACCTTGGTGGTTAAGGCGTGGTATTGGTTATGAAAGTTTGGTAGTTCCTTTATCTGAAAAATAATGCTTCTGAGAGTAGTTGACAAATTTGAATATGTTGTTATTGGTCCTATTTTATTTGCAAGCATCATGAGCATTACTGAATACACTGTGATTAAGAGTTATTGATTCGTACAACGTACAAGATAAGATTGCATCTCTACTTTGATATTTTAAGTGAGGATTGTTGTCTATGTACGATTGAGCGTTTTATTAACAAATTCAAATAGCATAAATGTAATGACTGATATTTGATGAATTTCAACTTCTCAGAATATTGCTTTTAGACGGCTATACCATTGCAGGCACTACAGGTCTCCATATCATGTATTCTCTTCTCATTGCATGTTTTCTCCTTTTGACAATGCTCTGCAGTGTAGTTTTTTCGCTGTTTGCCCTATACTGGCTCCTGAAACTAGGTAATGCTCCCATTGAAGAGTACCCATTACAGACAGAAATTGGAGTCAATTGCTTTAATACAGGCCACTGGATCTAGCATTATTCGCAGTATCATTTAAAGATCAAGTGCTGTAATAACTGTAAGCAAGTAGAACCAATATAGCACCATCGAGAATAATAAAGGATTCATATTTAATCTACTTAAACTCAGTTAGTTCTGCAAAAGTCAAGCAAGGTTGGAACCATCTAGCTTAACGTTATCAAGGCTCACGGACATGTCTAGTATCTATCGCCAACTAGAAAGTAGCAACTTATTAAGATGATGGAGCAAATACCGTTTTAAAAGCAATGTGAAAAAACACTGTTAAAGTAGTAAGTGGTAGATCTTTCTAATAAAGAAGCTGTTGAAGTTTAGACCTGTGAAATCTTTCGAGCAAATTCGTTTCGAACTAAAAACACACTATGCCTGTATGTGCTATGGATTTAACACTATCACTGCTGAAAAAGATTACATGCTGATAACTTAAGATACGAGCGATTACTTTGCGTGCGGCTTGAATGAATATAAAGCGATAATGCTTTAGCAATCTCGAGGTATACAATACTTGGAGATCGTATAAGAAATATTAACGTATGCCATTGTCGCTCATAAACAGCAATTTGATAACACGTTATTAAAATATGATGTTCAACACTATCTAAAACTGTCATAGTATTTATATTAACAACGCCATGTTCATCAGCAATCAAAGTATACAAAAATAATGCGAGTTCCCCATGTCATGTTACATGTAGTGAGGGCAGACAGCCAAGTAAATGATATTAGTATTGTTTTATTTTACGATGAGTATTCCGAGAAGTCAAATATAAAAACGATTCAGATTATTAATATTTTCAACCATGTTTAGAAGAACTACAAGTGCGAACACTTGCATGGATAAAATACGAAGATAAATAAGGACTGAATGGAAAAGCTACTTCTTCACTTGGTATAACATCATTCCTTCCGGATTCTCGCCTCGTTCAACGTGATTGATGTCTATACTTGATGATGATGAATTTACTCGAGTAGATCTTGCTTGCACTTCCTCTTCATTGCGTTTTGGTAGGTAGTTTCCAATAAAGATGATATAGTAAACCACGAAAGCAATGGCGATGATAAGAGTATCAAATACATAGAATGCCCATTCAGTAGTTGCAATGACACCATCGTATCCACCGGCGTATTCTGCAATACGATAGATAGAACGGATATAGAGCAATATTAAAGTGATGTAAAGACAAATGGACAGCTTTCTCTTGGGGTTTGCTTGGCCTACTACTGTATATTGATACTTGGGACTACGGTGAACATGAATTGTGATGAGAGCAAAAGAGGCAAAGAAAAACAACTGGACAATTAATCCAACAAGAGTGATGGTTTTTCCTATAGAAGCCATTCTAGCACTCATAGCTTGAAGTCCACCACCAGATCCTTGAAGAAGAAAAGCAAAGACATCACTAGAAAAGAAGAACCATGTAACAAACTTGGGCTTGAGCCAGAAGCGAGAGGGAGGAACACCAGACAGTCGAATCATTTCACCGGTAGCCTTATAGTTAACCAACGCAAGAGCATTTGGAGGCAAGAGCAAGAACAAGCTCATGCCAATGTAAGTGCCCAAGGTTGTGTTTCTTGCAGATACTAGCCGAAATATGTATCCTACACTCTCCATCAAGCCAGTTATCCCCAGAATATACAGAAAGTTTCGACTTTTTGTAACGTATACACGAGCCAAAAGAGCAACAGATAGTAGAATGTATACGACAAGAGAGACAATTGCCAGAGGTATATTGGGATAGTAATGGAAAAACCTTAGTGTGTTGAGCTCGCCTTCAGTGGGCATTGTATACAATATGATTTAGTAGAATAAGCAAGATATAAAAGAACTCTCATCACAGGGAAACCTTGATCTATTTATATGGAATTGTTCTTACGTTGAAGAGATCTTTATGTAATGGGTAACTTGCTCTCCGCCCAATATATAGTTTAAATGAGATCAGAAAAGTCTTGTCCAAATATAAAAAAATAAAAAATCAAGCCTACAATAGGTACATTTCTAATTTAGGAAACATCAGTGGGCAAGTTTTACTTGATTCATTCAAATATTCCATCTTGAAAGCTCGAAGCCTTTCTTGTATGTCACTAGATAACAGAAGGGGGTGCTATTGATAATTGTATAAATCAAGAAGTCAAAGTCAATTAGCTTCTTTAACATGGGAACGTGGTTTATCGCAATGATTTAGACATATCATTTTACAGTTTACAAAGGTAACGTCAACTGGAATCAGTAATGTGTCTCATAACGAGATCACCGTAATGTCAACAAACTTATTTTGCATTGCATTCATCAGAGCAGTGATGTTGATGAGCAGTTTCACTTATACATGCACTCTAGTTAATTGAAAGCTTACTGTATGCTTTTGAATCTAAATGAAATGAACCTAATGATATTGCTATTAATATCAAGGTCATTGATGTTATTGCTGAATAGCATGCTGTTTTATTTCTGACATTTCACGCCAATAACGCATCCACCGGCCTGGATTTTAGCATTATTTTAAAAGTCAAACCGTTGGTTTGATTCAAGTTGCGTTAAGAAATGCTTGGTATTGTTGATTATACCTCGGAATTCACTCAATTTCGTGCTCGACATAAGCAGCATTCCTGATCGGGTGCATTTACATGTAAAATTGTATCTTACACCCACTGCGTCGTTGGGTTATCGTATAATGTACGCTTTCATATATAAATATATATATATCCAAGCGCTCATGATAACTGAACTGAATTTAATTAAAATATATATGAAGATTAGCAAACAAGGGTCATGCCACTGGAGGGAAGGTGAGTAGGTAATGGTATGCTAAATCAAATGGTTAAGAACACATTATTTATCAAATATTCAGTTGAACTTACATGATTTTGTCTAGAGGCCGTCGTTATAAGCATTCATCAGGTGGCTTTTAGGATTGAGATAGCAATTCATAAAACGTGCCCTAATTCATTGACATTTAACAAACCAGGCACCAAGTTAACAGACGCCTATCAAATAGCGGGCCGTCGGCGCACTCATCCTTCTCAGTGATACCAACCATTTCAAGGAAACCGGGCAATTTTCGGTGCGAATTAGGGTTGCACCAATTCCAATCAACTGGTAAAAATAGAGAAATTGGATTATTCCAGCGTACACTAGTCATTAACTGATCATTTTCCTGTTTAATTCAATGATATTCTTCAACTTGGACACTATAAACGTTACAAGTTGGCTTATATCGGCTATGTTGAATCTGTGAATCCTGTTTCATAGGGTCAGAAACCGCAGTTGGGATTTCAGAAGCTTTTGCTGAGGAGGTACAAACAGATATAGATATAGTGCTATGTCTTAATCTGATCTGAAGTTTTAGTTGCTATCATATCACGCAGTGCAATATATTGCATCTATTTGAAGTCCTTATAACCTGGTTGATACATGCGGTGGTAGCGACATGAAAACTGGAAACAGTGCCGCCTTTACATGCCAAAGCTTAGAGTTATTACATTACCTTGATCTCATTCAAAGTATGTATCTATCTTGTACATTTTTACGACGTTTGTTCCACAGAAGATTAGTGTAACAAAATGTATAGTATTTAATGGGGCAGAGCTTCTGCTAGCTCTTCATCGTCTCATCCTTTCTTCTCTGATTCTATAACGACGACATTGCATCAGTTATTTCAATTGAGCATCAACATTAGACAGCAAATACACTAACATGGACGCAATTTTAAACAACAATGGTGTATCTCTAGCAATGAGATTATTTCATTACATCCCAGCAATCATTCCAGCAGCAGTGGCATTGGCAGTATATGGTGTGATAGCCATCTACCTGACTATTCGTATATACATCTCCAAGAGCCCGAAATTTCTGTACATTCTTGCATTCACGGCTCTGATGGAGGTCATTGGGTTCGCTGTTCGCATCCTGTGCCATTTCTACACTGATTTGGGAAGATACATTGGAATGACCATGTTCTTGCTGCTGGCTCCTAATGCTCTGGCGTTAGTCAATTACAAAGCAGTGGGTGAAATCATTCGTTTGTCGAATGTAGAAACAACCAGATTCTACCTTCGTCCTAAATTTGTTACCTGGTTCTTTTTCAGCAGTGATATCTTTTCTTTCTGCTTGCAAGGTGCAGGTGGTGGTTTGCAATCTACTGTCGATCACAACCAGGTTGGTATTGCTGTCACCTTAGTTGGTTTGGCCCTTCAACTCTTCTTTTTTGCGTGCTTTGCTGGTATCACTTTCTATGTTCAACGTAATCCCAATTATCAATACTATGTAGAGGGACAGCCCAATGCCAAAAAAAGACTGATTCTCTGTCTCTATGTCACCATCGGATTAATCTATATTCGTTCTATTTATCGTGTTGCCGAGTATGCTACTGGATATGGTGGTCCTATCGCTAAATTGGAATGGGCATTTTACGTATTTGACACCATTGTCATCTTCCTCAGCTTTATCGTTTACTGTGTCTTCTTTATTGGAAATTATCTTCCAAAGCACAATGCTGTTGCCCAATTACCCACAGATAACTCCAGCTCAAGTAGTCAAACAGAGAAGGGCGATGTGGAGACAGGCAGCAAATTGTAAAACATCTTTCGCTGATACCGTAGTGATTGCGAAAACCATAATCCTGGCGATTAACATATATATTCAACAATTTTATAAATAAATCATAGCCATATGCATACCTAGACTGGTGGATTAAACTTATGCCACTTTTACAGATTACAGACGCACACGAATATTGCCTTAAATATTTATAGGCATTAGACATTAGACATTAGACAGCGGAGAAAAGCTACACTCTTATCTTCAAGGACACTTATTTCCGCGCCTTTTGTGTTCTCTGTATGTAGTATGAATAAATACATTGCTAAGTTGTTCATGGTCTATATGATTTCAATCACCATCAAAACTACTGAATCGATAATAGCCTTGTGATAGCCATTGAGTGGGATTGTTGATTTATCAAACGAGCTGCTGCTCAAATTATATATCAATCCGGAATCCAATCTCGTTATCAAATCAAACATTTTCGCCTGACGATATGGCTCAAGCGCCCTCTACTTTCCTTACTAACCGTATTACAAACGAAGTCAGATAAAGAAGACATTGCAATGTTCAAAGAAGATCTGGAGCAAGTTAATAGCCACTGCACACCTCATATAAAAGAAGCGAATGCTAACATCTGATTTGCATCAGCATGTTACCATGACTTATAGCCTCATCTTAGCATAGCAGCTCATTGAGTAAGCAATTGATCAGTCAATGTATTCATCTTGATGGCTGAGGCATATTTTGCGGCAAATGTTTCTTATGCTTTGAGAATACGAATCATCATCTTATACTCGTTCAGTAAAAACAGAGGTGTACGATAAGATCAGTCATGAAAGATGCACCATGCGTACATGTTTATTTGAATGAGCTCTAATTGGATTGTAACATATCATCATGAATATATCAATAAAATGATAAATTCTGAGCCAAAATTATATGAAATGTGTCTACACAAGCTTTTGGATGTCAGAACTCAAGTGGTTCAGTCACTGTTGAGAATCCATCTTACTCCATATTGCTTTTGCCAAGGCTATAGAGCGACGTGGAAGGCATCAAATAAGCCTTCCTGCAGGAGATACGTCATTGCAAAGTATATTTACTAGGAACATGCCCCTTAAAGGGCATAAAGTTGTCTGGATCAGATAAACCTCAGGTACAAACAAAGGGATGAGCCTGTCAGAAGAGAGCTTTCGATCAAATTGCCGCAACATGAGCCAATCACTCCACGGAACTCGGGTTATCTTGGCTGCAGCAATTCCCATACTTTGGTAAACATGGAGAAACTGGATTTTTCCAAAGTATCACAATCTTACCACCATTTGGGTGTTTTTCGTCTGAAGCCGTCGTCGACGATCGAAATTCTACCGAAAAAATCCTGATCGTCTTCTCGATACTGAGTCGCTCCAAGATGGACGAAATTTTTATTATTATTTCCATGTATTGCATTTGGATACATAGAGGCTTTAATCTAGTAGAAGCAGAAGTTGGCATTCATGGAGAGAAATTTGTAAAATTAGACGGTATACGTATGCAGTAGAGTATCGGTAAACGCAATATTCCGATTGCTCTGATCGCGTCATAGAGTCGTATAGAAGAAAAATTTTAAATTAGAATTTTGTTACTCGATTCGATTTTCTGAATGTTCTTATCGTATCATCAAGCACACAACAACGATAGCTGGAGCTAAACTTTTGTGTGCCGCATGTGGTTAAATGAAGAGCACTAAGCTCCTACTATAGATCAATAAAGCATTTCAAAATACAGCAATATGTGAACGAACGCATGGCTCTGACAGGGATAAAAATGCGCAGGATACATGTTATATCATGCACATTAGAAAAGAGACATTTTAGTATTAGTTTCAAAGAATCTATCGCCTACATTTGTTTGGAAATGCTTGTTCCACCAACATTAGTGTAACGCCATGTTTTTGTATATAAAGGATCAGATTCTTTCAATGTTCTTCTCTATAACCGATACGGCCATTGTATTCAAACTTATTTATAAAATCAAACTATACACTACAACTAAATCAGCAATGAACACATTCATGAGCGGTAATGGATCTCAAGCATTGAGATTCTTCAAATACGTCCCATCACTAGCACCAGCTGCCGTATCAATTGCGCTATACAGTCTTGTGGCTATATACTTGACTGTTCGCATCTTCATGTCCAAAAGCCCAAGATTCTTGTACATTCTGCCGCTCACTGCCATAGTGATAGTCGTTGGGTTTGCATTCCGTATTCTGTGCCATTTCTACACTGATCTAAACAGATTCCTCGCCATGACATTGCTACTATTGCTTGCCCCTAATGCCTTGGCCCTCGTCAATTATAAAGCAGTTGGCGAAATTATTCGATTATCAAACGTCAAGACAAAGTATTTCTTTCTTCGTCCTCGATTCGTTACTTGGTTCTTTTTCAGCAGTGATTTCTTAGCATTCTTTTTGCAAGGCGCTGGTGGAGGATTACAATCTAATTACAAGTATAAAGATATTGCTGTTGCTATTACTATGGTCGGTTTGGCTACTCAACTTTTCTTCTTTGCTTGCTTTGCCGGTATCACTTTTTATGTTCAACGCAACCCCAAATATCAATACTATGTTGAGGGTCAGCCTGATCCCAAGAAGAAATTGATCTGGTGTCTCTATGTCACTATTGGCCTCCTCTACGTTCGTTCCATCTATCGTTTTGCAGAGTATGCTACTGGCTATGGTGGTCCTATTGCTGTTCTGGAATGGGCCTTTTACGTTTTTGATACTATTGCCATCTTTCTTAGTTTCCTTGTCTACTGCGTCTTCTTTATTGGAAACTACCTGCCAAAATACAATGCACCTTCTCAATCACCGGGTGGGGTTGGTAGCTCAAGTAGCCAAACATTGAAAGGCGATGTCGAAAGTGGTGAAAAAGTATAAATCTTTTACAACAATATACAAACTATATAAAATATGACATTTACTACTGATTGATCAAATACATCTATACGTACATACAGCCTTCATTTAAACACTAATACTATGAATAAAGTATACATTACGAGTCTCTCTAAGCTACGGATGGCTTTGCCAAAGCGAAGCGAAGGCAAGAGCCAACCTACGCAGCGGTAGTTCGCACTACCAATTGCCCTTGCGCATTTTATTAAATTACTGCTACTTTCATTGCAATCCTCCATTTAAATATGAGAATTTCTTATATTATCTGTGGATGTAATTCTTATGTGATGCTCTGCATCCATATACACGTAGTTATTTTATATACAGGCAAGTAGCATACTGGTATTTCCTCTTTTTAGTCCTTAGTGTCCCTGATACAGCGAAATCAGAGTGCATTTGAGCTGCGTTTTCTTGCGTTTTCTTGCGTTCAAGGCCGTTTTAGATGGTCAGAATAGTACCAGACAATTGCTCTCATCTAGGAGTTGCTTCCTGACACCTTTTCTCAACTTTTTGGGGACCAAAAAAACATGGACAAGAATCAACCAAAAAGCATGAGGGGTACCTCATGGTTTTCATCGAAAAAACACCTTTCTTTCCCCTTTTCTACGAAATTTTTGGTCAAACGGGGTGATTCCCTAGTTTTGTGCGGTAGTGGCGCACATTATGGTCTCTCCCATCTCGATAGTTGACAGAGTACATAGTCGCTATGTTTTTCCCTTACCAAGGTTTTTTCAACATAGAAGAATAACGTCAGGAGTAGCCAGGGTATGTGATTTATCACATATACCGAGTCTCTTCTGCTCTCAACTGTGGATGATGGGTTTCACTGACGTGAACGTTTGCTTTGTTGTTGGTGTGGTTCTGATTGCTCTCTCTCTCTTGCTTGCGGCTTCGTTCGAGTATCTTTGTTCTCTCGCGATAACCATCTGATCAAGTGCTGACAGTACTATCCTTAGTCAAATATCTCCTGGGCTCTTCTCGTGAGAACACACTCTTTGCTCCAGTAACAATTCAAATTAGTAGTCATGCCCTTCTTGTCCCTCTTGTGCACACACTTATAGACTAGTCGTTTTAGGTAGAATAGTCTTTTGGTAGCATGTTAATAACATAATAAATACGAGTGGTAGCCTGCCTTCCTCCATACAAAAAAAAAAAAAAAAAAAAAAAAAAAAGTTTTCATTGAAAATCAAATGATCGCGTTTTTGACCTTGAAAATGAAGACTTTTACTATGGTATATCTTGAATCAAAATGTTTCTATCGATCCAAAGCAACCTCTGAAATCATCTTTGTGGGACTTTGATGTGTAAAATCTCGACTTTTTGGCCAAAAACCTCATTTTATGTTTTCTAAAATTACTCAACAAGTTTATTCAAAACATCTATCTTACTTGACCCCATTGGAAGCGCCTTGAAATGTACTCCAAGAATGTATTAGGAAACATGGGATGATCATCACACTTCATATAGTCGAATCCTGAGAAATAGTTCAATCAAGTCAAAAAAGTATCAGAATCTGGCCAATCTGAAGTAAACTGATTGTCTGGGCTTGAATTAATTTTGGCTGGTGGAGCCGCCTGGCAAACTCAACAATGCCCTTTTCATCATGAAGGCAATACAGTAATAGATGCTTTTGAAGCATATGAAAAGTAGGTGGCAACTTACATAGCACTAGTTTTAGTCCTGCTATCTTTCTAGCATTCTATATTTAGTAACACCAGTCTATTAAAATGCTTGTTAGATCAACTTTTTTTTTCCTTTTTGAGGCTTTGAAAATGTCTGAGGACTACGATAGGCCTTTTGGCTCTGTGGGTGGCTTCCTGACCTACGCTTCCCTTTGATGGAAGTCTACCTACGTTCAGGCGGCTCACGCTGCCGCTGACCTTTGACTAATATTGCAACATTAATAATAATAGCTAAAATGTTAGAAGAAACTTGTATGTTGATTGATAGTGATTTAATATAAAATCTTTAAGCATATACAATATGAGTCATGTCTGGCAAATGCCTGGTAACTCGTTTTTATATTAGACTTGTAAAAGTGTCCAGGGACGATAAACTTATTACGTTATGATATGTACTGTTTAAAGCAAAGTTTTCTGGAGACAACTCCCATCAATTAAAACTGCCTTAGGGCCAGAAATGTTCCTCTTGTTCGACACGTTGGCCAGCAGGAACTGTCACTTCATCAAATAGCTGTCATGTAGCATACGATTGGTTTAGATTGTAGAAAGCAGACGCCTAGCAAATGCAGGTACCGGATCAGCAAAATGGCCTCACATGACTCAAAAGCCTGAACACAATCTAATCTGCTGTGGGCTTGTGACTAAATGTAAGCTTCAGTCAAGGATTAACCGCCCACACCCAAATATTGACCATTTTTAGTAATTCAACATCCATTAAGCCATGTGCATATGGTTGATATTTGCTTGTCTTATAGCCATGTCCTAATAGCCTTTATGTGTTTATTTATGATTTAAATAACAACTGCAAAAACGTGAAGCTGTCAAAATACGAGATGCTCTGGCGTGTACTCATATCAGCAAGCACAATTGCTCGTTTGATCGGTGCTTTGTTGCTTCTTCAAATTCACTGCTCTTTTACCACTTGATGTCGATGGCGAGGCTTTCACCTGTTCTAATGGAATATGGTTTGCTATATTGATACAACAAAAAAAGCTGAGTTAATTGCATGCGATGTTTGTCAATAAATATATCAGCTCATTTACCTATTTTGGTGAACACATGATGGACATTTGTGCCCTCACGAGCGCTCGTCTCGAAATACAAAAGATTGAATTCATTGGCATATAAAGCTGCTTCTTCTGTAGAAACATCTCGATATCTTTTCTCGGTATCAATTTTATTGCCAACAAATGCGATTGTCAATTGTGGATTGGCCAGAGGCCTAAGCTCCTGTACCCAAGATTGGGCTCGAGTAAACGATGACTATCTGAATGCTCAATGAAACAATCACCAGCAGAATGCATAGCCTACTTACATATTTTGTAACATCAAACACTACAATGGCTGCTAAGGCATTTCTATAGTACATTGGCGCAAGTGAATGGAATCTCTCTTGTCCTGCTGTATCCCAAATCTCGAATTTGATTTCACGATCGCCCGTGGAACACACCTTGGTCAGGAACGCAGCTAGTATGATGTGTGAATGAGGATGAGCAAGGTACAATGTTGCCGGTATACAAGAAATTTACCCCCAATAGTAGCGTCTCTTCCTTCCACAAAAGTATCTGTAGCGTAGCGAGTAACAATGCTGGATTTACCTACGGAAGATTCCCCTGTGTAAAAGATACAAAATTTTCCTTGATAGTTGGTATTCCCCGAGTGTAACACAGTTTCTTTCTCTTTTGATTTATACCTAATAGCACTATCTTTGCTGATGGAATTTGAGCAGACATTTGCAAAGGTCTTTTGCTGTTCATTTAAAATTGAAACAAAGAAAAGAGAGAGGAAAGAAAAAAAAAAGAAAGAGGCCAGGGCCAAGTTTATTCTTGATATTGTGTGCGTAGTAAATCAAACAGCTATGATGAAGTTTTTTCTTACCCAACATGGAAACCAAGCACAATAAGCTTATCCAATGTGACTATACACGTTTGCATAAAAAGGATATTTTGTTGCTTGTGCACTCTCCTCTTGTTCTTCATCATCTCTCAACATGAGCATTACTACAGCAGATACGAATATCAACAGCTCATTGGAGAAAGTGGGACTCATCCCTGATGGTAAGTAGATGCACTAGCGCTTGATCAAACTCACAAAATTGATCCGCTTCTGTAGTGGTTCCCAGCGCTATTTCACCATCCACCCTACTCACAGTTGACTATATCAACAGCAACAAAGATGTAGCTCTCGGGAACAACCTGACTCCCCAAGAAGCTAATGAGGTACCTAAGGTTTTCTTTGTGGCTCCTGATCAATCTGCATTCTACACTCTCGTGATGGTAAGAAACTGATATAAACAAACAAACTAGATAAGGCTATTGAAAGGCGCACTGTATTTAGACTGATCCAGATGCCCCTTCTGTTCAAGACAAAAAGTTTGGTCCTTGGCGTCATTGGATTGTTACCAACATTTCAGGTACTACAAGCACGCAGATGTTGTGTTATTACTACTCTCTCACATTCAATTATTCCCACCCCACCAAAACAATTAGGCTATGATGTGAGTAATTCAGTCAAGAAGGCTGAAAATCAGCATACGCCCTATGTTGGACCCGGCCCTGGAGAAAATTCAGGAACGCACAGATACGTATTCTTACTGTATCAACAAGCCAATGGTGAGCAGAAATTCAAGTCCATGGAGCATGAGCAAACAGAGCAACGTCGTAGATTTGACATTCGTGGCTTTGAGCAGGAAAATCAATTGAAGTTGATTTCTGTAAACTTTTTCTGCTGTCCAACCTAATCGATAATTGAAAATGTGAATAAAGCCTACAGGATTTTATAATACATATAGTTACAACGTGATGGTAGACAATGAATTAAATAATCAGTCCAGACTTTTAGTTCTCACATTTACCGCATGCTTAAGCCATTGGATTGTCAGTATGACGAAGAGCAACGTTAACAGCAATGCATTCATGATCTATGGCAAATGCATATTAGTCTCATAGCTGGAGCAGCTATATTTTTAAAAGCGCGACACAAGCTCTAGAAACAAAGACCAACAGAAAAACACAGAAAAGACGCGTTAAACAGCACTGGAGCAGCAAACAGACTATATAAAAATAAACCCTAGCTTTTAACGCACATTTTGATACCAATATCGCGAAGTTTATGCGAGGTTTTCATAGCTTTTGAATTTGCATCAGATCTCTCGCAGCTGTAACTGGAAAAAAACAAACTTCAAAATCGGCGCGAGCGTTATCCAGATATGCTATAGCAGCAATTAAGATATCATTGTAAAACCAAGAGCCATAGAATTTTAATGCATGTTTTAAATTAAATTTATCATAAAAACTCAAGTAGTTATCATTGCCTAAAGTCTGACCTTGCCAGCTGAAAAATATAACACACAGTTTTGTATCCTGGCTCCGAGCAGTAAATGGCCATTTTCTCTTTCAGTTCTTATTTGAGTAGATAGTTACTTCATTGAGAAGCAGCCGATGTAGTATACAGACTGAACAAAATGCTTGCAAAGCATTAGGTACATCCTGTGCTATCTTTTGATTGATTCATATCCGAATCACACACGCAACAGGCTAAATTGTCTCATGCATGTCAAGGGATGTCTTGAAACTCAATTTTACCACGACCTCCTCCTGAAACAATCCCCCCATAGGCTCGGGTTTATATTGTATCATTTTGTATTGATATCCCTCCATTCTGTGTTACTTGGATGCAGAGATAAATCAACCAAGATTAAATACAAACCAATGAACGCACATACAAAAATCATGGTGATACAGCTATTTAAACATTATTAAGAGATAATTCTCACAGTTGATTTTATTGCCAGTGAAGAATCAGAAGCCATGTACTTTAATGTCTACTTTTTTAGCGATCTTTTCATTCACCAAGAATTCGGCAATCTTTAATCGCTGATCACCGGAGAGCTGGAGAATGTCGCCCAATTCTTCATCAGGAAAGATTTTGCCACTGCAAGCAAACACCTTTTTAAAGGTCTTGAGGATCTTTTTAGCGTCATACTCTTTTGGAAGTCCTTGAAGAGTGGTCAACGTCTTCTTACCGTTCCGCTGCTGAATGCGCAAATCTATGAACATACTGTTAGATTAGGTCTAGATTGATTTTTTCTTGATTGTGCCTACGGATGTTGTTGTTAGCCTCTTGTGCTCTATCATCATCAACATCGGCAAACGGATCTAAAAATAAATAAAATGCATCAATACTTCTAACATCTTGCAACATTTATTTATCTTTTGGTACCAAAAGGGACGTTGAGTTCTTCAATATTGGACATAAACTTGCTGATACGAATAACAATATCAAGATAGGAAAAAGGTGAAAAAGGTGAAATAGATTTAGATTTTGAGAAGCAAACGAAAGTTTATATATTCGTCCGTGATTTAATCACACGCCTCAAATTTGTGTAGGTACATGATCAAATGTGGGGACCTTTGACTTCTTTGTCCTCCAACAGAGCCAGCGGTGGTATACAATGCGATACTGAGGTTCGCATTCATTGCTTACGGTTGTCATGGAAACCATTGGCTTCGGATCAGGAAACAGCGGCTTTTTCAAGATGCTGGATTGCTGCATAAAATCAGCACTAAACATGTCTTGAAAGCATACAAAAACAGGGGGATCAAGGTAACTTTGTAACAAATCTAAATAGAGCCATATATTTCTATAAAAGGCGAGGGATTAACATGGAATCAGAAAAGACATGCGTTTGATAAAAGATAAGATGATTATCCCTCATAACACAATAACAAGGATCTATCGGCTCTGATGATAAAGATTGAATGAATGTATTTAAGGTTCAACAGCATATAAATAATTATGATAGATAAGTTTTTGGGATTAGATCCACCTTTTGTCTTCAATGTAACCAACTCGAGCCATTTTTTCACGTGATGGCCTTATCACAGTGAGCAGTAGTGTAAAGGGATCCCGCGGGTACAAGCAAACTTGAGGGGAAAAGAGAGGATTTGAAAGGGGATTTTTGGCAATCAAATGGAGATAAACAAGAGATTGATTTGAAAAATGAGATAACAAATTTCTGTTGATTGGGTAAAATGCCCTCCGAGCAATTCTTTAGCTGTAAGATGTTGCTATCAATAGCCAATCGTAGATGTTTTCGTGACCTTAATGATAAAAACTAGATAAATAAAAAAAAAAATGAAAAAAGTACAAAAAAAAAATTTCATTAAAATCCCATCCTTCTTCTTTCTCTTCCTCTCTCTCCTCTCTCATCCAGTAAATCAGAAAAATGACTGTAAAGTCCCCTTTCTACAACAAGCCATCAACGTCAACTAGTGTTGATTCCTGCCATAAATGTCCGTTAATACAACAAACTACCCAAATGTCCAAGACAAATGATATGAATTGTGTACAACAAGACCAGCCTACTTCAGCTGTCGTAGCTGGCTTCGATCAGTCAAAGGTTTCTGCCCCTTCCAGCAATAACAGCATTTCAGCCGTTGTTGAGCCGAGCAACTCCAGTGTTGCGAAATCGGACATTGGAAGTGCGGTCGTTACCTCGTGTTCGAACTGTGGTACTACTACCACTCCCTTATGGAGAAGATCTCCTCTTGGAGAAACTATCTGCAATGCTTGTGGTCTTTACTATAAGGCCCGCAATACAACTCGCCCTGTTTGGTTGAAAAGAAATGCTTCAAAACGTCCCAAGAATACAACAATCAGTCCAATTGCTCTTGCCCCACGTATTTCTCCTACTCCTCTTTTAGCTCCCGCTCCTCCTCCACCATCTAGTGTATCTCCACCATCTTTATCATTCTCTACTGCTGCTTCTAAACCTTCAGTACCTACCTTTGTAGTCATTCAACAGCAAACAGCAAGCCAACAACCAAAGGAAAATGTCAGCAATGTTACTACCGCCTCCACTGCAGCCACTACCAGCACTTCATCCACAACCCCTGAAGATCTCGCCAATCTCATTTGTGCAAATTGTCAAACCGCCACCACGCCTTTGTGGAGACGTGATGAATCGGGTCATCCCATTTGTAACGCTTGTGGCCTCTACTTCAAATTACACAGTGTACGTCGTCCTATCACGATGAAGCGTTCGACTATCAAGCGTCGTAAAAGGGTCACTGCTGCCACCATGGTTACTCACAAGCCTGTGGTCATGCATCGTCCAGCCATTGCTCCCATTGCTTTGTCTGCTGATGCCTCTCTTTGTGGTACCAAAAGACGAATTGAGAATGCTTCCGAGAGTGCTGCCAAGCGTATTGAACATTTGCGTCCATTGTTGCCTACACCTTCTCCCGCTCATGCTGTTGAACGTCCTCCTTCACCTGCTGCCAGTGTCCATTCTGCTAGATCTTCACCTGATCCCATTGAGCCTGATGTATTCCAACACCACCATCAACGTTATCTGCCATCTCCTCCCATGAGACCTATCAAGAGTACTTCCAACATTGCATGCTTGTTGAACCCTGAAATTGATCGCCACCAAAGAAGCTTACCTAGCTTGCCTTCGCCACCCTCGATCCCTCATGAGGATATGCTGCCTTTGTCGCCCAAGATGAACAATGACGCCAAACATGTTGCTGCTGCTTTTGCTACCACTGTCTCTGCCTTGTTCAATCCTGCAGTTGTTGATCGCAAACACACCCATCAAGTTTTAGAAGCTCATCGCATTGAATTGAAGCGCGAAGTGACTAATCTTACCTCTCTGTTGAGCCGTACAACAGCGATGCTCCAGAATATAGATCAAGTTATGGCTACTTCTTCTTCTTCTTCAACCAACAATTACTAAATAACTATATTATCCTATGAATAAAATTACATCTCTACATTTCTATATGACGCATTAGTTTTGTTTGTGTCATCATCTGCTATCCATAATACCTTTTTGTTTCTGCCTGAAAACATGTGAAATCATGTGAAATTGTTTGTATTGTTGAGTCGCAATGATGTGTTTCTCATTTGCTGGTAATGGCAGCTGTATACAGAGCCAAACAGTGGTGAATGTAGCGAAACAACGCATTTAGGTTTGTAAATCAAGATGTAACAGTTTTACACTTGTGTTGCACACACGCTAATGGCAGATAACAATAGCAGCTTTGTTCTATACTAATAAATTAGCATATAGCAATACATGATGATGTATTACCAAGCTCAAGACTGTGGTTTATAAGAAAAAGACGAACCATTTATGCAAATTGTATTGTGGTTTAGTAAGCCCATAGTTATCGGAGTGTGGACCCCGCATTTTTGCTGACTCTCCAGCTATCTGTTCAAAGTCAATCTATTAAGCATTTGTAAAGTGAATTACAAACCATTTATTCTCTTCTTCCGTCTAATCAACGCTCTTTTATTCACTCTTCTTCTCTTTATCCATGGAATACGATCCAGCAGTTTCTACTCACAAGGCATCCAGCATCACCAGCACAACCAGTACGAGCAGCAGCAGTACATGGGAATCCCATCATCCACAATTTAATACAACTCCACCGTCTTTCAAGGATTTAAGCTCAATGGAACATGACCATTTTATGATTCAAAATGAAGGTAATGGACTGACACTATATGGGTGCAATTGTAGACACTAATAACTTTGCATGTTTAGACTTCATTTCAGACAGAATATCGCTACATGATGTTACGCCCGCCAATGTGCGTCTTGGTGAAAGTATCGATATAGTAAGTGTATTTTTCATTACACAATTTACAATATATTAATCAACCTCTTCCCCTTTTCCCCACAAACACAATCTACCCTAATTAGAAACATGAATATCACGAGCAATGCAATGTTGATTCGGAACCAGTGGATAGCGAGCAAGAGCAACGGGATGTGACTCATGACAGACATATCTATCTCACCTCCTCGTACTTGCCTACTCCAATCTACTTGCAACATGGAGATCAGATCACTGTGCCGTTTACAAAGAGCTATCATACCATGGACAGCAGCAGCAGCTCTCCTAAAAAGCAGCAGCATCCGCCCCAGCAAGCGAGAAAGCCTGTTCGTCAAATCCGTCCATTGCAAGTGCCTGAAACTGCGCCCAACAATACAAGACAAAGATCAAGCTCTATATCCTCTGTGAATTCAAGTTATGGCTCCAAAAGACAAAAACCCAATAACCGAGACATTCTTACTGATGACGAGAAGAGGGTCAATCATATAGCATCTGAGCAAAAGAGACGAAATACAATACGCTTGGGTTTCAAAGAATTAACAGACATCATTCCCACCTTGAAGAACATCAACAACTCAAAAAGCACAATCCTGTTTAAAGCAGTTGAATACATCAAGCATCTCGACAAACGCAATCGTGGTTTAAGAGAAAAGATATCCACACTCAAGGTTCGAATGAACGTAGAAGGCCGTATGATGCAACAACAGCAACATCAACAAAGGAAGTATTCACATTATCAGCAACAACAGCAGCAAGAACCAACCATGGCTGATACGCATCAATTTAGCCACTTACCTGCTAATGCTGTCTCTGCTTTGATGGCCCACAAAAACCAACAAAAGCAACTGGAAGCATTGCAGGAGCAACTGAGACTTCAGCAGCAGTTGCTGGCCAAACACCATATTTTGCCTGAGCATTTAACATCTCCTCCGTCTCCTCCATCTATGCCATCTTCATCTTCACCATCAGCAAAACGTTCATCATTTGCAAATCACTTGTATTCATCCAATCTACACAACAATTACAACTCCATCTCGATTCCATCAAGCAGAAGTAGTAATAGTGATGATAATGATCATGTAATAATCCCTCATCATTCTCATTAATCGACTTGTATATGTATTCTATGACACCTCTGAGCTATGCTTTTTTCTTTTAATTATAATTAAAAAATGGCCTGTACGCCATCTCTTTCTCTTTTCCTTTTGGTTTACATTGAACACAAACATTTTGTTTCAAATGAATGGCATATGCTTCAAGGCACAAGCTTGATTTCAGCCAATCGAAATCGCTCAGATGACATGTGATGGCAGCTGCTTTTGATCCATCAAGCAAACCGTGAAGCGCCGAACAACCAGCATATTCTGCACAAAGGCCGGATTGAGCGAGAGATGAGGATGAACTTGTTTTATGACGCACACAACTGTACAGCATCTCATTCGTTAAATTGGCCCACAATTGCTCTGTTAAAATTTTTTTTTACAATGCCGCTAGAGGGAGATGGCAACAGGCAGAAAGCAAGAAACATTTATCTACAGAGAAAAGGAGGACAAGCATGCGCAATCCTTTCTCTTTATATATAAAATTCGAGGCTTGGCGAAGGCTTGGTTGTATACTCTTGCTTTTCCTCTATCACAAAACAAGAACTCCGGTCCAAGGCATCCCACATAGCATAGCAAAGGCATAGCATATAGCATTAAGGAAGCTCACAAGGAAAGAATTACATCAAAAGAACAGTAAACGACAAGTTTCCGAATGGCACGTGTACACTTGTTTACAACATCGACGACACCTCATCATGAAAGACGTCGGCAGTCCCTCTCACCAGAACATAGCATCGCTGATGATGCCCCATCTCCATCGACAGAGAACATTACCATCGCTGCAAATGCAACACCCACTCAGGAAGATATCAGCACATTGGATGCAGATGCCGTAGCAGCAACAGCAGCAGCAGCAGCAGCAGTGGCCTCACCTTCCACTGTCAACATGACTCAAGCATCGATCTCCACTCCCGCTTCTCCTCCTCATGAACAGCAGCAACATGATCTAGCGTCCAGCACAGCTGCATTGACAGCTGCTCTTCTACAATCAGCTCATGGCCAGGACGATGTATCGAGTGCTGTCGTTGCAGCCTTGTCAGGAAAACCTGGTAAGTAGGGTAAAAGGGTGAGAGAATTGGCAACTAATTTCCGGGTGTGATAATGGTAGATTCATATTCCGGATTAGCATCTCCAGAACAGCCATCGCAAGAGCAGCATGATGCTTCTCAAACACAAAAGGAACAGCAGCAACAGCAACAGCAGCAAACACAGCCTCAGTCAAAGACGGAAGATGCCATCGAACAAGCAACGGCAGCAGCAACTGCACTTCAATTGTTGGGATTATCTCACTCTGATAGCACAGCACAGCAAGCCAAAACCACACACCAGCAATCACAGCAGCAACATGTGGCCAGCACTAGCACCAACAATGCGAAAGTGGATGCCAATAATGTGATGCTCATTGCCAACTATCCTGGCCTAAATTCCAACATTGAAGAGATTGATCTGAGTAGCGATGACATGATTCAGGATTACAAGCGAGGCACATGGACGAGAGAAGAGGATGAGTTATTGCTGGCAGGCATCAAAAAGTTTGGCTATGGCAGATGGAAGGAAATTGCAACCAGCATACCTGGACGCAAGGGCAAGCAGCTGAAGCAACGATGGGATAATACGTTAGCTGCCAAGTACGTGGACCAAGAATGGCTAAAGAACAAGATACGAAGCGAAGAACAACTTCACCAACAACAGCAGCAAGCGGCGAGAGCACTCTCCATGATGGATATTGATAAATCAAATCATGGCAGTGCGTCGCCCAGTCATGCAACGGCATCATCAGACGATAAAGCGCTCAAATTCTTGGAAGCCACAGATTGGAATGACATTGCTTTGAAGATTAGCGAAAAGGCTAGAGTAGGCGACCAGCATGCTATCGAGGCATTGTTATCTCAGGCTCTATTAGGCACGGTGGCTAATCATGCGGCTGCAACTGCCACCTCCGCTACAACAGCTCCTACGACAGCGAATGTCAGTATAAATGCCACCTCCTCTCCCGTTATTGGCGGTGGCGATGGTGGAAGCAGTACACCTATGAACACCAGCACAGTGTCTTCCCCTGTTCAGCCAGCGCTCCAACATCACCAGCAACAGCAGAACTTTGATAACTTTGCATTACAACACACCTCAAATCCAGGAACGCCATCCACATCCGGTAATAACAACAATGACGGATCTCTTGATTTAAACAACTTCTCAAGGCCCTTAGACAACAATCCACCGCCTCTCACTTTAGCTGATGCCGCTGCTTTAGCATTATACGCAAATCAATTGTCTCAACAGTCAAATGGCAATGGAAACAGCTATTTCATGCCATTTGGTAATGCATCCACCGCTAATAACGATAACTCTGTAGCTGCAGCGGCGGCGGTAGCAGCGGCAGCGGCAGTGGCGGCAGTTCAGCAGCATCAGCAATCCGATTCTCAACACTCACAAGCTTATAATTCGTCATCACCCATCAAAGCAACGGCTTCCAACACAGCATCTCCCTCAATGTCATCTGCAGTGGGAGCACCCACTTCTTCATCATCCGCAGCAGCAGCAGCGTCGTCTTCAAACGGCCACAAGATGTCAACAGGAGGTAAAAGACGTCGTTCTGATCCCGCACTAGCAGATACACAGAGTGCAGCCATGAGCATCTATGCATCAGCAACACCCATTACTACCACTATCAACAACCAAACACAAACCGTATTTCCATGCCTGTTTCCTAATTGCGGAAAAACCTTTGCCAGACTGTACAACCTTAAGAGTCATTCAAGGACACACACAGACGACAGGCCTTTCGTATGCCACGCTTGTACTGCTGCGTTCAGTCGAAACCATGATTTGAAGCGACATTCCAAGATCCATGGAGGAGATAAGCCCTACAGATGCGAAGGATGTCAAAAGAGTTTCTCGAGGTAGGGGGGTTTTTTTTTTTCAGTAGGCTTAGTATTGTAGATTAAATCTAACACATCTCACTCCACGTAGATTGGACGCTTTGAAACGACACAAAAGTAATCAAAGAAACAAACAAGGCTGCACTGGAAACTAAAAACAAATGCACCAAGTCCATACCGTTTATTATCAACTTGGTTACCCTCTTTTTTCGTCTGATCCTTTTTATCTAAGCATTTATTATTAAGACCACGTATTCACACAATCCCCCCCCCCCTTTACTCTAAATTCACATTTTGTATAATTTTCTTCCTTGCTACAATAACTTTTTTTTTTAAAAATTGCAATCCCCGTAAATATTGATTATTTCTGGATCACACAACTATTACTTCGTATATGAAACCAAAGGATTAAATTCACGTAATAATGTTTCTGCATACACGATCAATATTGGGTAGTCTTTCGTGCTATTTGGATTGGTGGAGAATGGTTTAACCTGAGAGCTTGTTAAAATAGATTAGATTGCGGGATAGAATTAGCAATAGGTATCAATGTTTTAACATTGGCATATACCTCCATAGCCATTATAGTACCATGTCTGTATTACAGCTTTCTAAAGTTTCATTATCGCTTGAAAAGCCTTTATAATCAGCCTGTAAATAAAGATTCGGCATTATATGATGCCCCACATCTGTATCAATGAGAGATAATGTAGGTATGGCCATAAAGCATGCTTGCACTACCTCTTACTATTCAAAAAGAGTGTTTATGTTTTGGTGAGAATCAACCTGCGCAGCAGCAGCTCGCGTTGCCGGTTGCTCTTGCGTATCTTATCAAAGTACTGCTACTTTCATGTTGACCCTGCACTTACACATGAGAACCTTCATGTTATCTGTGGGTCTGATTCTTATGTGATGCTCTACATCTATATATACGTGGCTATTTCATAAACGGACAAGCAACATGCTGGTATCCCCCCTTTTTATTCCTTAGTGTTCCTGATACAACAAAGTCAGTGTGTTTGAGCTGCGTTTTCTTGCGTTCAAGGCCGTATTAGATGGTCAGAATAGCTCCAAACAATTGCTCTCGTCTGGCAATAACTTAACAACATTATTGCTCAACTTTTTGGGGATCAAAAAAACATGGACAAAAATCGACCAAAAAGCATGAGGTACCCCTCATGGTTCTCATAGAAAATTAGACAATCGTGTTTTTGACCTTGAAAAAGAAGACTTTTACTATGGTATGTATTAAATCAAAATGTTTCTCTCGACCCAAAGCAGCTTCTGAAACCACTTTTACCAGGTGTTCATATGCAAAATTTCGACATTTTGACCAAAAACCTCATTTCATATTTTATCAAATTGCTCAATAATTTCATTCAAAATACATATTGCAGTTGGCACCATTGGAAGCGCCTTGAAAATTACTTCAGGAATGTATTAGGAAGCGTAGGGTGATTATCACAATTTATATAGTCGAATATCACAAAATAGATTAAAGAAGTCGACAAAAGACAAAACTTGCCCAATTTTAAGCAGAAAAAATAAACTGGTTTTGAACGAATTTTGGCACGCCCATGGGCTAACCCAAATGCCTTTCTGATGGTGATAATGGCGGCAATGATGATTGCGATGCTGATAAAATGGGGATCAAGGAGCTGAAAGGACGGTTGCTTAGCCGGAATGCTTTTTTCTTGGGAGTTCTGTTCTATAAAGATGTCTTTAAATGACATTATCTCAAGAGTTGCTGTAAATTTATAAAACAAGTCCTGCAATTACGCCTGGCCAACTCTATGTCGCCAGCTCAAGAGAAACATGGGTAAGTAGATACCTCCCCCTCCTGACGCTGATATATCCTTTCTTTTACTACTAATCGATTGTTTCAAATTTGCTTGATATCTCTGATTTCGAAGGCCTTCGCTGTGAACCTTCAGGGCGACATCGTCATCGAGTGTAGCGAGATTGATCGGCTAATAGGATTCATACTATAGTATATAAGATGCAGGCTGCAGACTAAATAGACTGCGCCTATTGGATACATGCTAATAAATTAATATTAATAATCCTTATACAAAGGTTAGATTAAGGTACTTGAGATAAGAGTCTGAATATTCGTTCAGACAAAGCTAGATTATGCTTAGCTTGCTGGAGTTGTCTTTTAGCATGATTAGACATTAGTTGATCAGAGTTGACTTATTTGTCAATCTAATTAGTAGAACTTTTATCCATTGTTATAGTATATATATAAGAAGGATCATCTACCTGGCTAGTAGAGGCTAGATACTTCAGTTTATTTTATATCTGTCCGTTTGATAAAAAAATACACCTTTATCAAATTGACTTTATTGTTTTTTATTCTTTTTCCATTAAGCTTTAAACTTTATAAAACCTCAAACTACACAGTTAGATTCAATTTGCATAATATCATTGATGTGGAATTCGAGGCTTTATAAGACTAAAATTCACTGGAAAAAAAAAGAATAAAAAAAGAATAAGTCAACTTGGTAAAGGTATGTTTATTATCAAACTGACAGGTGTAAAGTAAAACTGAAGTATCTCTATTGGCCAGGTAGATGATCCTTCTTATATATATACTATAACAATGGATAAAAGTTCTACTAATTAGATTGACAAATAAGTCAACTCTGATCAACTAATGTCTAATCATGCTAAAAGACAACTCCAGCAAGCTAAGCATAATCTAGCTTTGTCTGAACGAATATTCAGACTCTTATCTCAAGTACCTTAATCTAACCTTTGTATAAGGATTAATAATATCGATCTAGTAGCATGTGTCCGATAGGTACAGTCTACTTTGTCTATATCAATAGTACATATCTGAGTGTATATCGCTGAGCATATATCTTTAGCATGTATCTGGATATATACGGCATGTCTATAGCCTGTCTCATATATAGTACAAGTCTGTAGCACATAAAGTATCTGTAGCTAGTATCACGAATATAAGCATGTGTCTTATAGCGTGGATCATAAAGTGCACATCTGAAGTAACAAGCTCATATTGCATTAATCTTGGTGCTCATCCAGATATGGTAAACATCCGTAGTCAATGTCGGAATACAAGTATAAGTCTATAGCGCCATCCCTGTCCATGGTACCATCTATAGCCTATGTCTTCTATAGTATGAATCTTATAGTACTAGCGTATCTGAAGTTCATATCTTCTTGTAGTATAAATCGATATCGTACATCTAATCCAATGTACATACAGCTTATATCTGAATCCGGTAACTGGATGAACTGTCGGAATGCAGATTAGAGTGAATGTATTCCACATATAGATTTATCTGTGAGTTTTATAAATCCTCTGCTTGTAACCAAACAAAATAAAGATTTGTAGCAAGTTTATGAAGGCAGCGTACATCTGAAACTTGAAACTACTATATTATAATGGACATAACATAGAGCTATTGAATGGTCTTTGATTTGTGCGAATCCAGTGAGTATTTGTCGAGTTATGGTCAAAAAAGGGTATCATGCAAAATCATGAATTTTTCTTAAAAATCTGCCTGTGATAGCAAGCAAAAAATCTGGTGACGATTTTTTGGTCAGGACAAGGTTGTCAATATTTCATGATAGAGTCATGCCAGAGCTTCAAGCAATAGCTTATTCGATAGGAATTTTTTTGGTCTACAATGTTTAGTAATGCTTAACAAAATGTTTTGATGACGGATACTGATTAATCTTTAGAAAACAGTCAAAAAATCGCAAAAACAATCGCATCAAATATCAGGTGAACAATGTACACCAGAGGCTTGAAACAAATACCATTGTATTCTCCTTTGAATTCTCTACAAGTTTCATATAAGTTTGAAGGGGTGGTTGCAATCAGGAAACGCGCAATTTTAAGGTCGATAGATTTAGGAAACTCGAGCTGTTGAACGATGTTGAGTAAAAGTTCCTGATTCAATAACGATGCTTTGTCAATTAATGTTTCAGCGGTGTATTTTGTAAAAAGAATAAGCGAGAAAGGGGTTAAACTACAAATCAAACGCTGTTGGTATGGCATCCAAATGACTGTATGTATCAGGTTTAATAATATATCATTTCTTTTGTATTCAGCAGGTTTGTGGTGGCAATGTCAATAGAAGTTTATAGCTGATCCAGCACACTATTGCCAAGTCGATATAATAGTGGGTTTGTAAAGCATTTCTTGTTGATCCATTTCACAAGATCAAAATTACTGACAGGCTGTCAAAAACATTGTGAGTGTTCTGATCCACTGCTAATTTAGCTTCACATTCCGCTTTATTAATGCAAATCCAAAGATCTTTTATTCCAATTGTGTATCTCTAATCGAGTATCATTAACTCATATTCGCGGATTGTTACTTGTATTGAGCATAAGGATCGCTGCCTGCAATATTACGACGCTGGCCAAAGCTCATTCCCGACTATACGGGAGTTGCATCAGTCAACCCTCTCTAAAAAGCCCTTATAATCTACACTTACTTGATTTGCACCGCCAGTGTATCCATATTGATAGGTGTTAAATGTTGCATTGGCTGCATTGGCGGCATCTTGTGAGTATGTTGGTTTTTGTTTGTCAGCAAGTTTTGGGCCAAGATACTTTCAAGATAGGTGAATATCTTCTTTTCTCTTGTATTCGCTGACATGTACTTACATTGGGTGATGTTCCAGCTTTGTATCCATATCTCGACAACGAAAAGATGGAGTCAACGACCTGTGTCATGTTCTTTTTTTCAAACAAATCCACTGTTTGGAAGAGATCGTACTTTGGCACGCCCAAGGCTTCAGCGCCCCTTAAGAATATCGAAATGTTTTCCATCTATTCATGAAATCAATACCTCTATACAATGCCCCTGTCGATAAAGCAGTATATACTTGAATGAATGGCATCTTGGATTGCTTGAACTTTCCTTGGCCGGGAACTAATTTACCAATCACCCTTTTCAATGTTGTTAAAAAGCGTATATTCGATACGTCCAACAGAGTATACCTACTTGCACAGAATAACGCCATCTTTTAAGCTCTCGGCGAAATCATCAGAAGGAAACTTTTCACCGATAAGCTCTTCCATCCATTGTCTTGCTTGCTGCTCGCGCTCAACTGAGTATTTGGAGTCGATTTTAGCTTGGATCTCTACAGCATAATGACATAAGTAAACGCATGTTAGGGTTTTCCTGTGCCAAGCGTACCTTTGTCAATGCCGTATAAAGGTGTTTCGTCTTCCATGATATGAATGAATGAGAGATAAAGTGGAAACTTGGTATTTCTTGCTTTTGCAAAGTGATGTACATCATGACGTTCTGTTTAAAACCCACCAACGATTGATTCACCTACCGCATCATGTGCTTTTAGATGAAAGAAAAGCACAGATCATATATTTCGACAGTTTGTTGCCATGGTTACTGTCCCTGGATCAAGTTTAATGTGTGTATGCATGTCTTGACAGGCTGCTAATGTTGACATTAGATGTAGTGTTGAAATCAGTTTCCGTATATTTCCAATCTATCACCATCGTAGTGCTATGTCATGTCAATAATGCTACATGCTCCATAAAAGCATCATTTCTTTTGTACATATACCTGTAAAACGAGCATTATATCAATTAAATATCGTGGATCTCTCGAGTTATACACACTTTACAACGAGTAGAAATGTTAGATCAACATACCATGATTGGATATCCCATGTTTTTGACGTCACCCATCGATAGAATCTCGAGTTTGGCTTGGTCTCATTGGCAGACAAACGCACCCAGGGATGTGGGCAAATATAGCAACATCGAACATAATAAAAATCCATCTGCCTAGGTTTTTACTTCTCCACTTTTTATTTATTTATACACCATGTTTTCTCCCGTGCTCAAGAGAAGTGTAAGTACCAGAGAGCTGCTGTTGAGAGGTATGCCATGTTCTAATGTTGATATAGCTTACTGCCGCTGCTGCTGGTAGCGCATGGATCGCAACTGCTTCTACTGCATTTGCTGAGGAAAAGAGAGCCAAGGTAACATTGGAGATAGATTTGAAATGCGCGATATGTTTGTCTCAACATCCAAGTATAGCTCAGTATTTACGACGAGCCTGAGCCAAAGGTTGTTATCATTGAATCACCTACCAAACTTGAAGAGCAAGTTTACATTGCTCAAAAATATGCCAACGAGACTTTAGAGGAGGGAAAGGTAATGATGATTACGGAGACAGATGGAATAGTATATTGACTTGGCATGGCATAGACTCATGTCAATGGTTGGGTACAAAAATACCAAGAATTAGAAAACCAAGTTACCGCTGAGATCAACAGCACCATTGATAAAAACGAAGAGATCTTCCCCAATGTTGTCTATGTTGGTGTTGCCGCTTTAGCCGGTACCATCATTGCTCGCAATAGAAACATTGTGCTTCGTTTCTTGACCTCCACCACATTAGCCATTGGTACCTCATACTACCTCCTCCCCAAGACCACTCACAATGTTGCAGTTCAATTGGAGAAATTAGAACGTAGATATCCCCAAATCCAAGCAGCACATCAGAGTGTCAATGACGCTGTTGGTAATGTCCACAAACAAATTGACGATACTGTATCCCAATTGCGTGGTGCAGTTGACGAGAATGCCAGCAAATTGCGTCAACAAATCCAACAAAATACTGAATTCGTCAAGGATCAAGTTAACAGCGCTGTTGGTTCTACTGAAACCGAGGCAAAAGAGAAATACGATCAAGTCAAGAAGAACGTTGAAAGCATGTACACAACAAGATCAAAGCCTGGTGTTGATGAGGTTTTGAAGCAAGAGAGAAACTAAAGCATAAATCAATAAGTTGTATATAAAAAAGTTTATTCAATTCACATCATCCTTTGAGTCCTCTCTTTCTTTACCCTGAAAAGCGGTTGTTTAATGAGTGAAATGTGTGTGTGTGGGTTGGTTGTGCTGTTCTATAAATTTTTTCCAGGTGGACCCCTCCCATCTCTCTCTTTTGCTTTCTTTCCCTTCTCACTCATCACAGATTCCAAAACAACAACAAATAAAGCCAAATCGTTATTAGCAGTAATAGCAGCATCACTTGAGATTTTTCTATTTTGTCATAGTTTCAGCAAACACCAGAAGCAAAACATGTCAAAAGAAAATCAAGTGCCTCATCCATATTATGATGAAAAGTCCATCGAAAAAGAGGCTCGAATTAGGAACCTTTTTGATTCATTAGACCACAAGGGACAGGGCGTTGTTTATACCAGAGACATATCAGAAGCATGCAGATTGCCAGCTCACACTCGGTACGCTTCAGAGTTGCTGAATTCAGATGATGAAAATGGCATCGATTACGACAGATTCAGGGCTCATGTCATTGAAAAGGAAGAAGAACTATGGAACGTATTCAGCGCCATCAATCAGCAGGGAGACCACCGACTCAAGCCAGATGAATTAGAATTTGCCTTGAAGGAATCCGGAATTCATGTTACAAAATCAGACATGGAAGCCCTGGTTCAGTACATTGACACTGCTGGAAATGGTTACATTGATTTTGAAAATTGGAGAAACTTCTTGCTATTACTGCCTCATGAAACGACACTTACAGAGATCTATCGATACTACCAAACAACCACACAACTCAACGCAGATGCCGAAGTAGTTATTCCACACACAGACGAAGCAGCTCGAAACGCATATAAATACCTTACAGCAGGTGCCATGGCAGGCTGTGTTTCACGTACCTGTACAGCGCCCCTGGATCGACTTAAAGTATACCTTATTACCCATACTACCTATCAACCTCACCTTAATACTCAATCACAACCCAAAGCATCTTCCTCGGCCATCCTGAATGCTGTAAAGACGATTTATCGAAATGGCGGATTTCGTGCTTTGTATGTTGGTAATGGTCTCAATGTGATAAAAATCGTGCCAGAATCTGCCATCAAATTCTATGTGTTTGAAACTTCAAAAGCTATCATGGCTCAAATGACAGGCGCTCAAGATAAAAACTCTATTCCTGTCGGTGCTCGCTTCATTGCTGGTGGTGTCGCTGGTTTGTGCTCTCAGTTTTGTATATATCCTTTAGAAACTCTCAAGACGAGAATCATGTCCAGCCAAGAAGGACAAGGTGTGAGACCAAGTGCTATCAAGACAATGCGGGAAATGTACAAAACAGGCGGTCCAAGAGCATTTTGGCCTGGTTTATTTTTGAGCTTATTGGGTGTGTTTCCTTATCAAGCTTTGGATATGGGCATCTACGAAACTTTGAAAGTGTCTTATCTGCAATCCATGGACAAGGCAGGTGCTCATCAGGGTTTACCTGAAGGTGAAAAGGCACATCCCAATGTACTGGTGTTGTGGATGTGTGGTATGGTGAGTGGATCTATTGGTGCAAGTAGCGTGTATCCCTTGAACATGATTAGAACTAGGTATGTAAAATTAAGCTTAATCTGTGATTTTTGCTAATTACAGTATAACAGATTACAAGCTCAAGGTACACCTGGCCATCCTTTCCGATACACTTCTGCCTGGGATGTTGCTCAAAAAACGTACAGGGCAGATGGTGTTCGAGGCTTCTACAAAGGCCTTGGTCCAACTCTGTTTAAGGTGGTGCCATCGATCAGTATCAGTTATGCCGTATACGAATTTTCAAAGCGATCATTGGGAATTTCATAGAAATCGCTATAGACCTTTTATTCACTTGTACATATATATATTATTAAAGCAGTTTTCTCTTGTTCTTTCACAAGGCAGAGAAGTATTCACATCAAGTCGTCGTCATTATTGCCTGTAGAGCATGTAACAGACCATAGTCTTGCGATAGAGCAGAGCGCATTTGGTGGATCGATAGCTGTTGTATGTGCATTGGGTTTGGCTTTACTGTCATTTCGAAGCGAATAATACATGCCCAATGTTAACTGCTCAGAAATGCTATCATTCTGAGTAATGGCCTTGATCTTGTCTTCCGTTGCAGTAGAGGCAGGCTTTTCGTTTATTTTGAAGGGACACATAATGTCCACGTTCTTTTGGATCATGTCCATTTTCTGCTCGATACTTTCACTAAAGGCATGATTCGTGACAGACATGGTGGAGCGTGATGTTACATAGATTTGCTGTAATGACTTGGCAATGTGTGGTAAATACGACAGGCTTTGCGTCAATCTCTTTGCGTAGGCACTGCTAAAGATGAGTGGATATAGATGACACGTCTTTTTGATCAGGAGCATGGTCAGTACGTCTTCCATATAATCTGACATAATTTCCAATGTCAATTTTCGTTTCCAATTTGCATGAAATTCTTTGGCTTTTGGGCTGGTGAAATCGAGCAAGAATTCCAGTGTGTCCAATGTTCCATAAGACGCTTGTTTGTCCAAGACGTACGAGATTGGAGTTGTGACAAATGACTTTTCCACTTGATAGCGATAGAGGCCCTTCTCTTCATTTTGTTTGTTAGCTGGTTTGAATCTACATTTCTGCATTACATTGTCGAAAATGACTTGAAACCATGATGGATAGTCCAAGCTGTCTTCCAGACCGTTCAGTAGAAGAGTAAATTGGATATTGAGTACGCCAGATGGGCTCAGTACAATATCCAGCTTGTCTAATTCAAATTGTCTGTAGTCTTTATGTCGATTCTGAAGTCTGTATGTCAAGTGATGGAGGCATGTTGCTTCACAAGAAAAGACAGTGGTCATGATATTCGTGCTTTTTGATTCTGGAATGGATACATTCACATGTTTGACTGACTTGGTGTTGGCAATGCTTGACTTTATGAGCTCTTGCGATGGTGTTGGTATAAATGTGTTGGCAGTAAGCAGTGTAGATGGAGATGATGCGCATGAAACACCGTCAATCTGTTCTTCTTGCTCTACATCTTGCGTTTCTTCTATCAAACGATGTACATAGGCATTGCTTTGGTTTGCTTGCTGTTTACCATCTATTGGAATCATGGTCTGAAAGAGCAGTGCATGAACCATTCGATTGATCTGGTGCAATTAGGTAACGGAACGAATCGGCAAGACCCCAATGTCCGATCATTTCCCCACACCATGACGGATAGTTCAATTGGAAAAGCAATAATTGAATAGTAGAGATATATAAGAGGCAGCAAGATATGTAGATACTGCCTATGGCTGGAAGCCCTCGCATCAATAGCCTGATTGCATCCTGCTTCTCCAGTACAACATTGTCCCTGTGTGAAATCAGAATTCACATGCAACCTTAGTCAACTACTAATCTTTTTTCCAGCTTGGGCTACACAAAGCAAATGTTATTTCGTATTTTTTTTTTATTGTAATTGATGTTTTATATGAATAGAAGATGAAAGAATTACATAGCAGCCAAGTACAAGGTACCAACAGCAGTAGCACCCATAACAGCATAACCAGTTGTATAAACACTCTTGATATCAATCATCTTGGTGGTATCCCAAACCTATAATTTCACCCGCATCATTAGACACAATGTAAATTCTCATACACTCAACACTTACCAAATGTCTGACACCATTGAGACAGTGGAAAACAAAGGGAAAGGCAACAGTGGTCTTTGCAGCAAACTTGAGAGCAAAAGGAGCAGCAGTAGCAGCAGAGATAATGCTGGCAGTATCAATTGTAACACCAAGAGCAGGAGCGGCAACGTAGGCAAGGGCACCCAAGTAGAAGGCTACCAAATACAGTAATAAAATTTTAGATAAAAGATAATGAATCATCGCGTTTCAACTTACCACCACCGAGAGCAGCGCCAGTGATTCTGTGAAGACCAGACAAATACCAGGTAATTTGAGGTTGGTAGATTTGGAGATGAGGAGAAACAGGACGAAGTTTACGTTGTTGACGCAAGAGCTCGGATTCAGCAGCGGCGCATTGTTCTTGAGCCTTGTGAGAGGCATTGAAATGTCTATGTTTGATGTTGATGTGGATGTTGTTGGTGGATGATGATCGTAATGGTGAATGCATGCAAAATGTCGGTTGCTATAGCAACTTACCTAACACCAAGAGCAGGAGAGGTAGCAACGGCGTTTCTGAAAACAACAGGGTCTATTCAAATCAAATAAGAGTCCATCTCCATGTATCCAATGTATACATCCTATATTTACTTTGAGCAACAGTCTTTAAGATGGAACGAGTAGCCAACATTATTGATCAAGGAAAAGAGTGGGGTGTGAAAATATGGAGAAAGATAAAATGTGGAGAAATTGGAAGGGGGGGAGGGTTTTTGTTTCTTGAGCAACAATGGCAGGATGAACAGACTACAATCACTACTTGATGTGACATCAACAGCGCATGGAAAGTTGCATTTGGTTGGTCTGGAAACAAACTAAAAAAATATATTAAATGGAGAAAAAAAAAAAAAAAAAAAAAAAAAAAAGATCACTCTTCTATTGCTACAATCACAAGGATGAGCAACGACACATCAGCTACGCAGAACGGCATGGAGGTTGACAAGGAGGATAACTTGACCGCTGAACTGAAAGCCCAAATGGTGAGATTCCTTGCATCTCCAGTAAATTGCAAGTTGTTTGTACAGAAAATATCTATCAAAGGCCATTCAGAACTGAGGAAAGCAGAAATTATTTTGGCCAGAGAGACCAACAAACAGCCACCTACAATGGAATACTATGTGCACTATGTCGAATTTAACAAACGTCTGGATGAATGGGTGCCGCTCAGTCGATTGGATTTCTCAAAAGGTGTAGAATTCCCAAAGCCAGTTGTGAAGAAGCAAAAGAAGAACAACCTTCTGGACACATCGACAGCAACGAGCCGAGCTTCTACCCCATCCAAACGAAAAGGAGACGAAGAAAGCACAGAGGATGCCAACATTCAAGAGGAGATTGTCTTGGCTGAGGAAGGAGAGGACGAAGACGAGGAAGGCACTGTAGTAAAGAAGAGTGAATCGCATCAACCCACATTTTCCAAGGAGCAAGAAATCGAAAAGCTACGAACATCTGGCTCCATGACTCAAAACCTGAGCGAGGTTGCTCGTGTAAAGAACATGAACAAGATTCAAATGGGCGAGCATGAAGTAGAGACTTGGTATTTCTCTCCTTACCCCAAGGAATATGCCTACTGTGATACACTGTACATTTGCGAATTCTGCCTACTCTACTACGAATCTCACAAGCGACTGGAGCGACATCGTACTCGCTGTCAACTACAGCATCCGCCAGGCAACGAAATTTACAGAAAAGACGATATCTCATTCTTTGAAATTGATGGACGAAAGCAGAAAACATGGTGCAGAAACCTGTGTTTACTATCCAAGTTGTTCTTGGATCATAAAATGCTGTACTACGATGTAGATCCATTTTTGTTCTACTGTATGACAAAGCGAGACGAGCGTGGATGTCATCTTATTGGCTATTTCTCCAAGGAAAAGGAATCCGCAGACAACTACAATGTAGCTTGTATCTTGACATTACCACAACACCAGCGCCATGGCTACGGTAAACTGTTGATTGCATTCTCGTATGAACTATCCAAAGTGGAAGGAAGAACTGGCTCGCCTGAAAAGCCATTGTCTGACCTGGGTCTCATGTCGTATCGTGCGTATTGGACTGATACCATTGTTGGTTATTTACTGTCTTCCACAGAGGAAGTAACCATTGAAGAAATATCCCAAAAGACATCCATTACAACTCAAGATATTTTGCATACGCTGCAAAGTATTGGTGCTCTAAAATATTATCGTGGTCAGCATATTATATGCTTGGGCGATAAAGTAGTTGAACAATGGGAGAAGATTCAACAAAAGAAAAAACGGTTCATTTCGCCAGAGAAATTGGATTGGAAACCCATCCATTTCACTTCATCTCAATTGAGATTTTTGTAAATAATATATACTTTCATAATTAATCAGCTTAATATTTAATTTGGTAATGAGGATTTATCATATCCTACTAATAAAATCGCAATCCTGTAACATAAGTAGTAGTAGTCGCATCACTGATCATTATTGAACCCCCCCAGTTATAACTCCGCTTGTCTTCTGCTCTAGATTGGCCAAACTTTGATCAAAATCGACTCGATAAATCTATCTTACAGATTTAGACTATGTAAATTGTGATAATTACTCCATGATCCCTTAAGCTCTTTAAATAAAACCTGGAGCTCGTCTCCCCTACAAAAAAAAAAAATGATCCCTTAAGCTTCCTTGGAGTACTTTTCAAGGCGTATCCAATAGAGCTCATTACGAGGGATGCTTTGAACAAGCATATCGAGAAATATATGAAAATAGTAAATACGATTTTGGGCGAAAATGTCGAGATTTCGCATATCAAGGTCTCGCAAATAAAGCTCCAAGGGTTGCTTTGGACCTGTAGAATCATTTTGATTTAATATATATTATCATAGTAAAAGTCTTCATTTTCAAGGCAAAAAAAATGCGGTCGTTTGAATTTCGATGAAAACCGTGAGGGATACCTCATACTTTTTGGTCGATTTTGGTTGATGTTTTTTTTTGGTCCCAAAAAAGTTGAGCAATCATGTTGGTAAATAATTGCTACTCAAAGGTAACCACTCGGTGCTATTCTGGCGGTCTAAAACGGCTTCTAACGCGAGAAATAGCGGTTGAAATTCATCCAGGTTTTGCTGTGATCAGTATATATTTGAGTAGTAAAAGGTTATGCAAGCATGTTGCTTAATTGTATATGTGTTGTTCCCATTCACACAGACATAGCACACCGCAGAGAAGTTAGATCCACAGTATTAGAGGAGCCTAGCATGCAATATTGGAGCATGAATAACGAGGTTCCAGCAAATGTTAGTCAATACTTTAATCGACAAGCAAAAATGGTGTTTGTAAGCTACAATGAGTTTATTACATTTCTATGAATGCACTGTATAAATGTTGTATATGGATGCAATAAATTAGAAAAGAATCTCTGAAATAGAAAGCGAGAGAAGATGATATCATTACAATGGAGAAAAAAAAAGGAAAGAATTATACACATGGGATAGACCAAGGTTATTGCTGTTGCTGTTGTTGATACGTGGCAGCCAGCAAATGTGCCCTTTTTCCAACCTTCTTCATCAATGTACCTTCAGCTTCCAATTCTTTTTTCAACAATTGTTCGCTCAGCTGCCGTCTCTTATCCTCCTCTTCTGCCTCTTCATCCTCTTTCTTCTGTAATTGCTGCTGTTGTTGCTGCCACTCTGGCCTTCTCATGCGTTGGCGAAAGGTATCTGCAATCAAAAGAGCGTCTGTCGAGGTCAAAGGAGGTTCAGATCGACTGGAAATATTGCTAAATGAAGCAGTGGATTGAGGACGCGCGCCATCGCCAAGCATGTAGATTTGGCCGTCCAAGGGTAGCGAGGGCGTTGAAATGAAACCTCCCATGTTTGTGGTTGCAGCATTGTTCAAAGGGCTGTTGGGTGCTGTATGGCTCTTAAGAGAGCCTCTTTCACTTCCTGTGTGTGCTGTGCCATAGAAACGTACAGGTGTAGTAACAGTGGTATTGATGGTAGGTTGGTTCAGAGAGATGGTGGACATGGCATTGAGCTTCTCTTTGCTGCTACCGTCTTGATGTAGGACAGGAAACATGGAGCTGCTTGCTGTACTGTTGAGTTCTACAATGATACATAAATGAGCGTGTATTTTATCTTGACTATACGCATGTACATACCCAAGTGTCCCTTTTCTCCATACACTAACTTCCTTCTTCTACTATGCTGCATGACCCAGAATATGGCAAGGCATGCACCTAGTACAGCTAAGCATGCTAGCACAACAGCTGCAATAACCCAGGGCTGAATTGGATGAGCTTCTGGACCAGCCTCTTTCTTGCTCTTTGCATCTGCAGCCGATAAGTCTACATTGGTTGGTATTGGGACTGGTGTTGGTGATAATGTGGACGAAGGGTTGTATGTCATGGAAGCAGACGCTTCTGTTGAGCTCACATTGGTAGCGGCAGGCATCGTAGTGGGTAATGGCACTAGAGCCGGTTCTATGTATAGTGCAATAGACATGTTAGTAAATATACCTATCAAGAGCATCATTTACGTGCTGCTGCTGCTCTTACGTTCTACCAAGTTATGTATAGGTGGAGGATAATCCGAATATCGATTTGCTAACTCTTTTTCTGGGTTAATGCCATTTGGTACGATATAAATTAAACTTTCATAGGTCTGTGCAGAGGGATCCACTCTCCATGAATCGTCGACAAGCACAGCCACGCTGCCTTTTGATGTGTTTATATCGGAAATCTTCTTTATAAGGATGTTTTGATAGTTTTGTACATAGTAAATGTAGATATCTAGTGCCGGCTGGTACAAAATGTAGATTAGTGAGTGTGTCTAATACATGTCATTTATGTAAGTTATACTAACAGAAGAAACATAAGTTGGGTACCTGAAAGCATCATTTGGATTGTTAGTATACACCTGTCCACAACAGATCATTTGCTCTAGAATACCACTTACATTGTATTCCATGTAATTGGGTACCAAGTACCATTCCTCCATACATCGCCTGCTTTTGGAGAGCAGATGGTATCCGTGTTGCCATTAGTACCGCAGGTGGAAGAAGACGATGAAGACAAAGAGTCTATCAATCATTTATTTAGTTTTTTTTTTTTAATACATCTCCTTAATACATGTATTTCAGTATCGATCGAATGCGGTTTTAATAATTACCTGTTGAAGTGAACACAGGCTTTTTCGATGATAATGTCGTTGTTTGTGAATCTGATATGGATGTTGGTATTGGTTGCTGCTGCTGTTGCTGCTGGCACTGGACAAGTGATAACGCCAAGAACACAGCTGTAACTGCTTGCTGTATATTCACCATTTTGCCTCAAGTTATAATTCTCTCGTATATATACAGACTATGTAAATGCTATCGTGGTGTATTGGATTAGATATCACAAGTTTAGCATAAACAACGGTGAAATGAGAGTGCGAAAAAGTAGGGTAGGAAAAAGAGTGAAAAAGGGACAACAAGGTGTTGCACTGCAGTTTTTCTAGAAGACAACGGCACCAACACCTATACAACAACAACAACAACAACAATAACAACCAGAACAACATTATTGCAAGGAGAAGCAATCACTATAAAATCCAGAACAGAGGGGGTCCCTTTTTTTTACAGGGAGAGCATCTTGTTTGAAGCAGCAGCAGCATCCATACAAAGACTATAGTTTTTCATGTGTCGTTTTTATATTGTTCGAAAGGGGTTTATTTTCTCTTTATGAAAATTATTATCAATATACGCAAAAGAGAAAAAAAAACAACAACACACAAAGAGCGCAAAAGAAGTAGGAGAGGAGAAGTATCAACCGCCTTTATGGTTTTAATGGATCGCCCTCTTCTTGTTTTGAGTAAATAGCAATGAGATGTATCTCTCTTAATATGCTGTGCTGCATGCTGTCCATGTATTTTTGATGTTGGATGTTGGCAAACGTATGATAAATATACTGTACATGGACAAATAAAGGGGTTCTCTGCTTTCAAGCTGTTGCTTGTATGTAAATTTAGACAAATAGACAAAATAAAGGGGGAGGCATCCTGTAGATTTACACTAAAACCTCTTCAGTAGATCCAAAAAAGACCATCAACATACTATGCTAACAACATTTGACACGGCAGCGCTTCATCTCACACTACAAAATCCCTGTTTGGACCGCATTATGATGTGCGCGTTATATACATGTGTACTTTTCTCCTGGTTTTTCATGATTCCTATTAGTGTTTATTAAGTGTGGGTGTGTTTGTGGTGGGTGAAGGATGAGATTACGACAGAAAGCAATTTTTGTGTTGATTCAAAGAGGTGGGGAGGGGGGGGGGATTCTACAGTATTTATAATGAGCAAAACAAGTGTATATAAGTAATAGTGATTAGAAGATAGTAGTGATAAAGATTAGTTGGTGTATTGCAATACAGTGCCAAAGCAGTAATCCCAGATCTTGGATGTAATACCGTAGCCGCTTTCATAGTTCTTGTAATGATGTGCCATGTGGTACTTTTTCATCTCTCTGAAATGATACTTGAATACGCGAGCATGATGCAGATAGTAGTGAGTACAATCATACAAAATGTAGCCAAAGAAGCCGCCTGCAACAACGCCATGAGCCATCATCGGAGGAAACAAAAAGTGGCCGAGGGAGACAAGAGGATAGGCAATGATGATGGCGAGTGTAGGGGGCATCACCAGTCTCAGCTTGTCCATGGGCAAATAGTGGTGGAATCCATGAATGACAAAATGCAATACAAATGCTGCTTGGTGATCTGGCAGCAATTCATCCAAGTGGAAAAAAAAGCGATGCAGGATGTACTCTAACAAACTCCAGATAACGATACCCAATGCAAATGACATCCATGTGCCTTGACTGTACCCATAGGCAAATGACTGGTATAATTGATAGCCTACATAGGGGATCCAGATAGAGGGGATAATGTACCACGCTGTCTTTGTCAATGGCTCTAATAAGGGATGACCAAAGAAGATGGCTGGTCCGCTCATGTAACGAGGCTTGTGAACCTGCTCCAGATAGAATTCCTTTGTATACCGAGCACGAATGAGTTGAGGCACCAGTGCTTTACTGAGATCCAAGAATTGGTTCTTCTTGACATCCGAGCTGATATCGGTTTCAGACGGTCTGAAATCTTCCTTGCCAAATGTCTTGCTCTCCTCCTCCTCTTCCAACAATGCCATACGCTGTTCATGAAGCGACAAACCCTTTACCGCTGGAGCATCCATACGGGCAGCCGGTGTATCGACAATCGTGCCAATGCAATATTCTTCCAGAATCTCGTAAGCCGAGTCAGAGTGTTCATGCTCCAATACATCCTTCATCACTGCAGTAACATCTTGTCCTGCGTAGTCCAAAATGAGGTCGTCTCCACCTGGATGATCTTGAATGAATTCTGTCACATTGTACACTTTGCCGTTATATACCACCCAGCAAGAATCAGCGTTTTGATGCTTGGAAACGTCCTTTAAAGTGTATTCCTCCATGTTGATTATGATGAGAAAAGTGGGGAAGAAGAAAGCGGAACAAAAAGCAGAAGCAGAAGCAGAAACAGAAACAAAAGGGGAGGGGGGGGGGGGTCATGTAGACACAGAGGGAGGAGAGGAATTTTTTTAATTTGCTTGGCTACGGCGATATTCGAATCCATCCAATGACAAGTATGCTTCAATCTATTAGTCCTTCAAAATTTTACCTTTGTAGAGTCTCTGTGTGTAGCAATCGACAAATTAGTGTCTCGATTGAGATGGTTTAACCTTACTCAACTGGTCGGCTACTGTAAAACCTCATTTTGTTGTGTATCATGCGAATAATGGCAGATGTCGATGGACCATCTCAAGGCCATCCAGCTATAAACCAGTTGGACACTTCTTTTGCCGAGTGTCATGCTGCCTCTGGGACGCTGACCTACGTTTTGTCAAGAGCCCTTTTATGTTGGCTGATTATACGAAAGGATAAGCTTGTCATACGACAAATAGCTGTTTTTGTGTTACTACTGCAGTGAATCCAGACTAGCCGTTGCTCGCGTTAAATTAACTACTGTACTGTATTTTCTGTGATACAGGGCTTTGAAGTGTAGTTTGTGCGTTCCGTTGTACCCAAGTGAGATGTCAAATCAGCATCATGTTGCTCTGAAATCATGGAATTACTATCATTTTTTATGTTGCTGAGCACCATGTGGGAACTCAGTATTCTATTCATCCAAAGATACAAACAAATGGATGTTTCTGTTTGTTTGTTTTTCGTGCAAAAAGCTAAATGTTGGTATTTATAGTATAATAGCGAACTCTTTATTTTCACAATGATAAAGACAAAGAGGGATAATGTATAAGTATATATATATATATATATAAGTAGAGAAGGATACGTGTGTGTAGTTGATATGTAAGTAGTGTAGTATTAGTCGTTATTAGTAAAATTACAAAAGAGGGTAAGGTATGTATACAATTTTCAATACAGAATATACATTCTGTATTGCTAGCATTAGAATGCTGATATATATGTGCATAAAGAGGCATGTATCATAAGGATATCACAGTGTACAGTACATGCTTTAGACCTTTTCGTGAGATCTAACTCTACCGGGGCCACAGATGCAAGCAAAGCAATAGCCGATAGAAGAGAAAAGCAAGGCAACGAATGCACCCAAAGTCATCCACATGGAAGGACCCAAATTACCAGAGACAGATGCACTTTCGCCCTTTGCAGCATTGACACCGCGAATACAGACAACAAGGATGATGATGAATACTACCATTTGAACGACAAACGCCATGAAGGTCATGAGGGAGGCCAAGAAATCAGGACCACGTCTATAGTGGCTCATGATAGTAATGATCAATGCCAAAAAGGTGAAGCCTAATGCAATCCAATATAAGATGAAGTTGGCCAAGAATACACGATCCAAGTTGCTGATGCCATCCAGGTAACTTCCAACACCACCCGCATTGCTCCAGTTGAATGCAGGAACAGGCTTACTACACATGGAGACGCCGCCGCTATTCGAACCAGTACAATAACTCCATAGGCCAGCAATGACAAACTCACTGCCAGTGTATACTTTGACGAAATACAGATCCTTCAAGAAGGGTTGGTTGTAGGTTGTACCTATCATGGAAAAGACTTGGAGCACAAGTGCAGCAAATGTGAAGAAGGTGGCTAAATGTCCAAAGAGTGCCATTGTAATGTGTTGATTAGAATATGTAAGTAAAGAATAAAGATAAAAAAAAAAAAAAAAAAAGGAAAGATCGCACCAGCAAGCCCTTTTTATACCCATTTGACAGAATAGTAGTAAGGATCTCAAGAGTGACGATATGGTAGGTATTTCTTAAAATTAAAAATAAACTCATGTTCCCAGTTCGAATCAAACAAAGCTAGACTATCTGTGAAAAGAACACAACCCTTTTTGTCCAATGATATGATTTCATAACAGCTTATATTTGCCTTGCTTGGCAAAAAAACGACCAAGCACACATTCAATCATTGTGCAACAATGTACATGAAGCATGTATTCGGCAAGTATACTCTACTCACGTCACTTTGGTGAAAGGTTATAAAATGTCGAACCCGTCTTCATACGTCATTTGTATGAATCTATATAGCTTCATGATGAAATTACAAGAACTAAATCAAAGTGCACACCTATGGCACTAGTGAGCAATGAGGCTGTATAGTGCTATTTTCTCAGAAGCGACATTTATAGAAAAATCGTGGCGGCTGCTTTGGCTTGGCTTGAAATCTTCTAAAGTTTCTTTTTTCTTTCATCTTGGCAATGTCAAACTGCTCAGCGCCTCCCGCAGGCTTATAGCCCTGGATTGGAGGCATTTAAGATCCAAACGGACCGTACATTTATTTCTGAAGGCGGAAAACTATAGCAACATTGTCCTAAGCGAATAGATCAGATGCTGTGAAACATCTCACTGCCTCGGTCATAATGTCTGTTCCATGATTTCTTGAATAAATCTATTCTTATTGACAAGCTGCTATGCTACAGATAGTTCTGCCTACTGCAGGCTTTATCAAGCGCATCTTGAGCGAGCGATTGCTTCTCTGAAATCAGGATATCTTTAAAAACATTGCAATTGAAGGATTGCATGCTGATGTTTGTAGTAACTGGTGACACCAGAATGGCAGAAATCAGCAACCTTAAAACACACCAAACCTTAGCATTCTGAATTTCTCTGTTTAATGTATGGTAACTCCTGAAAACTGAAAGTTCAGTCAAGCTTTAATAACAGCAGAGATCTGTGATTTGAAACAAACGGGATCAAAGCATCGCAATGGCCAGATTTTGCAATGAACTCATTCAAAGCTGAAAGCATTCAAAGCTGAATGGGACATGAATAACCTACTTTATTGATTCGATCACATACAAGTTGAATCGTTACGACATTGTGTTGAAAATGGGTGCATGAATTGCATTCTAATCTTGCTCTCAAGAGCAAATGTACCTCGATTTAACGTTATGCTCTTTGCTTCATTACGTCATTTTACAATGCTTAAGAAACAATCTGTCGCACAGTGGGGTGATATTCACAGGCAGGTTACAGCCATCGCGTAATTGCATCTTTTCTCTTTTATTCTTCAACGTGTACAAATGACCAATCCAACATCCAAGACCACGACTGATCAAGACGCATCTAAAAAGGAAGAAGCGTCCAACATTGACTTGGTTCACAAGGCACATGGCCAGTTGGGCGCGTTGGAAGATGATGACGAGTTTGAAGAATTTGAAGCTGAAGGTCAGATTCATGCAGATGCTTCTAGTCAAACTAAATTGTTTAGACTGACTAAACTGATATGATAGAATGGGAGGAAACCAACAATGAAGACCAAAATGATGATAGTTTATGGGATGATAATTGGGATGACGACGATGTTGAGGAGGATTTCTACAAGATCGTTCAGTAAGTTTCTTTTTGCAATGAAGCACAGCAGTGAAATGACACTTTGTACGTGATATAGAGCTGAATCCAGCCAAAATGCCACAGCAGAATCACAATCAATGGCATTGTAAATGTAGCAATTTACACGTGCTTGCGAGTAGTACAGACCCTACTTGGAGACTTCATGATGTCAATAAACTTGTTGTCTCATTTCTCTCCTGTTTGCATCCTTATTGTATATATACAGGCGAGATTGCATCACTGTCAATCTTATTGTTCTATGAGGATATAAGAATATTCTAGTGGGTGCCTTTTCTACTTTGTTGAATACCGTCAATAACTCAGTCTGTTTCTGATCTGATCCACACTTGATCAGCAAGTATTTTGATTCACTGGATTCGTTTCCATGTTCCAATGCCTTGCAAATCACCAAAACAGTGCAGACTTACTATTTCTTGATCTACTGCTGGTACTATATGGTGCCAACCATTTTGAGCGTTGTACAGATCATCATCATTATCAAAACTACGTCAGAGTTGCTATACAAGCTCAAAGCGTTGGATCCTTGGTACACAATGGCCTGACAGATCCAATAGCCTAAATTTCTATCACATGCACAATATGAGTTTCGTAACTATTACCACTTTCCTGGATCTGCATTCTTGAAATTTAGTATAAATAAGAGGGCATTTTTGATCAGCATTTTCTACTGTATTCACTTCAAGAATTAAACAAGAAACAATGGGTAACACACACAGCACAACAACAAGAAGACAAGCTGCTCCTAGAGCAGTAAAGACAAGAAAAAGCCCTCGCCGATTTGGTCTCCCCTCGCAAAGACGTGCTCATGCTGCTGCTCCTGTAGCAGTTAAACCTCGTCGTAAGTTTGGCTTTGGCTCATCGAGAAAGCATCGTCATGGTGCTGCTGCTGCTCCTGTGGCTACAACTGTTCCATCCAACTCAATGACATTGCGTAAACTCAAGGCAAAGATTTCTCCTGGTCCCAAAGTAGCTACTACCAACAAGAGATCAAGAAAGCATGCAAAGAAAGACCCTGTTAGTGGTTTTGTAGACAAGCTGGCTCCCGCCGCTGGCGCTGCTGGTGTCTCTGCTGCTCCAAGACATCGCTCTCGTGGATTTGGATTTGGAAGACGCAGACCTGTTGAGCCTCCCATCACCACCAAAAGAGGCATGTTTAGTCGATTCCAAAGAGCCAGAGCTTACTAAACGCTACCATTAAATGTACATATTTTTTATTCTGATGAAGGCCATATGTTGTAAATATGAACATGGCTTCATTTACGATCCTTTTTTATATTCTATTATATCATCCTTATCCAATCTGTATATGCCATCTTATCAAATAAATCTAATCTAATAATCTATGAATTTAATGAACCACTTGCACTTTGACATTATCTACGTCTAGAAGATGCCTATTCAGTCGATGCACTGCAATCAGCTCTGAGTATCCACCTGTCGTGCTGAGTGCATTTTCAGGAACTATGAATTGAAACGTGCCACCGTTTGTAATGGGTCCTCCTCCTAAAGAAGTACTTCGATCATTGTTGAAGAACAAGTTAACCGTTTCTCCACTTTGCCCAGCTTTGAACGACTATACGAACAATGAGTGTTGGATGCTTATTTGATATACTTGTAACATGTATTCGATATTTACTGCTTTGACGGCTTGGCCAACCCTCCAAGTTGTCCCAGCGGTGGGATAGGTCACTATGATATGGGGTTGTTAGGCTACCATGCCTTTTTGCTTTCGGTTATCAATTGCTTACTTTCTGATACCACAGTACTTGCTATTGCGCACAGATAAAAGATAAATAGTGTGTTGATCATTGAAAGAGAAAAGATGAAAGAAGAGTACTCCTTGTATATTACTCGCTAGTACAACAGGACATTAATGCCCCCCTAAAGAATTGAGCTCGGTGAATCTAATCGGCACGAGCATTTATTGTGCACGCTACAATAGAACATTCGAAATTTATAATAGATCGAGAATCCGACTACGAATACGTTTTTTGAACATATGTTACAATTGTTGTATCCAATCATGGAAAGGTACAAATCATAGCATAATAAATTATGGTCCCTAGACACTTTCAAAGCCTTGAAAAGGAAAGAAGTTGCTCTAACAGGTATTTTGGTAGACTGGCATTATTAAATATAGAATGCAAGGAGAAGAGCATGGCCAGCAACAATGATCTATAATTTGCCACCTACTTTCCATACGCTTCAAAAGCATCTACTGCTGTATAGCCTTCATGATAAAAAGGGCATTGTTGAGTTTGCCAGCTGACTCCACCAGCCAAAATTAATTCAAATCCAGACTGTCAGTTTACTCCAGATTGGCCAGATTTTGACAGTTTTTCGACTTGATTGAACTATTTTTCATGATTCGACTATACGAAGTGTGATGATCATACCGTGCTTCCTAATACATTATTGAAGTACTTTTCAAGGCGCATCCAAGAATACAAAGTAAAGTATATGTTTTGAATAAACTTGGTGAGCAATTTATGAAAATATGAAAAGAGGTTTCTGGCCAAAAAGTCGAGATTTTACATATCAAGGTCCTACAAAGATGATTTCAGGAGTTACCTTAGATCGATAGAAACATTTTGATTCAATATATACCATAGTAAAAGTCTTCGTTATCAAGGTCAAAAAAGCGATCGTTTGATTTTCGATGAAAATCATGAGGGGTACCTCATGCTTTTTGGTCGATTTTTGGCCATGTTTTTTTTAGGTCCTCAAAAAGTTGAGCAAAGGTGTCAGCAAGTAACTGCCAGACGAGAGCAATTGTTTGGTGCTATTATGACGATCTAAAACGGCCTTGAACACAAGAAAACGTAGCTCAAATGCACCCAGATTTTGCCGTATTAAGCATACTCTTGACTAGAAAGGGGTGATACCAGTATGCTGTTTGCCTGTATAAGAAGTAACTTCGTGTATACGGATGTGGAGCATCGCATAAGAGTCAGACCCACAGATAATATGAAGGGGTTTCATGTATAAGTGGAGGGTTAAACGGTAGCTCAAGCTGCGGCTGCGCAGGTTGGTTCTCATTGAAACGAAGCGAAGGTAAAGAGTCATCCGAAGCGCAAACACTCGTACTGTAATAAAGAGGATTTCTACAGACACTTGAACAGGGACGTATAGAAATGACTAGACGCTAAAACTGAAGAACCTTTATTGAAATACATTTCGAGATCCTTTATATACGAATTAACATTGTTCAACAAGTCAACCTTTCTTTAGCAATCAGGTACTAGTAGAACAGAGTTCTTACAACATTTGTATAACATAGTACTTTTCAGGAAGTATCCGGTTAACTGGACAATTGAGATTGGTATTCTAGTAATCACACCATCACAGCTCGATTGGCCTTAACAATTTCGAACCGAATGAATATCCTCAAACATCTACAGCTCAACATTTATAGTTCCTTCCATCATTAAGAATGAGCAACAATGAATGTTTTGATCCAACCATAGCTGAGTTGTGCAGAACCCACCTAGCCCGACAATATTAATCTTGGGTTCGCTTTGGTTGCTTCGCTTCGGTCATAATGCAAAATATATCCGTACGTACGATTAGTATATCTCTCTGTATATTCTACCATGATGTAAATATTCCAAAACTGACCTGAAACTGTGGATCTAACTCTTTTTGGGATGTTCCACATTTGTTTCAATGAAAGCAATTCGTAAACAGGTAGATAGTATAGTTGCACTGCCTTTTACGACTTAAAAGTATGCAAATCACAGCAGAATTTAGACGCATTTAAGTACTAATTTCTGGTTCTACAAGTCGCTTTAGACCGCCAGAGTAGTGCCAAACGATTGCTTTCATACAGCATTTACTTGCTGACAACTTTGCTCAACTTTTTGGGGACCAAAAAAATATGGTCAAAAATCGACCAAAAAGCATGAGGTACCCCTCATGATTTTCATTGAAAATCAAACGATCGCATTTTTCACCTTGATAACGAAGACTTTTACTATGGTATATGTTGAATCAAAATGTTTCTATCGATCCAAAGCAACCTCTGAAATCATCTTTGTGGGACTTTGATATGTAAAATTTCGACATTTTGGCCAGAAACCTCTTTTCATATTTTGATAAATTGCTCAATAAGTTTATTCAAAACATCTATTTTATTTGGTACCATTTGATGCGCCTTTAAAAGCACTCCAAGAAAGCTTAAAGAAGCATTTTTTTTTTTTTTTTTGTAGGGGAGCCGAGCTCCATTTTTTATTTTAAGTCCTTCAAATGTCGCTATGAGTGATAGGAAAGACTGGGTATGATTACAAGAGGATCGGAGGAACGAAAGAAAAAAATAAAAATAACAGATAGAAAAGAGCAAATGGATAAAAGAGGAAAAACTGAATACTTACGAATCTAGCTTTAACTCGGCATCCAAGCGAGCAAGAGAGCGAGCAAGACGATGTTGAACAGTGTCAGCGATGAACGGGGTTCGGTCGAAGATCCAGCGCCAGTGCGCTTGCCATATTGTCAGCAGAGTAGTTGCGAAAAGTTGAGGAATAGAGAGATCATTGAACGAGAGAGAGAGATCACGATCAAGATAGGGAGAGGAACAGAGTAATATTTGTTGGAAGAAATGAATCAGATCAACATCAGAGATTGAGGAAGAAGCAGAGAGATAGGTGTGGTACATGTGTCGCCAGACCAATAACTTGGGAGGGCAGGAGAACAGAGTATGGGTGATATCCTCCGTGGTAGAGGCAGAGCAGATGGTACATAGGGGAGAAGGGTGTTTTTCGGGGATGCGTAAATGTAGCAGAGCTCTTGAAGGGATTTTTTCGTAAATAGCTCGGTACCAGACCGTGCGAGCAGCCAGGGGGATTGAGATTCTCCAGAAGGAGAGCCATTGAGCCGGCCGGAGAGGAGAGAGTGAGGAGGAGGTAGAGGAGAGGGTTTGACGTAGTTTTTTGAAGTAACGGATGCTGTTGAGCGGCAACCGGCCTCGTGAAGGCAAGGAAGAAGGAGGAACGATAATGCTACGGCAGAACGCTCGAAGGGAGGGAGGTTGATGTGGGTTGAGGGTTGGACGAGGAGCAATGAAGCACTGTTGTGCAAAGAAAGGTTGGAATAGTAGTTGACGCGACTGAATGAAATCAGCAACACGTTGGGATACAATAGGATGGCGAGCGAATTGGAAGGAAGGACGAACACGAAGCACCTGATGATCAATATCTAACTGGAAAACCTCGCTTACAAGAAGCTTTCTGGCAACGTCAGAGCCATCTAAAAGAAGATTCGGTGGTATAAAGCTAGAAGAATATAAATTGTTAATAGTAGGAGGAGAATGTAAAAGTATTTCATAAAGAGGGAGTGAGTAGCAAGTAATAGCATCAACATATAAGTTACGACGTTCTGACATCTGAAAGATGGACAAGCAGGACTGAAGATTAGTGATTGGATTGAGATAAGTATTGCGACGGGATGGACTTTGAGGAAACCACAACCGATGGCGAGCATGCCGAAACAAGAGGTAGTAAAAGAAATGAGAGAAGACGGTGGAGGAGTAGCACCAAGAAAGAGTATAAGTTAAGACAGGAAGCGAAGGAGTGTTGTACTTGGAGAAGGCCGGAGAGTCAAGATATTGAAGCAATAGAGGGCACACCCAGTACCGTTGCAGAGCTTGTTGTTGAGAGAGAGGATCTAGGAGCCCCAAACCACCGGCAGAGCGAGGTAAAGAGAGAGTAGCAAAAGAGAGTCTAGGGAATATACGAAAATTAATGAAGGCGGTACCCAGGCTTCGTAAAGAGAGCAACTGGGCCTTGGTAAATGTTGTGAGTCGTAAAACATGCCATAATTTGGAATAAATGAGTGAATTGAGAATGGTGACCCGGCCACGGATAGAGATATTGCGTTGGGAGTGGATAGCAATAGCGTTACGGATGGAGTCATACAGTTTTTGAAAGGCAACATTGCGTTGAGTAATGCTGGAACAAATTGGATAACCGAGATAAATGAGTGGAGTGGTGGATGTGCGATCATGCCAAGCGGTGATGCCATAAGATGAGAGCAGGGCTTGCCAAGTTGTTGATGGTTTACCTGAAAGAGATGTAGCTACTGTTTTGTGATAATTCAATAATGCGTTAGAAGCTTTCATGTAAGTAGTGATGGCAGCCTGCAAACGATGGAAATCGTGCGTGTCGCGAAGATACACCAAAGTATCATCCGCATAGGCAAGGATTTTGACCGCCAGAGGCGCAGTTGTAGAAGAAGCTGAAGAAGTTGAACCATCGGGAACAATGGGCGGGTCAGCAGCATCAGAAAACAGTTGTTGCATAGAATCTGAAATAACATCAGATTGGGTATCATTAGAAGGGGGAGGAGCTTCAGTGTGTAGGTTGAAACCCTTGTATTGAGGGTCTTGGTGAATTGATCGAAGGAATGGATCAAATGCGATATTAAACAGTAGTGGCGAGATGGGATCTCCTTGTCGAATACCACGTTGTTGGGTGATATAATCAGTCGAGATATGTCCATTGATGTTGATGTGAATTTGTGTCGAAAAAAAGAGAGTTAGTAAGGAATGAATAATATTAGTAGGCATGTTAAAACGTTGCATCACAGCACGAAGATAATCAGGATGAATGCGATCGTAAGCCTTCTCTTGATCCAAGAGAAGTGCAATACTGTCAGAGGATGTTTCAGCGGCAATGAGGCGAGTGTTGTGGAGGATCATACCATTGTCACCGATGAAGCGACCAGGCATGAATCCTGATTGTTGAGGACATATGATTTTGTTCATAAAAGGCATAAGACGTTGGTTGAGAAGTCGGGTAAATATCTTGGCATCGCAACATATCAATGATAGAGGTCGCCAATTCTTGAGGTTGGATAGGTCGCCGGATTTGGGTAGTAAACAGATGCAGGTTTGCAACCAGCTGGAGGGAAAGATACCCAAGTTGAGAGCATCATTAAATACCTGAACAGAGAGTTTGGCAGCCTTCGGGTGGTTGAAAATCACGTTGAGAATGGGATAAGGTAAACCGTCGATGCCAGGACTGGATTGGAACTTGGTACGATGAGTACCAGTCAATAAGTCGGCATAGGTGAAAGGTTGCTGAAGAATAGTATGAGCATCATCCGGGATGGTGTCAGAGTCAGGGATCGTGTTGCACAGGGACTCGATGCTCGCGATATCGACCGGATCACTGGAATACAACGTGCCATAGAAACTAGAAGCAGCTGTCTGCATCGAAAGAGGATCAGTACATAATGTGTTACTAACTGGATGGAGGAGGCTAGTAATCGCCTGTTTAGCGGCATGAGTGGCAATAGTTCGCTTAAGGTAACCGGCAGAGGTTTCCCCCTTTTCACGCCAATGTTTACCTGCCCGCAATCGTAGGTTCGTAGCAATTTCACGTTGAAGCATACCAATTTGCTTTTCAACGGTGTGTAGTAGTTGTGTCCGGGTACGAGGATCCGAGTATTGACGACATATTCGGTTGCGCTTGCGTTGTAGGCGCCGGTGTTGGCGTTCCAAGGCATTGCTGCGAGCACGACTTACCCGACGAGCGATATCCTGAACTAGAGCTTTAAGAGCATCCCAATTGTCTTAGCTTAAAGAAGCATTTTTTTTTTTTTTTTTTTTTTTTTTTTTGTAGGGGAGTCGAGCTCCAGGTTTTATTTAAAGTCCTTTAAATGTCATACTGAGGGATAGAAAAGACTGTTGGTGGACCCAATGTCTGCAATGAAGGGGAATAAGAAATTTTGAACTAAGTTGGGAAAGAAATCTACTACTAATAAGGTGCGAAACCTAGAGCCAATGCAATCTTGCGGAAATCGTCAAAAATAGAGAATGGATAAGAATACAAAACACCAAACGAGGACATCAGTACTACGTCAAAAATTCAGACAACTTGCGTTCACCAGGATTTGAACCGGGGATCCTCCCGTTGGCATACGGGAGTTCTACCACTTCGCCCTACCACCAGGGACGTACTTAAAGAAGCATTAGGTGATCATCATGTTTTGTATAGCCAAATCTGGCAAAATAGTTCAATCAAGTCGAAAACCCATCAAAATCTGGCCAATCTGGAGTAGACTAAGAGGCTGAGTTGAGATTAATTTTGGTGGCTGGTGGGATCGGCTGGCAAACTCAATGCAGTAATGGATGCTCTTGAAACGTATCGAAAGTAGGTGGCAAATTACATAGCATTATCATTAGCTATATTATTTTGCTTGCATTCTATATGTAATAACGCCAGTCTATCAAAATACTTGATAGATCAACTCCTTTCCTTTTTGACGCTTTGAAAGTGTCTAGGGACCATAAATAAATATATTACGTTACGATGAACATTTCGATTATTCGGTTGGTTTCCACCAAAATGTTAGATGACACTTGATTGATAGTAATTTAATATAAAATTACTAATCATATATGAGCCATGCCTTACAAATGCCTAGCAACTCAGTTTTCATATTAGGGTCGTAAAAGTGTCTAGGGACTATGCCATAATACCACTATCTGATATCGGATATCCATAAGAAACAGACCCAAGCGATGCAGTTGAAATGAACGTCTAAGCACACGAAATTGTCATTTTCATTAAAGAAGCTAATTAAAAATCAACAAAACCACTATTTCATATTGTTGAGAATCGATGTTTGTGAAGCTGATGAGACGGGGCTGCAATCGCAAAGTAATACCACTTAACCTAACTACTTCTCTAATGCTCGTGCTGTAAGATTCTGTATCTCATGGACTGGATCGTTGCAAGCTTAAGATACTCATGTAAATGCATAATGCAAACTTGTTTCTTTAATAAGCAAAATTACACAAATGCAGATCCTGGTTTACTTTTAGTTTTGTGGTCTCTAAAGTAATGATAATGATTTACATAATACATATATAGTAAAAGAGTATAGTCAAATGTCTTATGTCACTCTATTACAGTGTGCTGAACAATATTATTGTTTGTTATCAGAGAATATCAGTATCCCAGTGCCACACTCTTATGAAACGTCTACTCTAAAAGATAGAACAATATTTTGACTGAACATTAGCGATATCAAACGGCTGGTAGAGGTTACTGATCTGTATAGCTAAATCGGCCCACTATACTCGTGTTTTGGTGATCATATTCTATGCGATCACTGTATAATAAATAAAATATGATCATGATGATACATAGTGCTTGAGTCTCCAAAAGAAATATAGCAATTTTTATTATCTCTTTCTTTAGTGTCGTATTTTTTAGATTTATGCCATTTACAATTGCTATCTACTTTTTGTTTGTCCCTGTTTGTACCTTGATCGTAGCTGTACGGGGATTGAATACAACACTCTTTGCATAATATTACCTATCAAGCTTCTTACAAAAAGCCTGGGGTCAAAGCTCAAAGTAAAGCGGCTGATGGAGGTCATACTAGGAATCAAACCCGTTTGATATGTAGCTTGTATTATAAAGCATGCGTTTGCCGGCTATTCGAGGTGGCTTGAAGGAATCTCACTGGCTAAAAGTCTTAAATTTAATATGTTTTTGTCTAATTTCTACAGTTCCATGAAAGTACACAATAAGCATTCAATGGCTGTGTTAGAACACAATGTTGTTGCTTAATTTTTATACGTACAAGCCATCCCTCTGTAATTGCTCCTTTATCTCTCGTTAGATACAAAATGATACAGACATTACCTCAAGCGTTATTGCTCACAATTGCAGATATCCTGACTTCTGAAACAAGATTGAACTTGGCACGCACGTCGAAATACATGTGGAAGTCATTTACAACATCTGTTGAGTCAGTATATACACTTAATAGCACTGTTCCTACCTTCCTGCTACATAAGCTAAAGCATGTGTATATTCGAAACAAATATTACTGTAGCAACGAGATTTCAAGATTACTCGACAATGCTTCTCAACTCGAGTCTGTTCATTTCGCATATCGTGATCACTATGATTATCAGTTTTTGAGCCTCTTTATAGCAAAAAACATCACGCGTAAACTTGCTTACCATGTTCCTAGTAGCGCGATTAACGTGTTCCAAGTGCTCTTGGAGTCACAGCAGCTCAAAAATATTACTGTTGTCCCTCTTCAATACGATGCCGAACAAGCAAGCGGTATTGTTACCCCTGAGCGCATCAACAGACATGTACAGCTCATCAAAGAGAGAATGAAGATTGATTGGGCTCGCTCACGACTCACGTTCAAGGAAAGAGCAAAGTTGAATCACCATCTACCTGTATATGTCAATCAATTGATGTGCCTGCATGATTACTCGCTGTTGAAAAAAAAACAATTGTTTGCAGATAAATATATGAAGAAAGCAGCCAGCGTCGATATCGAGCAAGCAGATGCTCTGATTAGAAAAGTAGCACCAATGTTTGTCGAGGCAGTTATCATCATCAAGGACAACTGGTACATGATTACAAGTTTCTCTGTTTTCATTCATGATCCACAGCACATCGATGATTGTGCCGACAATTCCAAATTCGCATACCAAGACAAGCCTATTGCCTTCATCATGCGTAAAACGGCTTTCGGGTCGTCATCTTATGAGCTTGTCATCAGATTTGGATTCATAGAATTGCTGGCTGACAGTGGATTTATGGGATCAGTTGAATCAAACACATTCTTGCCCTTTGTTGGTTCAGCATTAAAGAGCCTTCCTCTTGAAGTCACCGGCAGTATCAACACTCTGACCAGCGCCTCAATCTTCGTCAACAATGATCAGCGGCTCTATGGCACGCACCCAAGACTGATCAATCAATATTACAAGGATTCATCAACTCTAGATTGGCATTTTTACAGCGCTAAATTTGATGAGGCGGGCTTTAAGCCATTGCACCCATTGAAGTTGGTCGATGCCCCTTGCCTGGTGGAAGCGTCTTCGTTCATTATCAATTCTTTTGCTCATCGTGAAACCAAAAAGAGCATAGCAAGAAAATATCAAAAGGCTTTGAAAAATTCATCAGTTTCCAAAAATCTGGAGAGGGAAGTATCGCTTGTTATGAATTATCTGGATGCTATTATTTCCCATCGTCGAGGCGGGCCTGCTATCTTCCACGAAACCAAACATGGCAAAGCTTTGGTCAAGCGAAACTTGTTGCAACTTTATCAAAAGGTGTTGCAACCCTATATCAAAGCACAAAATCTGAAAACAGTAGCAAGGGCCCAGGATGTATACAAGCTGAAGAAAATTAACTTGTTTGATTGAGGCAACATTTGCGGATCTAAGAGCTTTGGCAACACGATAGTGTTCATGTTGTGGTCCTTTGTATTATGCCACTTCCCCCTGCTTTTCGCTTTGGCCCCTTCTTTTTTACACCTTTTATAATTCATTTACTGTTGCCTTCTTTTACTTTTTTTTTATTATTAGAATTAAAACTTTGTATATTTAAGTGTGGTAAATATTCCATTTTTCTACATGGGTGAAATATTGCTTCGTCTAGTTGCGATGAACATGTTGCATCCATGGCAATCAATGTGCACATAATTGAGTCTCAATCTACCAGCAAATATATGTTTCCAAGGATTTTCAGTACCTCTTTCAGACATCTCGTGAATTTATTGAGTTTGATGCATTCATTTCCATGCTACAGAGGAAAATCTAATCACAGCAGAAAATTGCAAGCATTGAATGAGAAATCTTAAAGCCATCTACTACAATGGCCGCCTTTCAATCGCTACGATTGCCACTATATTTCAGGAACACCCCACTATAAATATATAGGTATTAAAAGGCTTTTATTGAATCAAATCGCACATCATTATAAATCTAAGTAAGTCTTAAACTATAAAGCTTTTCTTCGTTCTCATTAAAGCACTTGTAGCTATAACGAGTAAACAGGATCAACCACGAGAAGGTGAAAGCTAACTTGATCCCAAAAATAACGAGGAGTCAGGCGAACCATGTATTGGAGCAATCGTGGCAAATTAGCTCGTACACTTACAGTCCAGATATATAATCTGGGGTAATGACCCTCTCTTGCTAAACAACTTCAAGACCACCGTCGTTTAGCTCAGAGTTAACGACACTGAGTTAATGCGGGCCGAAGTCGCGTCCAACTGGGCACTGTGCAAAATCCCTAATCGAGAACCACCCATCCTTTAAAAAAAAAAAAAAAAGGAATAAGGAGAAAAGAAACAGATGGAATGTGGGCAAATATTTTTATAGAGAAACATGTGATATTTTTTTTTTTTTTTGCATCTTGCGTCATTACAGCAATTTTTTTGTATCACCATTAGTCCCAGCATTTGATAGCATTGATCTATAATCAGGGTTTGATCATAGTAGCGAATTCGATTTCTCTACTTCCCATTAATAATTGATGGCTTAAAAGCTACTTATATAGTAGATTTTTATTATCTTTTATTTGAGTTTGTCTACGGCCGTCATCGAGCATAGCGAGATTGCATTTAATTCAACATTGGGTAACACTGGCCTATAAGAGGACTTTACCGTAGCGAAGGTTAAAAGCCATAGCAATCAAGCATCTAATCCAACATTTAGCAACGTTGATTTTTATGAGGGTTTTTGCCGTAGCAAAACGAAGGCGCTAAACCCTAGTATATAAGCAGCAAATTCAGTTTTTCATTTTTCCATTATTAATAAGCTTACCAACAAGATAACGCATCAAAATTAGCTTTAACAAAATTAGTGTGCCTCCTATTCGAATTAGAAATTGCACAAGCTGCAGAACTGCCCTTCTTCCAGACAATTTTGGCTACCAAAGATGCGAATTACACCATGTAATTAAAAGCTATGAAGCAAGAACATAACCAAACTTGACAACTTTTAAGCCTTACTATCTTGACATGTAAACCTTTCTGAGCCACCAGAATGGCACCAAACTGCTGTATTCGAGTAGTAGTAACTTCCTGACACCTTTGCTCAACTTTTTGGGGACCAAAAAAATATGGTCAAAAATCGACCAAAAAGCATGAGGTACCCCTCATGGTTTTCATCGAAAATCAAACGATCGCATTTTTCACCTTGATAACGAAGACTTTTACTATGGTATATCTTGAATCAAAATGTTTCTATCGATCCAAAGCAACCTCTGAAATCATCTTTGTGGGACTTTGATATGTAAAATTTCGACATTTTGGCCAGAAACCTCTTTTCATATTTTGATAAATTGCTCAATAAGTTTGTTCAAAACACCTATTGTATTTAGAGCCATTAGAAGCGCATCAAAAAGTACTCCAAGGAAGCTTAAGAAGATTCGGGATAATCATCACGACTTATATAGTCAGATCATGCAAACTAGATTAAACAAGTCGAAAGTTGGCAAAATCAACAAATAACAGACAGACAATGATAAGCGGAGATTTAAAAAGCTCTAGTAGTAGCTGGCTGGTAAAATGCCTTTCTCATCTAGACAATTGATGTTTTTAAAGCTAGCAAGAAGGGAAGTGTGAGCCAAAGAGTATCGCAACTTGGTGCACCTACTTTTTGCTAATTTGTTGCTCACATTCACATCAGGTGGACTAAATCGTTCAAAATTGCGAATCCAAATGACAGAGATGTCTGTTAGTGGAGTCATTAATTGATGTCTTACCAGTAGCAGAATTGTGAAGATCCAGTTGAGTCAAGAGATGGCATAGAACCAAGAATAGCTGGAAGCACTAGAAGTTTATCAGCATTGCAATGGAAGTTTAGGCTTGTAACCCTCGAAAAATCGGCCAAAAAGACATCAGAGGGCGATGTCTGAAAAGATCGCTTGTCAATACATCATTCGGGGATCCCTCAGTGACCAGAGTAACCAATGAATAGCATGGATATCCGCTGATGAAGCATCATGGTTATACCTTCAACGTATAAAGACCGTCTTTCAAAATGTAGCCTTGTTATATTCCAGAATAACGCGTGGACATCTCGCAAATATTTGTATCATTATACTCATAGGTAGAATCCATTCGAAACGGTGCCTGGAAATGGAATCCAAAATGGCACTGATGTTCCATTTCATCTTTAATGCAGATTGCTCGTCGTGACCGGAAAAGATAGTGTATATAATGCACATGTTACGCGTCTTGGAAGGTTTCTCTTCTTCTCTTGTTTTATTCAACTCTACGTTACAAATAAAATGACTCAAACTGCTCCAACTCCTTCTCTTGATTTTAGCATCAATGCCGAACAAGTAGAGAAGATCACTGCTGATATCATCGCTGAGGAGCTTGCCGTCAATGATCTCGTTGCTTCCTTGAAGCCTGAGGAGCAAACCTACGAGAATATTGTGGTCCGTTTGGCTAGAATCGAAAATGAACTCTCAGGTATAGAGGGCTATGGATTTGATCGACTTACTCGCAGCTCCACTGACAGCAATCACCTGTAGGTAAGGTTCAACTGGTGAGCTCCTTGAGTCAGATTTCCCCTGATGCTGCTGTCCGTGAGGCTTCCGTTGCCGCTGAAACCAAATACGACCAATTCAGCATTGAGCAAAGCATGCGCCATGACATTTACTCTGTTATTACCAGCTACATTGCCAAGACGGATCTCGATAGTTTGGATGCCGAGGATGCTCGTCTTTTGCGTAAAATGGAACGCAGCTTCCGTCGTAACGGTCTTCATTTGTCAGAGGAGAAGCGTAACGAGTTCAAGGAGCTCCGCAAGAGACTAAGCGAAGTCTGTATCGAATTCAACAAGAACTGGGCTCGTGAAAGCAGCAGTAAGTTTATTTGGGAATGGGGCCATCTTATTTGACATGAATTAACCCCTGAATTGCTTGTATTTGCAATAGCTATCAAATTCACAAAGGTAAATAGCTTTTATATGAGTGTGATAAAAGATGAAGGTACTGAACCATGTCGAGTAGGAAGAATTGGAAGGGCTTGACGATGACTTTTTGGGTAGGAAATAAGGTTACATTCAAGCACACAGAGAGCAGGATTCTCACGCTCTTGCAATAGATGGTCTGAAGACTGAAGAGGAAGACGGTGTTACCAAGTACATTTTGACCATGAAGTAAGTATACAACTAGCAAACATCATGAAATAGAGTAGTTTTTAATGCATTTTAATAGGTATCCTGGTATGTCATGTCGCTGAAAGCTTGATGTGAGGAGGAAGTATTCAAATTTCAAATTTCTGCATCTGTTTCTAGATGTTCGTCCTGGTATGCTAAATTTATACACTCGTTGTGTTCAAATAACTAACATTGATTGCATTGTACAGTTCTCAAATTATGTAAGAATGAAAATACCCGCAAGGCCCATGCTACTGCATACGAATCTCGCAACAAGGAGAACATTCCTTTGCTTGAAGAGGTAAACCACAAAGGTTTCATGTTGATGCGCTCGCTGACTTTACTTTCCAAAGGCTGTCAAGTTGCGTCGCCAGGCTGCCAAGGTAAGCTGTAGCTGTAGACACTGTAATGTGGTGTGAAAGATATTCATCATGCGTAACTATTGCAGATTTTGGGCTACAAATCTCATGCTGATTATGTCCTCGAAGTCAAGATGGCCAAGACTGTCAGTGCTGTTGACGAGGTAAGTCATTGTTTATCACATTAGGTGCTTGTACTGATATTACGTCTCTTAGTTCTTGAAGGATTTGGCCGACAAATTGCATGAACCTGGATTGAAGGAGATTGACGAACTCAAGGAGCTCAAAAAGGTAATGTTACAAAAGAAAAGAGTGTCATTGTTGCATGCTAACGTCTTGTGTTCTTTATTTGTAGGCTGAAAAAGGTAGGGTTGTGGCTGTTGTATGCTCTAGGAGTAAGTTAACTGATTGTTGAAATACGTAGCTGCCCGCGGCGAAAAGTTTGACGGTAGCTTCAATGCTTGGGACTCCAGCTATTACCAACGCATTCTTCTTGAAAATGAATATTCTGTCGATCAAGAGCAAATCAAGCAATACTTCAGTTTAGAAACCACCATTCAAAGTAAGAAATCTGTTGGCCTTAAAGCACATACAGCGATTAAGAGTCTCGTTTAGAAATGTTGGACATCTATGAAAAGGTCTTGGGACTCAAGTTTGTCAAGGTGCCTGCTGATAAGGCTGTTGTATGGCACCCTGATGTCCAGCTTTTTGAATGTTGGGATGCTGCTGAGGACAAGAGCTTTTCTGGTTTCATGTACCTTGATCTGTTCCCTCGTGAAAACAAGTGTGGGTGTATACAAAGCAACTTGGATAGAACGCAAGGAGTCTGACATTTGATATAGATCCCCATGCCGCTTGTTTTCCTCTTCAGCCTTCTTATATAGCCCAAGATGGTGAGCGCGTTGCTCCCATTGCTGCCATGGTTGCCAATTTCACCAAGCCGTAAGTCCGCGTTATGCAAAGATCATATTTATGAGGTGCACCAACTCACCTCGCCTTTATAGAACCGCTGATAAACCTTCTTTGCTAAAGCACGATGAAGTTGTTACATTATTCCATGAATTGGTGAGTTCAAGGGGATACCAGCATGAGCACTTTGAAGCTAACCAATCCAATGTAGGGCCATGTGATGCATCATTTGTGTTCTCGCACAAAGTACGCTCGATTCCATGGTACCTCTGTCGAAGGTGATTTCGTAGAAGCCCCATCTCAAATGCTTGAAAACTGGTGCTACGATCCCAAGTCCCTCAAATATCTCACGTCCCACTTCAAGACTAGCGAGCCTATTTCTGACGAGATCATTGACCGCATTGTAAAGGCCAAGAATGTCGACGCCGCTATGCTCAACTTACGCCAACTGTTCTTTGGTATCTATGATATGGCCATTCACACTTCTGACGATGAGAATCTCGATACGACAAAGGTGTACAACGATCTCCGTGAGAAGATATCCTTGATTGCTGCTCCTAAAGGTAGTTTCGGTCAAGCTGCCTTTGGCCATTTGATGGGTGGTTATGATGCTGGTTATTATGGCTACATGTGGTCCAAGGTATTCTCTAGTGATATGTTCTTTAGCAAGTTCGAAAAGGATACACTCTCCCCTGAGGTTGGCTTTTCATACAGAAAGAATATTCTTGAAAAAGGCAGTAGCAAGGATGGCATGGATCTTTTGAAGGCCTTCCTTGGCAGAGAACCCTCTTCAGATGCCTTTATGAGAGAAGATATTGGTATTAGCAACTAAACGGGATAGATCTTGGTCTTTTAGATAGCAGAGTATTCAAATAAAGCTATTCAATTCATACTGTAAATTTATGTGCATCGATTTATTATTATGCAATCTATTTACGAATAGCCAAAGCACCCATGGGATCATAAGCAGGCAATACAATGGGCTTTTCATCCAACAAATCCACCAACTTTTTAGGAACAGCACGCTTCTCAAGCACAACTTGATAGACAAATTCGGAGAACCATTCGTCAGTCATGATCCAGAAGCCCTTGTCACCAGAAGTTTCAGACCAGCTGTTCTCTACTCTCCAACGGACAGGTGCATTGTCTTTATCAAGGTGAACGCCTGTAAAGACCATAGCATGAGTCATGGCACTCTCGCCATAGAGCAAACGTTGGGCTTTTGACAAGTTGAATTCGACGTTAAATGTCAGCTTATAGTCAAATACTTTCGTGTCCATGGATCCAACACTTCTGTCGCTGAATTGTCCTGCATTGCGAGTTAAATAAAACGAATATAAGCATATGAATACCACTTACCAACATCGCAACCAAACCAAACAGGATTGCCGGATTTCAGAACCTCAACAGCAAGTTTTTTCATCGTGGCAATTGTGGTGTTGACATACTTAATATCGTCTCCACCGACAATGTTACCCAATCTTGCCACAGTGTAAGCTCTTGAATAGGTGTTGCGAGGATCGTTGATCAAGGACATGGTCTCGGCGATCTATTGAATGCAAATCAGCATGATAGTTTTCGTTTAAACGTCATCTAGGTTCCTTACAGGGTACTCCACAATGTCCTTCATGAATTTCTTTGGAGTCAAGCCATGCACTGACACACACTTGCCATTCTTGTCCATGATTTCCCAGTCAAACTTGGCAGGAGGTTCGCCCAAGTAGATCACCATGATGCGGTATATATCTTGCATCATTTCCTCTTTGATCACACGGATAGTGTTGATGGAGAGACCATCAGATAAAGACTTGCGGATTTGAGCGGCGAACTCTCTCAACTTTACAGTTACAAGCCAGTTGAGTTTACCAGTAGAGCTAGATGCAACAGTTTCGGGGAAAGCGCTCTTGGGCACGACACCATACTTTTCAACTAGGTTGATAAACATTTGCCATTGGCCACCATCACCAACAGGATCAGTCAACAAGTACTGAACAACGCGGTCATTGATATCTTCATCGGCCAAATCAATCATGTTTTCAAGGAACCAGTTTGCCTTTTCGAGTTTATCTGTCAAAGTTTTATGACCCACTTTTTAGTGTCACATTTCTTTCCATTTGAGTAACACTTACCATAGAAGAAAAGGAAATTTTGACTTAATTCGAAATCATCGTTAAGCTTGTACTTACGAATCACGGCTAAGCGGAGAACATTTGTACCTAAAGGAAATCATATGTAAGTATATGCTCATGTGAATAGCAATTGCACTAATAGATTAGTCATCGTCTTGGTACATACCTGCAAAGATCCAACAGCGACCACTTTGCTTTTGATTGGTAGCAGCACCCTCTACATCGAGCTTGACATTGAAAACATGGCGGTTATCAATAGCTGCTTTAGGGTTGACCATGATTTTGGTGGGGTCATTGTTCATGATAGCATTCATGGCCAGTTGGTTTTTCTTGTCATGCCAAAAATGTTCCGAGAACTTGTCGAGAGCACGAGGGGTAAGGCGAGAGTAATGCTCCTTGACCTGCTTCTCGTTCAGATCCATATTGGCCATGGCTTGAGACAAGTACTTTTCTTGGCTATTGGCAAGAGACATGTTGCTGTTCAGAACCTCTTGTTCAACAATGGCCATCATCTCGGCACGCTTTTCATCGAATGTTTCGACATGTTCTTCTCTTGAGTTTTGAGCACCCATGTTGCTAAAATAAAATTGTTCAAGTAAATGAAAAGTAAAAAGAAGAATCTGATAAAGGAAAATGCCTTAAATACACTTTGGAGTATGTCAACTTATGGCGCCGAAGAAGATATTGAATGTCAACGGGAAATTTAGCTTTGCAGTTGTTTCGTTGTACCAAAGAGGCTATAATAATAAGAGAAACACTGTCATGTATATACTCACAGTCGAAGCATTTGAACAATATCGAGCTCCAATGCGAAGGTTCGATATGCAAATTGTAACTAATTCATACCCAATGTGGCGATGAGCTTCTTCCTGTGTGCATGTAGACCAAGATATCGCAAGCATCAATGCTTCCAATCAGTGAAGAAATACAACGTATTGGAAAAGTAAATTCAACGTCAAATCCGCTTGAGAGAAAGATATTGCACGTCGGTTTAACTCCTTTTCTAGAAAGTGTTCTGAAATGGCTGGACCTACTGGTATTGTAGAAAAACGGTGCCTAGTTGTAGCTTATATGTTGAGCTCTATTTTGGTACTATCACACTCTATAATTGGCTTTGATTAGCGTTCGATCTATCTATTAGCTTCGTGTATTTAAGCATGAGATTCTTCAGTACCGCAAATCCATTCAAGCTCTGATGATCTTCTATGGGCATGCCTTGAATTTTGCTAGCATGTCTGACATCTGTCGCCCATTATCATCTCTTAATATATTTACAGAAAACTATGAGCAAAACGTTGGAGTGGCCAGCCAGAGATCAGAGACATAAAAAAAAAAGTAAAGCATTGAGTGCCTTACAAGGCTCGAAAAACCACCGGCGAAGCTGGCAATGACCTATAATGGGATTTTACCGTAGCGAAGCGAAAGTACAAAACCATAGCATTCATGCAGCAAATTCGGCTTTTCATTTCTGTTATTAATAAGCCTACCAACAACATAGCGCACCAAAATTTGTATGAATTAGCTTCATCAAAATCAATATGCCTCCTATTCGAATCAGACATTGCACATATTTGGTAGCTGAAATCTCCTGGAAACCTGGTATTCTTGCCGTGTAAATAATAGCCATAAAGCAAAAACATAGCCAAATTTGACAGCTTTCAAGCCTTGATATCTTGACATGTGGGCTATTCTGAGCCGCTTGAATGATGCCAAACAATTGTATTCAAGTAGCAGTAACTTTCTGACACGTTTGCTCAACTTTTTGGGGACTAAAAAAACATGGCCAAAATTCGACCAAAAAGCATTAGGTACCCCTCATGATTTTCATCGAAAATCAAACGATCGCATTTTTTACCTTGAAAATGGAGACTTTTACTATGGTATATCTTGAATCAAAATGTTTCTATCGATCTCACGTAACCCTTGAAATCATCTTTGTAGGACCTTGATATGTAAAATCTCGACTTTTTGGCCAGAAACCTCTTTTCATATTTTCATAAATTGCTCACCAAGTTTATTCAAACCATTTATTTTACTTGGTACCATTGGATGCGCCTTGAAAAGTACTTCAATAATGTATTAGGAAGCACGGGATAATCATCACACTTCGTATAGTCGAATCATGAAAAATAGTTCAATCAAGTCGAAAAACTGTCAAAATCTGGCCAATCTGGAGTAAACTGATAGTCTGGATTTGAATTAATTTTGGCTGGTGGAGTCAGCTGGCAAACTCAACAATGCCCTTTTTATCATGAAGGCTATACAGCAGTAGATGCTTTTGAAGCGTATGGAAAGTAGGTGGCAAATTATAGAGCATTGTTGCTAGCCATGCTATTATCCTTGCATTCTATATTTAATAATGTCAGTCTACCAAAACACTTGTTAGAGCAACTTCTTTCCTTTTCGAGGCTTTGAAAGCGTCCAGGGCAGGGCATGCATACCTTTAGACTGAACATCTGCTGCAAGAGCATCAAACCCCTATCTATTAACATGAAAATCAAAGGTGGTAAAAAAAAAGCATAGCTGCCCTACCCTACCCCCAAACTGAAGGTGCAGCAGCTGGACATTACTCTAACTTTGTCATAGAAACATTGGGCATCATGGGCAAATATCTTCAAATGAAAGGCTTTTATCTGATTGTGAATAATGGTGGCGTCCATTCATCAAATAAGGTAAGACATATAGTAGAGAATAAAACAAATGTGTTGTTCTCTAGAATTGATTCCAATTGAGCAATTCCGGGCTATGGTTGAACATAAGATAAAGCGTAATCAGCTTATAAAGTCTGGAACGCTCGTACAAAGAATAACCGTAGTATGAAGCCATGTTTCTTTATCCCACCATGTAAATATTATTCAACACGCTAGAAAATGTTTCGAAAGCTGCTCAAACAAAGTCTCTCTTTAAATGAAATGTTCCAAAAAGTGTTTGAAATTGCATTCATGATGTGTTCCAACTGGAAAGAGCGTTCCGGATTAAGTTGTAAAATGTACCGCCCAGTTCGAAAAGTGTTTGACTTGAGAGTGGACCCACTGTATTCTATTCTGTTCATATCCTGTTTAGGAGAAACGTGCAATATCAAAACCGATGTTTCACCAAAAACCGGCAAACAAGTTTTAAACAATGAAGATCGCATGTTTTATAGTAATAGAATATTTTTCCCCTGTAAATCGAGAAAAAATAAGAATTCTGAATCCAAATCTTGTTTGATGGATAAAAAAAAAAAAGACTGATTCAATTGCTAGACGTAAGGCTTGCATGTGTTTCATATGTATACAGCCATGATAAGGCGGTCCATATTACCAGTAGTCTTTTTCATTTCGGAACACTTGGGTATGACAGATAAATCAACAGCGATGGAGAACTGTACAACATTTGAAGGCACTATTTTTAAATCAGGATGCGTTATGGTTGTATTTATTTTTATAGTAATGATGATGGGGTGCCATCATGATGGTGGTTTTGTTGCATGTGTGTATTATGGGAAGAGGTATTATTATTGTAAGGGGTTGTTGTTGTTGTTGTTGAAGAGGAAGAAATAGGAGCAAAAGAGCCATCCACACCCATTTCTGTGTGGTGATTCCGAGATACTTCCAACATGTCTTGTTCTGAAAAGAAAGGATCTTCATAGGGAGCGTTTTCATGGTAGTAATTTTGAATGTCATTCCTTTGTTGTTGTTCGTAGTTGTTGGGAGTGGATTCATTAGAGTCCATTTGACTCATTTCAATCTTGATGTCGTTATTATTGTCAAAAGGCTGCTTTTCGTCATCTTTACCAATGTCAGCAGCTAGTTCAGTGCCTACACCAGCTCGGGTTCCCCAACCCACTTCGTGCAATGTGAACAATGCATAAATCTTCATGATGGCGAAATAGTAATTGAACAGTAGCCAAGCAGGTAAGACCCAGATGTCTTGAGGTCTTTTGATGAAATGAGGAATCAGTTTGATGAATCTTGTCAGCAGCAACCAGATGATATAAGAGATGGCAATATTCCAACCTGGCAAAGGTGGGTTTGTAGGACCAGCCCTTTGCTCCTGAAGAGAAGCAAACACACCAACAAGGATGGGACCTGCCAACAGGGTCAAAGGATTAAAGATCTTATCGACCATGGTGAATGCAACGAAAGGATGTCTTCTCCAGATGTAACGCTCGGTAAACAGTGATCTAAAATCAGAACGCCATGTGTTACGAGTCCAACGAAGCACTTGCTTTACGAATCTCCAGTTGTTCTTGAACGTAGAGTAGAGTTCAGCTTCTTTACAGATTTGAGCATACGTATTCCAGCCATGCGACACCATCCAGCGTGTAAGAAACTTATCGTCGCCAGAATTGAGTGGGTATTTGCCCAACCAAAGATCATTTGTAAAGCAATATTGAAAAGCAGGGTCCTTGAGGATCAATGTACGATAAGCTGCAGTACGACCAGAGAGACAGCAGATGCCACCGTCAATGTGAGTAGAAGCAGCAATTTCAATATTTCTACTGGTTAATCTAAAGCCAGCGAGAATTTCCCAAAGTGTTTGATGGCCCTTTGGATCGACAGCATGGACAGTTTGACTTGTACCGACACCACCCATCTTCAGATCTTCAAAGCAAGCGAGAATGTATTCCAGCATGGTAGGCTTCCAGATCGCATCGTCATCGGCAAATACAATGATCTCACTGTTTGTCGCATTGATACCAGCTACCATTTGGAGTCTTTTGTTTGCTCGTGGTACAGTCAACACACGGATTTTGTCTGGATTGACGCTGTTGGCTAGTTCTTGCAATGGTTCCCGCATTTTAGTCTCGGTGATGATGATGATTTCCTTGGGATTGCATGCTAACCAGCTCTTTGCTGCAATCTTAAACTCTTCACCTGCATCGATGGTTGGTACGATAATTGTCACATCTCTTTCCCCTGTATAAGTTGGATTGGCCTTGGGTAACCTTGGTCTATATACTAGCCAGGCAGTGACCTTTATAAAGAACCACAGGTATCTATAGAATCCAATGATACCAAATGGTAAGAAGAAGGGCAATAGACCCAGGTCATTTGTTAGATACAACATCTACTGTAGTGTATGTATCAAATTTTGAAGGAAAAGAATGAAAAAGAAAAAGAAACGCAAGAAAGAGATAAAACACATTTATATTATCTGATCCCCTATTATTAGCATGTGTAACTGAGATGTGTGTCTTGCTGTTGAGATATAAAAAGCAGGTTATTTTAACCATCCAATAACTATACGTGCTAATTTGATTGGACTTTATTGTAGCTTCATATTGGCCATGTTTGTTATCAATACACTAGCTCCATCCTTGCTGCTGTCGCCTTGCTGTCGCTGTTGCAGATCTACTATGAGGCCTGTTTTATCGTAATCATCGGCAAATAGGTAAAACTCGGATTCGAAGATGTTGTGCGTGGTGTCGTTGGATAATGTATCGTAGGGATGCTCACGGATGTAATTTGACACGTTGCTCTGAAATTGTAAAACTTTTAAATAATCCAACACATGTAGCAACTCGGATTCGCCGCTCGAAAGAAATGCCTTTGAACCATGTTCAAATTCACTGGGATGGACACAATTGTACGGCTGCAATTGCGACTTCTTTGGTGAATCATCCAGCAAGATGGTGTTGGTAGCATTGTACTTGCCGTCAAAATACTTCCACACGATATCCAGATCTTTGATGGTGAGCACTTTGCGGTTGTAGTCTGATTTTGTAAGCCCAAAGCTTGTGCGATCCCAAATGACTGAGAGTTTTTCCTTGTGTTTTCCAAACAAACGGCTCATGTTGTGAACAGAGTGAGGTTGTGCACTAGACCAGAGCATGACATTGAAGTTTTCAAACACATAGTCGAGAAACTGTTGACTGTAAGGGCGCACATACATGGATTTGTTACTGCGTACTCTTGATACCAATGTGCCATTTAGATCCAATATCAGCAATTGATTCTTCAGGGGATTCTTTAATTTGATTGATTCAATATTGACTGTATCGAGATAGGCCTTCTTGGGCTTGAACAACAGCTTTTTTGACATTTTTATTTGTATGATTTAAAGGAGAGAGAAAAAAAAATTAGTCCCTTGCTTTGTGCTTGGTGTTTAACCGTTGTTTAAAATGTTGAAAGAAAAAGCTTAATATCTTGGATCCCTTTTGAAAAAAAGGGAGTGTTTTTTTTCTCGAGTTTAGGTAGTGCACAAATAAAGATGCGTCATTTATCCCCTATGGATGATACAAGAAAAAATAGATTATCCTTTCTTTCCATTTCCTCTCCATTTTTTCCTCTTTTCCTATTCCCTTTCTCTTTTTCCCGTTCCTGAAATCTTTGTTACTATGGCAACTGAAACTACGACAACAGCAACAGAGGAGCAAATCCTGAATCTGAACATCAATATCAAACCAGATGGAATGATGCCACCTGTTGTTACTCTGGATAAAACATACCACGATAGTAGTAATAGCACAACATCCACCAATAGTCCAGTAATTTCATTAAAGTCACTGGAGTGTCAATGTCACGGCATCTCTTCTGATTTTGAATGTTTACGTTGTAGAAATGTGCTCTCGTTTGAATCCATTCAGACAGAATATAATGAAACCAAAACTCAGCTTCATACGCTTCAACGACAAAGAACGGTTTTGCGCCATGAACAGAACGAATTAGCCACAAAAACACTGCAACTGGAAAAGACATTGGCGGAGAAGCAGCGATCCATTGAAACAACATGTCAAGGCATTCAATCATTGCAGCTTGATTTGAAAGTGTTAGAAGTAAAATGCAAAGAAGAAACATCGCAAGTCATTGATATACAGCAATCCAAGGAAAATGTAAAGAAAGAACTGGAGGATTTGACAGTGAAACTATTTGAAGAAGCCAACAGCATGATCACAATTGAAAGGGCAGAGCAGCAAGTCATTAAGAGCAGAAATGACCAACTGCAGCAAGAGCTTGAGGATGCGCAATCATTACTCAAGGATGCCTCAATTGAGCTCACACAGATACGGAACAAGATGGGAGACAGCAGCCATGTGTACTCCATAGATGAGCAGCCTCAATCGCCTCAGTCACCCAATTCAACACAAATAGAAGATTGTAATACACCAGCAGAGAGTAATGTGATTGATACATACACCCGTGCTCAAGTAGAGACCATCTTGATGCATGGACTCGACTTGGGGCTTCATATGGACACATTGGAGGACCAAAGCGCCCTGGAGGATTTGAACGACTTTATACAACTTGTGCACAAAACACCACTCCGCAAATTACACTCACTGAAATACATGCGATACTGCATTCGTGATGATATTGAGCCATGTTTAAGATTTGGTCCAAATCCCAAAATAGCGAGCAAGAAGATCATGGATGCCATCTTGGTGAAAACATGCTTTGTAGAGGAGTGTCCAGAAGGATTTGTAACTGAACAAGCAACACGCCAATTGAAAGAAGAAGCTTCTGCTACGCTGTGGGAGCGATTCACAACATCGTCCGTGTTTCTGGGATGCCAAGCATGCGGCAGAGATGTACACAGAGCAGCCAGACAAGAGGAATTGAAGTATCGATTCAGGATATCGTACTTTGACGAGTGGGCTTGTATTGATCGTTACTGTCGAGATAGGCTACAGGCTGTCATCGAATTCTACCTATTTATAAGACATCTCCGTGCTGGCGTGTACAAGCACAGATCGCTCCATGAGCTATATCAGCAATCCATACGACTTCGACTGCAAATGTTTCTAGCCAGGTAAGTGCCTTGACATGGCGCGAAAGCGAATGACTTTAATTGACATGTTTATAGAATGGGAGCTCTTCCAAATATGCTGCAAAATTGTGGTATCCATCATGAGAAGATTGCCATGGCTTTTCATGGTGAGGATATCAATCATAGTGTCGTATTACTCTCTGAATCCACTATTGAGAGATTATCCAGCTCAACCGAATCATCCATTACTGTTTCGACTGTGGAGTCATCAAGGACATCTGCATCCTCTTCATGCTCTTGATCATATATATATATATATATATGTATGTATATATTTCTTGTGTATCACTACCGCCTAATACGACCATTCTTACCACTTACTTTAATACCCTATAAACCATGTACGTTTATGGTATATGCCTTCTTGATTACTACTTACTCCTCTTTTCAACCTTACACTTTGCATCAATATTACCTCCTAATTCCCAACCATCACCCTTCTCTTTTAATAGAGTGAAAATAAACAACAAGTTTTGTCTCTTTCCGTTCAAAGTAAATTAAACGTCCCTGCATCAATCTTTGTTTGCGTATAGTGATGTACATCACGCAGCGTGTGTATGCTGTATAAGCGTGTATAACTGGAAAAAGAGCATCGGCATCCAGCTTTCCAGATGGCGAGCAAAAATAAGACCTTTTTATATTTATAGATACATACGCCCATATATTTAAGAGCCATGTCTCCAAAGAGGGATGCTGATATGCAAAGGCGCAGAAGATGCAGCCTACAAATCAAGGATGCATACCATCGCATCATGGCTGCTACTCTCTATTAATACAGCGAGCGTGATTGAGCACAAGAGCCCATCATTTGAGATTAATTAGCCTGCTTTGATGCTGGATGTTGGCTGTAGATTTGGCAATACTCACGGACCGATACATACTGTGCATATTAAGACTAGAAACAACAGGATTTTAAATCCATGCTGATCAATCCACATATTGCAACAATCCTTTTCTTCATCCTTTTTTCACAAAAAAAAAACGAGGAGATGCATAAAGACACAACAGACTCTTCAGTTTCAGTATTTCACTCTAGCGACCAAGATGACTCTGATTCACCCCGTTATATGCAGGCCATTGACATGAAGACTGAGCCAGAGGAGCAGTTCTGCAATTTGCCGTTTGATGGCATCGAAAAGTCCAATAGTAGCTATGCCCACCGATACAGAGTCTATGTGCAGTAAGTATCATAACTTGTCGTACAACACACAAACCAGATCCATCAATACCGTCTTGATAGTATGCTGATTTGGCTGGCTTTGACTGGCTTCATCAGTGCAGCCTACGCATTGCAAATACCCAAGGGATACAACCAGGAACTGCTCGTGTTGGGCATATTGTATGTCTACATTACTTGCTACATCATATTTTGCCACGTGCCAACAACCATCATCACTACACCCTGGAGGAAAGGCATCCATGCAGCGTCAGACCTGATTCATCAACGCACAAGTTATCGCATTCGCACCATTCTGTATGGACTCACTGTACTTGGGGTCATTGCGGCAACAGTGTTTTCCTTTCCCGAGAAAGAAGAATCTCCACGACTGCGACGACTGATCTCCTTGTTTGGACTATTTGTCTTTGTCTTTGGTACCTTTGCAGCATCTGTGGTAGGTTCAACTCACATTGGGAGCTTCGTCTGGCTGTGCTCATCATTCAATTACAATAGCATCGAAAGCACGTTCAGTGGAATACAGTCATCACTGCTATTTTGATGCAGTTTTTGCTGGCGTTGTTTGTATTTCGATCTTCAGTAGGACATGATCTGTTCAAGTGGATCAGCGATTTCGCAGAGGGATATCTCCACAATGCTTGGTACGGTGCGGAATTCGTATTTGGTACAGCTGCTGTCAATGCCAACACGTTTGCCCTGAATGTCTTTCCAGCCTTGATCTTTTTCGCATCCACTGTGCAAATGCTCTACTATCTAGGGACTATTCAATGGGCCCTTAAAAAGCTGGCAATTGTCTTTATCGCTATCCTAGGCATCTCAGGAGCAGAGTCCATTGTAGCTGTTGCGTCGGTAAGCTGTGGCCCTGTGTGCTTATTGATTCCTCAAAACTAACAGATAGCAGCCGTTTTTGGGCGCATGTGAAAATGCCTTGTTGATTGAGCCTCTGGTGCCTACATTAACCAAATCAGAGATACATCAGATATTGACATCGGGATTTGCAACCATCTCTGGATCTGTATTGTACGGCTACATTGCCATGGGCGTATCAGGCCAGGCTTTACTGACTTCATGCATCATGTCGATTCCGTGCTCTGTTGCCATTTCAAAGCTGAGATACCCAGAGACAGAGGAGTCGGATACAAAGGATAATGCCAACATTCCGGGACATCAAGATGATGATACAGCAAACATATTGCACGCTCTTGGCAAAGGAGCAGAGCTGGGTGTGAAGATTGCACTATTGATCATGGCCAACATCACATCCATCCTAGGTGCTTTGTATGCCATCAACTCGTTCTTGACATGGCTGGGTAACTTTCTTACAATCCAAGAGCTGACGCTAGAGTTGATTACTGGCTATCTGTTTGTTCCGGTACGTATAGCCTGTCATTTTATCTATTTCACAGCTAAACATTGGTGTGTAGATTGCATGGCTCATTGGTGCTGATGACAGAGATCTGGTCATTGTGGGAAGACTGATGGCAACCAAGATCTGGTCAAACGAGTTTATCGCCTATAAGCAGTTGACAGATACGTACAAGGGGCAATTGTCTGCGAGATCACAGTTGGTAACCACATATGCTTTGTGTGGATTCGCTAATTTCGGCAGTGTGGGCATGCAAGTAGGCGTGCTGGGTACTCTGGCGCCATCAAGAATAGGCGAAATATCTCATTTAGCCATCTCAGCATTGATTTGTGGTTCATTGAGTACTTGGTTGTCAGCTTCCATTGCTGGCATGCTTATTTAACATGACTAATTAGCATGAAATAAAGAAAAAAGATTTTTCGTTTTGCCTCCCGGGGGGTAGCAGTAAATTCCTAATCTTCCTTGCTAAAAAAAAGACCCTTTCTTTTTTTTTCACCTCTCTTTTCTCTTTTTCACATGATAAAAATGGCACAGATATTCGACTCTAGAAAACCAGAACCCTACATCAAATCATCCTGTAAGAAATGCATCACGCCTATCGAGTTTTATCCACAAGGACAAGCCGTTGGACAGAGAGTATCAGTCAAGTGCTGGGCTTGTGAGCAAGTAGAGACTTACACAGTAACCGAGCCGATCGTCAGTACGCCTCACGCAGACGCTAAATCAAGCGCTTCCAAGGCGAGAAGCTCAAGAAAGAAGGGCACTGGTAAGATGTGTGCTATTGAACTCGCCAATACCAGTTGCTAAGCTTCATATTGAGTAGATCAAAACCCCATTTCCACTGAATACTATGAAATTTTGGGAGTTTCCGTCACTGCAACTCCAGAAGAAATCAAGAAAGCATATAGAAGACGTGCTGTTATTCTTCACCCTGATAAGAATCCAGGAGACCCAACCATGGAGGAAAAGGTAACGCTTTCTTGTCACTTGATAGATCACTGGGTTATGTAACAATTGTGTCATAGTTCAAGAAGCTATCAGAAGCAAACCAAGTCTTGTCAGATCCCAAGCTGAGAAAAAAGTACAATGAGTATGGCGATATAGGCGTGAAGCCTGATGGCGGTTTTGGTAGGTGTCCAAGAGAAGAGCATCTGTTGAGAGACAGTAAGCATTAAATCATCATGGCGTAGTTGATCCTGAGGACTTTTTCAAGCAATCATTCGGTGGGGATCGATTTGTGGACATCATTGGAGAGATCTCTATCGGCAAAGACATGCGCGAAGCATTGGATACAGCAGAAGAGGACGAGGCAGACCTCACACCCGAAGAGAAAGCAGAGCGAGAAGTGCAAAAAACGGCAAACGAGCAAGAGCGCAACCTTGTGCGTGCTAGACGCATCGAATATCTTGTAGAAAAGCTGACCCGCAAACTTGATTTGTATAATACCCAAGGCGAGCAAGAGTTCAAAAAGACCATCAAAACTGAGGCTGAGGACCTCAAGGGCGAGAATCATGGCGTCGATCTTTTGCATACCATTGGCTACATCTACAGTGCTAAAGCAAATCATTATGGAAGTAAGAAATCTGCTTTTGGTTTGGGCGGCATGTATTATAGTATCAGAGAGAAGGGTTATATTTTCAGCCAGACTGTCGGTACTTTAAGAACTGCTTACGACCTGCAATCCACATTTGGTGAACTGCAGAAAGCCGAAGAAAAGGGATTATCAGAGGAAGAAAGAGCCAAGTTGGAAGAGGCAGCAGCAGCCAAGGTTAGTAGAATAGTCTAAAGACACGAGGGGCGTATGTTGACCTGAATGGTGGATAGGGGTTGGAAGCTATTTGGAGGGGATCCAAGCTGGAAATCGAGGGCGTATTGCGTGATGTTTGCGACGAGGTGCTGAGTGATGCAAAATGTACAAAGACTGACCTTGCCAATCGCATCCATGCGTTGAGTGTGATTGGCACAATTTACCAAGCCGTTGTTTCGGACGAGCCTGCTAGTGTCAGTGAAGAGCAGCAGGTGCCTGAAACTCAGTGATGATAGACTTCTCGGTACTTTTTAAAACCGAATGCTTATGATTGAATGAGTTAAAAAGAGTCATCAATGCTGTTATTGGATAAAACACTGTCAAAATTCCCAACTTTCATACATAAATACAGCCTCATCCTTCTATTTTCTGTATATTTTCTTCCTGTTCTAATAAACACACTTGTTAAAAAATGTCTACCACAAAGCCTGTTACACCTCCCTCATCTACCTTTGACTTTTCGAGCATGGGCTTCCAGTACAGAGATATCAATGGTTACGTGAAATACACATGGACCGAAGAAACTGGATGGAGCAAAGGCACCATGGAGAAAGATCCCATGTTGCATGTTCATATGTGTGCAACTGGCCTTAATTATGGCCAACAGGTAAGATGCGCACAGTGGCTGGTATGGATATGCAGTTGCTTACCTGGTGTTGAAAACAGTGTTTCGAAGGCATGAAGGCTTTCCGTGATGCCGAAGGTCGTGTTCGTATTTTCCGTCCTTATGTCAATGCTGCAAGAATGGCACGTAGTGCAGACATGGCTTTCATGCCTACTATCCCTGAGGATGTCTTTGTTGAAGGAGTTCGTCGCTGTGTTGAAGCAAATCTCGAATATGTGCCTCCCAAGGAAACTGGTGGATCTCTCTACATTCGTCCTCTCCTGTTTGGTAGTGGTCCCTACATTGGCATGGGCGCTGCTCCAGAGTTCACATTTGTTGTATTTGCTATGCCTGTTGGATCCTTCTATACTGGCGGTGTTCAGCCTGTGGATGCTATTGTCATTGAAGATTTCGACAGAAGTAAGCATTGTGGATGTGGCATCATGGAGAAGCATAATGTGACTGAATCGCTTGTAATCTAATAGGTGCTCCTAATGGTACTGGTGGAACCAAGTTGGGTGGTAATTATGCTCCTACTTTTGGCCCCATTATGAAGGCCAAGAAGGCTGGTTATGCTCTTACTCTTCATCTTGATTCCAAGACGCACACCAACATTGATGAATTCTCCACCTCCAACTTTGTTGCTCTTACATACCCTGGTAAACGTCGATGAGCTTGGCATAATGCAATGAATATTGAACTAATGCCAATGTCAAATAGATGCCAATGGCGTTCGTACCTTTGTCACACCCGACTCCAACTCAATTTTAAGATCTGTCACTCGTCTCTCGCTCGAGGATATTGCAAAGAAGTTGGGATGGAAGGTTGAAGAAAGAACTGTTGCATTGAAGGAGGTTGAGGAAGGTAAATTCGAGGAAGTTGCTGCTTGCGGTACTGCTGCCATCATCACACCTGTCAAGAAGATTGTTCGTGGCGATCAAACCATTTTGATTGGCAGTAAAGAGCAATCTGAAATTGGCGAGGGTTTTAAGAAGTTGTACGATGAGTACCGTGGTATTCAAAGTGGCGATATTGAGGACACCTTTGGCTGGATGTGGCCCAAGGAAGGATTGTAAATTAGACATAGGCGAATGAGAATAAATAGACTTATTGATGTTATTTGTTCACTGTAAACGTTTTACTGGATATCTAAACGGAAACCTGATGAGGAGTGGTTTTTGCCAATAAGGTTCTGTTTATTTATCAAGATATTAGGAGTAAGAATAGTAAGAGTGAAAAGGTATACAATTATTATGGCTATGCCTTCAGGGAGAGAGACATTACATCAAAGCATAGGCGGCAGTGACAGCCGAAGTCAAGGCAACGGCCATGACACCAGTATTGATCTTGTTGGAAGCGCTGTGGGCAGCATTGGGGTTCTCTACCGAGATACTAGCAGTAGCCAGAGTTCCGCCCATGCCATTGTTTGGGACAGTGCTGTTGGTAGGATCAGCCATGACAGTGGAAGCCGAGAGAGCGACAAAAGCGACGAAAGCAGTAGTAAATTTCATTTGAATTTGACTGATGATTACAGACTATTCACAGCAGAATATCAGGCCTTTATATACAACGTGAAAACGAGACGTATCATATCGATCTCTACGTATTGGCGCGATATTGCTCGTCTTCATATGATATTCAATTCACATGTAGTAGCACATTTCACCACTATTGTTTCCATATTCATACAGAAATGTCACCATCATAAATACTTCCTGATCTGTACATTTATTCGAGATGGCACGGAGATGCTGCCATTCTTTGTTCAATCTAGCCATAACTAACAGACAGTCTACAACAGAAGGATGCTGTTTCGTGTTGTTTTTATTTTACAAAACCAAAGATATCATAGCAAAGTCATGAGCTATAAAATTCTGGGGCTTTGGGTATAATTCTTACATTAGTTTCACGTCATCTGCTTGTCTCTTTGTATTGAACTTACATTGATAATGTGTCATCTTCAGAGTCCTGTAGCCTTCTTTATTGAACACAATGACATCAATTGAAGAAAGGATTAGAATTTTTCCTTATACATGCTACAAATCCTCGATTGGTTGGTATCAGTAGGAATAGCACATGCAACAATCTACATTCATGTATGCGTGTTTGTGGACACTTGGCTTCCAGAAATGTCTGTCAAAGGTTACACTACATTCATTAATTATGCTCGCTACCAATAAAGAGGCAAAACATAAGGCCATTATAATCAATTTTGGTCATTTACAGTTAGCCAGGTTGGAGTGCGATTTATCGTCCTCATGGCCACCGCTTGCTGCAGGAACAAGAACACAAATAAACACTGTTGCAGGTCGAGCTCTTTTGAAAAGCAATGAAGCAATATTCGTGAGTGTGGATGTAGCTGCTTAGGATGGAAAGTTGACTATCATTGCAAGGGCAGATTGCGGCATTGCGTTTGGATGGAGACGGCTTCGATCAGAAATTTGACCTTTTTAAATCTAACAATGTACTCAATAAAAAAAAAGATCCTTTCGTATCTGAAATATGTGATTTATTCAAACTTGAGTCGAAATTTAGCTTGCTTTGTTATTTGAGCCTATTATAAAATGATGATAGATTTATGCTACATTTGTCACATCTTATTTTAGTTCTCATCAGTGAGATTGATCCTTTCAATGACAAGATCAGGCAAGTTTGAGAGCCTTCTCACTTCAAAATTCACAAAGTTGTTGTACGACAATAATTCTTCTCTAGGATGTTCAGTGAATTTTGAGATATAGGCATAACCTTCTAAAAACGAAATGGCCAAGTATTTTGAGGATAGTCAGCGAAATTCGCAAATCTCGACCTCGGCGCCGCCTGCAAATTATGTGCGTGCTGCTGAAATTGTACTGGGAACGTACGGTTTGGAAACAGGTCTAGAAATTCGAGTCCGGGGCAAGATTTCAGAATGATGTGACACACAAGCAGTTCGTCCCATTAAAAATCCAAAGTTTGCATTCTAGGAAATTGAATAAGAAATATTGGCATATTCCCGATGTATACAGATTTACTAGGAAAGAAAGAATACTGAACTTTCAGTCGCGTTACGGTGTGGCGAGATCTTTTGCTCAGTTGAATGTACCACGTTTCATAAGTTTCTCTTAACCTAAACCTGGGAGGCCCAATACCATCAAAATTTCTGATACCTTGACCTATGGTAGCTTGGAAGAGAAGTTCATAGAATAAATTCACTACTGGTACAAATCGAATTGCTTGTGCTTTAGAGAGCACCGCAGAGATGAGACGATTTTCGTAGGAGTATAAAGTGGTTGAACATCGCCAACGTATAACTAGAGAAGAGGTAGACAGGCAGGCCATCGAAATAGCTCTTGGACGTTATTTGCATTATCAAGACGGAATATTATAGGTTGCATGTCTTGGTTCCAATGTCGACTGACTCGCAAGGCTTCAAGATGATCTCTTGCTGGTAAGAAATCAAAAATTTGCTGTAATAAAGGCCAATTGATTCTATCCAGGGGTGCGATATGCAATTTAGTAAGAGAGAAAGGGGTGGAAGTAAACTCTCACTTGTTAGCTTCTCTTTACAAACAACAGTGTAATGAAATAACCACCTTAAAACAACCTCATTAAAAGCCAGAATTCATCAAATAACACTCATTCAAATTCATGCTATTTGAGTCTGTTAATAAAACGCTCAAATGTACATCAACAACCATTTAAGCATACTAAAGTAAAGATGCACTCTATCTTGTACATCGCGTGAATTAATCACTCTTGATCGCAGTGTATTTAATCACACCTGTGATGGTCGTAATAAGTGATGCTATCTTTTACATCCAAACCAAATAAAACCAAGAACAAGCATATTCAAATATGACAACTATACCCTGATACCATATTTGCACAATACTCCTCCTCCAGATAAAGGGTTCTACACTTCAATAACAAACATCACACCTTAAACTGTCAAGGTTATGTTAAAGCATGCTATGACGATAGCTCATCCAAGCCCATCAAGGTTACTCAAATCGATCCCTATGGCCACTGCTCTTGCCTAGATTACTATTTTATATCAAACATCGACAACATTTGCCAGATACCGCAATAGCAGCACCAATTGCTCTCTATCATCGCTAATCCGACAAGCTAGTTGAAAATGTATGTGTTAAGCACAAAGAATAAAAGGATTATAATTTGTAGTAGCTTAAAAAAAGTTTGATATTACAAAAACAAGACTTATTTGAATAAGATCAGACACAAAAACTAATGATTTATTGATGAAGACAAGAATTAACCTATTTTTACTAAGTTCTAATGCCAAAATAGCAATTTATCTTATACAACACTTATCACATCTGGTGAACTTCAGCATTTAGATAGCTGAGATGCACTTCACTTATCATAGCTTGTCCATGTTGTTGCACAACACAGACATATCTACCCATCAAGAATACCTTAATCTTTATAGACAGTTGTAGCCCTTCTGGCACAACCCCACTATAACAAAAGTTTGCCTTGAGCGATCGTTTTTGTTGGTAATTTGGCCGGGGACGACCTTTCCGGCAGTATAGTTCCAGGAAACTATTTCAACTTGATTTTACTATAATTTGTTGATGTTGATTCTTGTATCGCAGGATTTGCAGTTATCATGAATCTCTTTAGGCTCGATTTTGACACAAGATTTTCTTGTTTTATCTTCCTGATTGTGCTAATCTCAAATCAGCCTGTCTCCTATCAGCCATTTTCCTCCTTAATTAATTATAATTGCTCAACATTGTGAATAGACTTTAAGTCTAACTTTACGGCCAGATATACAGTCGTATCTCTAGTGTGTAGGGCCATCAAAAGTGCCCTGTTCGCCTAACAAGCATCTTGGTCAATCCGAGTAAGTTGAGAGATTCAAATTTGCAAAATAGCATTGACGCTCAAGTCTTAAAATTACTGTGGCCGCGGATTTCAAAATTAAAAGGAAGACCTGATGAGCTTTAGGACTAGAATATAAAAGCATTCATAATAAAACGCATTCAACAAAGCGTTGGATAACTCATATCACATTGTTGTGCCAGAAGGGCTACAACTGTCTATAAAGATTAAGGTATTCTTGATGGGTAGATATGTCTGTGTTGTGCAACAACATGGACAAGCTATGATAAGTGAAGTGCATCTCAGCTATCTAAATGCTGAAGTTCACCAGATGTGATAAGTGTTGTATAAGATAAATTGCTATTTTGGCATTAGAACTTAGTAAAAATAGGTTAATTCTTGTCTTCATCAATAAATCATTAGTTTTTGTGTCTGATCTTATTCAAATAAGTCTTGTTTTTGTAATATCAAACTTTTTTTAAGCTACTACAAATTATAATCCTTTTATTCTTTGTGCTTAACACACATAAATGATATGTATGGTGGTCCTTTTTGTATCTTTCTGAATGTCAGATCCTGAGATGTAAATTCAAGTGTGACGATAGAGTAGATTGTGTTAAATGATATGTGTAGAAAATCTAGAAATAGATGTAGTTGTAGTCTCTTCTTGTCATTGAAGTAAATGGTTTTGTTTCAGTAATAGTAATCCAACTAGTTGACTGTTTGATATGTCCTGTTGTGCGTGTAGATTATAGTTTGTTGTATGCTTTGTAATGCATGTAGAAACCGATGAGATGTTGGCCCTGAGTCGTATCAGGTGTAATATGATGGGTTGTGGTGTGAAATGCCTCAACCTATCACTTAGAAATTGAGTTTCGTACAATGCAGAAAATCCTAGTCGTTATAAAGCACTGTAATTTACGTACTTGTTCGGCAACACAACCCACTACGCCGTCGTTTTAGGTCGAATTCTGTGCAAATTTAGTCGTTTTCAAGCACAAATAACTCATGCCACAAAGCGTTTTGAGCGCTTGGAATAGCACCAAACGACTCCTCTTGTCCATGCGTTACTTACTGATGCTTTATCTCAATTTTTTTTGGGTCATTGCAAATTCATAGAAATTCTCTTTTTTTTATGAGTATTAGCAAGGGAAACTTCTTGAAAATCAAACGATCGCGTTTTTCACCCCAGAAACAAAGATTTTTTCTATGATACAAATAAGATCAAATTGATCATAAAGACTGGATGCAGCACTTGAAACTCTTTCTATGGAATTTTCGTATGTGAAATTTCGACTTTTTGGCAAAAAACATGTTTTCATATATTTGCAAATTGCTCATTACTTTCGGTCTGAAAGCTGAATGTAATCAGCACCATTCGGTGCAGCTTCGTTAGTCCTTTAAACTTATATTAGAAAGTTGGATGTGATAACGAGAGTTTTTATAGTCAAATTTGGCAAAAACGCTTAAAAGTTGTCAGATCAAGACAAGTTTGAACACAAAAACACTTACCACACAAATTCAAATTAAATTGCCGCAATTAGAGCTGCCGTAATTAGAGCTGCCACGACAAAAACTGAGAACAAATCTAATGGCCGTGACGTCGGATAGGGCGCTCTCTCATTCTTTCATACCCCTCGTTTTTTCTCCTTTTTGCAAAACGCGTTTTAGTATCAAACCATGGTGGATTTGGAGATCGTTTGATTGATAATAACACTCTAGCTTCCGACAACTCTGTCTTGTACTGTTAAGAGTACTTGATACTGCTTCTTTGAAGTGGAATATGTTACGTACCATTCGATAACGAGCACTGGAAGGCATAGAATTAACACTAATTCAGTTTGTTTATTAGGTTTTAATAATTTCTTGCTTGTTTGAGTGAGTGCTGCTGCCAGTCCTTCTCTGTCTTCTCTGCTGCCTGCTTCTTTGGTTTATCATGTCTAGTGATTGCTTCTTTGGCTTTTGTCTGGTCTCTGCTGGTGGCGTTCGTTTCTCGGTTTGTCTATGGTACTGGTGTTGCTGCTGCTGTTGCTAATATGGTCTCTCCTGGTCTACTGTCTTTGGTGCATGCTCGTTCTCTGGTCTATATTCAGTGATTGTATATCCTCTGGTCGTTCTGTGATGGAGATAAGTGGTAAATAGCTTCTTTGGTCTTTGTCTGGTCTCTGCTGATGGCGCTTGTTTTTTAGTTTGTCTATGGTGCTGGTGTTGCTGCTGCTGCTGCTGCTGCTAAAATGGTCTCTCCCGGTCTACTGTATTTGTTGTATGCTTGTTCTATGGTCTATCTCCGGTGATTGCCTATACTCTTCTGGTCTATCTGTGGCTATAGTAAGTGGTAAGTATCTTCTTTTTTCTGGTTGCAATGATATGAAACTTCTTTGAATGCTTATATTATTGCTTCCTTTCTCGTGATAATGCATTCATGATGTTTGCCTTGTTGCGCTTTTTTCTTCTTCTTTTTCTTTTGTTGGCGGTGTTTCCTCTGTAGCTTTACATGAAACAACATTAGTCATTATATTGTATCGCTAACTTGTAATACCACTGTTGCTTTTGCAGTTGTGCGTATTTGTATCATTTTGCTTTACATCCGACTATTACTACCATGCGCGTTGCTCATGTATGCATTTTTCTTGCAACAGCAACGAGCTTTTTTGAACATCTTTAGTGTTGTATTTGTTACGCTTTTCTTTGACTCGCTTCGTGTGAGTGCCTCTTTTTTTTTGCCTACATACCACTATACTCTTATAGTAGTATGTTCTTTTCTTCATTCTTTTATTATTTTTATGTTTCTTTGAAGCATACCTTTTTTTACGTTGTGTGGATGTGCCTATCCCTGAAGCTCAACAAGACTTTATCCGAGGCTAGGAGGTGGATAGGCTGCCTCCACTTGGTTATCGCTACTTACTTTAGTGATGATTGAGGGTCTCAATGCCTGAATTTAAAGCTAGGTGGTGTAAGTAAGGCATGCTCTAGCACCTGAGGGAAATTTGATGATAGCGGCGGCTATATTGCTATATATAGCGGCGCTTAAAATTTTGCCTCACATCAAAACAGGGGGAAACCCTCGCAAATTTTTTTTTTAGGTCAGCGGAGTTTTCAAGCAATCTGATTGGCTAAGAGGTTGGAACAACGAAGGGTTACAACTAGTTAATATCCTATTGATCTGTCAGGTATTATAGTTTTGCATTTGTAATAAAAATGTATCCAAATATTGGTACAATTTAAATCCTTCATTATTCAATAGTAAAATAATGTGCTATGATTGAATTCATCATCCGTTAAACAGTTGTATATGAGAAATTTCTCTGAAGTTATCAGATGCGAACGTTATATGGGAGTTAGTACCACTTCAGCACAGTGTTGCTTACGTTGTTGTTACAACAACAGTAGTATTCTGGTTATCCTGTCACCAAACAATCGTTTTCGTTGCAGTAAAAAGGGGTGTGAAGAGCAGATAGATTACTGTTAAAATCCTTCCGTGGAATACATCCACTATGATCTGCATTCCGACAGTTTATTTAGTTATTAGATTTAGATATAAACTGTATGTATACTGGATTAGATGTACGATATCGATTTATACTATAAGAAGATATGGACTTCAGATACGCTAGTACTATAAAATTCATACTATATATAATATAGGCTGTAGATGGCACCACAAACGTGGATGGCGCTATAGACTTATACTTGTATTCCGACATTGACTACGGATGTTTACCATATCTAGATAAGCACCAAGATTAATGCAATATGAGCTTGTTGCTTCAGATGTGCACTTTATGATCCACGCTATAAGACACATGCTTATATCCGTGATACTAGCTACAGATACTTTATGTACTATATACTTGTACTATATGTGAGACATGCTGTAGACATGCATACGATATGCTATAGACATGCCATATATCCAGATACATGCTAAAGAGATGTATGCTCAGCGATATACACTCAGATATGTACTATTGATATAGACTAATAAGTAGACTGTACCTATCGGATACATGCTACTACTAGATCGATATTGATTATCCTTATAGAAAGGATAGATCAGGGTACTTCAGATGAGAGTCCAATTACTCATCCAGGCAAAGCTAAATTATGATTAGCTTGCTGGAGTTGTCTTTTAGCATGATTAGACATTAGTTGATCAGAGTTGACTTATTTGTCAATCTAATTAGTAGAACTTTTATCCATTGTTATAGTATTGTTGTGCCAGAAGGGCTACAACTGTCTATAAAGATTAAGGTATTCTTGATGGGTAGATATGTCTGTGTTGTGCAACAACATGGACAAGCTATGATAAGTGAAGTGCATCTCAGCTATCTAAATGCTGAGGTTCACCAGATGTGATAAGCGTTGTACAAGATAAATTGCTACTTTGGCATTCAGAACTTAGTATAAATAGAATAACTCTTGTCTTCATCAATAAATCTTTAGTTTTTGTGTCTGATCTTATTCAAATAAGTCTTTTCTTGTTTTTATAATATTGAACATTTTTTATAAGTTACAAATAATAATCCTTTTATTCTTTGTGCTTAACAAGTATATATAAGAAGGATCATCTACCTGGCCAATAGAGATACTTCAGTTTTACTTTACACCTGTCAGTTTGATAATAAAACATACCTTTATCAAGTTGACTATTGTTTTTTTGTTCTTTTTTTTCCGTGAATTTTAGCCTATCAAGCCTCAAATTCCACAGTAACAAATACACCTTTTTATCCATTCAACTAAAAGGCTATAACATCTTCCTGCACACTCTTCATATCTACTTCCGTATGTATCTCGATCAGGTCTCAAATTGCATATACTATCTCTATATATAAGCATCTGACAAAAATGTTGTGCCTAAATTTAGGTTTAAGCCAAATTTGAAGAAAGCGACTAAAAGGCGCCAGCACATACTCGAAGGTTCTGGAAACTGATAGCAGCAGACATTGATCTGATTATCAGTTGCTATATCAAGTGTTATATCTACTCGAAAGTTCTATTGATTAAGTAATTATCGATCGTAGAAATAGTATAAATATAAGTTGTAAATGCAATCAATAAACAGTACCTTCGAACATAATCTCAAATCTATTAGTTACACTCTGTTATTTGATAACTCTTACCATTGAATCTATCTATCAAGACGACAAAATGAATCGAGGGGCTATGGCCCAATGGATAAGGCGTCTGACTACGAATCAGGAGATTCCAGGTTCGACCCCTGGTAGCCTCAATATTTTTTCACTTAATTCTGAATAGCGTGAGATGTTGCTATGCTTTTTTTTTCCTCTGTTTCAAGTATGATGTTACGAATCGACTTTCCAACTTGTTCTTCTGTTTCTTTTGCTGTTATTTACTCGCATCACATCAATAACAGACCCAATTTTTACCTCAATGCATTGCAATTTAATTTCAAATCTCATGTGGAATGTGTACGAATCCATCTTGGGGCAATTGGAAGTCTACTATACAGTATAACGCATCAACGTGAGTCCACCTCTAGAAAGACCAGTTTGAAAACAATATTCATTCCGTACTGAGCAATTCAAATGCAAGCATATATTTCACCCAGAAAAACAGCTATAGTTCATTTAGATGATCATACAGTACCTATTTTCAAGAGCCAATGCTTACTCAACGTGGTCTGAATAAAGGTCTCATTGCAGAGAACATGAAGCTCGTGCTATGACATTCAATCTGCACCCGAAACAAAATGATCTTAAAATGCCCATAAACAGATCAATTCTGTCTAAAAGGGTTATATTTTAACAAGATTCGGTTGTCATACCTTGTCATGCTGTATATAGAGTATAAGCTGTTATGAAATCCATGTCAAAACTGCAACGGATATGCGAGGAGAGTGGGTTTTGTCAGATTTAATGTATTTTCACGTGGGAGAAGGTAGGATGTATCCAATCAATGGCAAGTTGTAATAATAAAATATGTAACTATTGTGTTTGTTCCCCACATTTTCACCTCTCTTTTTTCTTTCTTCTTAATTTTATTACCACTCTAACATATACATATATATACACACACACACACACATCATGTCACAACAGCAACAGCAACAACCCAGCAATAGTAATAATAACATCAACACGAATCTGTACCTGAGTTCCTTACTACAAGGTGGGTATTTCACAATCTCTCTAGACATTAATGCTAACATTGGTTTGGCTCTAGATGATACACATCAAGACCACAACGCTAGCACAAACTCAAATAACAGCAGAAAACGCAGTTACTCGACAGATCAAGCATTAGACGGAGGGGAAGAAGAAGGCGATGTATCCGAGAAAAAAGAGCGCAAAGGCCGTAAAGCACCACATGAGCTGTTAACAGATGCAGAAAAGAAGGCCAATCACATTGCATCCGAAAAGAAGCGTAGACAGAATATAAGATTAGGATTTGACCAACTCATTGAAATTGTGCCATCATTGACACAAGGCAACAGATCAGAGGCCTTTATATTACAAAAATGTACCCTAGTATTTCTCTGAAAATGGATAATGGCGTGAGAAATATTAACCCACTTTTTTTAATGGCAGCTGTCGATCATATTCGACATTTAATCAACGTAAAGAACGATTTGAAGAGCCAGATTAGAGATCTTCAAGGTGTATTAGGAGAAGCGTAAGTGGAACTATATAAAGAAAAGAGAGACTTGGATGATTGCTGATGCATTGCTATTTTTTTTTTTTTTTTACTTGTAGTAATTATGATGAAGATGTAAGTGATTTATTATGAATTAGAAGAGAGATAAAATGTATATTGATAATTTATCATATAAATTAGTCTTCTGAAGACGATTTGACCTACTCTTCCTACTGACTAAAGAAATCCAGGACACGGTAATGTTGGTTCCTGTACCTCACATAGGCCGAATACGTGCTTTTTGGCGTACCAATGAACAAGTTGGCATGAGATGCAATCTCAGCATCGATCATTGGAGGTAATAAACTATCTATCTTGTCATGTCTCTTTCTTTGCAATAAGATCTTGGCATTGTAGAAATCACTGAGTGTAAATAGACATGGATATCTGTCAAACATGTGAGGAAACTCCTGCTGTGGATTGGCGGCATCGGTTGCTAAATAGATCATTTCAAGTTGTGGATTTTGTAGGACATCTTGCACGGATTGACATTGCTTTAAGCGTTCATGCACTGAAGTTATAGATTTTAAGCGCTGCATCACTTGTCTGTTGTTGAGATTGTTGTTGCCATGAACCACAGTTAAATTGCTCAATAATGCAGACTCTACTTGAGCAATGGTTTCAGCAGCCATCTTTTGAAAAATACCATCTCCTTGGCGTAAATGAACACTGGTATAACGATCGCCAAGAGCCTGGATAATCTTTTGACTGGATTGCTTGATTTTTGGATGATTGAGGCCGGTGGTACGATGCAGGTATTCTCTCAACCAGAGCATTTCAGGTTCGTGTAACTGAAGCCTGGATGTGCCAAACAAGGAACCAAACACCAGATAAGTTTCAGGTCTTGCACGCAATTCATTCAAATCAATGTGTTCCAAGTATTTATCGTTCATGTCTTCATGGTCAAATGCATAAAGATTGGGGTCGTGATCATGGATCTGATAAGAGTATCGGAATGGGTCTTGCACACTATACACTGTTTCATTGAGTTGGTGCGCACTTGCATGGCGGTGGATGTAGTCCCTTGACATGTCAAATCGCTGTTCAGTGTGGATGTTCAATGCGTGTGCTGACGATAGATCAAATATAGATTCAACAGGCAGCGGCTTGTATTTGCGGTAGGCATGGCAACGAAGTCGACGGCCGGCTTCCTTTTTGTTTTGCCTGATGTACATTGGACATAACTCTAGTTGTTTAGCGAGTTCATTGGACTCTGCCCAAAATGTCGCTGAACCAATGTTGAGTTCAGGCATCAGTAATGTGCGATTGAGTGCATGAGCAATGGTCATGGCATTGATGAGCGAGATGCGCTGATTGTGAAGCCCTGAATGCGGGAGATAGGTTATGTATTTTGGGGAATCGTGTGTTACATGGCTGTTTTGCTGTGGTTGTGTTGCTCCTGAGCGAATGGACATGACGGTATTGGACTGACAGATGGCCCAGATGGACAGACATGCCACACATAAAAGGGTTGTAATGATGGTATGAATAGTTTTCATATGAGATAGAAACAAGAGAAAACGAATGTATCAACGAGTGGAGAGAGAGAGAGAGAGAGAGAGAGAGGAGAAGGCGACGATCATCCAGGCCACACACTGTCTATATATACACATTTGACAGTTTCCAAAAGGAAAAAAACTTTAATAAAAAGACCGTGAAGCTCCTTCTAGAATCAATTGTAAAAATCCCAACACACACATACACACATATTACATATTATACGCTGATACAAAATAAATAATGTGGTTTCAATTGATTAAATTGTTTAATTAACTAGATGGCTCATTAACAAGAACAGCATGATTAATAGCGCTATTTGTTTCATTTACAGTAGATGAGGCGGTGGTAGTCGTATCATGTTGAGATGGTTGCATGGCGGTGGTAGTATCGGTGGTAGTAGAAGTAGTGATGACAGGTGTTGTAGCAGTGGTGGCAGTAGTAGTAGGTGTAGGTGTAGGTGTTGCGGTGGCAGTTGTCATGGTTGGAGTCGATGTAGCAGATGTGATGGGAGGTGTACCGGTAGCAGTAGATGTAGGGGTCACTGCAGATGTAGAAGGCGATTCTTCCGACTTTGTAGCTTGTTGTTGCTGATGTTGCTGTTGAGCAGCAGCTACAATAGCCGAGGTCAATGCGCTACCATTAGGTATAGGCACACCCATACCCAACTTTGCGTTCAACTCTTCCACCTCCTTCATCAGTCGATAGCTTTCAGATCCACCCAAAGAGCCACCAGCAGCCAATTTAGCCTGTAACTCTTCCACTTCCTGCTTGAGCTTCTGATTCTCTTCCTCTAATTGGACAATCTTCTCTTCCATCTCATGAATGTGTTGCTTCTTCTTTTTACGACACTCTTTTGCTGCAACACGATTTCTCAGTAAACGACGCTGACGACGCTCATCGTTGGACAAGGTTCTGGCATTGGCTCTCTTCATACCGTTGGCGCTGTTATCATCCGTCATGCCATTTGCGTTGGGAGAGGGTTGTTGAAGATGAGGATGCATGTTGGTAGGACTGCCTCCTGGTGCTCCAGCTGGTCCTCCTGGTCCTCCAGGCATTTGAGGTGGTCCAGGTAACGCAGTGATAACATTGCCGCCTTGCTGAAGTTGTTGTAACAGGTTAGATGCTAAACTAGGGACAGCGATAGGTGAGACCATGGCTTGAGCAAGTGATGAAGCAGTTAAATTGGCAAGATCTTGGCCCTGGGCTTGTGCTTGTGCTTGAACATAGGATTGCAATAGTTGTTGTTGTTGAGGATCCGTAAGTAAATGCAAGCCTGGTGGAGGTGGGACATTGGGCATCGTAATTATATTGGGATTGGGGTTGCTGGTGTTGCTTGTATTGGCATTGGTGCTGTCAGTAGGGTTTGCTGCATCCGTAACGCCGTTGCTTGGTGTCTTTTGTTGCTGTTGTGGCTGTGGTTGAGAAGCATTGGCAGCAGCATTGGCAGCAGCAGCAGCGGCGGCAGCGGCAGCGACAGCGGGGTCAATGTTGACTGACTGCTGTGCTTCTACAACAGGCTGCTCCTCAGGCTTGGCAGTAGTATCAGTTGATGGAGACACAGATCCGGGATGGCTCGAATTGGCATCAGATGCATAATCCAACTTTATGGTTTTGACATCTCTTGATTCATCTGCATCATTACTGGCAGCTCGCTTTAATTGATTTGGAAGGATATCCATATTGTTGGACTGGACACTGGCTTCAGACATTTGTGTGTATAGATGTGGTTTGTTAGGTGGCGTAGATTTCTACACACAGCAGCATCGAGTTAGTTATCTGATGTCCTGCATTGACTGATCTCCCATCATGTCGAGGCAGCTCACATCCCATCACACACACACACACATACACCTCTCACCGACCCACCTAATGTTGCCCATCTGGCTCCAAACCACCCAACATGTCGCAGCAGCAAAGATCACTTACCAGTATTAGATGATATTATATTGTTGGACTAGAATGCCTTTGATGTGTTTATATGCAATATATTTTATTGGATGATATTCTCTTTGTGAAGTCGGGAATAGCTTTTTGGATTTTTTTTTGATGACGAAAAAGAAATGTGAAAGAGAATGTCGACGTATTTAACAAAAAGAGATGACGAAGGCAAACTTGTTCAAAAGAGATGTTTATAAAGGGGGGGTGAAAAAAGAAATTTTTTTCTTCTCGTGTGTGGGTGCAAACAAGGGGGCGGGAGGATAAAAAGAGTTACAATGCATCCAATGATGTGCCAATAGAACATTCTAATGAGACAAGCCAATCACGACATGTTGGGCCAATATACATTCTTGATTTGTAAAAACAATGAATCTCCCCTGAAACAGAGATGTCAAAGCACTCTCGCAGTAAGAATAATGAAATTTTTAATGTATGTAGGCCACATTTTCTATATTGTGTGCTCAGGGCCGTTCATAATTGACTGTGAGCTAAAAGGATGGGATCCAATGCATTCTTATTGAGATGTTTGCTCTTTCTTTCTCTCCAAATCTTCATCTCATTTTTAAAAAATGAACGTTTCAGCTGGCAAAACGTCAAGAATTGTGCACAAGAACAACCCTAAGAAAAAGAAACAGCGCGCACAGATCAGACCCAAGCATAAAAATAAGCCATCGCCATCACACCACATACCCGCCTTAGCAACTACTACATCCATTGTCATTGCCACAAATCAACCGAGAGTACAAGATGCTCCTATTGTCTTTCTGTCAACGCCAATACCGACTGCGACGCCATTGCCACTCCCTAGTGGCGACAATGCTTCTTTTCCATTGAATGTGGCAGATCAAGATGATGACCAAGGCTTCTATCAAGTAGAAGAAACAGAATACACGGCATCAGCAGCAGCAATTCATAAAATGGAGGATACTGCATCCATCACTGCGCAACAGCAGCAACCAAAATCCGTCTCCACAGCCACCCAAGTAACGCAGATTGCAGCACCTGTCATTGGCGTCTTTGGCGGCATTGCACTGATTGCTGCTGCCATGTTTTACGTTGTCAGAAAGAGAAAGAGAAACAGCATGTTGGTGCAAGACAGGAGCAGCAACAAGAAATTCGACTTTAATAACGACAGCGCTGACGCTAAATCCATACACGATACAGACGGTGAAATGCATGACATTTCATTGTTGGAGGATGATGAAGCGATCATGACGATGGGCCAACCACCCAAATTAACGCCTGCTCATGCTAACAACACAACTGCCATTATGAATCACCACTACTTGGATCGTTCAACCCTAATTAATGTCCCTGAAAATCACCCTGTAAATAATTCATCAAATATGACGGATCACTGGCACTACCCTTCTCGTGCAAATTCCCTTCATCTCCCTCCATTGTCCTATAGAAACTCATATCGTTCATCCACCACAAGCACGGTCTACACGGACGCACTGATGAGCCCCATCTCAACTGTGTTTGACAACCCTCACCATGTGTCCTCATTCCTCATGATTGCAGAACGCCAACAATTGCAGCATCAACGACCAAGCATCCTGGATCATTTCAATAATGGCAGCGATATCAAACCAAGTCGATCCTCACCCATTGAAACCTACAAAGCTCAATTGGCCGAGCTTACTGTGCTGGATATTGAGGACGAGGATGAACAAGGCCAGCAGGAACCACCTAACGACCCTTTGCTCCCATTTTCCACAGTGCTCGATCTAACAGAGGTTTATTGAATAGCATCCTTGTAGAGTGCTAGATGCTGTCTATCCAATTTTTTATAATAAAGTCGTCTAATATGAGCTGCTGCATTTTTGAAATTCGCTGTACTGACATCAAACAAGAGCCACCATTCTTTTCCTGGCGATGTGGGTAACTTGATGCCTTGTTCTCTACACGATAGCCAGATAGCAGCACATGCAATGGTGGGTGGCTCATATGTCACGTAAATTGTTGTCCTCAGTCCATCGTTCAGGTAGTTCCATGCGCGTTTAGATATTTCTTCATTGTCTTCTAGTCCCAAAATGCGTAGATAATTGATCATATGGTTGTAAGGCAGTTGCACGTGTACGATGAAGCCTAACTGCCGTAATATCTGCATCTCGGCTGCAATCGCCATATTTTTAAGATTGTAGGCTTTCTAAAATGTGTGTGTTAATGTGGGCATGTTAGTCTTTGCTCATTTTTTGTTACCTGAGAGAATGCATCCAAGGGCACCTTGATGGATTGTCCCTTCATTTTTCGAATAATCAGGTCATATACTGTAATCAAGTGTGTCATACGAACGAAACATTCTTCCAGTTTGGATGCTAGAAATAGGGCGCCCATGCCAATTTCCTAATTATTGCATATTAAGCATGTTGTATGTCATTATGCCATGGATGTCTTACCACAATGCCAAACTCTTTTAGACTGGCCATGTAAAAGAATCGTTGAAACAGAACCTGCGCTGTAGCCATGGCGACTTGAGGTCTATCATGTGTTGACATAGCGTTAGTGAGCTTCCTTTTCTACACAGACTATCATCTAAGAGAAAAAAGATGCCTTACAGTTTCAACAAAATGCCTGCACTTTGAATCAATTCAGCTCCCAAGTTGCGTAGGTCTTCTTCTAGTTCTTCACTGATGCCATCACGTCGTGATACAGTCGTTTCAAGTTGTTCTAATGATGCGAGTGGGTTATTTAATGCGACAGACATGATGGCTCAAAAGGGAAGAAGAAAATAAAAGTGCGTGAGTAGCAGCCACCCAGATAGGGAGACCAAAATTAGACATCAGAAACGTCTTGTAAAAATACAATGAAATTTAACAACTCATTTGCTTGCATAACTTGGCATTGGGTGTAATATGTGCTATATATTTTTGGATCTGCGTTCATGTTACAGGTTGTAGTAAAGCTCAAAGCCGCGCTAAAAAGAGCTTTTTCCTTACGAATGGAGACGCTTGGAATCGATAATGTCAACATTTGACTGAATATCACCTAGAGCTAGTACAAGTAATCATAATCATAGCATAAAAATTTATAGTCCATAGACACTTTTACAACTCTAATATGAAAACAGAGTAGCCAGGCATTTGTCAGGCATGGCTCATATATGATTAGAGATTTTATATTAAATTACTATCAATCAACAATCAAGTGTCTTTTAACATTTTAGCTATTATTAATTTTACAATATTAGCCAAGGGCCAGCGGCAGGGCGAGCCGCCTGAACGTAGCGTAATAAATTTATGGTCCCTAGACAATTTCAAAGCCTTAAAAAGGAAATAAGTTGATCTAACAAGTATTTTGATGGGCTGGCGTTATTAAATATAGAATGCAAGAAAATAGCATGTCTAACGATATTGCTATGTAATTTGCCACCTGCTTTTCATACGCTTCAAAAGCAGCTATTACTGTATTGCCTTCATGATGAAAAGGGCACTGTTAAGTTTGCCAGCTGGCTCCACCAGCCAAAATTAATTCAAACCCAACTATCGGTTTACTCCAGACTGGCCAGATTCTGATACTTTTTCGACTTGATTGAACTATTTTACAGGATTCGACTATATGAAGTGTGATGGTCGTCCCATGCTTCCTAATACATTCTTAAAGTACTTTTCAAGGCGCATCCAATGGTACCAAGTAAGATAGATGTTTTGAATAAACTTATTGAGTAACTTATGAAAATATGAAAAGAGATGTTTGGCCAAAATGTCGAAATTTTACATATCAAAGTCCCACAAAGATGATTTCAGAGGTTGCTTTGGATCGATAGAAACATTTTGATGTAATACATACCATAGCAAGAGTCTTCATTTTCAAGGTAGAAAACGCGACCGTTTGATTTTCGATGAAAAGCATGAGCGGTACCTCATGCTTTTTGGTTGAATTTTGTCCATTTTTTTTTGGCCCCCAAAAAGTTGAGCAAAGGTGTTAGAAAGTAGCTGCCAGATGAGAGCAACTGTTTGGTGCTCTTCTGACGATCTAAAACGGCCTCGAACGCGAGAAAACGCAACTCAAATGCACTCGAATTTTGCTGTATTAGGTACACTCTTGACTAAAAAGGGATACTATCTGTATGATACTTGTCCGTATATAAAACAGCTACATGTATATGAATGTAGAGCATCACATAAGAGTCAGATCTACAGATAATATGAAGGGTTTTCATGTGTAAATGGAGGATCAAAATGAAAGTAGCAGTATTTTGATAAGATGAGCAAGAGAAATCGGTAACGCCAGCTGCAGCTGCGCAGGTTGGTTCTCGCTGTCGAAACAAAGCGAAGATAGAGCGCTACCCGAGCCGTAAACACGCTTGTTTGCCAGAATAAAAGTATCAGCGTATGGTTTGATGAAGATTATCATAGTTCAATACTAGCTAGCACTTGAAGCATCAAAAGCTTTACTCTATCCACCTAAAAACTCTGATATACAATGTATCCGAAAGAGTAGTATGCTGCTTATCACTTGCATAAAATATCACAATGCTCCCATTAGGATAGAGGGCTGTTGTTAAGTAACTATTCAACCCATTAAAGTCTTTTTATTGTTGCTATTCCAAACCTTCTCTTTCACTTATCAAACACTTTCTTACAATGCATATGATATTCTCTTTACCAGAAGACTTGCTGTACTTTCAAAGCTTTTTATCAAACAGCTCACTGAATGCAGACTTGTTTGCAAGCACTGGAATACGCTTGCAGCAAGAACTATGCTTAGTAAAAGAACCACACTCAGGTCTAATGTACAGGCTCTCAATCTTTACAATCACTTGTCAAGAGTCCCAGCAAGGTCGCCATCATCAAACACATGCGCTTCAAGCTAGACGGACAAGACTTGCCATTTGTTCATCTATATCTGGGCTGTCCCATAGTATCATATCGGTGGATCCAATGCAACTTGAGTTGCTCGATCTATTGCATCTCAACAGACGTTCTTCACTGTCACAAAGGTAACAAAAGAAAGAAAAAAAAAAAAAAAGACCAGCAGAAACCCCATTTTTTCAAGATCGTACATATAAAGAATTTAAATGAGGGAGAGAAAAAAGGCGCTGGCATCTACCAGCTCGTCAGCCAAGGGCCATATTGAAAAGACCAGAGCCTCAGAAATATCAATTATACCCACAGAAAGAGATCTTTCATGTAAGCTATGGTTGCCTCTAGTCTTTGTTTTTCGCTCACACCCGAAACCTTGAATAGCATTACCGCCGCCTTCATTTGCAGAATCCGAATTCCATGAGATACAAAAGACGCAAAATACTCGTAAGCAAAACTTGCTGAAATGGTCTGACGTGCCTTCCCGGTACCCAAATCTGAGCAATGCTTGGGAATTTGCAGGGTAAGTGATAGGCTAAGCATTTTGTATAGAATGACAACTGATAATTCATCTATATAGATGGGGAAGCACCTATTACATGGAGATCGAACAATCCGACATCGACGTATACCATCAAGAACTCTCAAAGAAATCCACCATTGGACAGTGGCGAGCAACATCCATTGCAGGCAATGATTTGATTGCTTCTGTGCTCTACTCTATCGGCCCCTGTGTTGTACAATCAGGCAAATATGCTCCGATCTCCATGCTGTTGGTAGCACTGTTAATGTATCCCATGAAGCGCATCATCACAGAAGTTGCGACTGCCATGCCCTTGAACGGCGGCACCTACAATGCCATGCTAAACTCGACCACCAAAACAACGGCTGCTGTCGCTGCCTGTTTCTCTATCTTGGATTATCTCGCTACGTGTGTTGTCTCTGCATCTACGGCCAGTGCGTACTTGGCAGCCGAGGTTGTGTTACCAAGCAGTCTGACACCGTTTGCCATCACTATCATCATCTTGATTGGGTTCTCCATGATTTGTTTGTTGGGCCTGAAGGAGTCATCTACACTGACATTGTCGATCTTTACTTTGCATGCAATGACCATGGCTGTGGTGATGGTGACCAGTATCATCATGTGGGGAAAAGGAGGTAGCCAGACATTGATTGATAACTGGACTAGTATCCCTGATCCAGAAGGTTCGAATCCTGCCCATTTGATTTTCAATGGTTTCTGTATAGGTTTGCTGGGCGTTACAGGCTTTGAGGTATGGCATAGAGTCGCTGCTCACATGAGATGCCATGTTTACTGACAGCCTTGGATCATAGTCTGCCGAAAACTACATTGAGGATTTGAAGCCTGGTACCTTTCCCAAGGTGATGAACAACATGCTTGGATTCCTGCTAGCCATCAATGCGCCCATGACGCTGCTAGTCACCGTGTTGGTGCCTGTGCCTATCATTCAAGCCAATGCAGCCAATGCCGTCTCTGTGTTGGGAGAATACGCTGCTGGAGGAGGACGCTGGTTGCGATTATGGATCATGATTGATGCTGTCATTGTGCTTTGTGCAGGCGTGCTCACAGGCTTGATAGGAGCCATTGGTCTTGTGCAGCGTATGGCCTCGGATGGCATCCTTCCCAAATTCTTCTTAAAGCGCAATCGATTTACGGGCTCTTATCAATACATTGTGCTCGTCTTCCTGGTACTCAGCATTACCCTGTACGCCATTACAGGTGGAGACACGAGTTCATTGTCGGGTGTATTTGCTGTAGCGTTCCTTGGTAGTCTTTCTACCTTTGCCGTAGCCAATATCATGATCAAATACAAACGTGGTCGATTACCTCGCGTTAACAAGGTGTCTCTGCTCACCGCCGTCAGCACATTCTCGGTTTTATTGGCCAGCTTGATTGGTAACATTATCATTGATCCAATGATTGCTGAATATTTTGTCATTTACTTTGCTGTGGTGTTGGTTGTGGTGCTTGCCATGTTGAAACGTTGTTGGCTCTGGAAACTATGCTATTGGCTGTTTGATCAGATGGGCTTGTTGCATCGCTATCCTCACTTTTCAGAAAAGGTGGAAAACTTTATTGTGAGACAGATCAAACGTATCCGAAAGAATCCAGTAGTGTTCTTTCTCAAGACAGATGAGCCTCATGTTATGAATAAGGCGATACAGTACATTAAGAAGAACGAAGATGCCGGTCAGATCAAGTTTATCCATTTGTATCAAAACTCCAGTGATATCCCCGAGGATTTGGAAGCACATCATCGCACGTTGGATGAGATCTACCCCAAGATCCAGATTGATCTTGTAAGTTTCTCACTCAAAAGAGGCAACGTGTGTCTGTATTAACGTACCCTTAGATGTTCATTCAAGGTGAATTTAACCCTGCTACAGTGGATGCCATCTCAAGACAATTAGATATATCAAAAGCACAGATGTTTATGGCTTGTCCAGGCAAAGAGTTTAGTTATTCGCTGGGAGATTTCGGTGGTTTACGTATCATCATGTTTTAAAATAAGTATTTATTCAGAATAAAAAAAGCACTTAGTTGATCTTGAGGAGTTCAACTTCAAAGTTCAAGGTAGCCTTGGGAGGAATGAGACCGGGGTAACCGCGTTCACCATAAGCATAATCATGAGTACAGATCAATCTGGCCTTCTCACCAACAGACAATTGAGTGACACCTAATAAGATGACATGGCATCAGATATCACATCACACCAACCAAACACATACTATCTTACCTTCATCCCAACCCTTGATGACTTGGCCAACACCGATAGTACATTGGAAAGGAGATCCACGATCACGAGAAGAATCAAACTTGTCACCGTTCTCGAGAGTACCAACGTAGTGGATGGTAACCTTGTCACCCTTCTTGGGGAAGTTCTTGCCATCACCAGGAGCAATTCTTTCAACGCTGTGGATAATTGTATCTTAGTAACCTAGCACTGATATACATATACCCAAGCCCCCAAGGCTCTACTTACGTAACACCCATGTTTAGTATGTATTATCTTTTTAGATTGAAAAAAAAAGAGAGAAAAGCTAGAAAAACGTTTGTTTGTTTCGCGTTTTATACTTTGATTCACCGTCCTTTTACCTATACGTCATCTAAGCCTAGATCAATTTAAGCTTTTCATGGGAAATGATGTGCATTAGCACCTGAATCCATAGGCTAAAGGATCCCCTCTTGCTATAAATACCTGATTTATAAGTCAATGAGTGACATGAATCGCAAGGATATCTTTAAAGTCTACAAATGTCACGTTCGTTTTTGATTTCATTTTTGACATTGATGAGTATTGATATAGGCAAGCAGCAATCTGATCCTTCATTATCACTGAAGAAAACTCTCTACGGTCAGCATTACCTTTCGTATCCAGTGGAATTTGGTGTACTAAGCGTATATGGTTTTGATATATGTCCCTGGAAGAGTAAGCTTTTTTTTTTGGCATACACGACAATAACGATCGAGATCTTCAGCATCTGGCTCCGAGCTGCATTTCTTTGGTGCTGACTAATATCTAGAGTGTACCAATATCAAATGCCTTTTGAAGGATTCCTTATTTACCAATCTCCTCTCACAAATATAAGGGCAACAGTAAAAGTTGGGATCATTCGCATTCGGTGACATATCATTTCGTTTTTGCTGTATTGTTCTGTTACCCACTCTGTGGATAACAAAAATATGTTTGCGATAACACTCCTTGATTGCAGCAGGTTTGTCACAGAGTTAGCAACAAGACTCTGTTATTCTGCATGAGGTATATTTTGATTTGATAGCTCGGCTTTTCCATGTGCATACCGACTATGTGGTTTGTAGCTGCGTTTGCTCTTGTAAGTACAATTGCATGCTTTGTAGTATATGTTTGGGCCATCGAGATCAGGAACAATGCCGTTTTTCTGTGTATTTTGCAAGAAAAGCGGCTTCAGAACCATGAAATGAGGTCAATTAATAGTAAAAAAAAAAAAGCTATACCAGAGTCAGGGAGGGAGACGGTATCCATTCGCTGATATTGCTCTTGAGATGGCGACATAGAGCTTGCCTTGCGTAAATACAGGACTTGTACAAGATCTACAACGACTTTTTTTGAGAGATTATAATTGCAAAAGACACCTTTATATGGAGAAAATCCTATGGAAAAAGTATTTGAATTAAAGAATTGTCCTTTTAAATCCATAATTCCCATTTAATCAGCATCTCAATCATTATTGTCATCATCAGAAAGGCATTTGGGCTAGCCAGCAGCAGCGCCGCCTGCCGCCGCCGCCAAAATTCATTCAAACTCAGATTATTTTTTCTGATCAAGATTGGCCAAATCTGGTCTTTTGTCGACTCCTTTAATCTATTTTGCGATATTCGACTATCTGAACTGTGGTTATCATCCGATGCTTCCTAATACATTCTTGGAGTACTTTTCAAGGCGCTTCCGATGGTGCTAATTGCTGTATGTGTTTTGAATGAAAGTATTGAGCAATTTGGTAAGATATGAAATGAGGTTTTTAGCGAAAATAGCCATATTTTGCATATGAACACCTCATAAAAGTGGTTTCTGAGGCTACTTTGGATCGAAAGAAACATATTGAATTAGTATATACCATAGTAAAAGTTTTCATTTTCAAGATGAAAAATGTGATTGTTTGGATTTCGATGAAAAGCATGAGGGGTACCTCATGCTTTTTGGTTGATTTTTGGCCATTTTTTTTTTGGTCCCCAAAAAGTTGAGCAAAAGTGTCAGCAAGTTAGTGCTAATTGAGAGCAATTGTTTGGTGCTATTCTGACCATCTAAAACGGTCTTGAACGCGAGAAAACACAGCTCAAATGCACTCAGGTTTTGCTGTATCAAGGACACTAAGGACTAAAAAGGGCGAATACCAGTATATTGCTTGCCCGTATCTGTAGTAGCTACGTGTATATAGATGTAGAGCATCACATAAGAATCAAATCCACAGATAATATGAAGGGTCAACTGAAAGTAGCAGTATGTTAACAAGATACACAAGGGCAATCAGTAGCACGAGCTGCTACTGCACAGGTTGGTTTTCACCGAAGCGAAGCGAAGGTAGGGAGCCATCCAAAGCATAAACACTCATATGAAATAATATCAATCCATTCTTACATTTTGTTGGGCCAATAAACAAGAGAAGCTCCCCTTGAATAAAATTGGTTGTGTAAAACCTTCCTTTTCGTTTTCTCCTTTGTCTCGTTTCTTCTTCTCTTCATCTTCACCGCTGCTTATCAACAGCAACCGAAAAAACAAGCATGTCAGCAGCAGCACTAGAAGACGGTAAGCCCCTGGATGCTAACAACAAGAGACGCACAGAAACTTAAAAAGAGTGTGATAATAGCAACCGTATTAAAGACACGACTCGAAGAATACGAAAAAAAGTACAAAGAAGAGCACGCACAATTGGTCAATTTTCAAAAGAAACTCACACAAGCAGGTACTCATCTAAAATCATTGGCACAAGAGAATGCGAAATTAAACAAATCTTTGACGGATCAAAAGAATCAACTCGACGAGAAAGATGATCAGCTCAAACAACTGGAACACAAACTGGAAAGCACAGCACAAGGCCATCAAAAGGAGATCAAGCAGTTGGTCGATATTTTGGAAAACATGATTGACGAGGGCGAAGGGGGATCACCTTCCAACACAACGCCTGATGTCTCTACCTCCACACTATTGGACAGTTATGTCAAGTCGGTACAAAAGCGCTTAAGCAAAGCGACTGAGCAGCCGAGCCAAAAGAAGCCAAACAAAGGTAAAACACCATACAGTATGTGCGTATTGGTCAATGGGCAACTAAAAGCGTTTCTGATTAGAAAATGAAGCGCTGCAAGCACACATCAAGAAATTAGAGCAAGAAATCAAAGGTAAATGGCAGCATTTGGCAGACAACCAGAGCAGTAAGCTAACCTTAAAGATAGACTTGAAAAAGACGGATCATGTCGAGATTATCCACCAGAGTTTAACCAGCATACTAAACGATCCGGAAAATGGGATTATCGATAGTTCCGTGCCTCCCTCCATTTTGTTGCTCTTGGAACAAGTTCGAAGCACTCTACAAGAACAACAAGAGCAGATCAAAAACGCACATCAAAAGCACACGGCTGAGCTGGAGGAAGCACAAAAGGATCTCAAGCGACAAATCACACAACTCAGCATCACCATCAACGAATTGACCGACGATAGGGAGCGTGCCATCAGCGAAAAGGAAGAAATCCTAGGCCAACTGGAGCAACTCACCACACTGGAAACACAAATCAAAGAGTTGGGGTCGAAATTGGCAACCACTGAGAAAGAAAAGAAGGAGAGTCAAGACAGAGAAAAGCAGCTTTCCAAGGAACACCAGTCGTTGTTGGGCAAATTATCTCATATCAAGGAAACACTGACACCCCGATTGGAACAAGACAAGCAATTGAGACAAAAAGTGAGCGAACTTACGCAAGAGCTGGACAACACGCGTCAAGAACTGGAGCAGAGTCGGTCTGATATGATGTTGCGCGACCAAGAATCATCACAGCAAATCGAGAGCTTGGACCAAGAAATCACACAACTCTCTCGCAAGCTGGAAAATGTGCAACAGGAGAGAGAGGAATACGAAGCTATGGCGATGCAACTGGATGCCGAATGCAATCAAGTGCGTGAACAGTTAAAGTCAAGTCAATTCGAGCTGTCTCAACTCAAATCACACATGGAATCCGAGAAACTGGAATATGAATCTGAAAAGGCCAGCCTTGCCAATCTACAGACCGTGCTCGAAGAATTCCAAGCAACCAAAGACGCTGAGATGCAAGCTGCTGTGGAGCACATTGAGAGACAACTCGCAGTCGCCAAAAAGTCATGGGCTGAATACGAAGAAAGAGCTCATATTGCTGAAGCCGCGTTGGCCAAGTACCAGCAAGATGTAGGCAAAACTCAAAAATACGAGCAAGAGATCAAAGAAAAGAACTTGTTGATTGGCAAGTTGCGACACGAAGCCATCATTCTGAATGAGCACTTGGTGGAAGCCATGCGAAAGCTCAAGGAGGAGACAAGCGAAAGCAACGTGGACAGACAGTTGATTACCAACTTGCTGGTGGGATTCTTGATGGCACCCAGAGGAGACCGTAAACGATTCGATATTCTCACTATTATATCCAACGTGCTGCAATTAACAGAGGAACAAAAGGAACAAATTGGCTTATCCAGACCCAAGCATGGCACTTATACAAGTGGTAGTAACACAACTGCATTCAGCCCCATCACTTCGCCTGTATTAGACAAACCACCACAAAAGGAATCATTCACAGATGCCTGGATCTCGTTTTTGCTAAAGGAATCAAGTCCTCTGAGAAGAAATAGATCTGCAGTGACATTATCCAATACCACCAAAGATGGTGATAGCATTGATTTATAATAATAATAAAGAGATTGTGTGTGTGTATGCAGCGTGTGCGCACGGACTTGTGGTTGTTGTTTATTGCATATAGAACTTGGTGTGGTAGCAGTAATAAAAGTAGTGATAATAGTAGTAATAGTATATATATAAGGGGACAAGGGGGGGTAACGCTATAAAAAATATGGTATTAATGGGGTGATATAAATTATAATTCAACAGGTGCAGTAATTGATAATTGTGTGGCGGATCGAATCACCTCTGGTCTGTAGGTATCTGGTTCTTTGACAGGACTTGCGCAATCAATTTCATCGTCTTCCATCACAGGCGTTCGAACAAGACGAATGCTATCACTGCCAGATGGGCGACGCGAAGAAGGCGAAGAGGATAATCGCTTCATTTTTACGGGTGTTGTAGCCGTTGTAGTCGTAGACACTTTGGGTGGTGGAGCTGCTGATACTGGAGATGGAGGAGACGATGTCGCGGGCTTTTTCAATGGTGTGTTGGACGAGCATGAGGATGAGGAAGGAGATCCTGAAGCCTCTGATTCTACAAAAGATCGTCCATGAATAAACCACACTCTCAAATATAGTTCCTAGATACTTTACTTATAGTTGTGGCATCAGGAGGCTCAACCCATTCAGTTGGTATGACACATGGGAACATGGTGCCTAATTTTGCTGCCCGATTGATCCATCCAGGAGCTTGTTTGCCTGTCAGTCGCTTGCAGAGATCCTCTGAAAAGTGATTGCAATTTCTTTGGGCTGTGTTAACATCCATCTGCTTTTTTAGGAGTCTCATTTACCTCGTCAATAACTTGTAAGACGTGCCTACGTATTCCTTTGATATCTCTTGCAGTACTTTATCCACCTGTTGTTGTGATAGATTGGTGTATCCCATACTGATCGATTGTCTATTGGAAATGATCTATGAGCACCTATCACTCTATCAAAAAGGGCAGCATCTTACTTGAACAAGAGCCCTTGAGGCCCAATCTTGGGCTGCACCATAAACACACCAGTAACGTGCTCATAATCATGTCCTCCAAAACAATACTCATGTTCTCCAATTTCAATTCCGGAATGATAAATACCTATTTAGATCTTTTGGATGAGCAGCTCTTTACCAAGTCTTGATTCATGATCCTGATTTCGTACCAATGCCCAAACAATACCCAACATTTGTAATGAATCCAGGCTGTAACTACACACAGTTGTCATGTCAATCACCTTCTCTATGTGCTTTTGGCTTTTTTCAGTTACCATATCATAGACGTTTAAAACAACTAATCGAAAAAGAAATCAGCGATCTGCGTATGCAAATACAAATCAATGTACAGAGGACTTACTTTTACGCTTTTCCTGCTCTGAATCCACTTCGGTTTTACTGAATGCATTCCGTATCAAACCAAACATAACACTTGAGAGAGAGAGAGAGAGAGAGAAAAAAAGAGTGTGGAACACAGGAGTAAAGAAAGAGAAAAAGAAGGGAAAATAATGAGGAGGCGAGTTTAATCATCATATCACAACAACCATAAGCCTATAGGGCGGAGATGAACTAGAGACAATCTTTGATACTACTGTCTGATCGCTTTCATGGCTTGATTGCTAACAACATGCATCACCTCATTGCGCATTAGATTGCTATGCATTACAGAGCTTGTATAGTAACCTTGAAAGCAAGGAGAGATGTCAAGTATCTGATGCAGAATCAACTTGATGTACCTATTAATAGAAGACAGATAAATGAGTTGAAATGTCGTCTTATCAAAAGCGGAAATGGAACATTAGACGATCAAATTGCTTTAATTTGACGCCATCATATATTTCAGCATTTGAAAGCAAAGCAACCAAAAATCAAGCACTGACGTGGAAAGCAAAGTGTATCTCAATGGCACTAAAGGCCATGTACAATCTTGATTTCTATTCACTGATAGATCATGAAAAGCTCATTTTGTGAGGAGTTTGTATCGAAATGTCGGATCGCATACTCAAGAAACCCCAATAAGTCTCGCAAGGTGTATCTTGTAACACCCTTTTTCTCTCTGCTGTGTCGTTCATTCTTTGCAAGTAGGTGTGTGAATGTCTATCCCGATGGATTAAGCCTACCTGAGAAGCATGCGTCTCGGCTAAATCTATACCGACAGCCCTGAATACCATATTTCGCAATTCTTTCCACAGTTACCACAAATCCCAAGTCATTTGAATGCGCTTTTTCAGCCAGTACATCTCTAAAAGCCTCATCTCTGTACGGTAGCATGATACTCCGTTGTATTGGACACTAAATGTCGCAGACTTCAATGGTTCCACGCATATATTTGTCGTCATATACAGATCTTGTCATTGATATTGATATTGAGTGTCAGATGTTGAACATTGGACCACTTTTCTGCTCATCTCCAGCTAGACATACACTGAATTCAAGAGAGCAACTATAAAATCAGGCACCAGTTTCATTCACTTTTTTGTTTGCATACCCATTCTTCTATACATACCTCGATTCAATGTGTGGATGACCCAATTCAAAGTCCCATCCGGTTGAGGTTTTTGCTCGAAACTTCTATACGAATTCAAGAGGAGTATCATGATCAAAAAACCAAATGTGTGTATTAAAAAAAAAAAAAAAAAAAAAAAAAAAAGAGGTTTATTGACTATTAGTAAAATGATGTGTTGTATATAGATGTTTGTGTATGTGATTGTATGTATAATGCCTATGCCTTATTTCTTGACAGTAGTTCCTCCAGCAGCAGCTTCAGCTTGTTTCTTGGCAAGAGCAGCCTCTTGTTTAGCACGCATGATGGCAGCATCACTACAACCATCAAAATTTGCCATTACTACATTGTCCGTCTACCTCCCTCTCCCCTCATCTTGGTCATAATTTACCTTTCCTTCTTTTGATTGATGGTTTGTCCGTTCAAATTTGTCTTGCCCTTTTGCTCTTTCTCCTTCTTCTTCAAGTTCTTTGCACGAGCCTGTTCTCTTTGGTTACCGCCTGTTTGATAGAAAAAAGACTGCTAATGAATTTTTACTCTTTATGGCAAACATGGGTTTCTTGATGTGTTTTACTTACGAGCCATTGTAAGAGGTATGTATGTGTAGGAAAAGAAAGAAGAGAAAAAAAAAGAAAGAAAAATTAATTTTTTTGGGTGGCCCACCTTCTTTAAATAATTGCTGGTGGTGTTGGTGGTGGGAGAAGACGAACCATCGGAATTTGTTTACAAGGGGAGGAGGAAGCGAGAAAAGCATCCCTTTTGATCCATCATGCAATTCATTGGCCATCTAGTAAATCAATGTGCCATTTCTTCATGCATGTTGACCTCTGATTTGCCATGCTCTGTATGATGCCATCTTGTGATATGTAATATAATATATATATACAAGCATATGTCGAGTCTAGGACGACATGTTTGATTCAGTCGGCGAAGAATGAGGCCATTTCAAGATGGATACGATGGTTTTGTACCTTTGTTCCATCTGTTTCTATGAATTCATCTTGTTCATACGTATGGCATGCACCCTATATTGCAATCGAATGAGCTGTTTTTATCCATTCCAACAGCACACAAGCCCTTGCTCTGATATTTATGCGGATTCAATCACATTTTGAGCGATCCCAACCTGGCTCATTGGCCACTCATTTGAGGTGTGAAAGACCCTGTTGTGACCTTGCAAAAAGAAGACACTTTCGGGATCCCCTCTCTCAAACAACCCCGTTGGAATCCATATTTTTTTATTTTCTCTACATCTTGACACCCTTCTCCACATTTCCACATCATGTCTTTGAGATCAGGTATGTATACAGTATAACTTGCTTTTAATAGGAATGTTCAGCTAACCAAAACGCTTTCAACATCTTTCTCTAGTCAGCAGTACATTTGTCCGTAATTTGAAGCCTGTCAATGCCACCAGACTTGGTTTAACTACCCCCTGTTTGCGTACATGTAAGTAATGAAACGAGCTGGCTGGCTGATTGTCTATTCAACATTGCCATATCCTAGACGCCACCGAGAAAAAAGCAGCAGTTCATCCTCCCAGACGTACCTTTCTTCACAACAAGTACAACGACATTATTGAAAACAACCGAGTCGTCTTTATCTTCCAACACAACAACTTGACTGTGAAGGAATTCACTCACATCAGACAACAATTAGGTGAATTACCTGGTGGATCTGCTTTACCCAAGCTCACTGTATTGAAATCAGGCGTCTTCTCTGCTGCTTTGCGTGAGACTAAATTCGCCAATTTGGAGCCCTTGGTGAGTGGACCTACCTGTGTGTTATCCACCAATGTGGCCGATGCAGAACACCCTGATTTGTTGAAGAAGTCTGTCGAGTTATTAGCAAAGAACAAAAAGATGCTCTTATTGGGTGGTAAATTGGATAACGTCTTGTTGACACAGGCTGATGTCCTGAAGGTTGTTGAATTGCCTTCTCTTGAACAATTGAGAGCTCAAGTCGTGGGTGTCATTGAGGCTCCTGCTCGTAAATTGTTGGGTACCTTGGAGCAACCTGCCAATGAGTTGCACAGTGTTTTGGATAGAAGAATTTAAGCTTTTTTGTAATATATAAACGTTTTTTTTTTATTGAATGAATAAATAGATTGAAATGATAAAGCCGCTAGTCATAGCGAGGAAGACATGAGTAGTTGTGGTGTACTGTCTAGTGGCAGATGAAGTGGCATCGTCGCTGGTGGAGGTGTCATTGTGATTGATGGCTGATGTGGGATGTGACACATTGGATTTACAGGTAAACTCATGGCCCTTGGTGACACCGCCTTGTAGCTTATTGACGCCATCATCGCAGGAAAACTGGTTGCTGGAAGTTTGCACATTCAATCCACCTCGCACATCAACAAGACTGGGCAACGACACCTTGTCAAAATTGCCAGTGATGTCTACAGTACCATCCACTTCCTGCAGCTTGGGTACATCGACGCTGGATAATTGCGTGTTGTTGGCCAAAGAGAGCGCACCTCCCAGCATCTGCAATTGAGGAACAGAGAGGTTCTTTAGCTGCAGATTGTTGGACACTGTCAATGTGCCTGCAATTTGCGAGATATTGGGTAAAGAGAGCGCTGAGAACGAATTGGCTACAAATGATAAGTCTCCTGTGATCTGGTGCACCTTGTTCAAACCAACGAGTTGCGCTAGATCTCTAAAGTCTCCCTGATAAATGCTAGATAGGGAAGAAAGCTATTCAACGTGTGTGTATTAGTATACTCATATAGTCAGACTTGGATATATACACATTACATCGAGCGTAAGGTTGGGCGAATTGGCTGCAATGGTCATGACACCATTGACTTGCTGTAGATGATTCATGTTGATGTTTTTCAGGTACTTGTTATTAGCAATGTGCACATCTTTGATCTTGCTGGTCGTCAGCCCTTCTATCTTGGTGGCGATCGTATCTGTCACTGTCAACGTATCAATCTGAGATAATCCTGAGGGAAACAAGATGGCATGCAGTGCAGGCTCTACTGAAATGTCAAGTGATTGAACAGACGTCAGTTGAGTCAAATCGAGTCGCTCTAATTGTCGGTTGTTCTGAAAGGCAAGCTTTCCATCCACTTGCTTCAAGCTGGCCAAGACAACTTGTGTCAAGTCCCCGTTGCCTTCAAACACAAGGTCGCCATGTACTTGTTGCAACTGAGATAGGTTGATGATATCTCCATACGAGGACAAGTTTTGGATGGCAATGGACCCTTCCACCACTTGACAGTTTCTCAAGGCGTCTACATCTTGATTGGATTTGACTTGAATAGGTCCTGTGCAGCTGTTGCTGCTGGATGATGAGCTTCCAGCAATGGCACTGTAAATGAATACGTTGACGAGTATGAAAAACCGATAAAACATGAAGGAAACGAAAAGAAGACGCAATGAAATGCATGATCCATAAAATAGGCTGCTTTATATATGTACATACTGTGGCATAGGAGGAAAAAAGGAGTAAGACACCACATCTCCACTTTGCATATACCCTTCTCCTCGCTTTTTCAGTTTTGATAAATGTAATCATGCCTCAATTAGGATATATCATATGTAATGATGGGGTATTACATGGTCGTAAGGGGTACGAGACACAGAAAAAGTGGTATGGCATATTAAAATCAAGGGCTTTTGGTCAATATACACACATTTTGGGTTGTTTTTTATTTGCTTCTTAGAATCGATCCCCTCTTCTTTGTGGTGGTCTTCCATATCTGCTGCTATTATTGTTGTAAGGTCCAGCACCTCCACCACCAAAGTCCCTTCTACCTCTGTCAGGTCCACTGCCTCCAGCTCCTGCTGATGAACCTAAACGTCCACTGAAACGATCTCCTCCCTCTCTTCCGGGTCCTGCTGGACGTCTAGCATTGCTATTTCCATATTTATGTCTGACGGATGCGGGTGGTCCAATGAATATCGCAACATCCAAATAATCACCAATAAAGAATTTGCATTCATCCAACGTCTTGCTATGGTCGTCTGTTGGGTTGGCTGGAACTACACGACCAATGTCTCGGCTGCTGTATCTTGCACGTTCACTATCGAGATACACTAATCGAAATGCAAGGCGTGCATCTGGGTCTCTTGCTTCAGGGATGACATGCTCGATCAGTTGTGCAATCTCCTCCAAGGTAGCATTTTTCCTATAGTTTCAACTTTAGTCCTTTTCGACTCTCTCACCTAATCTGTTGAATTCAATCATCTCTTACCATGTGTAGATGCTTAGTTCGTCGCTGGGTACTGAATTTACAGTGTATTGGTTATTTCTACACGGCAGGTCTATCGTCAGTGTTTATGCCTCTATCTACATGTTGGATTGCAAAAAAAAAGCTTACAAATTATGTCCACCATTGCGATAAAAGATTCTCAACAAGAACGGACAGTCCTAAAATGAGCTTCTTATTAGCTGTTTGTTCTGGTGATTCTGTTCTCGTTTACAATACCTTTTCACGATCAACAGCTGTAGACATGTTTGCGTTGTGTATGTTGAAGAAGAAAAAGGTCGGTGTGCAGTGAGAAAAGCGCGTTGGGCATGTTGAAAAAGCCGTCAGTGCAAAGAGTCACGGGCACTCTTCAGACTAAAGGACAAGCACTCATTTGCATGAATGTACGGTTTGTTGGCATGTAGCATTCGGCATCATTATGAATTTGATAGGCGAGATACGCCACCATCTATCGCTGTTTTGGTGAAATGATTGCTATCCAAATTATTTCATGAACTGTGATTTTATTGATGTAATTTATATCTATTATCTACATGTGTTGAGACGTAAATACGAGTACATTTCAATAGCATGTACTCGTCTCAAGTGCTTTTTGAAAACAAGTTTGGTAGTAAAAAAAGAGAATCCACATTGAGCGCAATAGAAATCAAAACAATTGATGTTGATCTTTGCACCAGGATTCGCTATAGAGATATGTGGTAATTCCAATTGATGAAGAAGCCTGCGATGCTGTCTGTAACTCTTTGACGATGGATAAGTTTTTTTTTTTGCACACGTTACAGTGATAGTAGGGGATGTATGGGTCCGGTAGGTCGTGAGAGCTGAAGTTGCTTTTCAACAATGAAAGTACCATATGGTGTACTAAGCGTGGATGGTTTTGATATCTCTTTTTGGAATGATAAGAAGTGTCTTGGCACTAGCCGATCAATCTCGCTACGCTTGATGAAGGCGTCGCCATGCGCGACTTTTTTGAGATATTGTCGTTGAAAAAGACACCTTCATGAAGTAGAGCTCCTCAGAAAAAGTATTTGGGCTAAGTAATTGCCCTTTCAATCCTATGATCCTCATTTAATGAGCATCGCAATCATCATTGTCGTCAACAGAAAGGCATTTAGGTCAGCCAGCAGCAATGCCACCGCCAAAATTGATTCAGACTCAGCTATTTTCGTTTGTTCAGTATTGGACAGATTTCGTCTTTTTTCGACTTCTTTAATCTCTTTTGTGATATTCGACTATATGAACTGTGATAATCATCCGATGCTTCCTAATACATTCTTGGAGTACTTTCCAAGGCGCTTCCGATGGTACTAATTGTTGTAGGTGTTTTGAATGAAGTTATTGAGCAAGTTGGTAAAATATGAAATGAGGTTTTTAGCGAAAATAGCCATATTGTGCATATGAAAACCTCATAAAAGTGGCTTCTGAGGCTACTTTGGATCGAAAGAAACATATTGAATTAGTATATACCATAGTAAAAGTCTTCATTTTCAAGGTGAAAAATGCGATTGTTTGGATTTTGATGAAAAGTTTTTTTTTTTTTTTTTTGGATGATATTTGATTTATTAGAAATAAATTAAACGCATCAAGGGATGGACAAGTGTATGTAAACAAAGTGACGTGCCATATATAAGCTATTTAGAGTTTCCTAAGATTTGACAATCTTATCAATTCGGCGCGGATTTGGCGGCATACTACAGAGGGATCAAAAGGTATATAATTGTAGAGCTGTTGGAAGTGATTTCTCCAAATCATACGCATAATAGTGGCGAAGAAGTCGTATATAGTGAACTGCATATCGTAGCTGTATATGAGATAGCGGTCTAGTTTGAGGAGCATAATGTTGTTGTAGACGAGGCGAGGGTCAGCATTTTTGGGATAGCTGAGGAACTCATTGAAGGTGGAGTTCCATACATCGATCTTGTGAGCACAGCTAATTAGAAGATGTTTGGCATCTTCTACTTCGTTGCATAGATCGCAGTGATCAGACTCTAAATTGGGCAAGTGTCTTTGGAAGAGGGCGAGCTTATTAGGGGATTGCTGATGGAGCATCCGGTACCACAGATTACGAGCCGAGTAGTGCATGTCGTTTTTATAGAAGGCTGTCCATTGCTTTTTGGAGATGTTGTTGTTGAAGTGGCGGCCAACGTCTAATGTGTCCAATGACTGCATGATGAAACGAACGTTTTTGTTTGAGAGCTGAAGGATCGATAGTTGTTGGAAGCGAAGTGATGCGGCAAATGGTCTCAGGTCGATACCATCTTCAGTGCTGTTGTTGTGTACGAATGGTTGATAATGCAACTCTTGTCGTAGGAGGGCTTTTTCAAGCTTGAGCCAGGTGTTTCTCTTGCTACATGTGGACTTGGGAACAAGTTGAAACATGGCTTGCTCCGAATTGTATTTGAAAAATTCCTGGACTTTGCTAGTTTTGGCGGTTTCACACTGTAGAAATTCAAGTTCTTCCAAATTTTCATCGAAGGTGAAGATTGCAGTGAGGGGGAGACTCAGGATGGTCAGCGCGCTTGGCCTCCGTTGCCAATCAATACACAGTGAGCTTCGTTGGCGGCAAATGTCCATGGCACCGAAAATTGAGTGGAATGGGTGGAACCCATTCAGCGTGTTCTTGTATCTCGCTGCTTTAAAGAAGAGGGGCACTACATGATCGGGTGTGTCATGGGCTAGGCGGAGAGCGTTGGTCAGGAGCTGGTAGGTAAAGTCCGGGACCGAACCCTTGTTTCCTTGAAGGAGCACCTTGATATAACGAAACTGAAGAGCATGCTGTTGAGCTCCAATGTCAATCAATCCTAGGCCGCCTTGATCTCGCGGTAGGAAAAATGAGTTTCCTTTCAGTGGCGGGAAGAGGCCAGACATCACGAATTGGTATATAATGGACTTCAGTTGCTTCAAGACATCCAGAGGTAGCGATACAATGCGAATGACGTGCCATAATTTTGATAGGATCATATTGTTGGCGATGTTGGCTTTACCGTACAGAGACACATTCCGTTGACTATATATCGCCACCGCCGCTTTGACTTTACCAAGGAGTTCAGACACATATACATCACGTTGATGGTTGGAGAACCAGATGGGGTACCCCAAATATTTGATATACCCGGGAGAGTGGCTGTCATACCATTTCATCTTGAGCCGGTTGATGATGTGATCTTGGACTCTGAGGCCTTCAGACCCTTTCATGCTACCGCCGTGCAAGGGAAATGCCACTGACTTGTCATAGTTAATCTTGGCATTGGAGGCCCGGTTGTACGTCTTAAGTCTTCTTTGGAGTTCAGTTAGTTCTGAATGAGATTTTACATACGTGAGAACATCATCCGCATAAGCTAAGACCTTAACGGGAGCAGGAGACACCCACGGGATCTGCACATTTTTGGGTAGTTTGGTGTGCTGAAGACTATAGCCTGAGATTGCAGGGTTGTTGATGATGGATAAGAGGAACGGTTCAATAGCTAGATTGAATAGGACAGGTGAGATGCTATCACCTTGCCGAATGCCTCGTCGTTGTGCGATAGGTTTCGTCAGAAAACCGTTGATGTTGACATGGATGAAGTTATCGAAAAACAGGTTGAGGATGCAGGCGACGAATTGTGGTGGAAATCCAAACTTCAACAGTACTTGTGAGAGATACTGGGGGTGGACTCTGTCATATGCTTTGGCGTTGTCCAGCATGATTCCAGTGTATTCGACAAAGTTGGTTGCATTTCGCCAGCTGGCGGATGAAGCGTTATCCATAATTACCCTGAGAGACATGCCGTGATCACCGATATATCGACCTGACAAGAAGCCGCATTGATATGGGTTGATGAGTTTGTTGGCTACTGGTATGACACGAGAGTTCATAATACGAGTAAAGACTTTGCAGTCGGCCGCAATCAATGTGATGGGGCGATAATTGGCGAGATCGCTCCGGTCCCCTTTCTTAAACAGAAGGATGATACAAGATTCCTGCCATGATTTGGGAAATTTGGCGTGCTGGATAGCGTCATTAAATACTTGGTGCACGATGTCTCGGCAGCTAGGGTGAGATATAATGAGATATAAGATTTCATACCCGATACCATCTAATCCTGGGCTGCTTTCTTTGGGAGTTCGAGCAGACCCTAGAAGAATGTCGTCGTAGTCTATTAATGCGGTGATCTGGTTGGCGTCGTCGGCTGACAGAGTGGTGTCGATGTAATCCAGCATTTTGTTCAGGCAGGTAGAGTCTATCCGTTCTTCGGTGTACAGTTTCTGGTAGAATCGTTCTGCGGCGTTCAGCTTGGAGGCAGTGTCGAGACAGTCGACCCCAGTACGAGGGTGCTTCAAGTTGGGGATGGTTCGCTGATCAAGGCGTTGTTTACTGGTCTGCTTTATGTATCCAGGCGACTTTTCACTATTTTCAAGCCATCGTTTCCCGGCCTTAAGAAGCTGAATATCCACGATTTCCTGTTGCAACTTGGCTAGCTCGTTCTCCACATCCTGCAACAGTAGCCTCAAGCAAGTAGTGTCATGTCTGTAGCGTCGTATCAAATTGTTCCTTTCACTTTGCAGTGTCTTGATTCTAGCCTTCCTCCAATGATCGTGTGTTCTGGTGAACTGAATAGTAACCTGTTTGGCCTTCTTTTTAATAAGATCCCACTTTTCTTGAGCAGACAGAGAGCTGTCGAGTTTCACCGCAACAAATGTTCTAAGCTCGTCGTCTAGTTTCTGTCGATACTTATGGTTCTTGGCGAGGTGAGGGTTCGCTCGCCAAAGTCCTTTACCGCAGTTAGTCAATCCAGTAGTATATGTTTTGGTCAAGAGAGCATGGTCTGTTCAATCTGGCCTGATAAACGAGTTAGTGGCATCACTCATTTTGGAGGCTATGTCGTGGCCTGCAAACATATAGTCGATGGTCGACATGGTGGACCCACGCCGAAAGGTATACGCATGAGGTTCATTCTTTGGATTGAGACAATCGGAAAAGTGGGTGTTCAAGAAATCGGCAAACTGCTTGGGTTTCCCTGCACGGTGAGTATGATGGTATGTGGTGGTGTCGAAACTGTAGTTCATATCGCCAGCTATGATCAATGAAGGGATGATTTCAGGCATGCTTTTGAGGTGGCTGGTGATTTGGCCAAAAAAACGGTTTCTGGCTCTATAATCGTCTGCATGTGCATAGATATTAAGTATATAGATGGGTGGCATATTGTTGTCAACGAGTGAGATTTTGGCTAAGATACCCCTTCCTTCGTTGAAAACGTGCAATTGTTGTAAATTTAGAGCTTGATTAAAGTTGATTATTCCACAATGAGTGGTCCATATAGCTTGGTGGTACTGGAATTGGTACTTAAAGTTGGTGGTGATGCTTTCGAAGGAGTGTGATTGAGCATTAGTTTCTTGACATAGTAAAATATTGCATAGTTCTCCTTTGAGATGCCGTATAAAGCTGTTGGTAGCAGCGATGTTGTATTGTTTGTAGAGGTTCCTGCAGTTGATGGAACCTATCCTAATATTGACATTTTTAGTTTGTGTTGTCCCAATCATTAGTTTATAATGAAGTGGTTGTTGGTGAGGCGCCATACGCTGCATCCGCCGTGCCATGAGGCTCTTGTTGCTTGAAGAGCTTCTTGGCATGTCCTTCTTCATCCGATCCCATGGGGGTGGAATCCATTGCATTCCTCTTGTGGGATGTCTCAGGCGTTGTATCATCCTTACGGCTGGAGACCGGTGATCTGACATCACGAAGATTGTAACGATTCCTGAAGTTAGCTGTGGTGAGACTGTCCGAGTCCTCCTCTCCAGTACTACTGGTGTCTTCGTATTCAGATTCGTCAGAGCTTGGCGCGACAGGCTGGTTGGCCGATTGATCCTCCTGGGTTGCACCCAGTTTGTCATCCTTGAGAGCTTCGCTGTTTGAAGAGTCAGCAGGAACCTCTGTGCTAGAAGTTTCAGTGATAACCTCTGTGCCATGAGGCTCGATTGTCTCCTGAATCGCTTGCATAGGAACGTCTTGCACAGGTTCAGAAGATGCCGCGGATGCAACCGATTCCGTGTCACTGGTGTCCATAGAGGATTCGCCTCTAGTCGCTGCCTTCTGTTTGTTAAGGTACTTCGGCTTGGGTACTTGCATTAGCTCTAGAAGATCAATTTCTCTTCCAGTAGGCTTTGGAGCGGGAGGGTTCCCCTGGGTGTCAGAATTGCGACGGCGACGGTCTTGGGATGGTTGGTCCTTCTTCCTATTCCAGTAAGCCTGGGGGCAAGTAGCAATCAGATGCTCAAGGCTACCGCATTTATGGCAGGCCTTCCTTTTCTTCCTAGGACAGTCAGCCTTGACGTGATCATCGGTATGGCAATCCGAACAGATGGGTTGCATGTTTGCCCATGTCAAGCGGAGATTCTCCTGCGAGCCATCAAGTGCGACCTGAGGCTTCAACTCGGCTGCATAATGTTTGGATTTGTCGATATTAAGGGTGACGAAGCCGCGTCCAGTGAACCAATCCCCATCCTTGGAGTGGCAGAGCCCGACATTGAGGATATCACCATATTCTTCAAAGGCTTTGATCAACAGAGGTTGGAGTACCTCCACCGGCTTGTAAGGAATGGCCGAAATGCTAACTCGAAAGATGTTGGCATGCTTGTCCAGGGTCTTGTTGACTTGGATAGTTGCACCTTGGAGAACAAACTCTTTCTGCAAGGCTTCCATACAATCCTCTTCTGTGGGGAAGTTGATTTCAATGACTTTGTGATTCTTGCCAACCACACGGTGTCGAATACCAAGACCTTTGGGATATTGTTCACGGAGACAGCTTGATAACGATTTCTCCTTGAAGTGCATGCCGACGAACTGTACACAGTCGATGATCAGAGAGAAATCATCCTGGGCTTCAACGAAGGTGGACGTGAAGTCAAGAGCTTTGCCGATAACACCATTATTAGAAATGGAAGGGGTGATCTTGAATGGAGTTCTCTTTTGCGAGTTGATATCCTTGAAGAATGAAGCATATGTAAACATATTGTTGCCTGGATTATGGCTGGAATCCAGCGTAGAGCCACCAAAGTTGGTGGTCCTGCCTTTTTCACCTAAATTGTGATCTTTAGCGGAGAAAGCCATGATGCTCGATTTTGATGAAAAGGATGAGGGGTACCTCATGCTTTTTGGTTGATTTTTGGCCATTTTTTTTTGGTCCCCAAAAAGTTGAGAAAAGGCGTCAGAAAGTAAGTGCTGGATGAAAGCAACTGCTTGGTGCTATTCTGACGGTCTAAAACGGCTTCTAACGCGAGAAATCGCGTCTCAAATGCACCTAGTTTTGGCTGTGATTTGCCCTTATTTGAGAAGTCTGTTATAATGCAAGTATGCTGTTTGACCATGTATGAGTTGTTTGCATTTATGCTGACATGGAGCACAGCAGAACGTCAAATCTACAGTTGCAGGTCTTTTTTTAGAGAGCTTCTTACTAATAAAGCAAAGTTAAACCCGAAATAATGTATGAACGCTACATTGAATGAGATATTTGATGGAATATTTATGAGCAATTAAGATTAATATGTACAAGAGAAAGTAAATGAGGATAGGATGATAGAATTAGTAGATTAGACCAGCTGCAGTCTTGGTACAGCATAATTTAAATAGTGGAAGACTCTTCGTCTTTATAAGGAAACTGTTCTTTCTTGCTTTCGCGGCTTTCTTCATCATCGCCTTCAGCCATGAAAACTCGTTGAGCACCGCCGATTCTTTTGGCTTTAGCAAGAGCATTTTCTTGTTCTGCGTTATCATAAGGTAGGACCAGGTTGAGGAAGATGGACATGATACCTGCAATGATGTAGCCAGTGCTCACAACAGTATCCACAGCCTCCATCAAGCCCTGGAGTGCCTCGTTTTCAAAGGTAGGCAAGACATGATCAAACCAGGTAGGGACAAGAGACACACCCAAAGCAAGTGCCAATGAGGAGGCAACAATGACACGATCACGGCGAGTCCAGTCAAGGTAACCGAGAATACGAATACCAGAAGTAGCGACGGAAGCAAACAAGTAGACTGTCATGCCACCAATCAATGGAGCAGGGATAGCCAGGAAGGCAGCAGAGATCTTGCTAAAGATACCACAGATGATCAAGATGGCAGCACAGACAATGCCAGCACGACGATTAGCACAACGGGTAACAGCAATGATGCCGTTATTCTGACTGAAGGTGACCACACCCATACTGTTGGCTAAGCCAGAGAAGACGCCAGAAAGACCATCAGCCAAGAGGCCACCTTGACATCTCTCTTCGAATGTCTTGCCCTCAATGGGCAGACCAGACACGTCGCTTGCAGCAGTCAAATCACCAAGACATTCAATGATCATGTCCAACTGAACAAACAAGAAGGGAATGATGCCAGGACCATAAACAGAAAAGTCAAAGTGCTTGACCCACAAAAAGGTTCCAACAGGAGCAGCAGCAATACCCGATTTATCAAACATGCCAACACCAGCAGCAATGATGCAGCCAATCAAGAGGCCAATGACAACTGAAATGTTCTTGAGGAAGACAGAACCAACAAGTTCAATGAGAATGATGGTAAAGAACACAGAGGCACCGAGAGCAAAATTGACGGGGCCACCCCAGGGTTGAGCATTGGGAGCATTGATAGTGGGACAATTGACAAACATGCCAGTAGCAGGACGACTCATACAAGGGCCAGCACCGCCACCCCAATTCTTCATGCCGGAAGCCAACAAGGAGGTACCGATGACCGTCAATACAATGCCCATGACGATCTTGGGGAAGAGTTTGCGAATGACACGAGGAGGTAAGAAACTGATAAAGATGGATAATAATGCGCAGACCATTTGAGTGCCAAGAACAGCACCAAAGGCTTTGGGACAAGGCAAGTAGTTGGTGGTGCCGTCTTCCAGCACTTCAGATGGGCAAGCCCCGCTTTTATACATGTTTCCGATGATGGCCTGAGCAGCAGGCATGTTTGAAAAGGCTACACCAGTGATCTGGAGTAAACCAGCGCCAATGAAGTAACGGGTTTTGTAGATGGGAATACGCACAATCTGTACCAAACTATCAAGATAACGAGAAAGATTAGAGGAGCATGACCTTTATCAATTGGTGTAACTTGTTGTTACCTCATCAAACCCGAGACAATAAGAGAGCTAGACACCATGTATTGACGCATATCTTGATCCAAGTTGAGAAAGGTGCTACCTGCACCAGAGATCATAATGGTAGGAGAGATGATGCCGCCAATGACAGCAAGGAAATCTACAGTAAACAAGTTGAGATTATGCGAATCTGAGAAATTGTCCTGTATTTACGTTGGAGACCCATCAAAATGGTGACCAGAATTGGGATTTCATCATCTGGACCATAAAACGGAGAGCTGTTTGCTTTGCGATGGAAGAAAGGGATATGAGGCATGCAGAGAGCACGGTAGTCATAATCACCGATCCAGCCATCCCTGGTTGTCACTTTATGCTTTATACGAGCCCACCTAGTGCTGGGCGGTTGAATAGGCGTGTACAATTCTTGAACTTGGGAGACATTTTCAATCATTATATCATCACCCGAGTACTTTTGATCCAAAGAGGAGCTATTGTTGTTATTGTGTAGAGAAGACATTTGTTCAAAAGAGTGAGTGATTGAAAGAAACAAGTGGCATTAGATTGTTCTTTATATATGTCCTTTTTTTTGGATAGTTTGATAATTTATCTATTGTGTTCCGTTTAGACATCGCATTAGGCACAGATAAATCGGGATCACAAAGGTCCAGTTGGCTCGCTCGCACTCTTTCTCTGCTTTCGCTCACTCATGTCTTTTTCTCACCCGCACAGATACATACACATGTTATCATTTATCTTTCTTATCAATGCATTTATTCTTATTTCGTTGGTAAATGGTGAAATCATCAATCCCTGTCAATCCCTATCTGAAATCAAAGAAATTGATGAGTGCTATATGAATTTAGCTCTCGACTTGGGACTGAAGCGGAATCCTCGTGCTCCATTTGGCACAATCATTGTCAATCATGAAAAGAATGAAATTACTTGCATCGGTGTCAATGAAAATGACAAGGATATTTTGTTGCACGGTACAGTATTTCATTAATGATTGTGGAGAATAGCGCTTGTATTTATCTGCCATTCATTTATTAGGAGAGACAGTAGCATTTAAAAAGTAATATACCTGGTATATTCATTTCTATCGAGTTGTGATATCTTATCTGTCTTATGTTTATAATCTATTAGCTGCACAGAGATGTTTCCTTCCCCCACAAATGATGATTTGAAGAATCCCGGATTGCAATGGTATGATCAAACTTTGTATACCACTGGCGAACCAGTAAGTGCTATGGATTCGCTTTCATTTCATAGTGAATCATGACTAACACTTTATACTAGTGCCCCATGTGTGCTGCTCAAATCATGTATCGCAATGTCAAGAGAGTCGTATGGGCAACATCCACCAAAGATGTGAGCAAGAGCGGAAGAATGGCTCAACTCACCATAGACATGTAATGTATAGACTATCATTTATGTACTATGCAAACAGACATTCATATCCTTCATAGTCAACACATTTTCAATTCCATGAAAATCATGAACTCGACATCCATTGACTCTCCTATTGTTGAAAGTGGCATCTTGAAGGAAAAGTGCGATCATGCCTTCTGGTGTGCCTTCAAGGAATACCGCGATGAAGCCTACATAAAGTACATGGAAGACACTAATCAGCTAGATTATGTTTTAGAACGCAATGAGAAATTCCCATGTGTAACTATTCCCTGGCATGTTTGAAGAAATAAAATATACTCTTAGAATTATACTAGCTTGATGCACCGCATGGTTTCCCTTTTGTGAAAGCGCCCCCCCCCCCCCCACATTCACCTGCAATATGTAACATGCAGTACATTAGAGTTTTTTTAGGCTAGTCGGCGGATGGACTGCTCCACATTTGCTTATCATGCCTCCACAGGAACAGCCATAAATCACGCTAGACTATAGTACATGAATCCAATGCTGCCTTTTATGCTGCTATCTTGTGGTCTCATTTATAACGGAAGTGTGATAATGCGGTGAAATGATGCGCAAATATATGAAATCATATCATATGGATATTAAAGTCTAGCTTTTGCAACAAGGATGATTCTTCCTGATGGGAAATGAAAGGTGTGTCAACATTCTGAATACATGAATGCTATAATCGAACGTCAAACTGGCTGTCTCAACATTGCGAATCATTCTCGTCGGAGGCAGACAAATAGCCGCAACACTATATCTTTGCGTAAATGGTAAAGAATCTTCCCAAGTCATTCGAGTACATGTATATGCAACTGAATGGAAGGATATGGAAAATTTTACTGTTTGAAAACCGCAAGATGACTCGAGCCAGCCTCCTTTATTTGTGATAAAATGAATGCAACATATAAGACATTTGTGCATGTCAGCGGTTTCATATGTTTATGGGGAAAATTAGGTGTTCTAGATGCTGTATAATGGAGGTAGGGTACATTCAGCGGCCTCGAGTAGAGTCAATGACATGATGTGTATAGATAAAGAACGGTCCGTATTATGCCTCAAGGTAAATCCAGCATAGATATTTCATCATGATCCAAACAAAAGGCAAGATGCTACCCACGACCGCAACAATGATTTGCCCACAACTGGGAAATATACATCCTGTACTTTACACAGCTGTATAAAACATGTCAAAGTTAGGGTCACGTGGGCACAAATTAGGAGGGTATTCTCAAATATACCGCCTAATTATACAGGATATATTGTGTGGTGGCACTAGATGAAAAAAAATGGTGTGGTATATATAAAATAAACCAGAACTTCCCTAATATCATAGTTTCTTTCTTTTTTTTTTCCTCTTCTCTCTCTTTCTACTTTTTCTTTGCAGATACACATTTACACACACAATGAGTGATTTCATGAGAATTGATTTATCCAATTTTGATAACAGAAAAGAAGAAATTGCACAAGATCTGATGAAGGCTGCTTCTGAGCATGGTTTCTTTTATGGTAATTACCCCTTATCTCTAATGTTATCAAACAAAAGTGTGTGTAAAAATATACTCACCTTGTAAAAAAAAAAAATCTATAGTGGTTAATCATGATATTTCAGTACAAGATATCACTACCATGTTTGAATCTAGTCATTCCTTTTTCGAATTGCCTGATAAGATCAAAGAAAACTACCCTATGGATTACCCAAGAAATGCTGGATGGGAAAAACTCTCACAGGTAAAAGCAAGAAAATGTCACTTTAAACCATCATGACACACACAAACACATACGCTTGATAGATTCGCCCATCCACTGGTGTAGCCGACTTGAAAGAATCTTTGCAATTGTCATTCCACAATGCATCCGATTTAAGACCTACTGAAGAGCATGTTCCTGGATTTGATAAGGCGGCAGATCTCTTTATGGAACAATGCAACAACGTATCTCAACAATTATTGATTTGCTTTGCTATTGGGCTTGGCTTCCCTCAAGACTTTTTCACAAGATGCCATGATATCACTCAACCTGATTGTCTCAATTCATTGCGTTGCATGCGTTACTTTGAACACAAGAACCAAAAGCAACAAACAAAGTCATCCAACATTGGTGCTTGTCGTGTTGGTGCTCATACTGATATCAATACGTTCTCATTGTTATTTCAGCAGCCTGGTCAAGATGGTCTTGAAGTCTTTCATGACAATGTCTGGACACCCATTTCTCCTAGACAGGGTGAAATCGTTTGCAATGTTGGTGACATGATCGTTCGCTGGTCTGACGATCGTCTCCAGAGTAAATTGCATCGTGTCAGAAACCCCAACAGCGAGCAAGAATATCAGGGCCCTCGCTATGCGCTAGAGTACATCAATGAAGCCAACAGATCTGTCATTATCCAAGGTCGTACCAAGTACACTCAACCCATCACAGCTGGCGAATTCTTGATGATGGCCATGGAGAAGAATTACAAGAAGGCTCTCTTGGATCAAAACATCACCATTGCTGGCCCTATTACATCTGTGCCCTTGGTCCAAACCTTGAATGCCAGTGCTGCTCCAAACGCTACCACTGCATCCCCAGCATCCACAACCTCCAGCACTTCAGAAGAAAAGGCTCCCATGACACCGCCTGTGCTCGTTACAGTCTAATTTCATTTAAATTCCCATTATACTCCAAAAAGTTGTAGATATTTTTTAATCTTTCGTTTGTAGCAAGATTTCATAATACTCGAAATCTTTGGAGCGGTTACAGCACTCCGCTTGAACAAACCTGTACATGTCCATCTCCCCTTTTCTTCTTTTCATTTTGTTATATCATCTTTATACTTTCCAATCTCTAGCTTCTTATTTTCTTCATATTAATATACTTTTTTTTTTCTTTTGTCAAGAGATGAAGCGTTTTTTTCCGTCTAAATCAGATATTATGACTCAAATGGTCAAATCATTGATTTAAGGTTCTCATTTAATTTAATCTTGTCCTTCGAGAAAATTGACATAAATGGGCCATTGCGACAGATAAAGTAACGACACTGATATGATATAATTTTGCTATATAATCTACAATGATAATGGATTGATTTGGCGGGCAAAGAAAAGCTATCAAATAAAATACGCCAGCATGATGCTGTCTTCTCAGAAGATCCACAACATGGCGATTTGCATTATTCAGCCAACACGTTCTTTCATATGGAGGGTGGGAATTCTCTTTATGAATCTCATTAAATATCGTATCGTTGATTCTTTGCTCAGTAACACATGCAAGTCTTTTTGTTTATGATAGCCAGCTTGTTTAACTAGCTCTAGATAAAAGTCAACTACAAGACGTAAAATTTATGTTCTTGGAATTCATTATAGCTAGCATATCTATACAAGATGATGTATAACATGATATTCATTTTAAATGCATATTTTTTAAGTTGACACTAGTCAAAAAGAAAGTTTCAACATATACCGCAACCTCTCTGTATGAACACAATGTAGCAATTACTCAAAAATAGCCGGTATTATTTCTGTTTGACATTTGAAATATACCACAAGTTATCAAAGATGGTTCTCTTTAGAACAAACTCCCAAAAATGCAACAGAAAAAGCAATCCTAGGATGCCAAGGAAGAGGTTCTTTCTGATTTTTCTCATTACACTGTATTCATGTCATACAAGGAGGGAGAATTATTTGTGTGGTCGAAGCTTATACCGTACCTCTTATTGTATGTTGATGTTTCCTATATGCAGCCAGAGAAATTGTATATTTCACACGAACCCCAATTTTTAAAGGAGTTAGAGTATAGATTCAGCCTGCATCATCAACAATTACGTACATTCACTCTTTACTTGTGATAACAAAAAAGCCTTACGTAAGAAAGTTGCCGTGGCCTCTTTTAGCAACATTTAATTCTTGCTTGACTCGTGATTTTTGGTAGTGAATGAGGTATTAATGCATACTATATCGCAACAGAGAGACACTGTTCTATTTTTCTGTTAAATATACATCTATCAAGGTTATGTAGTATTTACAAAAGGCTGACAGTGTCATAAAACTTGCACTAACCAGATAAGACCAGCGTATCGGAACTGAGACATCAAAGAAGAAAATATAAGGGCTTTCTTTGACAGTTTCAGCTTACTTGGAATAGCTAGTATTCAATATACCATGCACTATATGAGTCCCATCAGGATAGCGTACCTGTATACTAAACTCAGTAGTAATCGTGTCTATTGCAACACCACGACCATCCCTCTGCTACATGTTGTGCTTTATATTATGCTCAATATGCAAATCATCGAAAGCCATGTGTGTGTATTTAGACGTCTCATATTCTGCACTTTTTGCTAAACAACATCATGAGAGATCACATCAAATTTGGTTTCAAATGTATCAAGGTTGTCTAAGTCTCAAACAAGTGTTATCGCACTTATCTTCCAGTGCTTCGTTTCAAATTTTCGTCATCTTGGATCTTGAAACTGCTGGAGGAGGATGTTGTATTATAAAGAGCTTTATATGATTTTCCACTTGATTCTATTCGACTTCTTTACTCCAAATTGAGTTCTCAAAAAGTGAGATATCACCTAAAACGACCATAAAATTGAACGTGACATTTGAATAACACTTTTGGGCACTGTGGAAGCAGAAGACGTCCTTACGAAACTGGCAAGGAGTATAGCTTAAATTTGCCTACAAAAACCATATAGCAATGAGTAACCTATAGTGGCTGATGTAGTTGATGTATCTGATTTAGGAACAGCGATTATATCTTAATGTAGTATGTGCAAATTTCATTTTTTATTTTATAATACAAGAATAAATTAGTTTTCCAAGACGAATCTGAATCTAGGCTTTCCATCTCTGAAATCTTGAATAGCCTCATTGACCTTTGACATGGGATAAGTCTTGATCCAGGGACGAATGTTGTGTTCAGCAGCAAAATCAAGCATATCAACAATCTCAGCGGGAGAACCAACCATAGAACCAGTGATGTGGACTTGGTGTCTGATCAACTCCATACCAATTTGAGGGAAATCCCAACCAGGAGCACTAACATTGATGAAATGACCATTGGCCTTGAGCAAGGTAAAGAAACGGTTCCAAGAGAAATCACGACTGGTACCAGTACACAAGATGTGGGTCAATTGTTTCTTGTATTTGGCCATAGATTCATCGCTGCTGGTGACGATGAAATCATCACAACCAAGCTCTTTGGCAACCTCGGCTTTAGCATCACTGTGAGACATACCAATAACCTTAGCACCCATAGCCTTAGCAAAGAGGACACCATAATGACCCAATCCGCCAATGCCAAGAATACCAACGACAGAGTTGGGACCAACATTTTCACGCTTCAAGGGGGCATAGACTGTAACGCCGCCGCAAAAAAATGAAGCAGCAACTGGGCTGGGCAAATTATCAGGAACCTTGAAAGCAAAACGGTAATCACCTCTGTCGAACAGATATATTTAGGTACATACTTATGCGTACATGTTGATTCACTATTTACCTCCATTTGTCGGAATAACCGCCACTGCTGGGCGTACCGCAAGACCAAGTGCCGTTATAGGTGCCAACACTTGCGCCAAAGCAGACATTTTCCATGCCCTCCTTGCAGTGAGTACACTCGCCACAAGAACCAGATTGAGCACCAACACCAGCTCTATCGCCAACGACCAAGTTGGTGACATTCTTACCAACACGAGTAACCTTACCGACAATTTCATGGCCCACTTTTAATGTGACATGTTGTTAAAACGATGCTAATATCCATATTGCTGCTTACAAACTTACCACAAATGGGATACTTGGTAGCAGACCAATCGCTGTCAAGGGTGTGGATATCTGAACCACAGATACCACAATGTGTCACCTCCATCTCGACACTGTCATCATCCCATTCCTTCAACTTCAATTCAATTTGCTTGAGGGGTTCACCTAGATATGTCATTAGTTATCTATTATGTATCTTATTTTTTCCATTAACTAACCTTTGGCAACACCGGCCCATGCAGTAAAATGGTTTTCGCTTGACATTGTTTAGTTATAAGAAGAAAAAATTGTCTATTGATTTGATCGAGAAGTGGAGTTATTTTAATTTACCTTTTATACTTGATTCGTATTCCAAATATGGATCTCCGTTACGTCGCCCTCTTTCCTTGAATTAATTAGAGTACAACTTTAATTCGCTAATATGAACAAAGGGACGGGTGTTGATGAATAATCAAAATATCGTCCTTTGAAAAAGTGACAGGGAAGAAGCAGATCATTTCTCGATTCAATGAGTATACAAGGTTGACAGGCTTCCAGTTCCAACCCCAGTTGATTGGGAATGGAGTGTCCATGGAAGCCAGTGGAAGATATTGTTGCAGCTCTTACTGTGAGTGTCGGATTCACATGAATTTGTCTCAGATCAGACCAACAATAACGACTTACCGACATTTATCAAGACTTTGAATTGGGATGAAATAGGACGTATGAGTGATCATACACATTATATATGACATTTTCTGAGAAGGCGAAAAATATACATGTAAAACTCTTCCAATCTGGAAGCCACATCTTGAAAGTATCAAATGAAAATTGCTCTGGAACAGGGTTTTTGCAACCTGCAGGGCTTTAAATTTTTTTTTTTTTTTTTTTTTTTTTTTTTTTTTTTTACATATCCGCAGGTATGCTTTGATCAACAAAAAGCTCAATTCATCCAAACAATGCACATTAGCACTACTGGAAAGACTAAACAAAAGCTGGCACGCATTGACTTTGCGAGTAGCTTTTCAAATAGTGTAAATAACAAACAAGTTTGTAGATACAATAAAGATCTTTTTTCATTTCATATGTATTATTGCCAAGTAGCGCTTAGTAGTAATGTCAGTAGTTGAGAATATGAAAGAGACAGAAGATAAATGAGCCAGGGCAGATATTATTACTATCAAATGAGCATCAGGCTTATAGCTGTCCAACTGTAGAAGCTAACAAATAAACAAGAAAGCTGCAGAAAATAGAATATAAAGATAATCAAGGGTATAATAAATCGATAAATCAAAAGAGTGAATGGATTCGAGGGACTCTACAATGAAATATGTTCAATTGAGTAACAAAGTTAATAAGCTTTAAAATCATGCAGATAAAAGTCTAGGTAATAATAAGACAAGGTCTTTCATTAATTTATGTATTGAATTTCAATATTTATACATAATATGGCAATCTGTGTGAAAATCAGTGTTAATCAGGACCAGATCTTCTCCCTAAGAAGGCTTTGACCTAAATGCTTTATCGAGTTGAAACAAGCTGAGTGAATAGACGTAAGTTGATGAAAAAGGTGCGCACTGATTATATTGTTGATGTAAAAAAAAAAAAAAAAAAAAAAAAAAAAAAAAAAAAAAAAAAAAGGCTGGTTATCAAGTCGATGCGTAACAGTACTCTGTCTTGATGATAATATAGGTAATATAATGAATCGGTTATAAGTTGAGACAATGTTTATTGAGTTTGACAATTAACGCTATTATTTATACTATTTGATTTCTGCGACAAAAGATGTAAATAGCTATGACAATTGGTTTTATTGCAATAATTCACCGACTAAGCGGGTGTCCTCACATTGCCAGTCTGGCGAGCAAAGACATGTGAATAAGTGGGGGGGATAAAACGTACCTATAAAAAAGTAAGAGGTCAAAAAATCTGCTGATAGATTCCAGTGAAAAGGCCAACTTACTTATCAGGATTTTGAACTCGACTGAAAGGAGGCAACACCTTGTTGACAAACGAGACCAGTGCCGAAAAACCAATGAGGGCAATGTTACTCGCTCCTTGCTCATCACGATTCATGGTAGTTTGTTTAGCCAGCCTTTTTGGACACTCAGGGTTAAAGCATGTAACGGCACCGAGGTTCCTCTTCATTCTATTATCCTCACCACGCACCTGTTGTTTCTGTGTCTCCTTGAAACATGAGCAGCAAATTTTTGTAGAATTGTATTCGTCCACCAATCTGACTGTGCTTCTTGTGGACAGCGTTGACATGTACGGCCTCATACTTCGAGTGCTGTGGCCACGGAGGTACTGAGTATTGCAATGCCAGTTTCCTATGAAGGTAACCATCTTTGGCTTGTTGAAGGTGGACATGGTTGCAGCAGATTTGGCTTCACTGGCTACCAAATATTGGTGAAGTTTCTTCAAGCGGATTCGTCCAGTTGCTCTTCCTTTCTGTAGCCTCTTGACTGATGACTTCTTCCTCTTCTTTCGCCTATTGGAGAGGACATCATTATCGACTTTGTTGGCTGTCATTTCATACTTGACGATTGTTTCTTCGTTTCCAAGAGAGGTTGCAGTGTCAGAATAATCTTGCAGCATTTGAAACCGATTGATCGACTCAAAAAGAGCGAGAGAAGAGCACCATACACTACTGGCGGCGGTCATCACACCAGGGTCAGTGTCTTGAACGATAGTGTTACTATCAACAGCCAATGGCTTTGGCATGGCATCGGCAGCAGCTTGATGTACTTGTTGACCGTGGATCCTTTTGTTCAAAATGTACATCTCACTGGACATTTGCTTTATCGATGACTTCAAGCTTGACACTTTCATGCACAATTCATCGTAATCACTTCTAGCATCCTTCAACTTTTTGTATAGCTCAAAGTTCATGCTGTTGTGCTTCTTCTCCCAGGAGCGCGATTCATTGCCACAGTCCATGCGATGTCGTTGCAGTTTTGAAAGCTGCCTTGACAGTGACGACAACTGCTTCTTTGTTTCTTTGATATCACTGGAGAGTTTTTTCACCTTGTCCACATCAGACTTGGAGGCGCTTGACCTGTTTACACTGGACTCGGAGGCACTGGATCTGTTCTCATCCGATTTGGAGCCATTGGAGCCATTATTGTGTTTTTTCACTCTTGAACCCACCAGATGAACATTGTATTGGTTTTTGAATTTGATATAATGCTTGAAGTCGAGCTTTTGTTCTTTCAGAATTTTCTTGATCTTGGGCACGTCAAAAAAATTTGAAAAGATATCCTCCTTTGTTTCCATTGATTTGATCATTGAGTTGGAGGTGAATGCAGATTTGTCCTTTTGGTAAATGTGGTACTGTTTGCTGAATAATAAGTACAAGGTTACGGGATCGAGCGCAATTGCCATTTTTTTGACTCGGCGTGCCCTTTATAGTTGGAAAGAGACTTCTCGCGTTCTTCCTTGTAAGGCCAGGGTGGAAAGTAACAAGAATATTGCGCAACTGAAACAAACCAAACCACCTGTATGGAGGGGGAATCTTCCTTAGGAACAAGAGATTTGATGGCATTGATGATTGTGCAGCAGCAATCAAGGGCACTAGCTGGAATAGAGTCTCTCTTGTCGGGGTACAACTGCTTCTTGATGTGTTCAGAGGAAATATCACCTTTGATGGAGGGGGATTGGCAAAGCATCACGGATACAGACGTCAAAGCATTGATCTCCTTGGCTGTCAAATCACGACTTTCCTCTTCTTCTTGTAGCTCATCATCCATGACACTTTCCAAATCACTGTCGTCACTATCAAGCAACTCAATGTCTTGCTCAGCATCCGTAGTAGACAATGGTTGCGGTGAAGATGTTGCTGACATGCGCGATTTGCCTTTACGGGAAACTGGAGATGGTGCACCAGTAGTTTTGGCAGCAGCAGGTTCTTTTGATTCTGGTTTCTTCTTGTTGTTTGAAAAGATGATGCCTAATTGCTTGTCAATGCATTGATCCACCCGATGATCACAGTCCAAAAGCCAAAAAAGCTTTTCCAATGCTTGTTTCTTCTTTGCTTGTTCTGACTGCGGCTTTGGTCTTTTTCTCTGCTTGCGTTTATATGTTTTCTTTTTCTTCTTCTCTCCAAAAATGCGCTGTCGGCACAAATTGACTTTGAGCACCAAGTTGATTACTGTCTTCAGCATCGCTTGGCAGTTCCTTTTGGAGTAAATGTTTGAGAAGTTTGGGTGATATATTCTACATGCCTCTTGCAGGGCAGGTCGTGTTGTAAAGTCGACGTAATCAGTGCGTTCCAATGCTTCTTGAATTTTTGTGAGAAGGCTACATGGATTGAAGAGTTAGTGCCTCATGCATTACCGTCAAATGCCCTTGTATATACATACGGGATTTTTGTTTTGTCCTCGTTTTTTCGTCCAATACAAAATGATAGGATTTTCCAGAAGCCACTATAAACAAATAATTCCTGAACACTGGCACTGATGTCGTCAATAATTGCAATGGGCTTGACACTCTTGCTCAAACCACAATCAAATAAATCAACAGTTTTGATGTCAAAGAAACACATCTTTTTCTGTGTCGCATGTTGGATGAGGATAACATTACCATCTCTGAGATTGGACATACAGCGAAATACTGTATAGGCAATGTATTGTGTATATCATTCTATCACAGCTCAGATTTCGTATGATACCTTGCTACAGACTATGGTACTTGATTCCATAAGCACAGTACTTGATGATGGCTATTAGATATTGACAAGGCCCATATATTTTGCTTGCCTGAACATTTACACGAGGCATATTTCATGATTATTGAATAGTGCATGGCTCTTTTTTTTAACTTCAAGAGATCTCGCAGCTTTTTTCAGGCACCAAATCAGCATTATTGAACATAGTAGGGTAAGCCTTGACAAAAATCACCTTTTATAGCTCTATGAAACCACTGCTTGAAGAATAATCACCTTTTATGTTAATGTTTGGATGAAAGCTTGTTCTGTTCTTAAATTGGTCACACATACAAGTTTACAATAGAATGCAATTGTGTCCCGCAACATTTTATTGCCACCAAAAAGCGACAAGTTGAGTTAGGCTGTGCCTTAATAATCCGAGGACACGAATTGTGTCCTTCGCCCCATATAATTCATTTTCATAAGTTTACTATAACACACACAAAATAAAAAATAATTCGCTTACGTAAGCATTTTGAGAGCAAAAAACAAAAGTGAAAAGAGTGGGATTTGAACCCACGCCTCCGAAGAGATCACGACCTTAACGTGACGCCTTAGACCAACTCGGCCATCTTTCCTTTTATATTTTGTCATTGACATGTTTGATGGGTTGGTACCTGAAGCCGTATTGCGACACAACGCCAATAAGAGGCGAGTGTTTAAGCCAACCATTCCGGTCCGCAGACAATTTAGAAAGAAGCAGAAGCTAACGGTAGTGACTGACGTCAGCCGTAGTATATAGCTAGGATATAAACAGGGATTTGATTGAATTTGTGGAATTTGAGGCTTGATAGACTAAAATTCACGGAAAAAAAAAGAATAAAAAAAACAGTAATGTCAACTTGATAAAGGTATATTTTATTATCAAACTGACAGGTGTAAAGTAAACTGAAGTCTCTCTACTGGCCAGGTAGATGATCCTTCTTATATACTATAACAATGGATAAAAGTTCTATTAATTAGATTGACAAATAAGTCAACTCAGATCAACTAATGTCTAATCATGCTAAAAGACAACTCCAGCAAGCTAATCATGATTTAGCTCTGTCTGGATGAATAATTAGACTCTCATCCGAAGTACCCTGATCTATCCTTTCCATAAGGATAATTAATATCGATCTAGTAGCATGTATCCGATAGGTACAGTCTTCTTAGTCTATATTAATAGTACATATCTGAGTGTATATCGCTAAGCATACATCTTTAGCATGTATCTGGATATATGGCATGTCTATAGCATATCGTATGCATGTCTATAGCATGTCTCATATATAGTACAAGTCTGTAGTACATAAAGTATCTGTAGCTAGTATCACGGATATAAGCATGTGTCTTATAGCGTGGATCATGAAGTGCACATCTGAAGCAACAAGCTCATATTGCATTAATCTTGGTGCCTATCCAGATATGGTAAACATCCGTAGTCAATGTCGGAATACAAGTATAAGTCTATAGTGCCATCCATGTCCGTGGTGCCATCTATAGCCTATATCTTATATAGTATGAATCTTATAGTACTAGCGTATCTGAAGTCCATATCTTCTCATGATCATAGTATAAATCGATATCGTACATCTAATCCAGTGTACATACAGTTTATATCTAAATCTGGTAACTGGATGAACTGTCGGAATGCAGATCATAGTGGATGTATTCCACATTTGCCCCCACCAGTTTCAACGCATGTTGACTAATTCAAAGAATTATGTAAACGATCAATGATCTGTATTTCGCATTCGCTGACAAAGATATAACGCAATGTGATAGTCTAAAGGTGCCACTGCAATTTGCATGTTGCCCTGATATATCCCATGACAAACATCACTTTACTGTTCTGCAACGTTGAGTCTCTTAGAGCCTCTCAAACGCTTGTCAGAATCATCACGCTTACGCTTTGATTTGGAGGAAGCAGTGTCACTATTTAGTGCCTGTCTTCTCTTCTCAAGCAGCTCATATTCCTTGATCTTTGCCCAGTACTTACGAATGGTTTGAGGGTTGTTGAACGATGCAGCAGTTTCCCAGGAGTTGGCAGCTTCTCCAAATGTCTTCCATTTTACCAAATACTCTCTATTGTGTTCAGGACCACGATGCGCTCTGATCTCGTCAACCTCATATACTTCTTGTTCGATGATAGACTCGTCGATTGCTACCAGCTTCAATTCAGATGGCACATAGTCGCGATGTAATAGTTCATTCATATCGTCTTTCAACACATATGTAGATCTTTTCTTTTGAACAACTTGATAAGGTCCATCATAAGCGGCCTCAAGTTTGCTTTCTCTATGCGGAAGTCTTACCATAACCCAATCACCAACTTTGAAGTGTGTAATCTTGTGATGCTTATTGAATCGCGTTGCTTGCTCTTCAATAATGCGTTGTGTTCTTTGGTTAATAGCTGGAAAGACAACCTGGTTCATAATCTCTGCCTTCTTGCGTAGCTCACCGAGAGTCATAGGCTTCTTTGGTAAGTTGTCCTTGATCTTAGGATCATCGTAGTCTACGAATCTATTCAATGGTCTAGCAAACATCAATTGAAAAGGTGCACTCTCAGTGCGATACCTAATTTTTGTGTTTATAGCCAGTTGAGTTCCAGGTAGAACCGAGTCCCAGTCATAGATGTGTTCACTGACCATCTTACGAAGTGCATTAAGAATATTTTTAACACCTGATTCGGATGCACCATTGCCCCTAGCGTGGAGAGCCGTAGAGTATCTTTGATTGATGCCAAGTGCTTTACCGATCTCGCTCATCAAAGCACTCTTGAATTCACGTCCATTATCAGATTGTAATATTTGTACTACGCCAAAGTCTCCAAAGATGGTAGTCAGAGCTCTAGCGACAGTATCGGTTTGTTTGTTGGGCAATGCACGAGTTATAATAAATCTGGTGCAAATGTCGTATACAACTAATATATATATATTGCCATTGTTGGTTGGAGTTAACGGACCAAGAAAGTCAATGCCTATGTGATCAAATGGACCATACGCTACAACGTTTCTCAGTTCATGGTAACCCTTTTGAACTACATTATGTCTTGCACATTCCATACATGATTGACAAATTGCCTTTGCATCATCATATAGACCTGTCCAATGAATACCTTCTTCATGTAGTTTCTTGACAATACTAGCGGCACCAAAGTGTCCAAATTCATGAGTTTCACGAAGCAGTTGGTCTCTCTCATTGTCAGGTGGTGCAATGTAAGCAACGCTTTCATAATTGCCCTCCTTGATCTTCATAGCAAGTACATTCAAGTGCTTGTCTTTGTTATAGACTACTTTGTTCTTGGTTAGATAATGCTTTGTTTGCTTATTGTTGCCAATGAATCGTTTCTTGGAGCCTTTGCTTCTCATGATATTCTTTTGTAATTTAGCAATTTTCTTATCACTGTCTCCCGCCAGCTCTGTATGATCTTCTAAAGGTTCATACAAGCGACTAAGTTTGTCAGGTAAGATGTTGTCTAAGCCCTTGATATGAGTGAATTGCAGTTGGGGATACTCGTTTAAAATCTCCATGTAATTTTGAATGACTCTAGTAGGACATTTACATGTGTAGATATAAATCAGAGCTCGATGATCTGTCATAACCTCAATCTCAGGATGCCCGTACAATAAGGGTCGCAAACGAACTAAACCGAATAACACGGCATACAGTTCTCGTCTCAGGACAGGCCAGTTCTGTTGGGATTTGGTCAGAGATTTGCTCAACATCGCCACATAGACTGTGCGTCCTTGATCGTCGCGCTGCGTCAAAATGACTGCAACTGCATATAAGCTAGCATCACATTCAAGATAAAATTTCTTATTCATGTCTGGTGCAGTCAGTAAAGCCTCAGATAACAAGACCTTCTTGATAATCTCAAGTCGTTTGGTGTGCTCATCAGTCCATCTGCTACCAGCATCTGGATCATTTCGTAGAGCATCAATAGGCGCCATCAGTTTTGACAGATTTGGGATGTGTGGTCTCAAATATGAAATAACACCAGCTAGTTGTTTAACCTGTTTGGCAGATCTGCATGGACCCCAATGATCAATGTCAGAGAGACGTCGCATGTCAACCTTGGAAACATGAGGACCAACTACAAAGCCTAGCAAGTAGATGCTAGATCGAAACCAGGAGCACTTTTCAACACCAATCTTTAAGTTGGCATGTGTCAAGCGTCTCAGCACCTCCTTAATCAATTCGCAATGACTGGATAAGGATGAAGATACGAGGCATAGGTCGTCCACATAGACCTCCACGTTGGGCATATCAGAAAACAAAATGTTCATGACAGAGCTAAAGACAGATGTGATTGGGCGCAACCCGAAACAGCAGCCTAACCATCTATACGATTTTCCTCTAAAATTGAACAAAAGCACATTTCTTGATATGTCAGAAATTCTAAATGAAAAATATGCGTTTTTCAGATCGATTTTCGAAAATATTGTCCCCTTCTGCTTGATCCGGGTGAAGATATCCTGTATATTTGGTATCTCAAATTGGTTTGTATTGTTGGGCATATGCTGGTTGATCCTCCGCACATCCATACAAACTCGAGTTTTGGTGGGTTTGCCATCATTGTCCTTCTTTGATACTGCAATGAGAGGGTTGTTGAATAAGCCGTTAGGTCTACACTGTTCTACAATTCCTGCATCCAGCCATTCATTCAATTGCTTTTCGATTTCGGGCATTGCATGATGTGCGATCGGATATTGCTTGACGTAGTAATCAACATTCTCCTTGATTGGTATAGTGATCTCAGATTCAGGCACGTTACAAAACGTTCCAGGCTTGATTCTCTGATTCTCATCAATAGCATCTTGGATGTTGCTCATATACTTATTCTCCTCAGCTTG